ACGACTTCTCAGGCAACATGGGTGTCATAAATGGCGTTGGCAACAACTGCAGGCGCGAGTTCATGCAGCTCGAGATGGAGCGTCGTGAGCTCGACTCGGGCGCCAGCGTACTCGCTGCCATTGGCGGCCACGCTGTACGCTCCATCGACGACAACATCAACCTACTCGCCACGCGTGACCTCGGCCGACTTGCCGACGTCCTCGGCGTTCGCGCCGCCGGCCACGACGCCGACGAGGCGACTCACTACCGCCGCGATATCGGGCTCGAGTGCGCGACTTCGACCTGCGACGAGTTCGCTAAGCGCGAAGCGGAGGAGATCCTTGCGATGCACGCGCGTGGCCTTGGCTTCTTCGTCGAGGAGTAAATGCGGAGCTTGTATATACGAACACACCGTGAGGGACTGTAAAAGTCCGTTCCGAGGAATGTATTAACTATCAGCTGTCTCTGTTGCGCGAAAGCTTGCTTTTGTGATCTTTCGTTGGACATGGTTTTGAATATTTCATGATAACGCTGAATGAATTATCATGGCGTGCGTAATTCTATAGTAGAATTGGATATGGGTATCTTTAGGTATTGGGTTACGACTTCTAAGACGGAATACCCCCTTGCATTGCATGGTTGGATGCACTGGATGACTCTCGCTGCAACGTGCGTTTCTGCTGCTCGTGAGCGAGATCTGCAACCGTATAAGCAATTACCAGCAAGCCCCTTAGGCCGGCAAGCCAAAGCGGAGATAGAGAGTAGCGCAATGCCCTCGCACGGCGAAAACATTGCCAACTTGCGTCTCGACGGTACCGGCGACGCCGAGTCCGACAGTGATCGAGTAATTGATGATCATGTTGACCAGGGTACCGCCGGGGCATTGTTGGTAGAAGGTCAACGACTCGCTCTGATGATCATAGTTGCAGTCGTTTTAGAGCAACCCATGCCCCGCGGCGCGATAAGCTCAGAGATAGATGATTACGCTCAGTAGATCTAATAGATGGGGAGTGTCGCGACAAGCAATTTCGCGATCAGGAAGGAACATATCGTAAGGAGCATGACCCATCTGGGCCCAATGGAGCGCAGGAGCAACATGGATATAAATGCCACAATACCGCCAAGTATTCCACCGGGGACCATGTGAGCCATGTTCTTGAGAATAGGCGGGTTGTAGGATGCAGTCACGAATCTGAGGGACCGCGTGAAAAGAACTGTAAAGGAAAGGGTCAGACGCGCGCAGAGTCCAGCCAATTGGACTGGATTCGAGGCTTGAGAGGTGAAAAGGCACTCGCCACCATTAGTAGAAGGTGAGGATCCCAAAAGAACTCCAACCAGCCGCGACGCGGTCGGGCATTAAGCTGTTCTGCAACGTCCAAATTTGCTCAGGAGCGGGTCCCTGACTCTGCCCATCCTTTGTTGCGAGGCTGTCTGGGTGCAAATATATGTTTCCAGGCTGCTGCTGCAACATGCGTCCTCAAACTCATTGGCCTAACGGAATCAGTACAGTTCAATCTTTATTACATGCCGCTATCAAAGGGGTTGGCCAACGTTGCGCTCGCGCACCGCGCCCGCTCTCTTGTGAGCAACTCAATCGCCGAGTGCCTTCCGAATCCCACCGACGATAGCAGCGACGCCCCATGCGCCGGGATCAGGCGGCATGTTGCCGCCTTTGTCACCGACGTACGTCGCGCGGCCGAGGCGGGCCGTTTGCGTCCTGGTCTCTTCGGCTCCCTTGCGCGCGGCGTCAACGGCGTTGGAGAGGCACTCGCCGGAGCCCATGGCCCTGCAGAAGGGGTCAAGCGCGTCGACGAGGGTGCGCATGCCCGGCCGCGCAGGCGTGTGCGTACCCAGGTTCTCTAGCGCAACTAGCAGCGCCGCGCCCCAGTCCTTTTGCGTTGCTGGCGCGCTGCTCTTTCCGCCCTGCACTTGCGCGAGTCCCTGAACAAGACCAGTGAAAAAGAGCGCGTAGATCGCGCCGGACGTGCCGCCCATATTGCGCTCGATTAGCGCACCAAGTGACAGACACGTTCCAGCGGGTGAGGCAAGGTCAACCTTGCCTGCGTCGACACCAGCGCTGAGCGCATTGGCGCAGCTAGCGAGCGTCTCGCCGCAGTCTCCATCACCGACGATGGTATCGAACTTGGTCAGTTCGGGCTCCGCCGCGACAGCAGCTTCGCAGGCACCCTTGATGACTTTCTTGACAAGTTCCGGGTCCGCATTCATGAGACCTTCTGAAGCTGCACCGTTGCGAACGGGGGCAGAGACGCTGCTCTTCTTCTGCCTTGCCTGCTCGACGGCCTTCGCCGCCTCGTCCTCTTGCGCCTTGCGGTCGCGCGGCTTACCGCTCGCGGCTCCCCAGCCATGCTGTACGCCGGCCCAGCCAGATGCATCTGTTGGTGCGTCAATCAGCTCGAGCAAGTCAACGCCCGTCTTGGCCTTGAATTGCTTTTGGTTGACGAGCGAAATGCCGAAGCCAGGTGCATTAAGGGAGGTCATGTAGGTGTGAGCGAAGACGCGCGAGGGGTACAGGCCATAGTCGCGCTCTGCATTGAAGTATTGGAGGACAAGTATCGGCTAGAGTCATAAGAGATCAATCAATTGTAGAGCGGGCTCACCAAGCTGTGTAAGAACTTCGTCGGTGAGCGCGCCCATTTCAAGCTGGCTGACACCTCCGAGGTTGTTCAGGAAAACGATGGGTGCATCATCCTTGTTGAACTCGACGTATGCACGGTCCTTGTCACCTTGGTTGAGCATGTAGTTGAGCATTTCCATGATAAGTGCATCAGGCTCAGGCATCTTCTCGAGGTGCTTGACGCCAGGCTCGTTATGGATACCCATGCCAATCTCGCAAGCATCTTGTGCAAGCGCGCCCCACTCATCGGCCTTCTTCGGCCTGCCGGGCACGTGGCAGTGGTCAAGCGATGTGCCGATGGTGACGGTTTGCGCGACTATCTCGCGGCCGATGTTGGCGATCTCCTTGGCACACATGCCCATTTCAGAAGCTGCGCCGAGGGCCTTGCAGGTGAAAATGTTGATGCCAAGGCCTCGTCGGCCGACGAGACCGCCACGTTGGCGACCGACCGCGACATCATCAGAAACATTGACGATCTCGACGTCACCGCTGCTCTTGTTGCCCGAGAATGCTCGCGCTGCACGCGCCTTTTCGGCTGCGAGTCCCTGGAAGATAGAAGCGAAATCAGATGATCAGTATCTTGTACATGCAATCCTGCGAACCATCTGGAAGAAGGGTCACGAACAAAGTTAAGACAGTCGCCAGTGTAGTTGTTGACGACGAAAACCACGCCTGCATCAGAGTTGGCCAAGTCAATGCCAGTGCAGATCTGTGCGGTGGAAGGAGAGGCGAAGATCTCTCCGCTGACAGCAACGGTGAGCATGCCTCGGCCGACAACACCGGCGTGGCCGGGCTCGTGACCTGCACCTCCACCGGCGATGATGGCCACCTTGTTGGGATCATGCGTCGAATTGTACAGGACCTTGTCGGGGGCGTAGCTGCGAGCGACGGCGGGTAAGAATGCAATGCATCAGAGCCACGCTTGTGGGAGGCTGCCATCAATTCGTAAGCACTCACAATCGCAGGGCCGGGTTCAGGGCAATGTTCCCCCGAATGCCTCGCTGCACGAGGCCGTCGGGGTTATTGAAGAAGTGCTTAGTCGCCATAGTTGCTGTTCGGGTCTTGGCGCTGCGCGCAAGACCAGAACTGCTTCGAAGGAGGAGCCGTTACCTTGGCTGAGGAATGAAGACGAGCGTTGGGGGCTCCCAAAAGCACGGTTGCGGTGATCGTGTCGGTGGGAAGAAAGAAGGGCAATGAGTGGTCGACCTGCTCAACAGCTCCTCCCCCACCAAGCTGCTCCCTCCTCATAGACTTTACAAGAGGCGGTCACATTGTGTTCTCCATCGACGGCAGGCCAGGCCAGGCGGAGTGTGGCGACTAATGAGTGAGGCGTCGGTGACGTGGGGTTAGTGGCTGTGTGGGAGGAGGGGCGAAGATTGCTGCGCTCGAGCCACTCTCCCCTTGCTGTCGCTCCACCCTTGGATCCGACCGGGTGGGACCGGTCCGGATTTCCGCATCTTTCCCAGCCTGGATGGACATCCCGCCGCTCGCCACGTGCCAAGAATCGGAGAACAGACCAACGGCCAATGAAAAAGACGCAAGGCTTGGGAAACGACAAGTCAAGAACATTGAAATTTGTGCGACGATGGAGGTTGCACTTTGTAAGGCTAGAACATATAGTCTGTGTATCAATATGCTATGCGCATATGTGTAAGCTGAAGAAGCGGCATCGATTTTTGAATAGCCAGCTGGGTCAAGTACAAGAGAAGAGTTTGATGCTGTTCTTCAAATGTCTTTCTCTTTGCCAACGATCTGCACGCGGTGATTCGACTTGATAAAGTCACTCTGTGATCCAAAGTCAAGAAGAGAAGGCCATGCGGGTGTTTAGTAATCGGAGCATGAACAGCATACAACGCGACACGACACTCACGATCTTGTTGCAGCCAAACACCCAGATCTGGCTTACGCTCTCCACGTGCATCAAGCCGAGCACGAAGCTGTCGTTGACACAGCGCACAAAGCTGACGTCAAGCGTGCGCAAGCCCGGGCACGCGTCCGCGCTGATCCACCGGGCCAGCCCTTGCTCCGTCAGCAAATTATCGCTGTTCAGGTTAAGCTGCTGCAGCTGCGCGCCCGAATGCGCCACGATCGCCTGGAGCGCCACGTCATCGAGCAGCAGCACGCGTTGCACATCGAGCATCGTCAGCCCTCCGTGCGCGTTCCCCCACTTGCGGAACAGCTCGCACAGCCCGGCTGAGGTCAGTTGGCCCAGCTTGCCGAGCTTCAGAGCCTTGAGGCGGCTGCAGTGCACCTTGACGCCATCGACGATCACGGGGTCCGTCAGGTCCTGGTTGCCAGAGATGTCAAGATACTCAAGATTCTTGCCCACGGATCTCAGCAGGCTTATGATGTCCTCGTTCTGCAAGCTTTTCGGCGGCATCCCCGGCGCCGAGACACCCGGATCGGAGATGTCGAGGTAGGTCAGCTGATCATAGCACGCAACGTGCTGCAGCGACTTTCCGTCCAGAGGTCCGATCTGCGCCAGGCCGAGCTCCGTGATGTTTGGACAATACTTCGCCATCGCCTCCACGCATTCCAGATTGAAGCGTGGCGATTCCCGGATCTTGAAACTCTCTAGGTTGGACGCGACCATGGCAAAGAAGTGCAGCCACGATTCGACGCGCACCAGATAGGGACCGTACAGCTCTAGGCGGTGGAGTGAGCGATTCAGCTTATCTGACCAGGCGTCGATGGCTTCGTTGTCCAGTTGCCCACACAACTGCAGATTGATGTCTTCAAGTTGGGGGCAAAAGTCCGGGATTGTACGGAGCGAGTCAGAATCGAGCTCTGCAAAATGACAAATGTTGATCATCAGTCAATCTTCCACTCCGTACCCGGCATGCCTCAAAAGGACACCCACTGCTGCAGTCGTACAGGCGGAGGGACTTGATGGCGGGCGAAAGGAACAGCTTGAGAGTACTGGTGTTAAGACTGCGATTTTTGGAAATGCTCTGCAGATTCCTCCGTGGACGTGTCAGTCCGAAGACAGTGCGCCAGAATTCTCGACTTTCTCACCTTACTGATGCGATCCACACTACCGGCCCCCATGCCACCGAGGTCTTCGACGTCTTCAATGCTGTTGCTGATGAGCTGATGGGCGCAAAGTTGAACTTGTCGTGTAAGTATCATTCTCGCGGAGTTTTGTTACTTCCCGACGCTTCGCACCCTAATACATAGCCCTTGTAATGTGGGAACGACCTTCCGGCTCTGCTGCTGAATCAATTTACGCCTCGATGCTGCTCTCTTCTTCGCAGCACCATTGTTGGCAGCTGCTGATCCTTCGCTGGTGTTGGCGGCGTCTACCTTCGTGCCGCACTTGTGGCAGATGGGGCCTTTGGCAATATACGAGGTGTATTGGGTGACGGAAAAGCGCTTCCGGCAACTCCCACAGTACGCCAGTGCGCCGTTGGGCTTGACCATCGATGCGGGAGGGTTGACCTTGATCATGGCTGCATTCGGCCCGGAGCCGGACCCCATGGCCTGCCTCTTGACAGCCCGAGCAGACGCTGCCTTTGTCAAGCTCAATTCTTCTTGATAGCCGTCTTCTTCGTCATCGTCATCGTCCTCGCTCTCTTTGAATGACTTGCGCTTCTTCGCTGCCGCAGCTGTCCTTGCCTTAGCAAGGGCTTTTACCTTGGCCAGCGCTGCGAGCTTATCCGCTTGGCCACGATCACCAGCGTCCTGCGTGGCACTTATGCGTTTGCCGTCTCTCCTGTCCAATCGTGTGGTGGAGGGACCAGCTACGGCGTTGCTTGGACCTGCCTCCCCGCCGGCAGCGGCAGCGGAAGCGTCATCGACATCGGCACCTGCAAAGGAAGTGAAGCCCTGCCCGTCTTCACTAAGAGCAAATGTATTCTGCTCCGTGCCCGTTTCGGATCTGCGCGAAAATCGGCTGATATTTCCCCTTGCGGTGATTCCTTTCTCCTGCAACCAGAAACCATTCGAGAGGGAAACGGGTGAGGTAAGGATCGGGATATGCTCAGAGCGCCACATCTCATCGACAACCCACCCGCAGGAATTCGGTCAGAGCCGATGTTGGTCCCGTGACACCGCGAGACATAATGGTGTGTTGCTATACAGCTCGTCTTAGCGCTTTCAACAAGCGTCTGATTCTCGAGCCAATGCCCAGAACAGGAGCTTAGGAAATGATCAAGTCGATGGATAGAAACAGGCGGTACACTCATTGAGTTTCATGAGCCTCTCCCCGTGACGAGGAATCAGGGAACGTCACTATCATCGGCAAGGCGGTCTGGGAAGAATGTATCCCAGTGCTGCATGTATATGGGTGAGAGGATGGGGCCATAGTCGATGGATGACGGAGGCCATAAATGGGCCGTGGTGTTCCCTAGAGCAATCCACGGCAGGGTTGTGTTGATTTCCTCAGTACTCCATGTGCGCTGCTCCCCTAGGACACAGATATATGGAAATGCTCAGTTGAGAGACGAATTATGTAACAGAGTTATCTCTTCCTTTCTTCCCTTCCCCCATGCCTTGGCATTTGTGCTCTTCCGCAGCTGCGATGGCTAACTAGCATGATAACCCTAGTTCGACTGTAACGCACTCAAACTGGGAGCACAGAGCTTGGTGGAGACCTGATTATGGCTAGTCATTTCTATCCCCGCATTCTTGGGCCTCGATCATAAGGCACTACAAAGTTGAAAAGGAGAGTTGCACCCATATGCTGCGACCGGACAAAGCTCTAGTGCCATTGACACGGAGCCCACTGCCCTTTCGACTTGCCTTGACCCTTAATCTCTTCGATCACTTCAGGCCTTCCATGTTCCATCTCATATCCTTTTCTGCCCGATCTATATTGCGAGTAGGTTTCAAGAAAAATTGGTCGTCGTTCATGTCCGTTTGCAACACGCTGCAATGTGCAGCTGGGCGAAAGAAGGGAACGAGATGTTTACAAGGCGAAAAGGGGGTGCATGCTGGGATGTAAGCTAGAGCTGGGCAGTGTAGCTCACAGTGTGGCCCGCGGATCTACTAGTACACTGTCTCCCCCGTATGGCCTGGTAACAAAAGAATAACCATCTAGCATGCAGTAAGCCGACCTCTGTGCAGGCGATCTATCTGTATGCTTTTGGACGCTATATGCATTCCCCTGTCCCCACTCCTTAATATTTATAAAAGACTAGGCAAACATATATAAATTAAAAATGGAAAAAGGGGGGTATCTCATTCGTCTATATTTGGGGGTATCCGTTCGGGCTCGAGACAAATGTGATAGAGTATGCGTATTGGGAACCAGAGCTTTGCAGCAGCGTCGATAAATGATAATGTTGAGCTCTTTATTAAGAATCAGATGGCGACTGACAAGATGCTGCTCTTGAGAATGCATGTCGTTGACTAGTATGTCGTCAATTGGATCGGCGTGTGCCGGCGTCATTCTGTATGCTATCGAACGACCGGCGTATCAAGTAAGAAGTAGGCATGGTAAGCTGGGCACCGCCATTCAGTGAAATCGAGAGACAGGATCAAGGTTCGATCTTTCATATGCAGCAAAGTGAATACGCACCTTCTTGCTCGCTTTGTCGAGTCACTTGCAAGGCCACAGTCCATTGTCCAGACTGTTACTGTACGGGTGATATGAACGTTTAGCTCACAAGTACCACAGTAGGAGAGCTCTAGTATCAAAAAAAATGATGAGAATTCAGGTAGGCAGTAAGTTTGGTCCAACTATTACTGAGGCTCGTTCTGGCCCGATTCGAGTCGGATAGGCGTGGTCAACGCCGCTCTCCTAAGTCCTCGGGGATAATACAAAGGATCCTAAGCTTGTTTCCGCTCCAGCTATGCAGGTGATCGACTGTTATAGCGATTGCCTCGCTCTGTTACAGATAAAGCAGAGCCTCATACCACCCTGTCCAAAGCTCTCGTGCGCTCTAGATGGGGAGTGCCGTTAATGTACTCTGAGACTTGATAAACTGGAATTGGTGAATGCGTATAGTAAGATCATTGATTGAAAGTAGCCATTGCCTACCATGAAGTAACAGGGTGACGGGCACTATGCTCTACGCTTCAAGCTCATAGACTCCAGAAGCAGCGCGAGCGTAATTGCAAGCTCTTCTTAGCCTTTCCACTTTTACTCCTATCTACAGCGTACCCAAATGTACCGAAACGGACGATCTATCCACTCGCGAAGAATCCGCCTCGACATGCGAAATGGGGGTTTTGAGTATGAAGGTCTATACCGGGTTCAAATCTTGGGCGGACCTTGGAACGAGATAGACGAGGGCTCGAGAAACGCAGTGCGGGCTTGTTTGAATTCTGAGTGGCACGGGACGACCGCTGAGCTTCGGAAGTATTGATCAGCATATCTGGTGGAGACAGTCAAATAAGACGACTGCGCCTCGCCCGTTCCTACGAAAAAGGGCGCACATTGCGAATTTTTGCGATGCGGAAACTGAGTGTTGCAACTTCGGATCGACATGGTGTTTCGAGATTTCAAGCCGGTGACTCGCAACCTTGCAAGTTCATGATTGCAGCTCCTTTGCGAATGCATCATTGCCTCGACCGCCTCGGTGCCATCGCTGAGTGCTGAGAGTCGGGGTTTCTGCATCTAGCACTGGCTCTGTGCCGTGTGATGCGATGTTAATTGAAACGCGAAGCGGTCAGCAGCGTAAAGCAGTCAAATAATCACGACTCAGGACGCGTGTGATGTGTGCGCTTCGGGTTCTTCCGCGTTCCGAACGCAGCGAACACCATTTTGATTCTCTTGCGAAGATGGCTGCGGAAAAGCGAAACAAACACATCAAAAGAGCGTGGAGAGCTGGAAGGCGCCTGGCCAAAGCAAAATTGCATCCCCTGTCGAATCAAGTGTTGCAGCGTGGAGGGTTGAGTTGTGAGCATGCATCTGCCACCTTGATCATCACTACATGCAAACTCATCATAGCCCTAATTTCGCGGCAAGGAGACGAACGGCGATCGCGAATGAAGACAGGAATTATCTGCACTACGTGTGCGTGCTTCAGACTGTGTGTAAGAAGATAAGACGGCAGCCCGATTAAATTGAGTGTGAGGCGGCTTTTCTTCACCCCTCTCTCTCTCATTCCCGGGCGATATCAAATAGTCCTTCATAGGACGGACGCTAGATCATGTATCTAATGCAGTTGCTGGCCCATCGGCATCATCCTGCAGTAGCTGCAACGTGGTCCTGTGCGACATGACTTTCCCAAATGCAATGTATTATTCTGCAGGAAACAGGCACCCATATATTGAAGCGGTCACTTCTTCTTGCCTTGCAGCTTTGCGGCTGCAGCCTTTCGTTCAGCCTCTTCCTGCTTCTGCTTCTGCTTGAAGGCCAGATCCTAGCAATAGCAGCGAAGACGAGGGCAGAATAGGTTGGGCATGTCAGCTCATTCCCAATCAGAGTCAACCCCGCGAGTGGAGGTCGCTACAAACGCACGTCTTCGTCCTACATGCAATAAAGGGAGATCCACTCTTTGTCAGCTCCAAGTTTTCCTCGTACGGCCGGTGGCAAGACATGCTCATCTCACCATCTCCTTGTTCTGCTTCTTGGCCTGCTTGAGCGGCTTGAGCTTTCCTCCCTGTCTGCCACTCATCTTGCACCTGCTTTGTTGTTCCTCTGCACTATGACTTAGGTTGCTCGGTAGCAGAGACAAGTGCAATTGGTGACTTGCAGATCGCTTTGGCCAGCCTCCCCAATCCCTTCTTACAGCTCGCAGCAACAGCGCAGAAGTCAACGCCGCCTCACGTGCTGACGTTCAAGCTGCTTTTCCCTCTTGGAGCGGACTTGGCTCTTCAAGAGAATTCGGGGGAAAAGACAGGGTTTTCCGTGTGATCCTTCCTTGTTCCCACTCCACCAAGCCGGCTCGCTGTCATCGCTGCTGCGCCGGCGCACAGATAGTCCACCAGAGGGAGTCTCAACTGGGACTGGAGAGGCACTGCTCTTTTTCGCTCTCTCCTCCCTTCGCGCCCCAACGCCCGTAGCTTGGGCAACCTTCCTGCGTCTAGCAGTAGTACATCTTTGCAAATCATTCCCATCAGTCTCCGTCTTCTCCTACATCGCACCACTACCTGTACCCTCCGTCTCCCGGTCTGTATTTGCGGCTTTCTGGCCTGCATTGTATCAACAGCACCTCTTTCGCAAAATCCAACCACGGTTGGTGTGTAGGAAAGGGATCTCGAAGCGTTTTTTGTACCACCAGCTGCTTGCAGGATAGAGAAGGACTCGGCCAACCCACCCCGGCGCTCGACGCTACCCATTCAGACCACTTGATACCGTTCAACTTCACAACGTGTCTGGGTTTGGTCATTGCGCTTGTCCTCGGTGTCTGTGATTCTTGTATGTGAGTTTCTATTCAATGATCGTTGGCCACGCAGGGGTAGGGAACGCTTGGCCATAGCTGACCTTGGCACCGCCTTCGCGCACTATGCCATCCCCCAGCAACAGCAGAGCTCTTCAGAGTCTGGTTGAGGCTTCAGGGTTTGACGTTGCAAGTCAGGGGGAAAGCCAAACCGACTACGTGCTCTGCACTCTAATCCGAAAATCATTTCCTCGCGTCTGTCTGTACAGTACAAGACATCCTTGCCCTGTCGACTAGCCCACTGCCGAAGCATCGATTGACACCTTCCTGTCAATCGGGACTCGAGACAGCCAGACGTGCGCGCTTCCATCAATCAACTGGAACGCCGCATCAATAGGTGAGCTGACAGGAGACTCGAAGCGACGCAATTGCCAACATGAGGTTGATACCTTGCGCGCCTGCCGCAGACTTCGTGGTCAACATCCTTGACCAGCTCGAGGAACGCGACCCGTTCCTATACAGCTATGAGCGGCGCCGATGCAAGAGCAGACAACATGAGTAACAGTCTTAGTGGCTCTCAGCTGCTCTCGCGGCCAAACAAAAGTGTGACTGGTTCGCCGACCCCGTCCGAGCGATCGAGAAGTGCATCGGTTGTTCCCATTGCGGCCGGTGCAAACGTCACAGCCGGTATGGCCGACTCTCTGTCATCTCTTCAAAGCAACGAGTCAATCAGCTATGCTTCGCTGAAAGCGCAGGGCCTGACGGATGATGAAATCACCTTGGTACGTGCGCCAGCTCCTCCACGGCTGCGCCAGACGCTTTGCTGATCCGGCTCGCAAATCCCTTTGTGGCATACAGAAACTCGAGCATGAGCGGCAACGTGACCTCCAGCGTCAAATGTTTGCCCAGCAAATGGCAATGCTGGAGAGGAGGCAGCATGAAGAGCAGATTGCTCTGAAGCAGACGTCTCGCGCATCCTCCATCCGTGCGCCCAATTCCCGTCAAGCCAGTCCGCCTCCTCGCGAAAACGTCAAGGTGGGCCCAGCATTTGGCAACTTTGACGATCCAGAGGAAGGCCTCCACGGTAGTAACGTACCGGGCTTGAGATCTATGCCCGACTCTAGAAGGCAGAGCGGTGGAGAAGAGGGCGGCGTAGGTCTCGTCCAAGGCCCCGGATCAAAGCGTGTGGCGAGCCGAGGTGACCTGGCCAGTGCATTCGAGCGCATGAGCGTTGGTGGTTCCGGTGCTAACGGCAGCGCATCACCGCACCGTAATGGGATCCGTGCACAGTTCGACGAACCGGACTCCAATCCCAACTCTCGCAGCCAATCGCCAGGGGGCCGAAACCTCACCCCTGCACAGCATAGCGCCTTGCAGCGCGTCCTCGCTGGCTCAGGCTCCGGCGCCAGCTCACCCAAAGGTGACGGCCAAGCTCCGCCGGCCGGGACAGAGGGTAGTAGTTTCACGCCTGTCTTCAACGAGAACTTTTTGTTTGACGACGAGCTCGATGCCGAGTCTGCCTTCGTCAAGAAGTACAATCTGCAAGAGGATGATGACAAGTTCCCTGTGCTGATCCGTAGGGACAGCTTCCCCGGTATGCTGTCTGCCTCTTCGGCAGCACTTGACTTGGCCCCCCTTTCTCAAACGCCGCCGCGCTTCCCAAGAGGCAATGCTGCCGGCGACGCTAAAAACTCCGAGTGGCCCCAATTTGTGCCCGGCCGCAGCCCGAGTGGCCGCTCTGCCGACCAGGACGGCATTGCTGCCTCCGCTGCTGCTGCTGCGGACCGCAAAGGCCAGTCAGAACGCAACTCGCCGCGCTTGTCCAATAATCAGCAGCTGCCTGCGCCTAACTCGCAAGGCCGCGTCTCACCCTCCGCAAGCGGCAGTGGCAGCGCTGCGCAGAATGCACGCCATATGGCACCTGGGACACCTGCGACGGGCGGCAGTGGTGGCGCTGGTCGCGATCGCGCCTCGTCGGGCTTCGCCAACGGCTCTACCAACAATAGCAATGCCACGGACAACGCATCCAAAGCTTTCCTCGACTCGGGTAGTACCAATTCGCCCAACTTCGGCAGCTTTGGCATCAACAGCTTCACCGCTGGGAGCAAGAGTTCAGCAAGCACCCGCTTCGGACCGTACGCTGCTTCCAATGCATTTGAAACATCCGGCAACAATGCCGAACACAGCCGCACTCGTCCTTCGTCTGGCTACTTCGAGGCTTTCAGCTCCAGCACAAACCCTCCCTCTGGTCTGCTCGGCAACACGGGCAAGTACGGAAGCGCAGTCGGTCCTGAGACCAACAAGCTGCCTCCCGCATCGACCGCCGCCGCCGCTGCTGCTGCCGCTGCTGCCGCTGGTTTAAAGCAGACGCGCAAGGGCGAGCTGGACGTCAACACGAAGCTGGAAGATCTGCAAGGCGACATCTTCACCCTCTGCAAGGACCAGCATGGCTGCAGGTACTTGCAAAAGAAGCTCGAAGAGGGTGTCGCCGCTCATCGCGACATGATCTTTGCCGAGACATTCCCGCACTTTGCTGAGCTGATGACCGATCCGTTCGGCAACTACCTCTGCCAGAAGATGCTCGAATACTGCACGGATGACCAACGCAATCTTATTGTTGAGAGCGTCGCAGGCGAGCTTGTCACCATTTCTCTCAACATGCACGGCACGCGTGCAGTCCAGAAAACGATTGACTTCCTCTCAACGCCACGTCAGATCCACTCCATCATCGTCGCGCTCAGTATGAACGTCGTCACTTTGATCAAGGATCTGAATGGCAACCACGTCATTCAGAAGTGTTTGAACCGTCTCGGCGCTGAGGACAATCAGTTCATCTACAATGCCGTTGCAGCACACTGCATTGAAGTGGCAACTCATCGCCACGGTTGCTGTGTGCTCCAAAGATGCATTGACCATGCCTCTGACAGCCAGCGCATGCAGCTGGTCGCCGAGATCACGTACAATGCACTCACACTTGTCCAGGATCCCTTCGGCAACTACGTCGTGCAATATGTGCTCGATCTCAACGACGCAAGATTCAGCGAGGCTGTCATCCGGCAGTTTGTTGGCAATGTCTGCGCGCTGTCTGTGCAGAAATTCAGCTCGAACGTCATCGAGAAGTGTGTTCGTGTTTCAGAGCAAGCGACGAAGAAACAGCTCATCGAAGAGCTCATCAATCGAACTCGCCTGGAAAAGCTTCTGCGCGACTCGTTTGCCAACTATGTAGTCCAGACTGCGCTCGACTACGCTGACCCAGTGCAGAGAATGCAACTGGTCGAGTGCATTCGGCCGATCTTGCCGATGATCCGCAACACTCCGTACGGCAAGCGCATACAGAGCAAGCTGCATCGGGACAACTACGACTTACACTCGCACCACCACCCCCATCACCATGGACACCACCCCGGGCATGCAGGCATGCCGTACTCGCTTCTGCAAGCCGCTCACCATCAGCAGATGCAAGCTATGGCTGCTCTTGCAAACCGGCAAATGACTCCAGCCGAGTACGGAGGCATGGGCTCCTTCAACGGTCCTCTGCACCCGCAGGGTGGCATACCCGGCCTGGCTCCGCACATGTCAGGCATGTACGGCGCTCCGCCACCTCATCACCCTGCCGGTAGGCCAATGGGTGGACATGGCGCAGCGCACATGTCTCCTGCCATGTCGGCCCAATTTGGCCTCCCAGGTCCGCATCTCCCGATGAACTCGCCGTACGCGCCGCCCCAAGGCTCGCCCATGATGCACCCGGGTCAAGCCGAGATGGGCTTTGGTGCGCCACCCATCGGCGTGCAAGGCGCGGGCGCTTATCCTGGGCGCTACAACGTTACCTACTAGGCTCAGCACCACTTCAAAACGCTTCCCTTCGACAAGCGAACCGAAACGACACACTCCTTTTTCCTTGCCAGGTTCTCGGCCCCGAAAATAAACTCATGATGTACACCAAGACATTTTGCATTCTTCTCATGTCGTGAAGTGTAGTGCCAATAACAAAAGATGATATTTGCCCTTAACTCGACTCTGTGCAACGGTTCAGAATTCGTCCTTGAGCCCGTGTGCTGCTTTGCGCCTATAAGCTGCCTGGTCGCGAAGCCATTGCCGGTACTGCTTGATCGATCCGACCTTCTCGCCCTGCAAAAGAAGTTCGGCGCAGATGCGTTCATTTAGCTCAAAAGCAGAGGAAAATGTGTGAGTACCCTACCTCTCTACGCACATAGAAGTCCGGCACCGGGTTTTGAACGGACTGCCTTGACGGATCGACACGATTACGCTTGATGTGCTCGTAAAACTCGCCGTCCTTTTCGCGGATCGCCGGCAACTTGGACGAGTGCATCATGGTCCACAGAGACGATCCTAGCGTGGGACCAATGAGCCAGCCAACGCCGGTGAATGCGAGCACAGCAGCGAAGGAGACGTAGACTGGGTCGATCCCGGCTATGGCATTCGTCGGATCGAGCTCCTGCGTGAGGAAGAATGCTCCGGACCCCGCCGCTGCCAATGCTGTCGTCGGAATGGTGGTGACCATACCTGCCAAGCGCCGCGATCGGCGAAGCTTCAGATCTATGTCAGGACATCGACGAGAGTCAGAATTAGGCGATATATAAAACAGGAAGGGTAGAGGAACAGGCTCACATTCGTCCCAGGACAAAGAAGCTGCGCCGCTAGAACGTCCCACATGCTGGCCACCCGAAGCACGGTGATTTGGGGACGATGAGTGCATGAAGGCGGCGGCACTGCGAAGAGCAGGCGGGGATAGTCGCCGTGGCCGAACAGCGCCGCTACTCAGCAGAAGGCGAGACGAGGATGCAATGGAGGAGGCCATGGTGGGCAATGCGATGGCGGTGAGGGAATCGTATGAGTCGGCAAAGCTCCTCCGCAGACGATGTCCTCTTTCATTCAAAGCAAGGATGGATACTGGACAGACTGTCGTGGTCGACAATGTGGCATAATAAAGGACGAGCTTGTCAATTTCATTGCCTTCACGGCGACTGCCGTTGCTCTTTGGAGGGTGTGATGGGTATGCTTCGACTAGAGGTGCTGATTCGGATTCTCCGTTCCGCCCTTTTCATGGCCAGAGCGCGCGCGCTGGGCGACAACGCAGACGCCAACCGAGCGAAGAGAGGCGCAGGGACTGGGAGGGAGGAGAGCAACCGCGGTGGGTTCAACTCGAGTCGAGAACAACAAGAACAGCAGTCAGTACAAGCAAGGTTACGTTTAACCACCTTCTCATCCTCGTGTGAGGCTATCGGGTTGACACATTTTGGCGGACCACGAGATTCTAGTCGAGCGCGAAGTGGAACGCAGCCACGGCTGCTAATGCACAGGAAGACCCACAAGTGCGACCAACAGATATCCTGCACGACCACCCCTTAGGCGGAAAGTCACAGAGAGCGCAGCTGGCGCGTCATACACGAGCAAGATGTCACAGGCTCAACCCACGTATGAGGATTATGTGCAGAGGTGAGCGTTCAGAAGAGATCGACAAGGCTTTGAACATGACAGTGCAGCCGATACTAGAGGTGCAGCACCTCGCGCACTGCGGACCCATTCAAAGGGAATGACCGCACCTAACGCGACATGTGTGTTTCGTCCGCCGCCGCAGGATTCATTACTCGGAAAAATACACTGATGACGAATGGGAATATCGGTGAGTTGCTTGGCGGATCAGAGCCACCTCGAGCGGCGCATCTCTGACTCTGTACCCGTCACATCCCACACGTTCGTAGGCATGTCATTCTGCCAAAACCCCTCTTGAAGCTGATCCCGAAGGAGTACTTCGACCCAGAGGAGCCGGGGGTGTTAAGAATCTTGACCGATTCGGAATGGCGAGGGATCGGTATTACGCAAAGTCTAGGCTGGGAGCATTACGAGGTGCATGGTGAGTCTCGTCGGATGGCGCTTTGTAGCAAAAATGCGCAAAATAACGCTAAGGCGAAATGCGCATACTTGTCATGCTCACTACTTCACGCGTCCTCTTCTCCTTCCCAAATCAATCAGCCCCAGAGCCGCACATTCTCCTCTTTCGGCGAGAAAAGGACTACCAAGAAAAGTACGGACCGGCTGGCAAGCCCGCCGCGAAATGAAAGAGAGTCTGTTGAACCGCCGACCGCTCTTCGTCCAAACCGTCCCTTAACACTCTTCCAAATCTACCGAACAACAGCCTGCTTTACATACTGACTGCCACAACAAGCCACGGGGTTACCCAAGCATCATTTGAAGGACACCTGAACATACTGTATTATTTGTCCGAGCATATTCATCGAGCAAGCCCCGTCCATTCCGTTGTGAGTGACAGCCAGCCTCGCATACGTCAGCATGTTGCAACCATACGATTCGGCGGCTGTAAGGATCCGCTTCAAGCTGCACCTAGGGCCGAATACAACATGAATCACTCTATCTTGGCGCGATGCGAGACTACATCTTGCCGCGCCGTCGCAACAGCATGCGAAACGTACAGCCTCGCTACGGGTGCGAGGATAACGCGTACGAGCGCGAGCGTAATCACGAGCGTACAGACCAGATATGCCGCTGTGGTAGGCAGCACTCCAAGGTGAAGCTGCTCGAATGTCAGCGCAATTGGTGCGACTTGAGGAGCTTGCATGCCTCCACCTTCGTCGGATGATATTTGGACGCCCTCAGAAGTCGTCTTTGGAGCGTGCTCCACGTCAGATGCCGAACAAGGGCGTCCGGAATCCCAGGCTAGACGATCGAAGTATAGTCGACGGACACTCTGCCAAAAGCGCGATGATGCTCCCCCGCTAAAAGACAGACACTCTTGGCGCTCTGGCACTGAAATAGCATTGTGCATTGCTACCACTTGCAGGTAGGCGACCTGGCATGGAAACCGTTCGAGCTCCTCCCTAAGCTCTGCTTCCTGTACTTGTCGAGCAAGGTACCTGCCCTCTTCCAGAACATCTTTATATGGCACTGCCGTTTGCTCCAAGCTCGGCGCGTTGCCAATTTTTACAATGGGCGCGTCTGTGGAAGCACGGTCATCTGGAGACGAGCTTCCGTCTTGTGCAACACGCCGCAGATTGCCCGCGACGAGCATCTCATGCGCATTCATGACCCTCAGTCTCGTGTCCGTGGCATGCTGGTTTATGCGGTCAGCAGTGCGTCGTACTCAAGAGTTTCTCCCAGATGGTTGCTCACGTTAGCTGCAATGCTTGCTCTAACAGTAAAACGTTGAGTGAGAGCCCACAAGATTGAATGCCACACTTTCTGTAGAAAACGATCGCGTGGATTTGCTGGCCGATGTCTAGCGACGGGGCCACCCTCGATGGGCCGAGCAAGCTTGAGTTTGATCCAAGCACCGGTGCGACTGTCACTGGCTTTGAGGAGAGGTGACGGACCACTTAGTTCGATTGAGAATAAGCCGCCGGGACGTGTGATGTCTAGTGTCGGCCTGCACACAGAGGGTCGCAAAAGCGAAAAGAGCGGCATGTTTAAAACCCAGGGCGTTTAGGAGAATGCTGCAAGCTGGGACGCATGGTGCTCAATGCTCACCAGTCCTGCGCAAGCTTGGCAGCTGCATACAGCTCGTCTCTGCCTTCAGGGTCGTCTCTACATAGCAGCGGGCCAAAATTGACAATCTCTGTATTTGCACTGCATGTAGCTGCCAGGAGAGCGAGCGAAAGCAACAAAGGTAGCACCGTTAGGCAGCTGAACTTCAGGGCTGGGCTTGGACGAGGAGACTTCATGGCGCGAGATCCTGGCCAGCCCTTATGCTCGGTCGGCGCGGCGGATAAGCGCGCCGGTGACACTCATTTGCCGCGCTCTCAGGACCAGAGGAGCACGTTCCTTGAGCGATGTACTGGCAATCGCCAGTGCCCAGATACAGTATTATTCTCGCGAGCCATCGTGTCCAGCTGAGTCAAGGTGACTGAGAACTGTGCTGTTCCGCCGCTTCTTGTTGCATTCCACTATACAGTGTGGTTGCACGAATTGAGATGCGTGAGCCAATAGCTGTCAAGGCGGGGTTTACAACTATACGCTTCTCTTTTCCGACCTCGGCCGCCTGCAGAGGGTGCACATGCTTGAAGCATCTCTGCCAGCTGTTGGGCTGTCCTCTCGCCTGCTTCCCATCTTGATCATCTTCACCCGGAGCTTCTTAAAGGATTGTGCAGTAAACCAACGCCAACCCTCAGTGGACCCAGTTGGCCCATCATGATCGCCCACAGACTTGTTTCCAGGCTCCCATCTACCGCCGTGCGGCGCACGGCGGTCAGCGCTCGCATCTCGACGCCGGCCACGCCTGTCTCGCGAACCATGAGCGCGTCCGCTCTGAGGAGGGACGCACACGGTCCGCCCATCATCACCGGCGAGGGTGCCAAGGCAGGCGAGGTCCCTTCCGACGAGCAGCAGGCCACCGGTCTAGAGCGATACGAGCTCCTCGGAAAACTTCAGGGTGTCGATGTCTTCAACATGGATCCTCTAAAGATGACCCGCGCTGGCACTGTCCAGGACCCGATCAAGATTCAAAGCTTGGTGCGTACAATGCTACATTACATTTTTAGGCCCGCAAGAAAGCAGAAATGTGCTGACAGACTTTTTCATCTGTGCTTCTTGCAGCACCCGACCCGCATAGTCGGCTGCACTGGCTTCCCAGCAGACTCGCACGACACTATCTGGCTCCACCTGAACAGGGACCTCAAGAACCACAGATGTCCAGAATGCGGAAACGGTGAGCAGTCATGCGCGCTTGGTCTCAGCTCGATAGATCATGTCCAAGTCTGGCGCAGACGAGTGCGCTTGGACCAGCCTCCTGGGTTGCTGCACATACCTTGGTGGCCGATCGGCGACGATGTCGTTCGCAGGCATCTTCCATTCATGGATGGGCAAGCTACAGGGCTTCTCGCATCCTCTGCAGTCAGCAGTGGAACGCAGAGCCTTGCACTTCGGGCGGCATTCAGGACAGCGGGGTGTGATTTTGGAAGACGCTCTGTGGTCACGACTCAGTGCCAGGAAACACGCTCATTTACCGATCAATTCACTGACCCACCTCCACCCTTGCTTCTATCACCAGTCTACACCATGGACTTCGTCGGTGACGAGAACGCCGGTCACCACTAAATGCATCGACTCGTGATGCCGTGATGCCTTGCTGGTGTCTCGTGTTGAGTGGATGGAATGTAAGGAGATTCTCTTGTAATATACGAATCCCTTACCACGCTGCTTCCGGACTAAAGTCTGAAAGGCTCTTAAGGGGCTTGCTCGTCACAAACGATATTGAACTGCCTAGGGGCTCCAAGCGAGAAGGCGTTCCATCACAAAGGGTGTGGAGGATGTACTCGAAACATTCGCATTTCCTGCTCTACAACTGGATCTGCTATCCGAATGAAGCGTACATGTCGTGATGACGGGATATACTGATCCTCTGCATCGACATCATCAACCAAGGCATCGATCTCGTGCGCCTGTAAGAGCAAAAGCGATGAGAGGTGCAAGTCGGTTATCATCAAGTAGGCCTACACATGCTCTCTTGCTCACCTGCTTGATCGTGTCAACCTTTTTGCAACGCGTGGTGACACCTGGGCTGTCATCCAGAATATTGCTCATGTCCAGGTTTTGGGCCTCGCTCTGGAGCTGCTGCACGTTGCTTCGCCACGTCAGTTCGTCCTCGCCGCTGGCATCGACCCTGGTGTCCGCCTGCGCTTCGCCATCGTTTTGGATAGGGATCTACCCGTCCTGAGCAGACATCTTGAACTTTGGACTTCCGAAAGAGTTGGCTTTCGTATACAAGGTGCGAGCTGTGATTCCGATGCACGCTTGTTTGTCTGTAGCCCTGATGGAGGTGCGGGCACCGAATCTGCTTTCTTCTCATGCTCCTATTTGTACACCATCACAACTTCGTTTACTCGCCTTGAGCTTGGGGATCGAAGACCTCACTGTTAGGCTGTGCTTGGCCAATCCAACATTGCGAATATGACGCCGCTTCTCCCACTGCGCGATGCAACAAGGATGCGAAGACCAGTGAGCAACTCCCTTCAGTGTCAGAGAAGCAGCTACCTGTTCGTTGGGAGCACATGGCCCAGCAAGGGTAGTGGTCATAACACAAGGAAGGATGACTCTCTAACGACCACTATTGCACATGTCGCTGCTGTATTGCATAACTATACACATTGAGATACTCTTTCGCGGACTGCATGCTGTTGTGCGCTCACAGTGCGCACTGAGCCACTATATACTAGCCATCGACCATTCCTCACGGGCTACATCCTTAAAACTAACCCTCCCGCACGCCGCCGGCTCTGGTCTCGTCCACTATCGACTCCTTTCCGGCATCCCGGGTTCGATAGCTATCGCTTGTTCCTTTTGAACGGCATTTGAGAGTTGCGTGATATATGACAGGGCGTTCGGATGCATGCTAGCTGCGGCGCTCTGTTACAAGAGGTGTCGGATCCATGGGACCACACTTTGCGGCCCGCTCATCAACGCATCAACCCCAGACTCGCGGTTGCGGCTTGCATAAATTGGACCCCTTCTTGCAACACAGGCCGCAGCTGACGCGCTGACTCTGGTCGATGCCGGAGCAATGGATCCTGCCCCTATAAAGATGGACCTTTCGACAGACTAACATGAGTGTGCTCTTATCCTCTCGCCTCCAGCAGATTCGCCCTCATCAAAGGTGTAGTATTCCAGCAGCCCTGATATCCCTAGGAACTATGTCAAATCCTTCGAAACGGGCAAGCCAGACGAGGAGGTGAGCCAACATTTGCACGAATATGCCAACATGTCTATGAGCTCGAAAAGTGGATCGAAAGTGACGCGTAAACGCAGGTGAAGCAACAGGGCGACGGGATGAGACAAAGGGGCATGAGCTTGGACGAAAGATTGCCGACATCCTAAAGCGTAATCCTAAGAAGCAGGCCAACAAGTACACGGACAACGATTTCCATTAAATGCACAGGGTCACGGCGCACTGTGCCCGTCACCTTGCACAGGAAGCGCACTTGAAGATGACGCAGAGCAAGGAGGAGCTCGAAAACGTTAAGTCCACAAGGAGTTTTAAGAATTGAGTGTCGGGTCTCGTCAGGCAGCCCACAGCCGGCCCTGCCCTGTCCAAATGCTGAATTTGCAAACCTCAAATAAACTGGAGTCACGATCCCAAGTAAACCGTGTAGAATGGACTGGATGCGACCCACGTGTGCTGATGCAAAGCGAAATCCGAGGCGAATGGTATATTGGCTCCCGGCAAAGAAAAACTTGTCTCATGTGGCATCAATGGATCTCGACAGTCACGCTTCGTCCTCGCCAGGCGTTACTGCTGGTAACTTGCTGTCCGCATGCGTCTGTTCCCTCTGGTGACCGCGGTCAAAATGCGAAAACCCAGGCTCGAACAGCGTGGGGAACCCGCGCCAAGCCGGGGTCCGAAGTGCATGGCTGGGCGTGTGTGCATCGCCTTCGCGCATGTGCTCTGGCGCTTCGTCCGCTGGTGTATTGGGACCATCGAGAGCACTGATCCACTCCCACAGCAGCGTCGCCATTGAGAACGCGGCAAGGATGCCGAGAATGGTTGTCGTGCTGAGCGCTGCGAACACCTTCGCTTGGTGGCCCTCCGCGCCAATCTCTCCTTCGTAAAGGCGCCGCAAGGCATGCTCGCGTTCACCAGTAACAGCAGGCTCACCGCCGACGGGCTCGCTGGACCCGGCCTCTTCGATGTGGTAGTACGAAAGGGGTAGGAATACTGCAATCACGCCAACTAGCAGGCGTGGCAACAGTCTCCAAAGCTAGTTAAACATGTGCCAAGCAAGAACAAGGTCAGGTAAGGGCAGCTGAAGAGACATAATCCAACGCAGCCTACCTTTGGAACCCAGACGTCTCCACGTGCGTCGTTGTCCCCTTCAATCATGGCCAATAGCCAGACGCAAAGCTGATAGTGAAAAAGGAGCAATCAAGTGCGTCAAGCTTACCGATAACGTTTGTCACATCAAGAGCACGACGTACCATCGCAATCGCATACGTCGTGCAGAGGATCCACCTGACCGCACTCTCTACCAGCTGCTCTTTTGTAAAGTCGCCACATGCGTCTCCAAACAGGGTGAGGGCGCTGACTAATGGGATGTGGAGGAAGAACCAGGCTTGGGCAGTAACCACTGACTGTGAGATTCAAGTGTAACAGGATGCACTTCAGTGCCCTGCCCGGCCTCGCATCACAAGAGTGAGCAGAGCAACTCACCCTTCGCAACGGATGCAGGACGCTTTTCGAGCCGCTGCGCAGCGTGTAAAACATCAGGAAGCAGAAGGCGATGCAGAGCGCAAGAATCGCGCGGCCTGTAGCATCCGTCACGCCCTCACCAGCAGGATGATTCGAGACAATCGAGTAGACCTTCAGATTGAGACAGGCTCAACATGACCGTGCAAAAATCGTAACTTCAGGCTTTAAACAGAAGACTCACCGTCTCACCGAGCACCAGAGTGCAAAAGTCCGTCATGCGCTCGACTTCGTGCTCAATCGCTACTGCAGACGAGTAGCGCAGCTTCATGATGCGCTTGAACGTCGGCGAGTAGAAGAACGCCCAGCCACCGTATTCAACGCTGCAATGGAGGAGGGCAGAACGCTCAGTTGCACGGTCGAAAGCATTTGTAAGCCCGAGCAGGAGGAATTACTCACACAAGACCGACGACTACCATGGCAATGGCAGGTCTGACAGAGGCGAAGATGGAGCCAATGTAGAGCGCGACGGCGATCGGCCAGGTCGAGACATGTGCGCGGATCTGCGCACGGTAGGGCTTGATATGCATACTGTCAAGGTATCAGACTCAGCTTCCTTCGAACAAAATGCAAAACGAGCGGAGCTCACCTGTAGAAGAGCTGAGTACCGTATATGGAAAATTCAGCAAGGAGGTATGCACCAATTGTCGTCGCGCGTGCTGGGCCGTCGGAGAGCTGCTCTTGAATGTTTGTCGCGTTGTTGCCAAAGACAACCAGCATGGCCATGGTGAACAGAGTCAGGACGGATTGGTATATGTCACCCGTCCAGTAGCAGTCGTTCAGCTCGCGGTACTGTGAGAGAAGTCGTCCAGGCTTAGCTTCTCACCTCCTTTGAGGCTGAAGGTAGCGTCTCGCCTTGACTCACAAGGGACCATATGAACCAAGCGAGGATGTAGGCAATGATATAACGGATGAGGGACGCACCTGTGGGAAGCCCTATGACCTCTGCATTTCCGAGAGTTAGGGACATGAGCTGTCAGAAAAGTTCGCTTTCCTCCAGCAAGCTTAGGCCTACCCTCAGCCAAGACGGAAACGATACCGACAAAGACGAGATCGAAGAAGAGCTCCAGCCGTAGAGAGCTGCGCTCTTCGTTCGACCTGACGAGCGTGGTCCCACGAAAGTACTGCGATGCACGAGGTTTGCGGAAGAGGTAACGCCGGTTCGCGTGGATCCTCCTTGCTTCTGCCTCCAGGATTTCTCTGCGTAAGTCAGCGGCACGAATCCCTCGGGGCCCACATGCAGCCAAATCCTCCTCGTCAAATTCAGCTTCGGTCGGGATAAAACCGCCTGTCTTGACTTGACCGTACTTTAAGTGGTGCGCCGCATGGACATGCGGCATGGCGTGAGGGTTCTTGGACTGGACGGGAGGTGTCTGTCCACCGTTCATATCCACTGGGACGGATAAGGCTGCTACGTCCGGCGCACTGCTACTCGATGGCGACTGCTCGCCAACTGCGCATTTCTGTTGTTCGTCGTTGCCTGACATGCTTGTCATCACCAGTGCAATGCATCCAGCTACAGTTTTTGGAGCCTAATTGGCAGGAAAGTCGAGCTCTAACGAGGGTAATGCTCTGCGCACGGACCCAAGAGAGCGTTTGTCCCTTTTAAAAGATACTCCAACCTCCCAAGGAGAATGGCTGATATATTAAATACACCCGATGCATCCTGCGGTCGCTGCAGCCTTTGCAATCAAACAATGCTCTCACGAGGGAACTTCATGTATCTGTGAATGTGACAGGCGTGTTCTTTCTTTTCTTCTCCTTGAACGTGTTTGCGTTAGCGCGTTTTGTCTCTGTTCGATTCTTTCTTTTTCGGGGTGCGGGACAGTGGCATGAGGCTTTTCCCTTGTTGCCGAGACGACCGGGACGGGGCAGGTGTCTGGAGTGGGGAAGAGGCAGCCAACCCTAGAGCGAAGTGCAGTGAGGCACACGGCCACAGGGGCAGGCCGCGTACACGGAAGGAGACCTGGATGTGTACATGTTAACTTCGCAGCAAAAACGATGAGTTTCGACAGTGTGAAAAGTGTTGCTAGCGAGCCTTTTGGATTGATCAGTTGACAAGCACCCGTGGTTGGACGAGTCTAACCCGATCATTCGTCTACAGGCTGGTGCGACCTCTCATCAAAAGTTCTCAACCCGAGGCTGTTCAAGGATCAGTAAAACAGCAGCAACAGACGATGTGCGCCGGTACACTGGAAATGTCAAGGGCATCATAATGTTTCAAAAACCATTAGCCACACGGTTATGATTGTGTACAACTGAGGGATAAAGACGCATCACGTTCGCGAGCGCCAGCGCGCGTGCTTCCGTGCACATTTGCGGAATCGTGAAGAGCACGAAGAAGACAATGAGGATGATTGTCCGTGTTGGGAAGTGGGAATAATCATACGCCAAAGGAAGCGGATAATTCATCAGGTCGTGGAAGGGAGGGGCCCAACTCCAAGGTGCTGCAGAAGCCGAAAGGACGCAATCGCTTTCTCAGCGCAATCGTCGCGGCAAGCTAGACTCGCATGCACCTCTGCTGCTGCCGGACAGCAAATCATCCGATAGACATCAAAGCAACGACAGCGAGGACGACGAAAGGGAGTCGCCGCCCGTGCGTTCCCACGCGTATGGAAACGCGCAATACTCTCTATCGGCATAAAAAATAAAGACTTTTGCTTGATTCCATCCGATCTTGGTCCCGTTTCACTTCCAGGCACATGCGAAGCGATGTGCGCTTAAATGACGAGGACAGCGCCAACGGCAGCAACACCGCCGAGCACAAGGGCCTGTGCAGACCGCACGAGCGCCGACGCGGCGCCCGAATTCTTGGTGCTGCTGCTGGGGATGGGGTTGTATCCGGTCCCAGTAGGCGTGCTGCCCGTGAGGGTGTGCCCAGGGCTGCTAGCGCTGTTGTTCGCGTTTGTCTCGATGTACGCATTGTTCATCGGCTGGCCAACGCAGTTGATAATTGGCACAAGCGACTGCTGTGGCTGGAACTGTGCAACGAAAGGCAGGATGACCTCAGTAGAGAGCTCGACGGACTGCTGGTAAAGGTCGTGCGCGAGGACAATATAGCCCGTGTCAAGGGAGGGCGCATTTTTTATGATCTGCTCGAACGTGTAAGCAGAGTTGGCGGCAGAGACTATGCCAGCGCCAATCTTCCAGTCGTTCGTGTCGTACGTCTGGCCGTTGGCCGTGGTCCAGATGATCGGGGTGAGGCCCATGGCCTTGCAGATGTAGCGAACGCGGTCGTCAATGTCGCCGTAAGGGGGGCGCATAGTGTTTGGTGTGACGCCAACAATGTCCTTGATCGCCTTCATGGTCCAGGCAAGCTCGGCGACGATCTGCTCGTTGGTAAGCGTCGTGAGGTACGGGTGTGACCAGGTGTGAACGGACAGCTGGTGACCAGCCCAGTATTCCGACTGGAGCATGGTAGGCCGAGAGACAGCGCGCGAGCCAACGATGAAGAAGGTGGACTTGATGTTGTTCTTCTGGAAGTAGTCGAGCAGAAGCGGCGAGTAAGGAGAAGGACCATCGTCGTACGAGACACCCCAGGTGTTCTTAGTCTGGCAAGTCGTGACATCCGTGTCACGGGTGTGCCCGCCACACGTCCACCAACCGTTGGAAGCCGCATTGGCGACGTTTGGGTTCGAAGAGTTGGAGCAGGTCAACTGCGCAGGGTTAACGGGGATCTGCGGGGCCTTGGATAGGTCAATCTTCTTAAGCCACTCCTGGACGACCGGATCGTTGGTTGGCGGGGTCTGATCCAGTGTCGGGTACTGGGACCCAACGATGTTGGCAGTCGGCAAGGGTGGTGAGCCGCTGACGTAGGAATTGGTCTGTCCCGGCGTGGCGGTGACGGGCAAAGTGTACGTCGGGAAGGAAGAGGCAGTGCCGCTCGAGATGGTGGCAACGATGCTCAGGACGCTGGCGGGGAGACTGCCACTGAAGTTGGCGAGGCCCGGGCTGGCTCCAGCGTGGGCAGCGCCAGATCCGCCCCCAGCACCCGCGGCAGCTGTGGTTGCAGACGAGTGATGCTGGCGCTTGACCAGGTGCATCACCGATGGTGTCGGCTTGATGTCTGCGGCCGCGGCCGAGGAGGCGCACACGAGGGCCGCGATGGCAGCGACACCCGAAGCGATGCGAACCATTTTGATTAGTTAGCGACTGCTACGCGTCAATAAAAGTTGAGGGATCACTAAAAGAGAGATTGCAAGTTTAATTTGAGTAGGTGCATTCACAGCAAGTCGAATGCAGTGAAATGACAGGGCACACTCACCGGCCAAATAACAAGGCGAAGCGTCTTGGACGTGAAGGGTGAACTCTCCGTGCAGCACCAGTGATGAGCCGAGCCGACGAGAGGATAACGAGGTAAGGGAGAGATGGAATACGCCTGGTCTTCTTTGAAGAGACGAAAGGGTGAGGGGTGTGGATGGTGTCGTGGACGTCACAGAGAGGAAAGTAGTCGAGTCAAGGAAGATAAGCGTCGTGTGTGGGATGGTTGGGGAGTGCTGTTGATGTACAGAATCTCATCGACAAAAGAAAGGGGGTGGGGGGATATGGCGTGTCACTGGAAGCACAGCACTCAATGAGAAGCGGAAGGTTTGCAACTCAGCTAGGGTGACTGTGCTGCTGCCATGGTGTTTGTTGCCGTTTTGTGTGCCAGCCGAGGCCTGCGCCTGTTGGAGACAGTTGTTAGAGAGAATGCGTCTGAATTCCGCTAAGTCGTGCAGCATGCGCGAGGCGGCGAGCGCCCTCGCGCTGCACAGACACCGCACTGGACCAGCTCTCGTCTGCAGATCCACTTCCGCCTCTCCAATCAGAACCTGCAGGGAAGGCTTAAATTAACAAAGATTTACCGTTCACATTGCAAACTTCGGGGAAATCTGGCCGCCTTCCCCATGGCCACCACACCTTTTCTTGGGTGTACCGCGGACAGGTGCGCCCTGCTTGCTGCCGCCTGCCGGGTGGGTGAACCGCCGATTCATGCGGCAGCGCGCGGAATTTGAAGCTGCGGCCACAGCACTAGAGCACATCATATTGCTCTTGCTTTTCCAACTTGAGTGCCGGCGATTTGCCCTGGGCGGGTGTCGTACGCGACCGCCGAAGCACGCTCCAAACACCAAGGTGGGGGGGGGGTCATGTGTCGAAACTCGAAAGGTGTAGAAACTCGCTGCGAACGCTCAGCATTGCTACTTGTGGGATCAACAAACATACGAGAACAGAGGGTAAGTCAAGATGGGCAAATAGCCCCATCATGTAACTTTGGTTGTCTCTCCAGGCTCACACGTCGGGCAACCACGTCGCCTGGTCTTTGGTCCACGTCAGCAACGATGGCCTGCGTCTTATTGTGGATTGCCGCCAGTTGCCGCTTCTTCGTGTGTATGAACGGGTATTATGTATATATATGGTTGACATTCGGTCGTTTGTTGTCATTTTGGCAAGGTGTGGCGATGAAGCATGCAGAGGCTGTGCACGAATCATAGCGTGGCATCCAGCCTGACCCTATCCGATTTTGCCGCCGCACGTCACGGCGAACAACCTCTCTCACAGTTGCAAGGCACAAGCGAAAGTTCTCTGAATGTGCTGTGGCAGCGTCAGTGTCAGCACGCCAGCTTGCATCAACTGGGCAGAGTGAAAGGAGGACGTCGCTGATCCCATGGTGAATCATCATAGAAAGTTAAATATTGGAGATGACCCAATCTTCATACACATGAACGAGCCGGCGCTGCGCATGTCGGGCACTGCCCGTGGCACAAGACTGTGATAATGCCCGAGAACACACGGTGTGGGGAGGGTATGGTATGGTGGGTATCAAGATGTCGGTGTCGTGATATCGCATATGTACGCCTGGGGCCCGAAACCGGAGACCGTGCGAGATTCAAGGATGCAACGGACGAGTTGCGGAATACCTAGCCTTCCTACCCATCCATCTGGTAGAGGATTGTCCGACTTTTGTGAATGCAAGAGGCGACAGGCGGGCGGGGGAGGCAAAGACAAAAGGCAGGACGATAATGGATGAGGGTGGTTGACGTACCGAAATATTCATGCGGCGGTAGCAGCGACAGGGGCAGCAGCGGATACTTCCGCTGCTGCCGGTGCGGATGATGGTTTGGCCTCGGGATCAGCAGCGGTCACAGGCGGCACTGTGAACCAGCCGCCGAACCAGCCGACACTGGTCTGGACAGGGCTGGCGACCTGCTCGTCATTCATGACGGCAGAGTGTTGTTTCCTCTCCGCCTCCTCTTGCGCGACCTCTGCTGCCTCGCGCTCCTGCTCGGCCGCCTCAACAGCTGCTTCGCGCGTGTGGGCGGCTGCCTTAAGAGCTGCCTTCTTGGCCTTCTCGGCAGCCTTGGCGGCCGCCTCGCGCTCCTTCTCTGCAGCCTTCTCAATCTTTTCCTTCTCCTTAAGCGCAGCCTTGTCGGCCTTCAAGTGCTGTGCCCACGCAGCCTTGACGGGAAAATAAACACGAAAACATCAGCGAATCGAGCATGGCACGCTTATTACACCGGAAACACCGCCAGAGCGTACCTTTTCAGCTGCCAGACGAGCCTTCACAGCGCGCTGCTCTGCCTTGTGGTGCGCTGCCTCAGACTTTAGCTCGGCCTTTTTGTACTCGAGATCGGCCTCCTCTTCGGCCTTAAGTTGGTCAACGCGTGCCTTCTCCTCACTGCCAAGCAAGGCACAGATCAGCATGTGCATATTGTGCAATATTTCGACTTTGAAAGCCACTCACGCTTCGAGCCTCTTCTTCTGCAAAGCGGCGGTGGCTGTGGCAAGCTCCTTTTCGTAAGTTGCAATGGCCGTTGCAACTGTGGCAGCGTACTTCTTGCGCGCGTCCGCCTTCTTCTGCGCCTGGATATCTGCCGCCTTTTTGATCTCAGCCTGAGCCTCCTCCATGGCCTTCTGCTTGGCGGCGCTCTCCTCCTGCATGGCGGCCGTGTCGGCGACGTTTTCCTCCTGGGAAGCCTGCCGCTCGGCGACAGCGAGGTCAGCAGCGGCCTTTTGCTGAACAATGGCCAACTTGTCGGCGGCAGCCTTCTCAGCGGCGGCCTGGGCATCGGCGGCGTCACCGGCAGCCTTGGCGGCAGTGGTAGCAGCGTCGGCCTCCTTCTTGGCGGCGATATCGGCGGGCGAGGAAGAGCCAGCGACGGCGGAGGTCGAGTAGGTCAGGAGGTTGTAGAAGTTTGCGACGACACCAGCGGGAGCAGCCTTGACATCGGTTTCCTCAGTAGTAGCAGCAGCAGTGGCCTCATCTGCGTTGGCCTCCTCTGCATTGACCTCCTCTGCACTGGCCTCCTCTGCGGTGGGCTCCTCCTCGATGAAGGGTGTCTCTGGCCGAGTAGGCTTGCTCTTCTTGCCGAAGAGGCTCAAGCTGCGACGCGGCTTGGCGGGCGCGGCTGCGACATCGTTGGCGACCGGCATCGTGGCCTCCTCCGCAGGGGCATCATCCGAGCTGGGGAAAGTGACTGGCTCGTCAATAGCTTGTTCGGCGGCTGGCGCAACGGCCTCGGCGGCCTTGGTGCTGCTTGCCTTGCGGGAGAGCTTGCGTATGAGAGCTGGCATGATGGTAGGTGTGATGTGAGTTGTATGATGTCAGTCCGGAGTTGTTCGTAAAGCCTGTTTGTGAGCAGCCTTCTTATGGTCGTGTATTCGTGTCGTTACGTTGCAAATGGTCGTTACAGGGTATCGATGCAGGATGGGGAGGGGAGGGGTTGGAGAGACAAGGTCAAGGGTAGAAATGGATGACTCGTTAGGATATAAAAGGGAAAGGGAGACGGGTATGTTGCGCAACCTGCAGTTGTTGTTGGTCCGCATTAACTCAGGGGCTGCTTATCTCTCATCAGTCCTCAGCAGGACAAGTGCTCTTAGGCAGTGGGCTCAGTTCCATCCGCACGACACCGCGCCACTAAGGGCATGATTGACTGCTTATATAAACATCCAGTCGTACACGCCCTATTTCGTCTCGGTAGTAACAAAGTGTTCACTCAAATATGTTTGCACCCTGGAAGGTGCTTTGTAAAGCTCGTCGCATCGACCACCTGAGGAATCGACGCATTGCAAGAACTATCCAAAGCCGTGCTTGATCTACCACAGACCTGCAACCCGAAGATCAGAATTCCAGTAGTCCGAAAATGCAGACAACGCAATTATGGCGCCACGTCCTACGCTCAGCCCTTCAGAATCGCGCACTTGTATCGACAGTTCCTGCTGACAAGCGTCCGCTCACCGTGTCCTCTACATCTTTTTCCAACTCGCGCTCCAGCTCAACTCGTGGACAAGGTGGATCTCCAGGCCTGGCACACGCCGAAAACATCCGAAGAGCCGATTCATCTATTCGCAAGCAACAATGGTCCAATCGAGTGCTCATCCTTCTCAGCACCTTCGTCGGTGCAAGCACCTACCTGCTTGGTTTCAACATGGGATTCGCAGCCGGGAGGAAGAAGGCACATGATGAAGTTGAAACTCCAGCGCCTATCGTTGCAGGCGACAGCGGCCGTCAGCTTCCAGCTGCGTCCACCACACGATGACGACGTGCATTGCCACCTGTTACTCTAATATCAACTTCTTTCCCCCGCCAAAGACCCTTGACTGAGGTGGAGAGCCAGTCAATGAGAATAGATTCGCTTTCACCGTCAAAATATCCAAATTCACGCCTTGCTGCAGTTGCCAGCATATTGCATAGCGGCGAATCAATGATTAAGCAAGAGCACGCGGCGGAGGTACTACGCATATGCAACGGCAAGAGGGCATGCCTATGGGTGTTCCGCACTTCGTGCAACAATAGGAGCCTGTTGGTGCGGGATGAGCTCAAATGATATTGCAGATGCCATTAGCGTGAGTCGCATCACCTGCGCACGCTCGCGCAATAGCCGCATCGCGGTGGCACGCTATGCATTCCTAACAGTGACTCCTTCAACGCTTGGATTTTCTTGCAGCTCGTACCACCCGATGAACACATTCATTTACCGTCATCCGCATTTCATATTTCAATGGCCGACTGTATACTTGCTCTCTGCTCCGCAAAGTGCTGCCTTGCTGTCTACTTTCCTTCGCTCTGTTTCTTTCCCTCGAAATACTTGCCCACCTTCGCCAACACGTATTTGCCGGTCCTTCCAAGTCCAGCAGTGTACACGCCCTTGATGCTCTGGCCCCAAGCCGGTCCGCGCACAATGCTACCAATGTTGGTCAGCAGCACCTTCTCGAAATCTGGCTGTGCAACAACTGCGCCCCAGAAATCCGTCAAATCGCCCTCCAAAGCGGCCGTGTCATCCGGCTTTCGATGGAGCGTGTCGTCCTTGCGAGAGAGCGAGAAGCGCGCAAACGCTTCGTGCGTGTTCGGGTGGGAGAGATAGTGCTGCTGCACTAGCTCGCGAAGCCGCTGCGGCATGCGCATTGCGTAGTCTACCTTTGTCTTCGGCGATGCGTCTTGTACGATGATGAAGTGGCCCGATTGTATCTCCTCCAGTGCAAGCGTGCCCAAGGAGCGCATTAGACCGCCATACAGTCGTCTGAACTCTTCGCGTTGTCCAATGACAATGTTGCGCACCTTGTTTGCGTTCTCGCCGCCGGGCACCGACATCCGAAAATCGCCCGTGTACGAGAGCGAAGCAATTCGCGTGTATAGCTCGACCTCTGTGAATCGCTCCGGTAGCAGCAGCAGCGCGATGCGCAGCGCCGAGGTGAGGTTGACTTGTTGAGCCAAGCGCACGCGCGCGTCAGTGGTGATGAGCGCCACTGGTTTGTGCATCCTCCCGCTGACGTAGAGAGTATCCCAGTCTATCAAGTCTTTGCAGAGCGTGTCGACGTCCATCACGCCGTACTTGACCAGTTCGTCTCCCATTGTGACGTAAGGGTGGTACCATATCCCTGCGCCTAATCGTTGCACCCACGCAAGCACGACGGAGCCGCCCATGCGCGCGAGGACGCTGTAGTGTGACTTGTGCAGATTCATATTCACCGCATGCCAATGAGCAGGGTGCTGCACCGCGAAGATCAGATCAATCATCTTTTTCCCGCCTTTCTTAGAGATGGGTGGCTTGAAATGCTCCGGTCCCGACGTCTCTTGTGAAAAGACGCCGGATCCATATGCAAATGCGAATCGGATGGGGAGGGATGGGGAGTCAAAGTAGGAGATTATACATTGCAAGCGCTTCTGTATCGTTTCTGGAACTGGAACCATTTGATTGACGCCAAAGTGCGCGGGAAAAGAAGATGAAAGTGAAGGCGAAGAGGATTGGCCGAAAACACTCGTAGAATGCGGCACAGGCTTGTCTACTTTGCGCGTTGAAGACGTAGCGAGACTTGAGGTGCTGCTGGAGGACAGTGAGCGCCAACTGATACCCTTCAAGCTTCTAGCCGAAACACGTGTAGAGTATAGGGTTTGGACTCGCGCTGCCCAGTAGACGGAGCCGCCTTCGGTGGAGAACGTCCGGCATTTTCTGCAAGGCTGGCAAGCTGCTTGGGTCCAACGAGCGGATATTGCGAAGCTTGCCAGATTTCGCACAGCGGGTAATGAGCTCCGCATAATGCATCGACCTTCCATACTATCGCTGCTGCCTAGGCGGGTGCAGACTGCTCGCTGGAACGAGCAAGTCTGGAACGTTTCTGCTCGATGGGGCGAGGCACGGAAATTGGGCTAAGACTGGCACAGCCTTGGCACCTCGACCACTTTGCAACTCGGCGGGGAAGTCGTTTGCGAGGATTGATCACGGCCAACGGTGGGACCGACGTGGAAGATGCTTCTGACATCTGTGGTCCAGATGAAGGGTCAAGGCATGTCCGATATTGGCAAAAGGCTTTCCACCCCAACTTTCGGAGAGGATGTGTGATAATCAGTCTGGCCGCCCGCGACGTCTGCTGACGGAGCACTGAGAGCTGGTGACGCCGATGCTTCTTTGTATCTTACCAGCCCGAGTTCCGTGATCCAAAGGCACTGCGATGAACACGATACACGGCTCCCGTGTCGTGCAGGCTGTCGTGCAAGGCTGTCGTGAGATGCTGACGCGGACACCTGTCGCGTCGCGAACATGTACGTATGCAACCCTACTTGAATATCGATTAATGCACTCAAAGTCCACACGAGGCGGATGCAAGACGGAGCGCAGACACAAGAGCCGAGAGTAAGGACTTACTTGGGAAGGCCGGAGTGCCTGCCGTTGTTGTTTGACTTTCCGCCTCGCTCACTCTCACGGATTTGAAGCTTTTATCTCGCTCACCTGGCTGATGGTTCACTCGGACTGTGGACGAAGATGAGCTCCAGAGATGCCTGCAGGCGAAGAAACCAGCTGGATTTCAACGACAGGCCCAAGCCACTCATTGAGAGCAGCACTCACTGCATGTGGGACGCACGCCTCTAGAAAGCGACAACTCGCAAAGCTTGCTTTCAACGCCTACACATTCAAGCAAGGACTCAGCACCTGAACGCTGAAAACATTGCTCGTATGGCACTCTTCGTTATCAAAGCACGCGTCGATCTACCCAATGCCTATGCCTCGGCAAACCAAGATCGAGCTGCATGCCGAAGCCACGTATTGATTCCGAACACCGCTTAGTGCAGACGATCATACCCCGAACATCGTTCCACCCAGAGCACACCGCAAGCCCTGCGACTCGGGGCTCTCAAAGTCCCAAGGAAAGACGAGATAGAGGCTCAAACCGCTGGTGCTCCGGGTCCGGATACCCTCAATTTTTTGTTCCATCTACACAGCATCAAGAAGTCAACGACGCGTTCGTCTTTGAAGCGCCGGCGGCACCGAAAGGTAGCCTTCTGGCAAGGCCCGGGGATTTTGTCGACCCTGCTCGCCCCCCTAGTCCCTCACTTTCCTCCAAGGAAAAGGGACTTGGGATCAGTCTCGAAGAGGTGGCAAAAGACGTGCGTCGAGATCAACATCAGAAGGAGAAGCGAGGCGTTCCGCGCGGCAGAGGCATCGGAAAGGGTTGGTTCTGCGAGGACGGAAGGTGGTTCGATCAGGCGACGAAGCGACCTTTAAGCCCAGACGACGTCGACAGCATACACGCTTGCGAGATCCAACCTGTCGCGGAGAGCAGTGGGAGTCGTCTCAGCGCCGGCTTTCACTTGCCGATTAGAGCATCGACAAAGGCTCTACCATCAGACGCAAGAACCAAGACTGCTCTGCAAGTGATCAGCATACAGGGCGAATCGGATGAAGCCTCACCTTCCGGTCGCTTCAGGAACCGGCTTAGCGTCTCAGTTCTACAAGACCTGAAGCCCGAATATGATGAGGAAGACTTAGACGACGAGCCTCGAGTTGTTGAACCTCCTATTCGACATTCAGCCGATCACAGCGAGCATCCCGACAGCACCGGACCTTTGAGATCAGCAAGGCTCACAGATCGGTCTCTGGGTAGGGAAGAGCCGGCACAGGGCAAACAAGACGTATCTTCAACTCCGGACACAAACGAAGCTTCCATGTCAGGGGTTCCCATACGAATCCCACAACGCACAGATCGACATTCCGTAAGTACCAATGCTTGAACTCTGCTAGGCTTTCACGTCCTTGCTGAGGCACGTGTATTCGTTTTCATGCTTCCAGTTGCACCTCGGATCCGGTACTACTAACTCTGGTCGATCAATATCGAACCTTCCGCCGAAGCCTGAGACTATGTCGAGTGGTCGCCCAAGCCAGTCCTTTACCGCGTCGCCTTTCGCGCTCGGTGCCCGCAATGCTGGTCAAAACCCTCAGGTCGCCAACAACTCACGAGGCAAGCGCCTCGGCACTCAGTCGTATAGCAGAGTGCATGTCTCGGTATCGCAAGCACAGGATTCTCGCCGCTTGCAGCTTGCACATGACCATCCGATGCAGCGTCAGCCTACCTGTCGCAATGCCAACGAACTGCAGGCGCAACACACTCGTTCCCTGCCGGATAGTAAGTCAGGTCCGTACTCATACGCCAACGAGATACCAACAAGGCTCAAGAGCAACGCACAAGGCGAGGGCACGAAGGTGGCCAAGATGAAGTCTCGGGACCCAGCGCCTCGGGACCTGGACCCTTCTTCTCGGGATCTGCCTTCTAACCCTTTCGCCATTCGCCCTGTTGATCGTCGAGAGTCACAAAAACAGCAGGAACCAATCTCAATCGGAGACTCCGACGATGAGCTTGGCAGTACGCAACCATCGAAAGAGCAGGTACTTAATGGCCCCTGCGAGTCGGCAGGCCCATCCAAGGACATGGAAGCTCCGTATGCGGTACAGAAAGAGACAAGCGGCGTCATGGACACGCTTCATGCCCTAGGCAAGCAACACCTCCGATTGTCTACAAATAACGAGCAGCAGGACTGTGTGGTTAAGAGTGACAGCTCTCTCTCCGAGCTTCCCAATAGCTCCAATGGAAGCGAAGATGAGCGGTCACCTCAACGCCAATCCCGCACGGTGACTCAATCAAAGCGAAAGCGGACTATTCCTATGTCACCTGCAAGCGAGCATGAGATTGCGAGAAAGAAGTCTAAGGCCGAGGCGAGAGTCGAGCACTCTTGGGATGAGGCCATGTCCGATTCGTCGCAGTTAATCACAGGCAAAGCTCCTAGGAAGGCCAAGGCAGGTGCTTCGAAAGATGAGAGCATCCAGATCGCCGACTCGGAAGATGAGCAGGGAGGCCACTTTGAAGCCGATGAAATGTTGGCGAGGGAGCAGCAGCTACAGGAAGGCGAGTCACGGCCTGACAACAGGGGTAGGCGTACGCGTGGCGGCGCCAAGACCTTTAATCTGACCAAAGGTGACGAGGACGACTCGCACTTCGATCCGCGCTTAAAAGCCAAGGCGAATCGCACTACCAGTATTGCAGGTACTCGCGGCAGCAAGTACGATCCGAAACACGATCCCACGCAGACAAGTATTCTGGGCTCTCTCATGCAACAGAGTAAGCTCGGACGTGATAAGGAGTCGACTTTGGGCGGCTCGAGCGGCGTCAAATCTAGCGGCGGCATGTCGGCGTACGACTTCAACGTCACTGGCTTCGTGATTGGCGATATTCGAGCAATATCATCGTCCGGTCTGAGGATGTCTTGTCTGCCAGACAGCCTTCTCTTCGGCCACGGAAATGACATGCCCAAATTCTGGCGCTTGCCATTGAAATCCATCCTCTCAGGATCGGTGAGCAACAAGACCTCACTCAGGCATGTTTTATGGTCGCGACTGAAGCTTCATCATATGTGCAGGTGTCGTCACCCAAGAACCCCGGGATCAAAGGCATGAGCCTTGAGTTTCTGAACAACAAGGAAGCTGGCTGGAAGTTATCCGAACACATGGAGCGCCCACCTTGTGAGTGATATCCCTTGAAAACAGCGATGCCAGCGTCTTCGAGTCTGCTTATCTATTTCATTCACCCATGTCCAGCTCACGAAGTGCATTTCCTTCAAATCCATATTCTGTTGAACGATGGGCGGAATGACGGCTACAAGGAGACTGTCGACCGCATCACGAGACACGCGAAGGAAACGGTGGCGGTATCCGGGCCCGGGTTTATCGATATTGTCAAGTCCAACTTGGAGCTCGTCGAGATCACTTCAGAGTTCACACTGCGCATGCAACCCTCGACCTCCACCTTGGACGTTTCAGTGCAAAAGTTCTACGCCAACTCGGGGGCAAAGAACAGCGTCACACCGAAGATTACAGTTCCGTCTAGGCAATCGTTACTCAACGCCCGAGGTGGTCTGGACAGAGGTACTGCAGCCAGGAGAACGTCTGGAAAAGGAGCATCAGACTCCTCCGACTCCGATGTGGAAACGGTGAAGCCGACCAGAGAGACGAAGAAACTCAAAAAGCCACCCATGCGAGCTTCTGTCCGCTTATCCGCCAAGAATGATCCATGGGACAACGTCGTTTCGCAAGCCTACAATCGAGCATCTGGTTCCTGCTCTTCACAAATTGCACTGGAAGACGACAGTGAGATTCTACGCTTCCCAGCAGAAGGACCTGGCTCGGTCTCATTGTTCAAGTCAGACGTTCGCAAGCTCAGAGACGGCGAGTTCCTTAATGACACGATCATTGAGTTTGCTCTCAAATACATTCACAAGACTCTCGAGCAGTCCGAGGATCCGATAAAGCGAAGTTGCGCGGACGACATCCTTGTATTCAGCTCGTTCTTCTACAAGCGACTCACCTCTGTCAAAAACGACCCTGTCGCTTGCTACGAAAGGGTTCGCAAATGGACAAAAGGCGACTTGGCTTTCAAGAAGAAATATATCATCATGCCAATCAACGAGTCGCTGCATTGGTATCTCGCCATCGTTGTCAATCCGGCACTCATCTTGGAGGCCACGTTCGATCCAGAAGTCGATGGAGATCAAAAGGCTTCAGCTCAGGCGCAGTCACCTGCAGTTGTACGTCGCAGCTCTCGATTCGACAGACAACCCGAAGACGATGGCGCCACTGAAGAATCCGAGTCCAATGAGACAAGAGCAAAGGATAGGATTGGAGTCGAGGGCCATGTGGTTGCAGAGGCTCCCAAGCCGGCGGCAGCACAAGAAGAAGGTCGTCCACGCACCACCGATCCAGATCGAGACACGTCCATGGCTGATGCGCAAGCTGTTCAGTCGGCCCTGGCGGCTGACACTCCGCCTGTTGAGAACCACGTAGCAGACGAAACGACTTTCGCCATCAGAGCTGACAATCCGGTGCTCGGGAGATTCTTGTACAAAGACGAATGCGAAGAGGCCGACGAGCTCCAGTCCGACGGCGAAGCAGAAACTCATCGCGAAAGAAACTCACAACGCACCGATAAAGGGCTGAGACGAGGTGCCGTTTATTCTCCTGTGGACGCTCCACACGAAGGGAAAGCAGCCAGCCTCAGCCGGACAATCAGCCATGCAGGTCATTTGGGAGAGGACGATGAAGTCGACAGGAACATGGCTTCCAAAACTGCAGCTTCCGTTGGATTGGTCGTGGATGCAGCAGTTGATGCGCATCGTAGCCAACGCGCAGCTGTTGCAGACTTCGACACTGTCATGGTATTGGACAGAGACTCGTCTGAAGGAATACTCAGTGCAGAGACCGCAAGTCAAGGCTCTGCAGGTGCTTCACCAAGCAAACACCGAGTTCGGCATCCAAGCCATGGCCAGGGTCTGACTGTGGAGGAGAGTCCGGACGACGCAGCGATGACTCGGGCATCCAACCCGACTTCCGCGCTTTCGGACAATGTGATTCTACGCAATGGCAACTCGGGCCGTGGTGCGTTGGTGGGCGGTGGGCCGATTGAGCCAGGCGCAGCCATGCGCGCTCGTAAATCAGAGCAAGCCGAGGCCAAGTCTCAAGCTGCACGGACCGCGAACGGCAACGTTCAGGCTAGGAGCTCGCTCAAGACGCACCAAGAACGCTCTGCGACCAGGAGCAGGAAGCAAGATAGAGTCTTGAATAGTCTGCAGCAGACTCGCCTTCCCATCGTGATCACCTTCGACTCTCTCAAGAGTGGCGGAGGGCAGAAACATGCTCGGGTCGCCAAAAATCTCAGCTTCTGGCTCCGATGTGAAGCTCGAGTTAAAAAAGATGTTGAGGTCAATGAGCGACTTTCATGCGAACATGTGGATGCGTACATCCCTCAGCAAAGTAATTTCTCAGATTGTGGTGTCTATGTCATTCACTTTTTTGAGCGCTTCGCGTCTGATCCGGATGCAGCTTTGGCCGAACTGGTAAGTGGACGCCCATCCATCCGTTGCCAACACTGTCTAATGTAGCACTGTGCACTTCAGGAGAACTGCGAAAAGGACGCCCCATTCTGGCAGGGAGATGAAGTTGGTCACAAGCGAGAATACTGGAGGTCGACCATCGACAGGCTTTCCGAGCTCTGGCTGAAAGCCAAGGAGGAAGAAGGGAAGAAGGAACTGGACCGCAGGCGCGAGGTTGCAAGTGTGAAACAGCAGACGACGATTGACGGCAAAACTGCGGAGGGCAGCACAGATGATCAGAACATGACAGGGGTGGAGACGGAAGGTGACAAGGAAAATGGCGCGGCGAAGGCCGTGGCAGCGAATGCACTCGACAATGGCGATGAATCGGATGGATTCGAAATGATCACGCAACCCGACGGCTCGCAAGTAAGGTCACCTTGCAAAACTGCAAGCGACTCGAAGAAGCGATGATGACAACGCATACAGACCCTGCATTCTTATTATTCAAATGCATCAGCATTTTGCATAGATCGCGCAGCACATGAAAACAATGTATTATATCGTCACGACGCGAACATGCTTCTGCACTGAAGTCGATGCGGTTCTGCTCGAGATGGTAACACGGCATCCATGAAGAACCAATTGCGACACGCTGATAATGAATATTGGCCTTTCCGGTGAGCTGGGGATTGACGCAGACTCGGCGATTGACACGCGAGTGTCGCCTGGGTCGGTCGGAGCAAGGTGCATGAGCTCACCAGCTTGCCGAAAAGACCAACAGGTTACAAGATTAGCGTAACAATAGTCACCATTCCTCTGGTACACTGAAAATAGGTCTGGCATCCAAGTTGGGCGAGCGATGAAACATGCACCATTTCTGGGCCCTGAGTGGAGACCCAATGGCTACCACGACTTGTTCGAAGTCACGGCCCTATGGAACCGACCGTGCAGCATGGCTCGCTGATCCCCCTGCCTCGGAGTGATGTGGCGACAACTCCTTGGTGGAACTAATCCCATATTCAGTGAAGCATTTCAAAATTTCCTGCAATTGTTATCTTGCAACTGAATACAGCAAGTTTAAAACCCCTGAATCTTGAACCTCTCGTAACTCAGATGGTCAGAGTCTGATGCTTATAGCTTCAAGCCTGCGATAATGCAGGAGAGACGTTACGTCAAGGTCGCGGGTTCGATCCCCGCCGAGAGGAGTTCATTTTTGAAACTCTCACCAATCGAACCTTCAACTTAATCCTGTTTCTTTGAATCTCTTCGCATTTACTTACGTTGCGATACAGACGCCCTGCCGTTTGCTTTTTGCTTCTCGGTGGAATTGAACACTAAGCTTCCAGCGTTCGGCCTTGGCATTCATTACAAATCAAAATGGTGCCTTGTTCGAGATCTCAGAAGCCGCGCCTCATCTTTTATCCACATGTTGCACACAGTCGGTCACAAGAACAACCATTACAAGGGTGCAGTGCGTGTTGGGGTCCACGCAACTACATCCTCATTGGCCCCTGCAAGATGTCTGCAGAGCGGTTAGCCCACATAGTCTTTTAGTCCGCAGCCTGGAAGAGTAATGGAGCGACAGATTAGAGGCTTTGCGGTTTGTGTGCAGGGGAAGTCAGTAAAAAGGGTTTCCAAGTGTACATGGGACAGGGTGCGGCGCTTGCGACGATCGTCAGATCGGTATGATTGCCTTAACGAAAAAGCGATCAACCTCATCCTACTTCAATTCAATCCGAAAGAGTTCAAGCGGAAACGTGGTCTGGTATCAGCAAGGTTGAGCAGATGAGAGGATGAAGACCTTGTGGAATGTAGACAGTAGATGCCTTGCCAAAGATCGTCAGCGGTCTCTGCCAGCAAATTCGGCCGACAACCAAGACCCCCAGGACGCAAATTGTGGGTAGCCAGTACCGAGTATTGAGTAGATTGGTCCATGAGTCGGACGATCTGGGGTAGTCTGGGGTTGTCAACACTGGGAAGTATGTAATCATCCTGATGATAACCGCCGCGGGGGGATGTTACATACGCCTCTCACATCGGACAATCCTGCCTCTGACATAAAGTTTCCCTGCCATACCTGTCATTTTCCAAATTAAACTCGCACAATACCGAAGCGAAATAGCGAAGTTGCGTGCCTCCTCAAGGGAGTCGCTCAAGCACTCATACGTTATTTGTACTGCCTCTCGTGAACCCAGATGCGAATTATGTATTGAATTAAAGGGGCAATGCACCATGCGGTCATGCTTTGGTTGTACAGGCAACGGTCTGAGTTGTCAGCGGAGAACTGCCGGCTGCTGTTTGCCGAGAGTGCCGACCTTGTGCCACTTGCAGGTCATGTGGGGCAATGACAGCTTAAACGCGTTTGCTCTGGCCACCCTTGGTCGATTTCATCAACACTTACGGGGAATGACCAGGTCATCAACAGAGTGAGTGTAAACAGGTCCCCCTTGCCGCTGTACCCCGTTGTCTCTTACGTCAAGGAGTTGCAGGACGAGATCTCGCTCCGATTCGAGCTTGTGAGCGGATGAGCTCAAGGGTGAAATTCCTGGTGATGGTCTAGTTGACTTTTTGTTTCCGCTCTTTCTGCAGAAAGAGGGGAGGAGCATGGACGTGTGATACTGTGAATTGGTGTGATGAATTGATGAGATGAGTGCTCGTTGGCGCGCTAGTCGTCACTGGACTGGAGAGTGGAGAGGAGCACAAAGCTATAAAGGGTCCATGTGCATTGACCCTTCTGGTTCGCTTCCAAATTCCGTATGTACTCCATCCTTTGATCAAGCCATGTATCTACAGCATGAACAACCGGATGAGGCAACTGGAAAGAAAAAGAGCTAGAGAACAAATATTCTGGGAGCCAAAGTGTGCCAGTCCCTGCCTGATTGCTGTACCCGGCTCCGGCACATTATCCGCGGGAGCACAATAATTGAATTTGAAGGTACCGTGTGCTGCGCAGTGCCAGTGTCACATCCGAGTTCCGTTACGGCCCTAGCGCCGGCGCTAAATTGTTTCTTGGCTTGCGTACAATTTTTCCACTTTTTGTTCTCGTTGCACTTTACCCTGGCCCCCTACTCTGTCAACCTAGTACCTTTCTTTCATTGCGCTGTTCCTCGCTCCATAGGCACTGGCATCAGCTTGCTGCTGTGTTCGTTTTTCCTGTTTCTGGCAGATCGTTCGCATGTTCCGCTGTCCTGCCATTCTCGGGTACGACGGTAATCTCGACTTTCGCATCGGCAAGCTACAAGTGTTTCGTCTTGCCCATTTCCAGGTTTGGACTGATTTCCCTTCCCACGGGCACCCCCGTTCCTCGACCGTAGAGGGCCCCAGGTTGACACTTGCTGACAGAGCTGGCTGCTCTGAGCTCACCCAGTGACCAATCACCAAAGCGCCTGAACAATGTTGTGCATAATGTGCATATGTACAAAGCCAAGGCACGACAGGTCCAAGAGCAGCGTGCAAGTATGCATGGAGCTGACAGGAACCGATGGGATGAGATGAGCCCGGCCGGGCGGGCGGGGATCGTATTGAGCACTGATGGAGTACGTCGGAAATCGGAGACGCTGTAGGGAAGCGCTTCGTCCCTACTTTGACATGTGGGAATGAGTATGTATGTATGTGCCCTGGAGGCGCATGGGTTGGAAATTACCAGAAGGATCCCACCAAGCTCCTCGCCTCACACTTTCTCAGCGCGGAATATAGAGAGAGCGGCATCAAGCAAGACAGAGAAAGTGAAAAAGGGAGCACTTCCTCATGGAGGGGGCGTTCCAAAACAAAGCATTGTCGGACGAGCTGGAACATAAATAGGGGGTGTTTGCTCTCTAAGACGCACCACTCACTACTTAACTTTGCCTCTTCCCCCCTCCTTCGTACGCCTCCCCTTGCACTCCTCCACTTCAGAGAGCTTGTGCAGAGAGTTTCCCGCAAGATGCCAAAGATCACAAACCAATATGCGCTGGCGGCGCTCGCCTGCACGGGCGGTATTCTGTTCGGCTTCGACATCTCGTCCATGTCGCTCATTCTCGGGCTGAACAGCTGGAACAGCTTCTTCGGCAACATCACCGAGAATGGAGTCACCAGGGTCGACGCCAACTTGCAAGCCGGTATTACCGCCTCGATGCCCGCCGGCTCGGCGCTCGGCGCCATCATCTCGGGCCTGTTCTCCGACCGTTTTGGTCGCAAGGGCGCCATCATGGCTGCCTGCTGCTTCTGGCTCATTGGCTCGATCCTCTGCGCCGCTTCCCAGGCGGTTGCAATGCTGATTGTCGGACGTATCATCAACGGCATCTGCGTCGGTATTGCATCTGCTCAAGTGCCCGTTTACCTCTCCGAGCTCGCCCAGCCCAAGATTCGCGGGCGTCTCGTCGGCTTCCAGCAGTGGGCCATCACTTGGGGTATCTGCATCTTTTACTACGTGAGTTCGTTGTTCGAGTGAGAATGAAACAGAGTTCAGTACTGAAATGGAGGTTGCGAACATTACAGGTTTCCTACGGCTGCAGCTTTATCGGCGGGTCCGCCAGCCTTAACACGGCTCAATTCCGTGTTCCCTGGGCGCTGCAGACGATCCCCGCCCTCGGTCTCATGGCCCTATTGCCCTTCATGCCTGAGTCGCCCCGTTACCTCGCCTCCAAGAACCGCTGGGATGAGGCCCTGGAGGTACTTGCCGACGTCCACGCCAAGGGCAACAAGGAGAACGCTCTTGTCCTTGCCGAGTTTAAGGAGATCCAGACCAACATTGAGGAGGAGAACAGCTCTAGCTGGGCCGAACTCTTCAGCGGCCGCTACCTCAACCGCACCCACATCGTTGTCTTCACCCAGATCTGGGCCCAGCTGACTGGTATGAACGTCATGATGTACTACATCTCCTACGTCATGGAGATGGCAGGGTACACAGGAAACATTGGCCTCATCTCCTCGTCCATCCAGTACGTCATCAACGTCCTCATGACGGTCCCCGCGTTGATCTTCCTCGACAAATGGGGCCGTCGCCCGACCCTGATGATCGGCTCGATCCTCATGGCCACGTTCCTCTATATCAACGCCGCCATCCTCGCCACCAAGGGCCACGGCCTCAACTCGGGCTTCAACGGCAACGATGCCGTCAGGTGGATCATCAACGAGGACGCGCACTCCGCCGGTGTGGCGCTCATCGCAATGACGTACCTCTTCGTCGCCTCGTTCGCCTCGACCTGGGGCCCCGTCTCATGGGTTTACCCGCCGGAGCTGTTCCCCAACAGGCTCCGCGCCAAGTCCAACTCGGTCTCCACGCTAGGCAACTGGCTCTTCAATTTTGCACTCGCCTACTTCGTCCCGCCCTCATTCAAGAACATCCAGTGGAAGACATATATTGTCTTTGCCGTCTTCTGCACTGTCATGACCGTCCATGTCTTCCTCGCTTTCCCCGAGACCAAGAACCTCAGTCTGGAGGAGGTCGAGGAGGTGTTCGCTGCCAAGCTGCCGGCCTGGAAGACGCGCGCTGCCACCAAGAACAACCGCCTTGCCTCGCTCGCAGACAAGATCGAGCGCGGCGAGGACCATGGCCAGGCCACCAAGGGGAACCTCGGATACACTGAGGCACCCTTGACTGCCGTGGATAGCCCAGAACTTGAGGACAAGAAGGAGACCGCCTGAGAGAGCATCCTTGTTCGGGTCACCGCATGATTCCGGATTCTGACCGAGTAGTCACGACTTGCTACCGCAACTGCAATATCATCTTCCAAATACCTTTGCTTTGAGGGCGAACGCTGCTTCGCAGCTACATGCTGTAACGCCATTCACGATGTTTGCAATCCATTATGATATGCATTCATGTGAAGAGACCAAACGAGAAAGCGACTGAGACTCCTCAGCAAACTATCCTCGCCAGATGCCTCTCGTGCACGATGCAATGTCCCCTCCGCTGAGACCTCCTGGTCGCTTACCGCGCATAGGCTCCATCTTGTTATCTCCCCGTCGCATGCTGAGAAAGTCTCGAACCCACGCTATGTAGCTCGCAAATTCTTGGTCGGCATCCTTTGTAACTGAAGCCCATCGTGGTTTAAAGATCGGTCGATGCCTTCGAGGCTCGTAGGCCGCACGTCGACGTACGCCGGTGAAGCATGTGATGCTACGGTAGAGACTGCGCATCATACGTTGTTAACGGCTACATCTCTTCGTCTGCTGCAGGGCAGGGCGCTTGAAGGGCTTGCCTCGATCTTCTCATACCGATCTTCACGGTGAACGAGAAGAGGTATAGTCCTACGTGATGACGCAAGTCTTTCCTTGACATGGCGCTGGGCCGCAGTCTGCCAGCCGTGGCGGCACGACAGGAGCCAGAGAGGGGGCACTGGCGCCGCTCTGCGCTGCGTGCCTGCTGTGCTCTTTTGCCAGACTTTGCCTTTCTGTTCCGAGTTCCGGCTTTCAGTCTGTGTTCCAGGCAATTTTGGAGCCTCTGCTGACTTCTCCGATCACTGCCAATCCAGATTCCAGCTCTTTGTAGGCTACCGAGAGACGAGACCTACATTCCTACGATGTGCACATGCGCAATAGGCTATATGCTTCTATGAGCGCTGAGGCAGATCTGTGAAGACGAGAATTCAGCGACGTGCGAAGCGTACCCTGCAAGCGGAAAGAACCTAGCCCAAGATGCGTCAACTCAAGCATCATGAGGCAAAGCTCCTCAAGAAGTGCGTTGGCCATTGCAGGTGGATGAAGAGCTTCAGCTCACTGACTGGTTGTTGCTGGGGTTCTGCATTACAGGCACGACTTCTTACAATGGAAGCAAGATCAGAACCAGCGCGAGATTAAGGTGATGCGACGATATCACGTCCAGAACAGAGATGACTACCAAAAGTGTGCAGCTTGAGAAGCGATCCCGACACCTACCCACAACTGACTGACTCTCTTGTGGTCTCCCAGATACAACAAGATGGTTGGGTCAATACGCCATCTCTCCTTACGCCTGTCGACACTTCCGGCCAGCGATCCATTCCGAACAAAGCACGAATCACAACTACTCGCCAAGTTATACGACATGGGTCTCTTAGACACCGGCGCCAAGATGAGCGACATCATGGAGAGGCTCAACGTCAGTGCGTTTTGTCGACGACGCCTACCCGTCGTTATGGTGCGCCTCAAGATGAGCGAAACCGTCGGACAAGCGGTCCGGTATGTGGAGCAAGGGAATGTGCGCGTTGGCCCTGATACAATCACAGACCCCGCATTCATGATCACTCGCAACATGGAAGACTTCGTCACCTGGCTCGATACCAGCCACATCAAGCGCACCATTGCCCGCTACAACGATGAGCTCGATGACTTTGACCTCTTGTAAAATTAGATGGCAGCATCTTCTACTGTATTTGTACGACATGTGATTCTATGCTACAAGTCACTGTTGGGCGCTCTGCGCTGCGTGGTGCTGCTCTTCATCTATTTGCAGCCGTTGCTTGTCAGACATCAGGCGGGTATTCTCCCGAACATCGAGGAAGCGATGGCAGGCAGCCTCGACATCTACGATCTCCTTTGGCACATCCGCGCTCAGGACGACGTTGCCGTCCTTCAGCACTGCGACATCATCCTCGAGACGGATTCCAATGCCTTGATAGTGTTTGGGGAAGCGGTCGTCGAAAGGAATGTAAAGCCCAGGCTCGATGGTCAGGACAACGCCTTCCTCCAGCTCCGTTGAGCGCTCGATTGTCGGCGTATCGTGCAGATCCATGCCGAGCCAATGTCCAATGTAGTGCGGGTACAATGTGCGCTCCAACACTCCTGCGCCAAGGCTGCTGAAGCCACCTAGGTCGCGCATCTCAACCCGAAGCATCTCAACGCTGCGCCGATGCAGATCACTAAGGGAATGGCGTTGCGATTCGGTCGCGAGCGCCGTGCATCCTTTGAGTGTGCGAAGCAGAACTTCATAGATGTCCCTCTGTGGCCCGCTGAACTTTCCGTTCGCTGGCCATGCGCGAGTGATATCGCTCGCATAGCCGTCGACCTCTGCGCCAGCGTCCATACATATCAAGTCGCCATCCTGGATGACACCATCGTTGTTGATGTAGTGAATGGTGAGGCCTTTGCTGCCCGATGCCACCACCGGCACATAAGCCGGCTTGATGCTCAGTCCAGTAGCCATCGCGCACTTGTACTCAAAATGAGCTTGCACATGAGCTTCAGTCGTTACGCCTGGGACTATGTCGAGCCCCATCGTGCTCGTCATAGCGCTTGCTGAGATATTCCCGGCTCTTTTCATGAGTCGAAGCTCATTCATCGATTTGCGGAAGCGCAGCTTCTCCACTTCTCGATGCAGCGGGCGACATTTGCGAGAGTCTTGGAGTAACTTCACAATCGTCTCAAACTCGGCCTTGCGTGAGAAGAGATCGAAAGGATTGCCGGAAGGAGGAGAAAGGTAATCTATGATGTTGCCTTGAGATGACTTGCCGAACGTGGCGCCTCGCGATGAGGGTCGGGGATTCGTTGGCGAAGCAGGAGGCTCCACGTAGACATGGTCATAGCTTGGAAGGACGTTTCGAAGATATGTCAAAAGACGACCGGCATCCATCTCATAAGCCTCGTCGGCCCCAAAAAATTGCTCAGCCCCATCTGTCCCCGTTCGTGGGCCATTCCACATCTCGTCCTGCTCGTCGCCTCGCCCTGGCACAAACATGGTCATCTTGTACCCCTTGAGGGAGCTCGACTGCTTCTCGATGAGCACACATGCGTCCGCTTCGAGGAAGCCTGTGAGATAGTGAAAGTTGGTCTCTTGGCGGAAGCGATAGCAGATCTTGCCAGACATGGGCTTCACGCGTCCGGACATGGCGACAACGACTGACCCTTCAGGCAACGCATCCATGAGTTTCTGCCGCCGTTCAGCATATTCAGACGAAGGAATCCCAGGCGTGAGATCTTCGACTGCCACTCCCCCAACAGGGTCAACGTCTGCTCCAGCGCTGAGGGAAAGCCGCTTGGGGAAGAGATGCGGATGCGAAAAAGGCAATGGCTGACCGTAGCTGCGCATGAGCCCGCCAAAAGCTCCTCCACCTGTGGAAACGGGTTCTTTACCTTTTCCCTTCTTTTCCTGCGATGGAATATCGACATGTTGAGCCGCTGATGATGCTGAGCGTGCTTGGTGTCGTCGCTGGATCAACTGGGGAGTGCCACTGCTAGAGGCTAGACGACGCAGAGCATTGTGCGAAGTGCTTGCTGAGCAACGCACACAGCACGCCATACTGGGATGGGATCGTCGCTGCGCGCCTTGCTCTATCTTCTGTTTTGCTCACGATGAGCTGTTTGCAGAACCTAAAGCGGGTTCGAATCGTTTGACAAGTCTATCGGCAGGATGGTTGATCGGTATGATCATGCACAATCTGATGTTGATGGAACCACGCTTGCGGCATGCGTGAGCAGAATGCTCGCGGCTTCGCTCTGCGGTGGCCCTGCAAACACTTTTGCGTCACCCTACCCGGCACTCTGCAACATGCGTTCCAAGTTCCCCATCCATCCATTCGATCGGTAGCACATCGGTAAATCTTCGTGCCTCCAACATACACACGAAAAGCGCCGCAAAGCTTGGCCTGCCTCTGCTCCGTTCATAAGCGCGGCAAAAACAAAGGTTGCGCGGCCTCCCTCCGTTCGACACAGCTGCTCGACATCCCTACGAGCTTCAATCTTCTCATCCCTACCTTTACCCCAACACCCACTTTGGTTTTACCCCGGGGTGGCAAATCACTTCATGAAATCCGGATTATAGCGAAAAACGCAGAAGGGCTGTGTAGTCTGAGAAGATGAATGGTCTAGCATACGGGGGCGGGCAGCAGTTGCTCGCGAGTCAACCGCGAGTGACTCTGCGGCACATTGACGAGGAAAGGGCAGAATTTATCCTTGAAGGCGTAGACCTGAGGTGAGCATATCATCTGAAGAAACTGCACATGCTCGTGCGCCGAGGACTCCCGTTTTGACAGACATTACACTGCAACCTTGATTGGAAGCTTTGCCAACTCTCTACGAAGAGTGATGATCGCCGATATCTCGACAGTCGGTGCGTGTGCCTTGCGAGATCGCCTGTCCCTTCCGGACAATGCTGATGATACTTAGACACCGCCTTATTCAACAGCTATTGACACTGTCCATATTGAGGTCAATACCTCTGTTCTCCCGGATGAATTCATCGCGCATCGATTAGGAATGATTCCGCTATATAGTATGGATTGCGACAAGGTACTCGTCGACCAAAGGGTGCGTACACGGTGTGGCGCGAAGTCCCCGGCGCCAATTCTGATAGGAAGCTGTTTATGGACGCGCAGGAATGTGTCTGTGAAGACGGATGCGACAGGTGCTCTATCGAACTTCTGCTCGATGTGTCTTGTCGGAAAGGCTCAAACCAGACAGAAAAAGTAACTTCGAAAGAGTTGTTGCGCAGCGTGAGTATTGCAGCTACTTCGCAACTGGATGGAGAAGAAGATGGTCCGGTACCCAGTGCACCAAAGCATCCCGACTTTGGCAAGCCTGTAGGGATCGATTCTCCCGATTCTCCAGGCATTCTCATTGCAAAGCTCGCGGCAGGACAGCAACTCAAGCTCAAGTGCATCGCAAGGAAGGTGGGTGACCGGAAATGCCTTTTCTATCCATCAATCGCATTTGAACTTATCCGTCCACTCCCTTAATTATGACCAGGGGTTCGCGAAAGAGCACGCAAAGTGGTCACCAGTATCGGCTGTGGGCTTCGAATACGACCCGTACAACACGCTACGGCATACAGCCTACTGGTATGAGGTGGACGCCAAGGCTGAGTGGCCGCTCAGCAAAAATGCTGAGCAAGAGGACCCACCGGATGAGAAAGCACCCTTCGACTACACAAGAAAGGCGGACAAGTTTTACTTTGATGTTGAGACTGTTGGCAGCATGGCTCCAGAGGAAGTGGTCGAAACAGTGCGTAGCGTACCGCACAGCCGCTCGAGCATGCCTGCGCAAGCTGACCTTTGGTGTTCTTCCAACATTGCCAGGGTCTCTCGATCCTCGAATACCGGACAGCCCAAGTGATTCAAGAGCTTGGAGTCCAGGACGAAGACGATCCATACATGGGAGGGGGGTATGGGGCCATGAATGGTTTTGCCGAGGGAGCCCCCAATGGCATCAATGGCGGAATGCTAGGCGGAGGGTATTAGTCCGCTCCTTTTCATCGCACGTTGCCACGCTAGTCGACACTGTACAATAGTCACATGCAAAGAGCCCCATTTAGGCAGATGCATTACACAATGCCCGAGTGTGACTCTCGAGTAAACACTTACCTTGAGTTGGAGACGGGGACGCCTGTATGTTTCAGGGACCAGGAGTGTGACCGATTTGATGGGACATAAGGAGCGACTATATATGTAGCGCGTCGCACCGCGCCACCGCGCTCCGCCAGCCGGCAAGGCGACAACAAGAACAATGACAAGGACACTACACCTTTGTCGAGCATGGAGACCTGGTTTGAGATGGAAGTCTCATGGTTCGCAATCGCATGGTCCCTTCACCGATGCACAGCTTGTCTGCAGCCTGATTCAATAGCAGCTACGAGACCGCAGGCTGCAGGAGCTTCCACCCTGTCCGAGTTGGACACACAAACCTTCGAGGTCTCGGCTTCAAGTCGTGCGAGCTGATCCTCTGCTACAAGTCGAGGGCACTCGCAAAGCGCTTCAAGACTTGAATTTGCCACAGCTTTCGGCATCCTGAATTCAGAGCAATTATCACAATGAATACAAAAGCCGCGTCCGAGCGCCATCATCGGCAGCTGATGGAGCTTGTTAAGCTCTCAGGCAATGACACGTGCGCTGATTGCACGGGGCGAAATCCAAGATGGGCATCGTGGAACCTCGGTATCTTCATCTGTGTCCAATGCGCCGGCGTGCATCGGAAAATGGGAACGTGAGCTGCTATCAGAGTTATTCCTAGGAGATTGGCCCGGTGTCATATTGTGTTTGAGCTGAAGCTGATCTGTATCTATGTCCTGCACGGTCTCTGGCGTGCCGATTCAGCCATATTTCCAAAGTGAAGTCTCTGACACTAGATACTTGGACACGAGAACAGGTAGATAGCATACGAGGGATCGGCAATGTCAAGTCAAATTTACTCTTCAATCCTGACCCTCTCAAGAACCGGCCGCCTACGAACATGACGGAGGAAGAGCGAGATAGGTGAGCATGAGCAACGACCATCCCAAGACATCCTGGCTCCGTCGATCATGACGTTTGTATTCAAATTCGTGTTGGACACATCTTGCAGTGAATTGGAAAAGTTCATACGTCGGAAGTACGAGTTCCGTCGATTCGTGGACCGGGCAAAACCGCCACCAGTTCCGTTGAAGGATCCAAGAGACCGCATACCTCACCACCCTGTTAGCCCGGCACCGAGGAGCGGAAGTCGTCCCCCTCCTCAGACACCCTCCAGTTTCGCAGATTCATCTCCACTGGGTTCTCCAGAGGCGCCAAGGCAAATGGCGCCCGGGCCTCCATGGGCAACTGCCATTTCACCAGGGGTCTCTGCAGCAAACATTTCGCGGTCGCAAACCGCGCCAAGCGCATCCAGCAGCGCTGCTTTGCAAAGTACAATTAATGATAGAGCGCCACCCTCTTTGCCGCAGCGTGACAGCTCGCGGCCAGCCGCAAACAGCGGCGTGTCGCTCCATGCACCACTGCAATTCCAACGGGGTTTCCCTGCACAGCAGCAAGCGTCAGCGAGCACACCGTCGAATAAGCCTGGCCAGCTATCCAACAGCACTTTCAACGATTTGATATCCTTGCAAGATGGGCCCGCGCAGCCGCAGCCACCACTGCAGATGAACCCCTGGGCTCAAATGCACGCGCAGAATCTGCCCGTTGCCAGCCCCGGCGTCATGCAAGGTGCTTCGCAATATGCTTGGGCGAATGGAAGCGGCATTCCTGGCAGCGCAAAGAGCATGCAGCACGCTAACACATACCCTTTGACCAGCGCTACAGCGGGTACTCTCGGGCAGCAAGCATTCAGTGGGCAGATGCTGCAAACTCCGCAGCAGCTGGGCTACCCCTACTCTTCGAGTCCAGCAACGGCAACCTTTGCCGCAGCAGGTGGAGGATTGAGCCCTGGCCCGCACACCCCGGTGTCCCCTTTTGGGATGCCCATGAGTTCGCAGGGCTGCCCACAGACGTCGCCGGGGAATCCATTCGCTGCCATGGAAGCACGGCAAGTGGGAGCGCTCACCCCTAATTCGGCTTTCCTTTCACCTTTCGCTGCGCAACAACAACAGCAGCAGCAACCAGGTCCGGGACAGGTGTTTGGATGGGCGATGCAGCAGCCCAATTCATTCATATAATAGAGCACTCTGGATTCGGGTGTATTCTTATTGAACTAGTCATGATATTCGAAGCAATGTATAACGACCGCAGCATCGAGTGCCGCGAGATGTTCGTGGAGAGTACTTAGATATGAGCTTCATGGTAACGCTACGCTCCTTCGGTGATTGGTGCGATCGCAATCGATGCCGCCGGCGCAACAGTGCCAGTAGACGGTGCTCTTGGTGCTGCTGCTATTGCTGCTGCGGATGCTCTATCACTGTTCTCACCAGGGCCAGGCTTTGTAGAAGTTCGTGGGTCCGCTTTGACCTTCAGGGCATTCAACTCCATCTCGACCTTGTCCAGCTGCCTCTTGAGCTCGAGACCCGCAGTGACGGCGCCAAGTAAGCCCTCCCACTTTTCGCAGTTCTTCGCTGTCGGGAAGATCAGCCTGTGGCCCATGACAGGTACCATCTCCAACAGTGTCTGCGACGTGCGCTGCTGCAAGTTCGCGCGCGGCACGAGCAACCTGGTGGAGCGAATGTATACGCCATGCGCAGAGTTCGGGTTGGTGACAGAGGGGGCCACGGGCGGATGCGTCGAAGGGGTTCCGGTAAGGAAAGGATAGGGAGGCTTGGAGGACGGCTGGGCTGTTGGATCGAAGCGTTGAATGTAATGCTGCTCGTCGAACGCCGCCTGCTTCAGCTCGGCTCTTTGTTTGTTTGACAGCGCGGTGGCAGCCGCTGCGCCCGCGGGACCGGTGAGCGTTGGCGTCGAGGAGCTGGTCTCTTCCGCCTTTCGCTTCTTTCTCTTTAGCTCTTCCGCCTCCGCCGCACTCCCGGGAAGCGGCACGCCGAGACCAGCCCCAGCGGCGGCGATCGAAGCAGGAGTTGCACTCTGCAGACTTTCCCATCCACCTAACAGCCTCAGCAGCTCCTCCCGCTGCCCGGCGAATTTGGCTTCGTTCTGCTCAATGCGCCTTGCTTCGACATACAATGCTTCCTCTTCGGCAAGTTGCGCAGGCGTCCGAGCAAAGAGTCGGGCGATGGCTTTTTTTCGCTCTACTTCGCGATTTCTATCGAATGCGTACGTTTGCAGGAGCTGTTGACGAGTCTCAATATCATCGGTACTGATTCGCGAGCGGATGAGCCTGCGACAGATGGCGTAGTAGCGCGCCTTCAAGTCCTCGATTGTCCGTTGCTTCCCCGGCCATTCGTAGCGATCGCCAATGACAGTGAAGCGCAGGTCATACGCTGAGCAAATGTCAATCAGGTAGTCTGTCTCGTCCTTTGTCCAGTCGTCGTCGCGGAGATGCTGCACGTATTCGTCGTTGGAGTAGCTATACGCGCCTGAGCCAGCCTGAAATTGAGAAAATGGATAGTCTGTGGCCACAGAATAATGAGTCATGCGCTCTGCTGCATGATGCGTCGAGTAGGCTGTCAAAACTTACTTGTTTCGATCTGATCCAGCTTGTTTCTGGAGGAAGAAGCAGCATTCTGTTGTGAAGCTGTGTCATGCATTTCTGTGTCGTGGTCCGCGTTGTGCGGCAGGTCCCTAGACCAAGTCGCAGGGACGTCTTCTTGCACCCAGTGCGTCAAAACCAGATCATCCTGACGGGCAGGATTCTTGAAGCGCCGGAGCGCCCTGTAAGCAGAACCCCTTTCAGCCTCGTACTCCCAGAAAGAAAAGCTTGATCGAGATTTCCAAGGTGTTGAATCTCGGGAGAGCAATAAGCAACGAGCGCTAACCAACTTACCATCGTTTCTTGGACTGACTCGCCTTCCGCGCCAGCTCAGACTTTCGCATCTTCGCTTCTTTACCGGCCTTTGGCCGCTGTGCGACCACCAAGCTCGGCGCATTGTCTCCTAGCAGCGCGAAAAGCTCCTTTTTCCTCCCATCGCGATCTTCCCTCGGTGCCTTTGGCCGGCTGGTCGGAGGGTGGTGTCGGGATGAAGCAGCGCGCCCGGCTGCACCCGCTGGGGATGGTCGCTCGGCTGCCTTCTCCGCTCGCCGGGATGGTGTTGCGAGGGCGTCTCGACTGCTGTTCGCATCTGACATACTGGTTATCACTTTCACCTGGCAGATCCGTGTTAACGTGAGTCCATGTGATGTCTGAAGGTCGACGATGGACTACTGAGGATAGTCAGATATCTGGGTCCATGCAAAGCTGTCCACTGCTTTCACAGCCAGTGCGCTGATGCGCTGACGACAAAACAGCGCACATCGAATATGAGCGTTCAAATATTGGGTGAAAGTCAGCGGGTTCTGGCTATATTCCTAAGAATGTCTGCGCTCAAACGCATCTCCTTAGAGCATTCCGGTAGTATTGCCCCGGATTCCAACTGTCTTCTCTAAATGCAGCAGCCGGCCTTCACAAATCACCGAATTTGTCTAAACTATGCGCAACTGCGCTCTGCGCGAATGGCTGTCAGAAGGGAAAGCACTCTTCGCTCTGTGAATGTATGAACGCTAGGAATCACTAGCATCGCTGGATGCTGGGTGGGGTCTGGTGGGCTCAATCTGCAATATTCAAAGGCATTGGAAGGGCATGTAGGATTCAGCGGCATCGGTCTCATGTGCAGCTTGGATCGTTGTCTCGTTTTCATTTTTGTGGACAGGGATTGAACTTGGGGTATGAAAGCATATAATGCGCTGAGGAGCAGGTGACTGGGGTGTGAGCTGCATAAATCTCCACAATCTTCCAAGGTTGGAGATTTTTTGTTCTCTTTACTGGCTTAAACATCTTTGCTTAACACTCCAAAGCATATTTGGACACGGAAGGACGAGAGCCAATCAGTCGGTTGGTCCCGTAGGATGGTAGGCCTGAAAGCGACGGGATTCCTTCTCTTCCCTGCCATGCTAGCTTTTCTTATCCCTATCAAAGCGATATAACTCGCGTTATGCCGTTATTCGACTGGCGTCTGTGCTTCTCGCCTGGCCTTGGCGACGCCCTCTCCTGATCAACTATTTGAGCCGGGGCTGAAGGACATTGCGGCAGGCTCTGTTAACAGACCCGGGTAGACCTTTTTGCGCAATGACTCTGACTTTGCAGACGCCCAATGCCAACGTTCGAGCACATGGGTCGGCGTGGCGAGCGACACATTATATGATGCGACCAAGGTTGGATTGCCTTGCAAGAGCAACATGCACTTTGTTGACGAGTTGGTATGTAGACCAGGGTAGGTGGATCCCATCCTGCGTACATATTACACATACGTAGACAGAACAACATAGACACATCATTGGACACGGAGGCCTCGAACCAAACGCCCTTGTGGCTTGGGGTAGATACCCTTGTGGTGCCTCGTTGGTCACATTGGCGGGCCACCAGTGACGACACCGCCACATTGACATGATGACATCCACCAGATCAAGCGAGTTGTTGCGCGTTCCGCTTGGGCGCTCACCTGCTGCTGCTTGGCACTGTCCCTGCCGAGAGCAGTCAGTCTCAAAGTGGAGTTTGGGGGGTGAGGCACCTGATGTCTGTGGGGCCCACACACCCTTGGCTCCTCCCACGCTCCACGGGGCATTAGTGCAGTCCCGCAATCGTGAAGCGCCCGACCTGACCTGCCCGCCCACTGCCTCGCGCTCCTTCATTACATCACATGCACTATGGACTGGGCGTCCTTGACTCGCACCTGCCCGTTGCCCAGATGCCTGGTGCCCTTATCTGCCCGTGCAGGTGGAACTGCACTGTCAGCCGGCTGGACGCTCGCTCCCTTTATAAAGACAGCCCACCTAGCAAGTACTGAGCACCAATCCCGAACTCATCCTCATCGCGTAAACACAATCTCTTGCTTGACTGGTCAAGCTCCTACATATCGTACAGACCCCTCTGCTCTGCAGACGCGCACTTGCATCACCCCGCCAGGCTCCCATCTATCTCCAGCGCAACTGCACCGCCGCTGCAAAAAAGATGCTCACCCGCACCGTCACCCAAGTCCAGAAGCGCCTGGCTTCAACCTCGTCCGTCTTGTCTGCGTCAACCGCCACCGTCGCTCGCGTGACCTCCAAGTCCAGCTCCGCCTCCGCCGGCTCACCGAGCAAGAATGGCGCCCAGGCCGGCATGAGGACCAGCAGCGTGGCCAAGACGAGCGAAAACACTGGGCAAATGGTCACGCCATACAGTGCAAAGTTCTTTACCGAGAACGGACGCGTTTACAGTCGGGATCGGTGAGTCTTGTCAGCCTGTAGGGATACGCTTTCGCGCCCCTTTTCCTTCGCACGTGCACAGCATCTGGTGGATCACCCGCTTCTGCCATGTGGCCACCTCGCTTCGCTTGTCTACCTTTACTGATTCGGATGTAACTCCCTGTGCTCTGATCAGCCGCTACTCGAGCCCATGGAAGCCCAGCTACGCTGCTTGCTAGGCAGCCTTCCAAATCTCATCCCGTGATGGACGCGCGAAACAAGCTCATCGACGGGGCTCGAGCCGCCGAAGCTGCGTTCCTCGTACTGGTCATCCTTCCTTTCACACCATTTCAAGCCCGAAACCAACCGCTTCCAGTTTCCGACATCAGCCGTTTTTGCCATTCCAGCAAGCACGTCCAATCAAGTCGGTTCACTCACAAAACACGACACGTCCGCACCTTGCATATGCATGCACTTTTGATTTCCATTGTTGTCTGACTTGTCCCGCCTTTGTTGCTACATTATTGAAATCCAACAGCCAGCCCAATTCGACCAGACCCAAACAAAGCGACAAAGAGATTCAACCTCGAACCAGCACAGGCGATCCTTAGTTGGACCCCGCGCTTTCGAACAGGATAATAACGCAACAAGCTCAACAGGCCCTGCTGTCAATGCGCTTATATTAACCTGTACAGCGGACATGCCCGTGAGGCCTGCCGCACACTAGTCAGGCTATAGTGGCCATAGGTGTCGTCATAAATTTAATGAAGAAACATGAATGCAAACCACCGCAAAGATTCCTTTGCCTGTCCTGCATGAATGTGGCCGCTGCTGTACCGTGTGCACGTACTCACGGTACATATGAACAACTATGCCCTCGGCGCGACAGGGCTGGCCTCATGCCGCAGTCCATATACACAATATGCTTGGAGACTACAGGATACACATGCACGGACATGTGAAAGCTACAGCAGGGTACGTCCGCACCGAGATGGCGGTGCGAGAGGGCGTCCCGGCTCCCATGCCAACATCTCAGGCCCGTTTGCCCCCCTCTGTGGCGCGCGTGTATTTGCGAATCCGCCATGCAGTGCGATGCATCCGCGGATGAGACCGCAATGAGTGGCAGACCCGCTCGCAAACAGCCCGCAGGCGGGGAAGATAACAGACAGACAGATGGGACGCTCTTTGTCGCTACACAGCAGGGACAGGCAGAGGTCATGGAAGCTGATACTCTACTATCGTGGGTCATAAATACCGACCTGTATGATGGAGATGCCGGGGATCGGTGGAAGCTGTGGGTAGCGCAACACGCTCCGTACTAGGAGCTGCTGCTGCCAGTAGCAGCGGCGGTAGCCTTCTTGGGCCCAAAGCCGCCGCGCGGGTCCTTGTCCGTGCAGTAGTTGCTGTGGGGGGCGTTGAGCGAGACAGGAGCACGGCGGCAGCCCTGGCCAGCGGGCGCCAGATGAGTGTGTGCTTTGGCGGGGGCAAGATGTCAGCCACGCTGCAAGCGCCATCTCGAGGGGATGCAAAAAGGCCAAGGTGGAGGACGACTCATCTGGAGGAACGAATCGCCGACGATGCATCTCGGCGCACCGACGCCGAGTTCACCGCCGATGATGGAAAATATCATCTGGCTGCTTTGCAGTTGGAAGCTGAGCGCGTGGGATGGACACGGGATAGTCGGTGCCGCCAAAGGTGAACGTGATCTTGGGCGGCGTGGACGGGTCGTACAGCCCGTACACCTATCCGTCCTGCTCGATGATCCGCAGACCTGCTTCCTTGACGTTCGCCCTGGCGTGCGCTGGGGGAACGAGGACGATCGTCATGCCTACGCGTGTGTCGCGTAAGCACATGTCTGGGGAGGGGCGCCTCAAGGATGTGAAGCTATCGACGCTACAACGCACCAGCGCCTTAATGTCAGCGATGCACCGTTTCGCTGTTCCTTGTACAGCCCTTCCCCACCCCGCCACGCCACTCATGAGGAGCTCGCCGGACTTGGTCCGTCAGAGTGAGGTCTCCAATGCTGTTGGCAGGGGTGCCATCTGCAACGGGCGCATCCGCCTCGGGGGTGCGCGGGCTTGCTCTTCTTAAAGAGGCCTGGCACCACGGCGGACAGCGGCTTTGGCTTCGAACCGGGCTCGAACAAGTCGACTTGGCTGACGAAGCCCTTGTGGCGGCACGCGCCTGCGCGATCAGCAGACCATCCATCGATTTGGCGCTCTTGGCAGTCGCGATCGCGACGGCCAGCTTGGGCTCGCGGCGCTTGAGGGCGACCTGGATGGACGTCTTTTGGACGGTGTGGGAGCGGGGAGGCAAGTAGATGGCTATGGCAAATGAGCAGAAAAGGCGTGCTATGCACATATATAGAGATAGATAAGATATAATCAGATATTCAGGAGGGCCAACTCAACCCGGCTGGTGTGCGCATACATATATCATCGCGTTCATTTCCGCCAGCCGGCAATCCATCCTATAGAAGCGACTACAAGCGCAAAAAAGGAAAAAGAAGTTACAAGGGCGAAATAGGTGGGACAGGTATCAAACACGGGGCAAAGTGTACGATCCGTGGTGGGGTGGGGTGCGAATAGATCCCCAAGGGGAGGAAGGCAGAGCGCATCGTAATCTGCTGCAACGGGGGAGATAGCTGATGCGCACCCGGAGCTGGCTTGTCGTGTGTCGAGTCGTCAATAGATAAAAAGGAAGCGAGCGAGAGAAATGGAGAAAATTGTACATACAGAACGTTTACGATACGATTGTCCCGTGTCTTTTTTGGCTGACGGTGCATGCCCAGCGCGGGAGCGCAGACTATCATCAGAAGCGGAGGAACTTCGGCCAGGCTAGATGCTCGCCTGTGCCGCCGTGTTCTCTATCCTCCTCCGCCTCCGCCTCCCTAGCCGTGTCTGCAGCGCCCGCAACGTCGTTTTCGGGGTCCGCATCGGGATTCGCAAACCGCAGGCGCGACCCGCTGCCCTGCGTCACGTCAGACCTCGCGGTGCGCGCATGCGCACCCAGAGTCTCCTGCGCCTGCTGCGCGCGCTCGGACGCCGTAGCGACGCGCGGCGACGGCCGCCATGTCGACGACGTTGACGAGCTCGCCTGCGCCTGCTGTCCACCGATCTCGCGCAGGGAGGGCGACGAGACAGACGTGCTCAGTGCTGGTGCCACCATGCGTGCCGTACCGACGCTCAGTCCGCGCGGACCTGACAGCAGGCGCGGCCGCGTCGACGTCGTGTCGGCGCCGCCAAGGAGCACGCTGGCGCTGAGCTCCGCTTCACGGGTTGCCTGCCGCGTGACGGCGTCCCCGAGCGATCGGCTGGGGTAGTGGCCATGCTGGCAATCTGCGAATGCGTCGTTCGCTTCTTCGTGACCCTCGTAGACATTGCTCAGACGCGTATTGTCAACACTGTTGCTGCGCGGTCGTTTCTTGCTTGAGCTCGAACCCATGCTGCCATGCTCGCTACTCTCGCCCGCGGTCGCACGGCTGCTAGTCGCATCGCTCTCTAGACTGTAGTGGTCGGGTTGCAGTGCTGAGCGCGTCAAGCCGCTGTTCCGCCCAGCGCCGCGGGTAGGCCCGCTGGGGCTGTAGCTGGCTGCACCCGTGCTTATGCTACCGTCGCCGTCGCTCAAGTAAGAGCGGAGTGAGCGCTGATGCGCAGCACTGCCCCGGCTGCTCGACGCCTGTGCGCTGCGGCTGGCGCTGCCAGAGCGGGAAACAGCGGCCTCGGATGAGCTGCCGAGGTAGCCGCTGCGCGCATTGCTACCCGAGCTTGACTGCGTGCCGTCCAGCACGGGAAGCGGGGCGGCAACAAGCGCTGCGCTGCCTCCGCTCTCATGACTTACGATGGAACCCGTCTGGTGCAACGAGCCTGACCTATCACCGTTGGACATTGAATGCACGCTAGCCTGCTGGCTGCGTGCCTCTGGCAGTGATTTGCGCATTGTCTGGGACGACTGGGGCGCACTGCCCGTCAAGGTGCGCCAGCCTGCTGCAAGGCCGCCAAAGAATCCAACGGCACCGCTCACGGCTGGCTCCTCGCCGCTCCTTCCAGAACCGGTGGGTCCGAATGTATCTCGCGACGGCCGGCCGAATTCGGAATCGTGGGTGCGATCATGCTGGTCGGTCTGCGTTGGCTGCATGCTTTGCGTGTGCATCGACAGGGTCCGGGGATTGGACGACGACGGCGCGGGACCCGAAGGCGAGGTCATCGAGCTGCGCTCACCAAACTCGCCGACGCTGGCGATCGTCGCGAGGCGGCCGTGGCCTTCCGCAGAGCCGGGTGCGCTGCTCTTTCCGGCGCTCGGCCGCGCAGCGTTGGGGCCGAGCAATGGAGTATTGGAGCTGAGGAAGCGAGAGTGGCGCGTCCCGTCACTGGCGAAACCCTCATGCGCGCCGTTGGAGGAGTCTTTCGGGTAGTAGCCGCGCGAGTAGGTGCTGCCGCTGCTGTCGCGGTGGCCAGCGGCGAGCTGCCCGAGTGCAAAGCCGCCAGCGGCACTGGCGCCGGCCGTGGCAGCAGCACTGGTATGCTTATCCTGCGAGTAGCCGGACTCACTGTCGCCTTTGGGAGCGAGGCCAGCGAGTTCGCTGATGTCGCCGGAGCCAAAGCGGCCCTCAAACTGTGGCAGTGAGGCGTTGTCTTCCGGAGCAGCCGGTGCGACGTTTTGCAGGCCGCGCGGTGCGCGCGGCGGCGGGGGGAGGCTGGTGTTCGAGCGCGAGTTGCGGCTGCTGACCGGCGAGTCATTCACGGAGCCCATGTGTGCGGCGCTGCTGTTGTGGCTGTGTGCGGACGAAGTCCAGTTGTCACCACTAATGGGACGGTGGTGGTCGCTTCCGGAGCCGTTGGAGCCGGTCCATTGCTGTTGGTAAATGCCGTACAGCATGGCTCCGCCCGCAGCTGCACCTGCATCGGCGGCCAGCGCTGGATCGTACGGTCCGCGGAAAGTACCTGCCGAGTACGGATTTGGGGCGTACGCCATCTCGGGCAGGGAGTGGCGACCGTAGTGGTGCTCGCCCGCGTCGTCCATCAAGCCGTGTTTCTCGGCTACCTCGTCGCTGATCGGCTGCGCGTCCGGGTCAAAGTCATCATGGTCGCGCTCGGCGACGTCTTCGTACGTGTACGTCGGCACGGGCTTGCGGCGGCTCGCCTTGCGCCCCAGCGCGCTGGCCAGCGCGCCGACACCGACTGCGCTCGCAACGCCAGCAGCGGCGATGCGGCCCGTGAAGCTTGTCGGCCGCGCGCTTTTGCTGCCGCCCCCGTTGCCGTTGGACGCATGCGGGATGTTGTGCACGCCGTCCGCGAACGGATCTGCGGCGCTGTGTCCGTGTCCGTGGCCATGGCGTTCGTGTGACTGCACGCCGCCGACAATGTGGAAGCCACTGTTGTTGCTGCGGTCCGTCAGCTGGTCTTCCTCCCACTCGCAGCTCCCGAGGCTGCCGCGCCCGCCTCTGACCGCAGCAGCAGTAAGTCTACCGCTTCCGGTCGTCGCTGCACCGAGGGCTGCATACAGGCCTTTTGCACCAGCGCGGCCGAACCGTCGGAAGAAGCCATTCCGGCCGCCGGACGCTGGACCGGCTTGGCCAGCAGCCATGGCGCCTTCAGGTTCCTTCTCCGCATACAGCCTCGCGACGCTCATGTACCGGTCGCGCTCGGTGTACGCGGCGCGTTTCCGACGGCGGCGCGCGCAGCAGAACGCCAGCAGAACGAGGAGCACAAGCAGCACGAGCACGCCAATGGCGATACCGGCGATCTGGCCTCTGGACAGCATTTTGCTGCCAGGCAGGCCGTCGGCACTGACGCTGCCCGCACCGCTGGCGCTGGTGGGCGAGCTTTGTGGTTGGTTGCTGCTGATGATCGCAGTGCCCGGAATCGAGGTCGCGCTGCTTGGCGGGGCGGTCGACAAGCCAGTGTCAAGCGTGAAGGTGCTGCCCGAGGGCTCGGTCGCGAGCGTGTACAAGGAGCCTGCAATGACCGTGACGCTGGCAGTTTGGTACGGTACGCTTGCGCCGCTAAAGACCGTGACGCCTGATGCGGCGTGTTGGCCTTCGGTAATTGCCTCTGCGGATGCTGTTGGAATGACGCCAGTGATACTTTCGGTGAAGACTGCTGGCTGCACGGAGGCATTTCCGTTCGGAGTAAAGGGCGTCGGGTCGCTGCCGGCCGGTTGAGCACCGTTGCCATCTTGGCCATTCCCTGAGCCAGAACCATTGCCTTTACCTTGACCGGCACCTGATCCGGTGCTTGTTCCTCCTGCCCCGTTACCACTGTCGTTTCCATTGCCAGTACCGTTACCGTTGCCCACCCCTCCGTGCTCTGGCGCTTGCCCTTGTCCAGGGCTGCCTGTCGGCTGCGGGTTCTGTGTTGGCTGCCCCTGTCCCTGGCTGTGCACACTGGCCTGGTTAGCTGTGGTGAAGAGGGTGCCGAGCGGCGGGGGTGGGCTGGGGCCGTCGTACAGCAGGGGCACGTAGTGAATGCTGAACTGCGTGCTCGTCTTCACCTCGGTGGTGGTGATGAGCGACTGCGTCGGTGCGCGCGTGCCGCTCGGGTAGTAGATAACGCGGGTATGGGTCACCAGCTCGGTGTATGTTGCCGTCGCGACAGGCGAGTAAGAGAGCCAGGGAGGCAGGACCTGCGCCGTCAGCCCCGGTCCAGTCGGCGGACCGGGGAGCGTGACGCCACTGCGGTCGTCTACCATGGCTATGCGTCGCTACGAAACGGTGGCATTCAAGGATTCCGCTGGATCGGGGTCCGTGCATGAGTTTGATGGGCCCGTACGAAAGGGGAAAGTATTGCAGGAACTCACAGAGCAGCGCGTGATGCCTGGATGGGGTGTGGCCCTATTAGAAAGGAATCGTTCGCTTTCTGCTTCTCGTTCTGGATGTGCCGGAGGTCTGTCCGACTTGTCTACGCAAGGGTGCCTAGATTCTCTGTCTTCTCTTGGTAGTCGGCGTGCAGTTGGTATATTTGCTTTCCTTCCAACTCCTTGACCAAGCCAGGAGGTGTTGGATCCATCCGCGTCAGCATGCCACACGGGGTCAGGCTTCGATCAGCCAGGCTTCCAGAAATGCCTGCGCCGCCTGCGTCTGCCCCACCGAAAAAAAGGAATGGCGATAGGAATCAACGAGCAACGAAGAAATGCTTGGTGTCACTGCCAGCCGCGACGGAAAGAAGAGAAAAGGCGGTTGCGTCCGCTTGGTGGGATGCTAGGTATGGGCACATTGTACCGTACCATCTGTTCCCAAAGAGGCAATGCAACATGACCATGCTAGGAAATGTATGATTTTTTGATAGGGGTTGGGCGGCAGCCCGACACGGCACTGCGCCGTTTTCTCCGCTCTTCGTCATCGGTGCATGGAGCCTGCCGGCACTGGACCAGCCTGGAACGTCCGAGAGCGGCGCCAAGGTCCACACCGCCATTACGGCACATCAGCAGCGTTGTAGATTTTCATTCACCAAAAGCCCCTGCCTTCACCACGTGTACTTTTTTCTGCAGCGGCTCTCGGCCCCATGTTGAATCTTATCATGCAGAACAGAGATGCACGTAGATTCCAGAGGCGCCAGACTGGCGTGTAAAGCTTCTTTCAGGACACGGACCGAGCGAGCGAGCGGCAGTTCTCTCGCAAGCCGGCAGTGGAGACATGGATCACGTGATCATGGACGATAGATTGCACCGCCCAGCACCACGACCCAGATGCTCAAGTCACCGTCACCACGCAAGGCAAGATGGCAGGGCACGCGACGCGTCTTTCACAGGGTCTGCGGGCTGCAACTCTGCCAGCACATATGTGCATGAGGTTTTTCTGCAGCCAACTCCTCCACGCTCTTTGCCATGTAGCGCAAACAACCGTCCGCCTGCCTGCGAGAGGATATCCATGTCCGTACACGTCGACTGCCGTATGCACGAAGCCTAGCAGCTGGCAATCCCTTCTTCAGGCCACGTTGGGAAAAAACATCCCACAGTCCAGTACATGACTCCACAATAGCCTACAGGATGGAGAGAACCGCTGTCCTTGTCGCCTACCTGTCTGCCTTGCCAATCTCGCTGCTTTCGCTCAGCATTGCCATTTCTCTGACCGGGCCCCAAACTGCGTGCTTCGCATGCGCACACTTCAGGAACTTCTCCGAAGCATGCCTAGGCGAGCTACTGCATGAAAACATTCACGGCTGCGAACGCTCATCCGCCCCATACGTAGCGCTAGCGCGCTCTTCATTACACCCCTCCCATAAGTTCTGCCAGCCCGTCTCCAATTACGGTTTACCTTTTGCATGACAAGCCTCGCGGGCTTGTTAGCTTTCAACGCCACATGTCTTCGCAATGAGTCCTTCCACCGATCGATTCTGTCGCAATCATGCTGTGCTATCTTCATGTCACCCCAACCCTTCTTTCTTGCATCGCCTTTGCGCCTATAGGTCTTGACGATCGGCTGCATGAGCTGCATTCGCTCTATTCCGTGAAGGTTGTGAATGTTGGCACGCGACCCCACTTCCCTCCATTGCCAAGCGATTCATTTCGTAGCGGAGGCGCCACTCTCTGCCTCTTCCAACGGCATTGACGATACCCCTCGCCATGAGCGTTGGAGGCTGGGAAAACTCTGGCATCCACCGATACTTTCCTGATTTGCAGCTCATTCGCCCACGACCATTCGCCGACATGCATTTTGATTCGCTTTCATTTTGATGCCCACATCTCTTGCTTGGCGCTTTTCTCCTCGCTTTCGGCGGAGGCGCCGGCCGCATTCATCATAGAGCCTCAGTATGGAAAAAGCACAAAGCGCTATGGAGAGACCGAGAGCATAGAGCCTGAAGAGAACCAGGCGTCAAGCAGCATGAAGCATAGGTCTGAGACCCGAGAGGCGTTGGATTCGAGCCAGATTCAGCGCGGGGAGGAAGAGGCGTCTCAGTGATGGCGGTGACACTAGGAGTCAATTTTGTCGCGAGAATAAGTGTTAATTCAACCGTTGTTTCTGTATGGTGACGAGGTTTGGGGCAACCCAATGGCAAAAAACCCGCATCTTGCGAGTGAAACACCGAAAGCTCGTCAATGCTTGTTGAATTTGCCAAATACCGTGAGGACCGATTGAACCAAAGAGAACCGTCCATCAGCTGATGATGAAGACATTTAAGTGCATGTTCTCGGGGGGCATCAAGCTTTAAAACATGAAGAAAGCACCACAGGCACAAGTCACAAGGGATGGTCGTTGTGGAGCACATTCCTTTTTTCCCGTCAAAGCTCCTCACATTGACGAAAAACCAAAAGCTTTGGGGTTAATACTTCATTTCGCGACAATACGAAAGTCATGACCGATATGGGATGTTCAGACACCTTCTATGATATTCTTCCTCGGGCTGTGTTCCGAGTTCCGCCAATTTTTTTGCCAGCTGCAGCAGCCTAAGCCTTGAGTCGTGCTGGTTGCTTTGCTCCAGGTTGGACGGCTTCAAAGCTTTACTTTGTACATGCGCAATCGACTGGGCAGGCGCGCGAGCTCCCAGGCGCATCTGTTGGGCTCCACCTGTGCAGTTTTGCCTATTAGAGTAAGCTCAAGGAGGAAGCAGGTGGCCCTCACCATAGCTCGCTTCATTCCTGTGCCGCTGCTCCCCCCCTCAATCATCACCATGGGTCTCTCAGAGCGACGCAACAAACAGCGTCTCGTCGGCGCCGCTTCGGGTCGCAACACCAGCTGGGCATCTGATGTGTCCCTTCCCGGCCAGCGCCTACTGGCCGGCATGGGCTGGTCCGCTGGTCGAGGACTTGGGTCGAGCGCGCGCGACGGCACCAGCAGCGCGTCGAGCATTGCCGTCAAGTTCAAGATGGACAACAAGGGCATCGGCGTAGACCGCGCCGAGCGCGATGCCAGGGCCAAGGCCAAGGAGGCCGGTGGCAGCGGTGCGCTCGACGCATGGGCGACCCAGGGCGCCAGGGACTTTGGCAGCTTGCTCGAGAGACTCAACGCTGCCGCTTCAAGTGCGGAAGCCAGCGGCAGCTCGACCCCCGCCCCGCAAGAAGCGGACGCGGCATCCTCTTTGAATTCGGCTGTCGCGTCATCCTCGGCCTCCTCCACCCCTGCACCTCTTGATGAGAAAGCAGCCAAGCGTGCGCGCAAAGAAGCGCGGCGATTGGAGAAGGAGGCCAAAAAGGCTGACAAGAAGCGGGAATCGGACGCCGAAGGCCTCGAAGGAACAGACAAATCAAAGAAGCAGAAGAACAAAGGCAGCAAGAAGTCCAAAGTAACGGAAGATGGCTCCGCAGCCGGGACCGCTGTTGCAGCTGCCATAGAAGCCGTAGCGGTGCCGACGAGCGCGGCCGCATCAACTGTCATCCCGGGTCGACTGGCGTGAGTGTGGTGTGCTTCTCCATTGTGTCTCCCCTCGCATTCTGTACCCTCAACGCTGACCCTTGGTATAAACGTGATCGAGCAGGCACCGCGTGCGTTATCTCCGGGCAAAGCGGCAAGTCGCGTCGTCGGGGGAAGCGCAATTGAACGAAATCTTTGGCATATCCTCCGCCTCATCTGCGACGGCCTCGCCTGCGCCGCCTGAACGACCGCCCCGAATGGCGCCTGGCCCAGCGGGATCGAGCGTACAGGTCATGCTCAAGCAACCGCCTCCGACAGTGCGAGAGCAGGCCGCAGACGACGATGAGGAAAGTACGGATGACGAGGTAGGCAAAGAGGAGGGGAAACTCAAGAAGGGCAAGAAGAAAGCTCAAGGAGATGACGACCCGTCGTCCGTATCTTCTGGCAAGAAGGACAAGAAGCGGAAGCGAGGCATGCAGGTTGAAGATGACGAAGACGCAGGGGGAAATGCCGGCGCCGGGGAGGAGGGCAGGAAGAAGAGCAAGGAAAAGAGGAAGAAGGCCAAGGTCACTTCCTCGTCGGATGCCGGTACACTTCCTCCAGTAGAAAACCAAGCAACCGCTTCGGACCCGTCACTCGATCCCTCGCAGAGCAATCTCCGCATCAGCTCGCAGGGAGTTTTCGAATACCTCTCCAACCGTCTCATCTTGCGCAAAGCCGCCGTCATGCGGGCGCGAAAGCAGCGTGACCAGGGTGTGTGGGATCGGGTCGCTGCTATCGGCGCGTGACGGTCAGCGGTGTATGAACAGCAGATATTTGTCGCGTGCGCGCAAGTTACACAGCCTTGCATTGATATGTGATTTTGCTTGCTACATTGGCCCCGTCTTCACTGCGTCTTGGCCGCCCGCGCCTTCTTTGCCTCTGCGCGTTTCTTGATGGCCAACTGCATCTTGCGGCTCTGGCTGAACATGACGCTTTGCGGCACAATGTAGCTGATGGCCCAATCCAGCAGAGCATGCGCCGGCCACGGTGTGTTGTTGTGGAGCCGGCCGACTGCACCGCCTTGCTTTCCGACGCTGGCGAGCGCCTTGGCGACGTACGCCTTGGGTGTCGGCACCATTGCGCTCGGGCGTCGGATCTTGGACATGGCAGAGACAACAAAGTACGTGTTAAGCAGCTGCACCGTGACGCCCTTTGAGCGCACTTCCTCCGCCACCGCTTGCGTCCAGCCAATGAGGAACGCTTTGCTGCCCGAGTATGTCGCAAGCAGCGGCGTGGGGAAGGCACCGGCAAAGGAGCCCATGTTCAAAATGAGGCCACGCTTGCGCCCAATCATGCCTGGCAGGACGATCCGAGTGACTCGTAGCGTGGCATTGACGTTAATCTCGACAATGCTCTCCATCTCCTCTTCAGACGTCTCATGGAAGTAAACGGCCGAGTCGTGCGACTTGCCGACATTGTTAATGAGCACACCGATGTCAAGACCGGAGAGCGCACGCTTGAGGTCGTCGTACGCCTTGACGTCCGCAGCAGAGAAGTCGATCGCTTGCACCTTAGTCTTAATGCCCGGTGAGGCGGATTCGATCTCTCCTGCTACCTTGTCGAGCTTGTCCGGAGTACGCGAGGCAAGGAAGATGTTGAAACCCTTCTTGGCCAGCTGCAGTGCAAATTCGCGGCCAATCCCGTCCGTAGCACCCGTTACGACTGCCCAGGTGCCGTTGGGTGCATTCTTGACCTTGAATGAAGCTACGGGCTTGCCTGGTACCACGTACACGTTCAGCAGCACACGAATGAAGCGGCACAGCGAGATCAGGATCGAGATACCGCCCACGATGGCCAGGATGAGCAGCGGCAGTGGGAGTGTAAGCCAGTCGTCTGCAGCCAAGGATTTGAAAGATGAGGAAGCACGTGAGCACGACGTCATCAACAGCCAACCCTCAGCTACTCCGAACACGTACCGACTCGCAAGCCGAGCGGCTGCAGCAGGGAATCGAATTGGCGAAGGTGACCGCTCATCTTCACGTCTCGAACACCTTGATCTGACAGGAATACAGACCGATTCGGCGCTATGGTTAATGAAAGAGCTAAAGTGTGCTTGAATTGAGGTCAGATTCTGAATATATCTACTAGTTTAGACAGAAATGGTTGTGTTGGGGCGGCAAGCGGAAGCAAGAAGAAGTGAGCCTCGAGTGTGAGATGCGTCACGCTTCGACTTGTTGAGCTTGCACTCTCCTCCATCTGACATCTCAAAGGGAGCACACGTACCGCAGGGCGAATCGGTTGCAGGCGCAGACCATCGTGAACAACCTCCTCAGGCCGCAGAAGAGAACGCGCCTAGTAGAAAGAAGCGTGCCATCACCGAGCCCTAAATCATCCCACTTGCAAGGCCTTTCGCAGGGTCAGTAGAGAGCGGGTCAAAGCCATGCTACCGCTAACGCTGCTGAATGCAGCGCAGTGCAAACCGATGGTGAGTGATAAAAGCTGCAGAGCTGCTTGCAGGTTTGACGGAGAAGATGCACCGCTGCGAGCCAGGGTGTTCTGACGGGATTCTTCACCTTTGAAACAGCTCGTTGAGCTTAAGAATGGCGAAACCTTCAATGGCCACTTGATCGCGTGCGACAACTTCATGAACCTCACATTACGAGAGGTCTACCAAACAAGCGCCGTGAGTCTACGCGGATCCAGTTCCGGCTCGATGAGCCGAAATCTTCAGTATTCTGAGCAAACGGATACCAAGTGTCCCTTGCGCTCCTAGCGCAAGCGCTGGAGCATCACAACTCACCCGGCCCTTGTTGTCCTTTCGCAGGATGGAGAGCGGTTCTGGAAGCTTCCGGAATGCTACATCCGCGGCTCAACGGTGAGCTCCTTTGGCCCTTTTGAGAAGTGGCTGCTGTTGTGCTCACCACAAATGGGTTCAAATCTCTCGCTGCCATCAACACCTCGCCCTCCTTTTTCACATGCATGACCTCCTGTTCACGTTCGCCTGAATGTGCAATCGTACCTATGGCATCAGATCAAGTACTGCCGGATCGCTGATTCAGTCATCGACACCGTCAAGGAACAGGAGGAAGCGGCGCGCAAGCAAAGACAAGCGCAAGGCTATGGGCATGGGCACGGCCGCGGTGGACAGGGGCGAGGCTCTGGTCCGGGACGAGGTGGACCTGGAGGTAGGGGTGGAGGACCACCAGGTCGAGGCGTGAGTGGCGCAGGACGAGCACCAAGAGGCAGGGGGCGAGCATAATATGTCGAGGGTACATGCTTTGGTTTCATGTAAGATAGGAGGCGTACTACAGTCGACCCCAACGTTAGTCAGATATTCTTCAGCTGCACCGTCGCAACCACACTTCGCTATGTTGATGATTGCATATATTGCAAATTTTGATGATGGGAACATACGGGATGCACATGGAGCCCCAAGGGTGTGCGATGATAAGACACAAAGAGTCATCCAGCTGGAGCCGTTGAGCATGTGCAAAGGTATCTTCAAGAAGCATTTCAAAATGCAACCCAACCCAGCGGCCCTCCTTTCTGGTGCTGCGACCCAGGAGGGTGCGGAAGCGCCTACTTGCGCTGAGTCAGTGGATGGTGAAGCTGCGGTCAAAGCAACGCCTCGACCTTCTCCATGAGACGCTCCCGAGGTGTCTTGATACCTTCGCCCTCCATTGTCTTTGTCATGGCCTCGATCCGTTCCTTTGGAAGGCCCGACCCGACAAGCATGTCTGTCGCACACAGAGGGGTTGTCAGCCTTCCACTCCACATGCGCATGCGGGAGCACAGACTCACTTGCGGCGAACGCGTAGGCGTTCGGCACATCGATGCTCGTGTCATCGAGATAGTCGACGTGGTCTTTGAAGCCTTTGACAATCATGTCATCGTCCACGATGTCAGCTGACTTCAATGCGCCAAACAACTGAGCGACCAGCTGTACGACGGCATCGTTCTTATCCATGGCTGCCGCGGCGATCGCCTTGATAAAGTCCGGCCGGCGGCTCACGGGAAGTGCCTATCCGTAAATGGGTTCCATCAGTAAGGGCGAAGGAACGACGAGAGGAGTGAAGGCAACGCACCTCGATAGAGCTCTTTCCCTCCTCGATGTTCTTGACTTCAAGGAACTCCTTGACATTGTTGTCAATTTTTGTCTTCGCCTGTTCGTCGCTAATTTCTGCAATCGCCAACTCTTCTTCCTCATCCTCTCCCTCTTCAGCCTCCTCATCAGCTCCCTCGGGTTCCTTTTCGTCATCGCCAGGGAGGGGTTTGGTGCGGGGCTGCAGCTTGAGCTTGGGACGCTGCGGCTCCTCCGGTTCGGCGTCCTTGCTGAGCAAAGCGAAGCTATGCGAGTGGAAATGGGGTCAGCCTTGGCCATCTGCACCTCAACGGGATAGAGTCCGTTCCTCACATATTGGAAGATGAATTGGTGCGTGTCGGAGGGTTGCTACCTTCTTCTGACCCAGTGCCTTTGCCGCCTTTCTTAGAGAAGACGCTCTGAGGGCCAGAGCCAATGTTGGTCGGCCCTCCGCGGTTGATCCCCTTGCCAAACTTGGATAGGTCAGTTGGTCGCAACATAGGCGGCGGGGCTTGACCGATGGTGTTCCAGCCATCAGGGCTGTCTCGCGTCTGGCCTCTGCGCGACCCACCGCGCGACATGGGCCCGCCTCGCGCTGCGCGCAAGGCGGCTTCGCGATCTTGTTCGATCTTCTGCTTGGCAGCCTGCGAAAGTCCAGGATGAGCTATGAGCGATTTTCTGACAACCCAACCCTGTCCGTCACTCACTTCCCGGTGAACGTCTGCGATCGTCTTAGGGCCGCTGTTGTCGTGTCTCGGAACCCAGTTCGCTTTTCGGAGCTCGATGATATCCTAGACCCGAGCAAAAGAAGTTTGCTTCAGCGAAAGGCTTGACTCGCACTTGTTGAGCCTACTCACCAAAATCATGAATCTAATTCTCGAATTGAGTTTCGGGTTGGACGCCATTGTTGTCATGCGGTCAAAGTAAATCTCCATAAGGGGACGGCCCCTTTCGTGCCCATCGAGCAGCTTGCCCACGGTGGTGAGCAACTTGCAAACAGATTCGATGTCTTCCTCTTCAGGCTCTTCCACGTCATGCAGCAATTGCTTGACGCACACATGCATGATCCTGTCTGAAATCATGCTGAGCTTGAAGAGCTCACCAATGAAGCGAACAAGACCAAGACCCCTTCGCTTTGCCTTCTGTGCCGCGTAGTACTCGTCTGAGAGCAACTCGGCCTCTTTGTTTTCAGGGGCCACGTCGCCTTTTTCTTCGGCTTCCTTGGCCTCCCCTTCTGACTTCTCGTTGCTCTCCTTCTTCGCACGATCGTCCGCCTCTTTGCTCTTGGCAGCAGCTGCCGTAGCGTCACGGTGCGCCCACCCACGCTCGAAATCCTCTTGGCACCTGTTCAGAAGATACTTGCGGAACAATGCACCACCAGACACCGGAGTACCGTCGGGTAAAGTGAGGTTGACATCCTTGACCTCTGGTTTGAGCTCCGATTGCAGAGTTGCGCAGAGCTTGGCGTACATTGTGGAGAAGGCAGCTTCGTCCGTGGCCTTTTCGAAGATGAGTGCAATGACCTGTCGCAAAGTCCGCCCGTCGGTCTCGTCGACTGACTTGTTGGCCCACGCCAGAATCTGACCAGCGATGGAATCAAAGTTGTCGAGAGTGAGCTTGTTCAGCAGCGCTTTGACCTTCCTCTGCACCATTTCGGGCGAGTCTGCTTTGAGCCCTGCACCCTTTCCGGTCTGGACTTGCGGCGCCCAGCGGTTGGCCGATTTCTCCAGAGGCATGACTTCAGACAGAAGAATCGTCGGACCACCCTTCTCTGGTGGGTTGTATGGACCACGCCCTGGAGCGCCGTCCGGCTTGCGGCCGCCTCGCTTGCTGCTGGTGCGACCCATCATTTCGCGCGAAGGAATAGCGCCGCTGCCGCTACCACCACGTGAGAGCGGCTGCGTGCCCCGACCCATCTGGAAGGCGCCCATAGGCCCGCCAAAGTTGCCCATGCCGCTACCACGTGAACCAGCGGTTGACTGTGCAAATCGTTCCTCGCTGCTCTTGGCCGGGGGCTTACCGAAAGCGGAGCCGCCTCCGACACCGATCCCGAGACCTGTTGCTGGCCCACGTCCAGGAGCGGCACCGCCGCCGATGCCCGGAGCACGCTTGCCGAAGGTGGAACCACGGCCCGGTTCCATACCGATGTCACCCAATGGCGGCAACTCCCGTGGCTTCTCCTTGAAGACGCCCATGAACTGCAAGAGGAACTCGCGATCATATCGGAAGCGACCCTCGCCAGACTCGTCGTTGAGATCCGGCCGCGGTGACTTGATGGAGGATGGGTACTGCACCTTGCTTAGGTCCTCAATACGGTTCGCTGAGCCGAGAGCTTGAAGGGCGGCGGACATAGGTGTGTCGGAAGTAACGCCTTTGGGCGTGCTGGTGAGATCCAGCTTGTCTGGCCGCCGACGCTTCTCGAGCTCTGTAGTATCGAGCTTGATACTGCTCGAAGAGGGCTGCACTTGCGGCTTGGCCGGCAGGCTAGCAAAGCCAGGCGTGCCAGGTGTCCGTGGAGTGGGCGGGATACTGAGAAGTGGGGTCGAGGGGACGGACGAAGCTTCCCTGGCCATCCGCTCGACGTCAGCGACAGAGCTCTTGCCAACCCTACTTGCCATCTCGTCGAGGCTGGTGTCGATCGGCACAGGAGCTGGCCGCTTTGCCTTCTCTTCAGCATCCTTGGCTTCAGCTTGACTCTCTGCCGCCTCCTTGGCTTCGCGCTCCTCCCGTTCCGCCTGTGCCTTAGCAGCTACTTCTTCAGCCTTGCGCTTGGCTTCCGTAGCAGCCTTGCGCTCGTCCTCTTCCTTTTTGAGCCGCTCTTCCTCTTCGCGCTTACGTCGCTCTTCCGCTTCTTGCTGCTTGCGCTTCTTCTCTTCTTCCTCGAGCTTGGCTCGTTCTTCCTCCTCCTTCTTTTGCGCTGCCGCTGCCGCTTCCTCCTCTTCCTTTTTCTTGGCTGCAGCCTCCTCCTCTCGCTTCTTGCGCGCCTCTTCTTCCTCCTTCAGCTTCTTCTCATCCGACGCCTTCTTCAGCTCATTGACTGCCCGTATGAAGCTTTGCTGCGTCTGGATCTTGCTGGGAGCAGCAAACGACGTTACGCTCGGCGAAGGTGAAGGGGACGCCGGCGCTGCATCTGGTGTGGCGGGCTGGCCGGCAGGAGCGGACGGGGCGGTCAAGCCAGGCGTGCTGGGTCTCGAAGAAGAAGCTGTGGATGCGGCAGGCTTAGGATTGGCGACCTTGGCATTGACCACCTGGTTCGTGAGGGGGTCAACTATCTTGATCGCAGAATTCGCCCTTGGCAAGAACGCCGGTGCACCGGCACTGACACTGCTGATCGATGACTGCGCCGAATGGCTACCGGCGAATGAGCCGCTGGGCGTATGTATATGGCCCGGGCGAACTCCTGCAACGGATGGGAAGCCAGCTTGTTGAGGTGGAGGTGAAGCTAGACTTGCCATACTCGGTGCCGGCGACTGCGGAGGCCGCGCAGCACCACCTTGCTGTTGCGCAGCACCTCCAAGACCAGGTTGCCCTGCTCCTTGTGTGGCACCTACTGGCGGCCGCGGCGATGGTGGCGCCCAGTGCGCTGGGGATCCCGGGAACTGCTGTGGCTGCGGTGGCGGCGGTTGCTGCTGCTGCTGCATATATGGGTTATAGCCCGGGAACGGTTGAGGCATGGGGTACATCTGCATCATGCTCGGCGACCGTAGTCCGTTCGCGGAGCCACCATGGTACACCGCATAGCCGGCGTACTGCGGTGGCACGCCCTGAGCTGGACCTGCTTGCATGCGGCTACCGTACGGAGGTTGGCCACCGGAAGGATTTCGTTGACCCGGCTGGAAGTCCCGGCTCTGGCCGGGAGGTCGCAGAGCAGAGGGCTGACCGGCGGCGGCGACCGGCGGAGCGCCTGGCAAGCGCGAACTCGAAGAGAGATGTTGCTGTTGCGATGGTGGCGACCGCATGCTCGCGTTTGCGACGACGGGCGAGTTGCTAGCCGAAGGCAGACTGCTACCTGGAGTCGAAGCCGCGTCTGGAGTGGCAGCGGTAGAAGCTGCCGGTGTTGCTTGCGTACCCGACAGTGCAGAGGGCTGCTGAGAGGCGGGGTTCTGGAACAGCTTCTGGAAGTCCATCTTGGGCTTAGGAGCAGCAGGAGTAGTCGCATTCTCCTTAGTGCCGATCACCAGGCCCTTGTCCTTGCCTACGTTGGAAGTGCTCATCGCATTGACGGATCCGAATGCTGCAGGTTTGCCGATGTGCCCCGTCACCGGAGGCTGTGCGGGAGACACGGAAAGCGTGGCCTCGGCGTCTTGCACAGAGCCAAAGTTGATGCTAGCTGCTGCAGGTTGCCAAGTAAAAAGGCATTCAGCAATCATAAAAGGTAAGACCCTACAAACCGTTAACCGCCCTCACCAGTCCGAAGGGCAGTGTTCGCTGCCTTGGGGATGCTGACAGCCGACTGACCTCGCTGCTGCGCATCCGCTCCGTTCACCTCCCCTGGCTTGGCGAACACGCCATTGACGGCCGCCGAGCCATTCACCTGTGCCACCGAAGCGGAAGCGCCAGTGTTCGCTGTGCTTCCTGCCGCATCATTGCTAGAACCTGCTGCCACCACTACTGGCGCTGCCGTCTGCTTTGATTTGGCTGCTGCCGCTGCGTAGTTGAAGGGCTGAGGCTTGCTGCTTCCGGAATGAGAGGTGGTGGAGGCCTTGGCGGTCACGTTGCTGTTGGTGGGCGTGTCGCTACCGGTCTTGCTGCTCATCACTCTTGTCTTTAATCGTGAGGTGCTTGGGGGAAATGCTGATGCACGCTTCTGATGTGGAGGAGGCTACGATCGCTTAGAGATCGCTGATTGCGCGTGTGCTGCAAGCAGGAAGTAAACCCGTTCTCGAGACTTCCTCGCGTCTTTTCTTACGAGAACCTGCACCAGGCAAGTCCACGAGCTGCAATTCTGAGTGAAGAGGATGCCTGATCCTGTTCAGATTGACGAATGGGCGTATGCTCGAGAACAATGCCTTCCCTTTTATGGTTGCCGATTCTGGCGGGATCACGCGATCTTCTCGCGAGTAGAGCCTGTAGTGACTATGAGGCGAGTGCTGAACAACGAATCAAGAGCCTGGCACGCTGCACAAAAGAGGAGCTCACGAAAGGCTTCTGCCCTTTCAATGCTCATCCAAAACTAAGCCACGCAGACGAAGCTATCGACACGATGCTTTTTGCCTGGCAAGAGGGAGCGGGCAGAAGCAAAGCGCGCGCTTTTGATGCTGCGGCTTCCAACCTGGCCTCTCGATGCCGTGCCTTGACTTGAGCCGTGGCCGAGGCGATTCCTTTCGGTCGTCTGCTGCCGCTGTCGAACCAAAGTATCTGTTGGAGGTTAGAGGTCTCCTCTTCCTCCTGATATCGAGGAAGTTGGTGATGATGATGATGGAGATGCAAAGGAGCAAGGTGAACGAACAAGACCTTGATCTGGATGACCCAAAATTTTGTTGCCCACCCACCCCCTGCACGAGGAGTGAATACAGTGGGAGAAAGAGACCGGATGTATGCGACCATTCTCTCACTGGCCCAGTGCACGCCTCTCTCCTTCTCTTCACCCGCACCCAGCTGGTGGGCGTCCGGCGCCAGACACAGCCCACTGGGCAACAGGGCACAGAGAAGACTTCGATACAGTTTCTCCCCTTTCATGCGGAAAAGAAAGAGCTCCAAGGTTGAGGGAATTCGCTATTGCTGCTGCCCTGGACCGCTCTCGCCCACACCGCCACATCCACATCCATCACCATCACCCTCTCCCTATTCCTCGTCATCTGGAAGCTTTGCTGGTAAGGGGCTTCCTATATACATGTATACCAGACACCTTCCAGTCACCTCGTCACGACTAGCAGGCTCTTGATTGAGTGACCAGTCCGAATTGAGATATACACTGTCTATGGCATGAGAAGCGCAGTGAGCCATGCTCGAAAGTCGGATCAGGTCCACCGACCAAATGGCCGCTACGAGGCACAAGTTACTGCGTAGTGACTTCGAAGTGTTGCCTGAGTTGCTGGAACGTCCTTCCAAATGCACCAATTGCAACGTGGCAAGGAGAATCGACTTTCAACCCGCGGGGGCATCAGCATCACTGCAAGATCTCCGTGCCACTCAGCACGCTGCGTGCATATCGGCCGCGCCAATTGCATTCCAATGCGTCACATCATCCGCCTTGTGCAAATCGATTATGGATTCAATGATTCCATGATGTGCCCGGCCAATGAACCTCATTGAATTTCGTTCCGAAAGGCGAGCGAGGCACATATGATGAAGGACAGTGGCATATGACTCATAAGATCCTCCTCACGTCCCGAGCCGCGGCAGCCTCTAATGGCAGGCCTCCTGTAACATCGTCGTGAATGGACGACAAGGATGGATGATGAAATGTAGGATCCGGAAGAACCTGAACACTCCGACGATGGGAGGTGCCTACATCTATTCGTTTGGCATTGGTACTAGCCCCGGTGGTCGTCGAGCTGCGCAGCCGCAGGTGGACGGTGGACTTTGAACGGTGAAGCGTGGCGGCCATGTTCGCGTTCGCGCGTGACGCGCAGTAGATAGGCTGCTGGCTGTGCGTCTAAACGTCTGGGCGCGGAACGCTGATGACTGAACGTCGAATGCCAGATAGTTCAGAGATCCTAGTAATCTCCTGATTGTAACACGTGAAATGCTAACGGTGACTGGTGAGCGGTAAGTATTTTGAATTTGAACCAGGAAGTAAATCGATGCGTGAGTGTGAGTTTAATGCTCAAAATTCGTACGTGCACAAATGTATCCTTCCATTCTTGAGTGTCGCAGATGGACCAATGATGATTGAGTGACTAGTTACTCAGGGCGGCCAACCGCTTAGTTCAGTGATCGAACTACAGATGGACAGGTCAATTCATTCGAGTGGGGGCCACGCGATTAGGACATCCTCCTCACTTCTCACAGTCACCACCACAGTCCACGCTAACTAGACCTTCGAAGGTGAGAGCGTGGTCATCTGATCTCTGACCTCTTCGAGACGTCGCGCAAGTCAACAATCAAATGAATCGTCGTCCTCGCCCTCGCCCTCCCATACTTGGGGAAGACATGCGCGCAGCAACATCAGGCTCATAGTGGGCCACGCTTGTAGCGCATGGACGCTAGGCTTGCGCAAAGGCCAGATCCTCTGCCTATTCGGCGACTCACCCTCCAGCGGGGTCATTGCGGGGATCATGTACTTTTCTCGTTGCTAATGCGTTGTGTGCAACGGCAGTGGCCAGCAGACACCTGGCGAGTACCGCGCTGTTCGCCAGCTCTCATCCCATCCTCTCCTTGAGTAAACTTTCCTTCCAGGACCCAGCAACGAAGCGTCCCCTATTTTGGTGAGAGATGCGCTTGTCATCGTGAGTGGCCTGTATACAGCCGAAAAGATTTATGTACGCTGTCAGGTCAAGTCAAGACTCGGGAACAACAAGTGTCTGAAACAGCATTCTCCGCTTGCTTGAGGTCATAAACAATGCGCCGCATCCACCGCATGTGACTGCCCGTCCTTGCACATCCTCTGTGGCTTCGAATTGATGAACACGGCCAGCTGGCTCATTGCTCAGGTGTACATGGAGCAATCGGGCCCAGCACATGTGACCATGTGAGCGGGGAAGTTGTGAGTACGTCATGAGTTATGAACGATGCCCTGCAGTAAATAAATGAACCCAAAAGGCGACGCTGGCGGCTGGCTGCTGACGACGAAAAATCTGGTATTTCAGTTGTCGACGCAAATAACGTCAGCGTCCGCGACACAGATTGCGCATCGTCAGACATTCACAAATAAGGTACCGTGTCAGTCACGACCCAGGACCCGCATGGCTTGCGTTGCGGACCGCTCCTGCTACATGCGTCGGCCCATTCTTCATCAGCCGATCGGCTTCGAGTCTCAGACTGCTACGTGAGTACTCCCATAATCAAGTTTGCGTTGACGAGCAAGCCGGGTCGCAAAACGGACTCATGAAATTAGAATTGTTTGGTGAAATAGGTTGCTGCATGTTGCATGTTGTTTTGCTTACAGCATGGCGATGAACCATGCTGAACGTTCGACGCTCGAATGTGAACATTCAAATATGAAATCCGAACACTGGACCCCTTCGGTGAACACTCGCCGCCTGTGCGTCCGAACGCCCAATCAGCCTTAACGAGCAACGGTGACACATACAAGATGCGCGAAGAGTCGGAACTCCAATCTCAGCAAAGGTTGTGCTGTTCGCGAGACCTGTCGCAAATCGCAACAGGGTCGGGACACACTTTCTTCCTTCTGCATTTGATACCAATCACTCGTCATTAGTTCGGGTCGGCGCAATCTGGACGTCACCGCAAGCCACTGGACATCGCATCATGCAGCTTTTATCGCACTTCATGCGGGCGCGTGCTTGCCTTCTCGAGCTAAGCGACATGGTGATTTGCTCGGCGACCTGGGATATTGTTGATCTTTGATCATCGATGACAATATTCGAAACTTGGATTTAGATCCACTTACATACACGAGAACTTCCTGTTGTCGCTTCAATCTACATCATGTTGCTCGTTTTGGATGATAGAAAAAGCCCGAGCAGCGCTGAAGCGAGCTCAGAGCTGGACTGCTGGAGTTGCTGGACTCTTGTCATTCTGGATCCCGGAGGAAGCGACAAAGCAAAGACTGCGGCCCCTGCTCCGCAGCTAGCGACAGGGAAATGTCCAGATGCGTTGATCTACTTGCATGTAAGCATGCAGCACAATACACTAGACAGAAATTACTGCCGCATATGTATGGAGGGAAGTTGTATTCAGAATTGCGATAAATGCAATCTATCATAAGAGCGGAATACTAACGGTGATGCGATGATAATGACGATGTGAGAGAAACTGGCAATGAGCTCCAGAGAGGTGCCAGGCCAAATGGATTGCAGAAAAGTCAGCTTTCTGTCCTTTCATGAAGAAGACACAACAACAGAAAGAGATGTCATGCAGAACGAGAGACCTGGGGAAGGCTGGAGAGAGAGCGTCAGAGAGACACATATAGAGAGACAGATGTGAGCTCGGAAGCTAGATGCTGCCCTCTGGCGCGCTGGCAGCTGGTTCACCCTGGCACAGACTGTTACCGGAAGCAGTCGCATCGATGCAGTTGCACCGTCTGTACGTATGAGAATGGATAATGGATTGATCCGTGCTCACTACCAGAGCCGAGTGGCTCTTGAAGACTTGTCGATGCCCGAAAAAGGCAAGAAAGACAAAAAGCAAGTGTGCCCCTGTAGGAGGCTGTCCGGCTATGTCTGTACCGGTCAGCACAGTCTACAGTCTGTGGAGTGCTACCCGTCCAAGCTCGCACTCCACAGGAGGAATAAGAACATTCACCACCTCACAGATGCGTACTGTACATACTAATTAGCACGACATACACACGAAGCTGACATACTGGGCGCAGAACAGAGCCAGACAGGACATTGTGGAGGCCAGAGCATTGCCAGAGCCTGAACTACACAGTTCTGATTGTGTGCCAGACTCTAATTAGCATCGATCACCCTGATCCAGGCGACATTGTCGCACTACTATGACTCTCGCTCATCAAGGAAGGACTTGATGAAGGACCGACGAAATGATGAGCTGGGGGAATCTACGACTCTCCGAAAGCCTGCAGCACGTGGCTGAGTGAAAAAGACGATACTTGATTATCAAACCATGCGACTCTCTCGACGGATCTAGAGTTGAGCGAGATTTCCGACACATGTCGAAGTAAGTCTTGCAGTGCCCCGAAGCGAAAAGGAAGGAAGCTCGGCGAATTCGATCTCTGCGGGCTGCCCAGTACATTAAATGCACAGGAGTGCATGACGCCACCTCTGCTGTTGCCTCCTGCCGCCACTGCTGGAACAGCAAAAAAACGTTCTTTCTGAGTGGTGCCACAGGGCGCGGAGCTGCAGTGTCTCCAGCCACCAGGCGTCGCGCTCGCGAGTCACGTGGGCGTAACAGGGCACGGCGACGTGACGTCGAAACTCGTTTGGGGCGGTACATCGTGAGCGGATCAAACTGAGAAATATCTACATACGTAGGTATATGTGAAATGTTGGATAGAAAGAGGGATGACATATTGGCCACTTGCTACGTGCCACACGCGAGTGTCTAGTCTTGTTATGCCCGTTCCGCCCTCTCCGAAATGAAAATCGTGCATCCATCGGTACGTACAAATGCCCGGAGTTCCATAGCGCGGAGCTGGGCAGCAGCTCACATCCGCAACCAGAGCATTGTCTGCCCCAATACAGCAAGTAACTATGAGAGGCGCTAGAGCAATGCAGAACATTCACTTCCCGAGTGGCTACCTATTCCCGAACTACCTAAATGGGATTCCCAGGGTTTCGCCCCGAAAAGGGTTTAACTTTCTCCAGAGGGCTAGAGCATGAAGAAAGTGACTGTCTCAGTAGAGATTCCCACAGCGAGGACTGCCAGCACTGTACCAGAGGAGCTTCACCCTATTAAGCAGAGTTCAATCAGAAGGCAAAGAACCGAGACAACCAACCAGCGAACGAACTGCGAGCAGCCACAGAACATTGAACGACCTAGGCTAGTCTGCTGCTTTTCTCTGTGTTGCAGCGCTCGAGGCGGCTCTGCAAAGACTGGGACAGAAGGAAAGAGAGGGGTGAAGAGCAGCGGCTCTCCGCATTGGATGAAAAGTGAATAATTCGCCCCTCCGGTCTCGGTCCGAAGTCACTCAGCCTCTCTTCTCCTGCGCCCGCTTCTCGCCCTCTCGTCACCGCTTCACTACCTCAAACTCGCCGAGGCGTTTCCCCAGCCAGTATAGTCTGTCGTGCCCCTTGGGGAAGCGTGTGCGGCCTTCTCTTATAGGTAGCTTACCCTTCCGCGAGGTATCTCGCATTGTTCTTTCGAATCGTCTGCCCCTTCTTCATGGACTCGACATCAACGACAACGAAGATGATATTTTATTGTTGATCGTATCTAACGAAAAGGAAAGGCAACGCAGAGACAAGCAGACGGAGGAGTCATTCAGTTGTCTCTTGCAGTCTGTGCATCACCTTACCACCCAGCCATCTCCAAAGCCCGTCGCCTAGTGAACTCGCCAATTCCTGTCTGCGGTTCTCCCAAGGCCTCCATTTCCCCCTTTCGGAAAACTGCGTCAGAACGAACACTGCGATAACATTTTCATTCATAGCATCAAGCGGCTCCAACCTCGCAGTCGCCGCTAGCTCCTTCCATCCTGCCCACGCTCCGTTTTCGGCTGGATCCAAAGCGTATTCGAGCGAATTGTGATCATCTAGAGCTCGTCGCCTCGACCTCGATCATATACTTGACCTTCTCAGGACGGCTCCATCCCATTATTGTCACCACTTGCACAACGTTGTTCTTAGAACAGCTCTACGGAATTCGACCATAATGGCAGCAGTAGCAACGCAATGGCCCACGGCTGTTGCGCCGCTAGAGCCACGGCACGGTCGAAGCAGCTCGGCGTCAGGTGCTTGCAGCACCCAGCAAGTGCAGCAATCGCACCCGCACCAGCAAGCTTCTTCCCCACGACTGGACTTTGACCGCTTTTACGGGCATAGAGGTATGTTTCATCCTGATGCGTGCATAACATGCACGAGTGGCGACTGATACTGTCATACTCCGTGTTGGCAGAACTGTCCGAGCTCTGCGAAACGGTCATCTCCGCTCTGTTTGCATGCCCTCTGGACTCGGCGGCTGCATCGGCAGCCTGCAACGGTACTGGCACCAAGGCGGGACGACAAGCGCCGCGCCTAGCTGAGTTCATCGCATATGCGGTGCATCGCACCCGGCTGCCTCTCGCCGTCACACACCAAGCTCTGTTCCTGCTCAAGAGGCTCAAGGCACGTTTCCCTGCTGCCAGGGGCTCAAGTGGTCACCGTCTCTTCATCTCTGCCTTGATGCTGGCGAGCAAGGCGAGCTGCGATGATACCTACAGTAACAAGAGTTGGACCATCGTCGGCCAGGGCTTGTTCTCGCTGCGAGAAGTGAACCAAATGGAGCGCGAGCTCTTTGGGTATCTCGGCTTCAAGGTCAACGTCAGCAATGAAGACCTCACACCATTCGTCGCCAGCCTAAACAGCGGGCGGATCAACGAAGCTATCTCCACAGTGCCAGCGCTAGCGCAGACTTATGCGGCGCCATCAACATCGACAGTGCCAGTCTCATCACCGTGCATTGCGACAGCACCAATCACGATGGCGGTAAGGTCCGAGTCACTCAGTACCATGCCACCACACGCCACATACGAGTCCGCCTCCGTTGCGAGCTCACCCTCACTCGTCGGGCCACACCGCTCGACTAGCCACCGCACTCGGCACCAGTCCACTGCAGAGACAGTCTCGACCTTCAACAACCGCGCGTCCATCTCCGGGTACCCGAGCGCTATGAGCCGCTCGTCATACTACGCCTCTGCATCACACCCGCATATGTACCACCCTCATCACTACGCGAGCACACTGCCGGCAGCGTCTTCGCCACGAGCAGCAGCGTTCATGCAACGCAGCGCCTCGGCGCACCACGAGCGGACAAGCAGCGCTCATGCCTTCCAGCAGTACACAATGGGTTTGCGCGAGGCATCTAACAGTGCACCGCCTGCATCTATGGTGCCAGCGATCACACCTCCTGCTCTTTCGCAATCGTACTGCATGTCGTCACCGTCATCTTCGTCCTGCTCGTCGCTGCGGCAATCCTTCTCTGCCGCCTCGACCGGCTCTTCGTTCTCCGCTTCTCCAAGCCCGAGCCTCATCGGTGGCAGCAGCTCGGCAAGTCGGTATTCTTCCTCCCTCTCCAGCGGTCGGACGACTCCAGACCTGGAAACACCGCCGACCGAGTTTGATGAGGATGCGTGCTACTCGGACTCTTCCGTCTCGCCTGTTGCACAGGATGTTGACGACGCGGCGTGGCAACATGGTGGCAATACACGCGCCGCCTCCCACGGCGCATCGTATGACGGTCGACCGTTCTATGCAGCGGTGCAGCAGCACGCTCACCAGTACCAACCGTACCGTGGTGACAAACATGATCCGACAGCGGCTATGCTAGCCAACTATGCGCCGCAATGGTCTGCATGATGACGGACACTTGGTTTCCATTACCTTCCTGCGCACAGTAGCATCTCGCATTTTATTCCCGCCTCCGACTTTTTTGCTTTTATTGTCGTTGGCCTTTTCGCCTGGTCCATTAAGCATCTCATCAACCAAAAGCCGGAATCCAGACGACGCACAGCACGTTGCAGAAAACAGGACTCATCTGTTCTTTGGGTTCTTGATTTCTTCAATGTTGTCTGTCTGGGCAACTCGGGGAGGGTCGAAGGTCCGCACGCTCAATAGTGTAAGCAGGGCCTCGTGCATCTCCACTGGTCAGCCTTATCGCGCTTTGCGGCGATTCATTTTCGGCTTGATCAAGTCAACTGCTCCAGCCTGGACCTACATCTCAACGTGATCGTCGTCCTCGTCCTCATTATCAACACCATCATCTATCAATTGCTTTATTAGACGCGTGAGACATGCGTCCATACCACACTGCACATGAAGCTAAGCGGTACAAACACCGCAAGCTCAAGGTTTCAGAACGAAGCTTCTCTCCTTGCAGCAACTTTTAACATTTCATCTCATCCGTCACTTTCTCTCAAACATGGAAGGCCCAAGGGCGTAACGGGCTTCGGGGGTTTACAACATGGTTCCTGTTCTTCTATGAAGGGTGCCTATCGTCGTCGCTAGCGCCTGCGCTTCGCCCGACCCACCAAGCGGGTTTGTTTCACCCTGCATTGCTTCTACCATACTCCGCGGCGACATATCTTCGCTCCTTTCCTCTTCCACCCAGAAATGTCACCGTCATACCAAGGCCTCTGGATGGCACAAGGTTCACGGCCCTCTTCTCCGATGGGAGGGGGGGCCGACTTGGCGCCTCGAGGTTGTCCGTGTGTGCTAGAATGTACCATTTAGCTAGCTAGCCCCTTTGCAAAAGCACGAATGACATCGTTGTACTACTACAATACCTCCGCTCTGCGCATGCCTCTCGCTTGGTCTATAAAGCTGCTTTGCATAGTTGCACGGGGTCAGTCCCGCAACGGCCCCGGACCTCATGTGCTCGTCTGGGTTTTACCCGGCGAAGAAATAGAGGGGGCAGGAGCCAGTTCGAGCTAGCAACACACTCAGCTAGCGCTTCTTGTGTTTACCTCTAGAATACATACTCCAGCCTGGCTTGGATGCTCAGGTCAACCATTTGACCGCTCGATCTTGAGACTCAACCTGGCTGCCTCATGTTCGCTAAATGCGTCCATGAGCAGCCGTGCGACGCAAGCTAAACGTATGCACGTACACTTCTACAGACAGACCGCGCCTATGATCAATCACCTTGAGATGGCTGCTACTGCAAACAAAGACAACCACAGTCACAGTTGAGATCACGGACTGGCCGGAGTTCAAAGTGGCGGCGGTCTGGTGATGTCGATGATTTACTTTGTAGGGCTGTGCAGCTGTGGGTCACCGACTGGAGATGAGTGGGCACAGCGGCGCAGCGACCGCACAGAGTCTTGCTGGGCCTTGTGGAGAGCATTGCCGACCCCCGAGGCGGAACTGAAAATCAACGTGATTGCACCTCAGCTGTTGGAAAAGTTCGCGATGGAACCTACTCGAGACTTGGGATCGAATCGAATCGACCTGCTCTCGCTCCAGAGCCCACAGGCATGGGACGAAGACAATGAAACGTTGTGGATTGTGGAGACGACGGACTGCTTTTTGTTTGTAGGAAGTTGCAGTGGCAGTCATCAAGGTATCGTGATGCTACCATACACCGTTAACCGCGGCTAGGTAACCCAGGGGGGTTACGGTTACAAACGTCGCTTCGATACCCCTCCATCGACCGCCTGCTTCGTCTGACTGAGCTATAATCACCTGTAGCGCTCCACCACCGAGGTCGTCAAGCGACCTTACTACGGACCTCACTACGGGCCGTGCCTCGCGCACAAGTAAGCCGCCAGCTCAACAGCCCTGCTTCCTGTTTGCATGGCTTGCTCTTTCGAGTCCATTTAGCATAACAGCCATCATGACACCACCCGGCTTAGATCAGAGTCAAGCCGGGCCGTCGGACCTCAGCAAGTATCAACCCTATCCGGATCAAGCGCAACGCAGAGGCGGAGACAAAGGCTTCGCATCGCCCGAACTTTCCTCATCCTTCAGCACACGCTCTACAGATTCAGAGGAAGAATGGCAGAAGGATCGACGCTATGCAGTTGTCGTCGATGCTGGTTCCTCCGGCTCGCGCATGCAGGTCTACTCGTGGAAGAATCCGCCGGTCGAAAAGAGCCTGCGCGAAACGAGCTCCGAGAGCACCAATGTGCTACCTACCGTCGAGAAAGGCACGTGGGATGAGAGCAAAATAGATTGGCAGCTTAAAGTCGAACCTGGTGAGCCCTTCTCTACATGTCGTGCGCTCTCTGTATGTGCTTCAATAACACATCGCTCAATCTGCAGGCATCTCAACGTTCGGCAGTCATCCTGAAGATCTCGAACCTTACCTCTCTAAATTATTCACATACGCCTTATCAATCATCCCAACGTCAGAGCAGAGTCGCACACCGGTCTACATGCTTGCGACAGCCGGCATGCGTCTGCTTCCTTCGTCGCAACGCAATGATATTCTGGCGCGTACATGCTCCTTCATCAAAGAGAGAACGCCTTTCGATGTGGGTGTCGACGCAGAGGGTTGTAAAAAGCATGTGCAAGTCATTACTGGTGAGGAAGAAGGTCTACTCGGCTGGATTGCCATCAACTACCTGATGGATGGTTTCCAGTTCCGAGAAGGTCCCGGTGCAACCACTCCCGTCACAGTCGAAGGCGGTGGCGGCGGCGCCACGAAGGAAGTCGATATGGCCAAGCAAAAGTCCACATACGGCTTCCTTGACATGGGCGGTGCTTCCACGCAGATCGCTTTCGAGCCCAGCGCCAAGGCGCTTGCTTCGACCAAACAGGGACAGATGGCGGTGGACGGCCTGGCGACTGTTCGCCTTCGAATGCTTGACGGGACTGATGTCGAGAGCAATGTCTTCGTCACGACATTCCTCGGCTTTGGCACCAACAAGGCGAGAGAGCGCTATGTGGAGCAGTTGGTACACGTCAACACACAGCAGACCAGTACGTCCGGTGCCGCTGCTGAATCAAATGCACATACTGCGGCACTACCGGACCCGTGCCTTCCAACCGGCCTTGTCCTCCCCGCCGATTCCTCGCCCCATGTCAGCGTAGTTGGAACCGGCTCTTTCCAAGCATGCATGGCTTTCCTCAAACCGCTGCTGCAAAGAGAAGCGTCCTGCTCGCATCCTCCCTGCCTCTTCGACGGTGTCTATGTACCTCCAATCGACTTCAGCGTCAATCACTTCATCGGTGTAAGCGAGTACTGGTATTCAACCAACGATGTCTTTGGCCTGGGCGGTGTGTACGACTGGGCTGGCTTTCAAAAGGCTGCAATCGCATATTGCTCGCGTCCTTGGGAGGAGCTAAAACGAGACTTCGATCGCGGCAAATGGAAAGGCAAGAACGTCGATCAGAATCGACTGCGTATGCAGTGCTTCAAAAGTGCGTGGATGACCACGATACTGCATGAAGGCATTGGTATCCCACGCATCAACGATCGAAAGGGCAAAGGCGATGGCGAGGATCACGCGAAAGCGGCGCAAAACTTGGCGAACGATAAGAATCTTTTCCAGAGTGTCAACGACATCCGCGGCCTCAGCGTCAGTTGGACGCTCGGCAAGGCTATACTCGAGGCCAGCCGGGGTATTCCGAGCCGGCTAGGCCAGCTCCAGGGCGACGTTGCGGGTCAAATGGACACGGGCTTAAGCAATGTCCGTCCAGGCCCTGGTAACTTGGTGCATGCTTCGCCGTTCACGGGAACCGGGATCGGCAGAAAAACAGATGGTGCATACATTGACAGGATCTCCGGCGTGCAACTCAGGCCGAACGTGGAGAGCTTGCTGCTGGTGTTCGTGCTCGCCATGCTGGCACTCAGCGCCATCGCGTGTAGCGTCATCAACCGCACACGCTCTTCCCGTGCTCCGCGGCCGAGCGTCCGAGGTTGCGCGTATGCACTTTTCTCGCTCTTTTCCGGTAATGCCAAGGGCAAGGGAAAGGGAAAGGGGAGGCGCTATCTTTACGAGCGCATAAATGACGAGCTGGCTCTATTCGAAGAGGGTGCACGTACCACGCTGCCACTTGGCAGCAACAGCGAAGTGTCATCCGAAGACGATGACGGTTTCGTCAGGGAGCACCGACACGGTGCTGCGCAGCGCCGAACACAGCCGGGAGCTGTAAGCTTCTTCCTGCGCGCCCTCTTGCCGCCTTCGTGGCGAGCTGCGCTCGTTCGTAGTCTGCGGTCTACTGGTGCAGGCCGAATCGCTGCGGCCAAGCGACGGAGATTAGGGAAGCGTAAGGCGACAGCAGCAGCCAGTCTCTCTACGCGCGGGCCTGGTGACGGGCCCAGGCAGATCCATGGCCAGGGATGTGGAAACGGGCTCGAGATGCGCATGAGTAGGCCCGGTTCCCCATCCGCTCTGGTGAGCATTGCGATAGGCACGCCAGGCTCGCCTTTGCCTGCGGCAGACGGCTCCCGCCCAGCGACCAAACGGAATGACACGGCGAGCAGTAGCAGTAGCAGCATTTCGCGTCCTTCCTCGCGCGCGGCGATCAGTCGCCCTTCGACCGTGCACAGCAATGCCAATCCGGTCGGGCAGACGCTGGTCACCGGCATGACGCCCAGCCGGCCTCCGTCACGCATTAACTCACCCTCCTCGGCGACAGCAGCTGCAGCAGGCTCGCCTGGCGTGATTACTCCGCGAAGCACGAGCAGCGCCGCGTCGACCAGCTTGAGACGCGCAAGTGAGCGCGGGAATCCTTTCGATGATTGACTCTTGGGGAAGCAGTGAGGTCATGTGGCGGGCCTTGCCATGATAGACTGTAACCAGCCGTTGAAAGCATTGCACTCTATGGGCGAATACATCACTGTTAGCTGGGCCACATGTAGTGTACGATCAACGTTTCCCACCGATTACGCACATCGGTGCTCCCGTCTTCGCCAGTTTCTGAAGATCTTCTACTGTGCTCAAAGCCGAACACCGTCTTGGAAGAACGGAAGGCACAACGACGAAGGCACTGTTCGCTTTTGGCACAGTCACAGTACATCGGCTTGTCCGGGCTGTGGCTTTTCGCTGGGCTCTCGCCCCCATCTTGCTAAAGGTACGCAATAGCAACGACGATTCTTCATTCAGGCAGAGAGGTCGTTGCGCACCCCTCAGCATCCCGCAGGACGCTCGCGACAGCGCGGGCAAGCGGATGGAATGCCGGGAGTCACGTAAGAATCCACGGTAGGTCCACATACAACCCGTAACCGAATCAATCCCGAAATAAGCGACCGGAAAGAGACGGTAAGGAGCGTGCCTAACCTTTTCAAAACAACTGCGGTTCAGCGAGTCGGCCCATGTCGCCTTTCAATGCTTCAACGCTCGTGCAAACTTGGGCGACTGTGCTCTCCCGGTTGCGAGCGCGATCCACGCGACGGCGGTCGCGCCCAACCCGACAGCCATGGTCCACTTGGCACTTATGATTGAAAAAAAGGGGGGGGGGTTCAGCATCGACGCTCGCAAGGCTGGGCACCTACATCATCCCCTGGGTTCCACAGGTCGGTCGAGTTGCTCAGTCGCGTAGAGCCCTGAGAATAAAGTCTCAGAATGAACACGCTTCTCATCGCTGAACAGCACATGATAACTGAATCTTCATCGGCTGCAACGCCTCGTCGGTCCGATACCCCCCCTCTTAAATCGTTGCTCGACACCGAGACGTCATTTTTGACGGTACGAGCTGGTACACTGAGATGACTGAGGCCCTGAGGGAATATTCTGCTCGTTTCACCCCTGCCGCGGTCGCAGCATGTACACACAGAGACTTTTTGGTTCAATTCGCGTCGTTGCGAGGAGGCTGCCCAAAGCTGGAGGTCGAAATGCAACTTGGAGCTGGCCACGGGACTGAATGCTGCGAACGGACAACAGGTGTGCTCTGCTGCCTGTGGTGTGTTCGCACTTGAGACGTCTCTTATTGGTGATGATGCTATTCGCTGCGCCTTCCTGCAGCCTGCTGGCCTGTTGCCAGACTGCGCCGTTGCGCGTTCCGCCAGTGTGAATTGGATGAATTGTGAATGGTCGCAGGAGGTTGTGGCATTGTGCCGGCTCTCAATATATTTTTAAATGATAAAACCCTTTCTTTTTACATTTAAGGGTATGTGATTATGTGGGGACTGGTAGCGCTTTCGAGGGCGTCAACCTGCCTTCTGCCTCACAGCCCCCTGGCGCCCTCATCTTGCAGCTGACGAGCGTGTGCGGTGTGCGCCTGCGCCGCTCCATCCTCCGCCCAATCTATCGAGGTCTCCCTCTCCCCCCAAAAGCAAGCGCTCTCTCTCTGTGCCCCTGCTCAAAAGCGAGAGACGCGATTCCAATTCATCCTGGCGTATCGATATCGACTCCTTCACTTCACAGGCCAGGTTCCTCCAACTTGCCCACCCGGAGCTTGCATCCTCCTTTCGCCTCGCGTTCGCACTTCTCCAAAGCACACTTTTTCGCAGCCGTCTACAGAAAGCTCAATCCTCATTCCAACACCAGCGAGCGCCTCGACTCGCTCCGCCGCTCCTTCTTATCTTGGCTGCACGCCGTACACCCCGAGCCGATCCAGGAGCGGCTTCACAGTCTAGTTTCACTCTCGAAACACTTTGCAGCTCAATATGGCTGGGATAATGCCAGCGCAGTTCCTGCGGGAATACAAGCTCGTCGTCGTCGGTGGAGGTGGCGTCGGCAAATCTGCACTGACCATCCAGTTCATCCAGAGCCACTTTGTGGACGAATATGACCCTACCATCGAAGGTGAGCGTGGCCTTCGCCTTTCATGCTCGCCTCCCAAAATAGCTACCTCTGCGTCGATGCAGCATGGATAGACGTAACGGATCGGACTGCTGACGCGCGCCGCTTTTCCTTCTCTACATCTCTATTTGATAGACTCGTATCGGAAGCAATGCGTGATCGATGACGAGGTCGCGCTCTTGGACGTCCTCGACACGGCAGGCCAAGAAGAGTACAGGTGCGATGCCCGATATGAAAAAGTTCGCCTACCCATGCGTTGACAGGATCGTACCCCCCCCCCCCAACTCCGTCCCTTCACTTCTGCAGCGCCATGCGCGAGCAATACATGCGCACAGGGGAGGGCTTCCTACTTGTCTACAGTATCACTAGCCGCAACTCGTTCGACGAGATCTCCACGTTCCACCAGCAGATCTTACGCGTAAAGGACAGGGATCACTTCCCCGTCGTCGTTGTGGCGAACAAGTGCGACTTGGAATACGAGAGACAAGTTGGGAGCCATGGCGAGTGTGCGCCGAGCCCGGATCAAATAATGAGAGTGGAGTCTGATTTGTGCTTGTTTCACTCGACTCGCTATAACCTACCACAGAGGGACGCGAGCTGGCCAAGCACTTTGGCTGCCGCTTCATCGAGACCTCAGCCAAGCAGCGGATCAACGTCGACGAGTCGTTCAACAACCTCGTCCGCGAGATCCGGCGCTTCAACCGCGAGCAGACCAGCGGCCACATGGGCGGCGGCATGGGCGGCGGGCACGGCGGCATGGGCGGCGGCATGCAGCATCTGCAAACTGAGGATGGGAGGCACGGAGAGGGGTGCTGTGGGCGATGCGTGGTCATGTGAAAGCGCTAGCACGCTTCCGACCCACTGCCACTGGTTCTTTGTGCATGCTTCTGGTGGCATACAAGTGGCAAGGAAGACAGGGAAAGAGGGGGGAAGAGGGGGGAAGCATTCAAGCACAAACATCCTAAGATTCAAGGCATCTTTCCCGCACGGGCCAGTTTGATCATGGCTCACTACGATGCATGACAAAAGTCACGACGACAATACCACCACCAACACCATCGCTGTACTTCCATCTATCCATCCATTCATCCATCCATCATTCGACTGCAATCCGCGCCGCTTCCACCTCATCGCGGCCCATCCATTCATAGTCTTGCTCGCATCTACCTCCTGCGGCGCGGGGCCATCATGTCGCAGGCTAGGCAAGCAAGCGATGGACTATTCAAGCAGCAATGGAACGCTTCGCACCTCTTGCCTTACCGCCTTGCCTCTCCATCCATCCATCTGTTTCCTTCTCACACACACCTACGCACACGTCATGTCTTTCTACTCTCCATTTCCCCTTGTCCTTACACTTCATGTTTTGGTTCTTCGTTCGTTCGTTCGTTCCTATTTCCTCCTGCTTATGTACAACAGTCTCGCATGGCTGTGTGGATTCCAATTGGATGAAGATGACGAAACATCTGGAACCATGTGCCCGCGGCCACTATCCGAATCGGGATGCATCGCGTTGATTATTACGCATTGCTCTTTGTACAGGTACCACAAGACTTGATGCCAGCACAAATCCTCAAGAATGCGGACTGCAGCGTGTACAAATAGCAGCCATAGCAGTAGCCAATAGTCAGCTGGTGTGCGACTGACTGGGAGCGGAACACGGAACTAGATCTCTCCACTCATCTCTGAGATGAGAAAGCCCTCTAAGCGCTTACATGCTCACCAGTTACCACGATCACGCTGAACACAGCGCGTCTGACCCTGGGTTGGGCAAAGAGCAATTGCCCGGTGGTACTCGTCGTTTTCGAAAGCGATAGGCCTTTGAGGATCCAGTACAGCACGCGCCGCAGAGCCGCTGTAGAGCATATTCGTCCGCACAGCTTTCAGTTCGCAGTCCTCTTGCAAGATGGCGATCGAGTGAGCCTAGCTTCGCTAGGGATGGATGCGGTCCACTACGTTGTGCATGCTGATCATGGTCCTTGATGACATGCTCTCTCGTGTTCGCACAGTCAATCTCTCTACCTGGACAGCGCCATTCGGGACTGGGTGCTCATCCCTATTACGTGAGTTTTGCCCATTATAGACTTGCTCACCAAGGGGAACTCGTGTAAGAAGTTAAAGCTGACCAGTCTGACGCCATGCACAACGTAATCCGTGCGCATACAGCCTGGTCATGGTCCTCGTCGGCGTATTGCGGCACAATGTCACGATGCTCATCAACAGTCCGCCGAAGAAGAGTACACTTGCGAAGATTCGGGAACAGTGAGCATGGGATTTGACGCCCTTATCCAAAAAGGACCCGTCGGAAGTTGACGCCTGCTCGACTTGCAATCGACGCTTATCTCCAGACGAGTCCTCGGTCGTTCACAAGCGTTGCAGGCTAACTACTTCCAGCTGCCGCCGTCTTCCTTTGTCGCGCGACGGGCGTACCTGATTGACGCGCTCGGAAGCGGCAAGTACCTCGCTGACCCCGTCAAGCCCGGTTCAGAACCCAATAAGCCGAAGAACCCTCTGACCGAACCCGGTGGAATGGACAGTATGATGGAAGGCATGAAGAAGAGCATGGTGATGATGGTGCCCCAGACCGTAATCATGGGTTGGATCAACTTTTTCTTCAGTGGATTTGTCCTGAGTGCGTAAAAAAGCTTCGGCTCGACCTTCGCATTAAAGTGTTGCCGCCAGCCGCCATCGCAAAGGCTGACCAGAGCTCTATATTCCCCGTCCCGACGCACTTTCTGCCCTCTGCACGGCAGTCAAGCTGCCATTCCCCTTGACGTTGCGCTTCAAGCCGATGCTGCAACGGGGCATCGAGACACCAGATATGGACGTCACCTGGGTCTCCTCTCTCAGCTGGTATTTCCTCAATCTGTTTGGCCTCAATGCAATCTATCGCCTCGTGCTGGGTGACGGGAACGGTGAGCAAAGCACAGCGTGTGTCGTCGGTTCATTGGCTCTGACATCACTTTTCCTTCCTCTCTCATCTGCTTCGCCCACCTGTGTCTTGTTTATCGCGGCTGTACTCCAGCTGCTGATGGGACACGCGACATGGCCGCGATGGGCAACATGGCAGGCGCCGGCATGCCAGGTTTGCCTGGCCAGACGCCCGACGTTGCCAAAATCCACGCAGCCGAGCGCGACAACCTCGAGCTGGCCGGTCTCGACCTGCTCGATTTGGTCAACCGGCCTTCCCCACCACCCGGCGTGCGCCGATGGATCGGTGATGGCATCGAAGGACGTGTGCTCGCGTTGTATACTCGCTAGTTACGCAGTTTTTCAACTCTCAATTTTCGCAAAGAACAGATAAGACATTATTACAGAAGTACGGTGACATGGAATAGAATGTTCGAACGCGCGTATTTGCGAGCTCGGCTGGACAACATGCTCGTCGTAGGCAAGGGCGAAGCCGCTGTCCACAACCATTGTTATTGCGTATCGATGATTGGCAAATATGGATCTGATCCAAAGCGTTGTCGCATCGCCTCTTCAGCATCGCCTTGCTGGCCGGCACTCGTCGCCGCTTGTCCTTCGCCGCTGCTCCTGTTCATCGAGGCGGGCGTTTCTTCTAACTTGTGCACAACAGGCATGCCCTGCAGCTCAGAAATTTCGTTCGCATCGCCACACGCCCCATCTGCCATCTCTCCTTCTCTCGATTTGCTCTTGCTCTCCGATGTGCACCGGCTGCTGTAACTGTCCTGTCGCCGCTGCTGCTGTAACTGCATGTTAGCGTGGTCGTCCTGTTCTGGAGCCTTGCTGGCCTGTCGGCTCATAGGGTTCTCGCTACTTTCGCCTGGAGTCGCTCCCTCACTGATGACAGTGAGTGATTGCCGCAGGAAGCCGCCCTGCGCGTCTTCCGCCGTCCCTAATGACTTGCCCGTTGACGCCGGGCCCGGGCCGACAGCTTCGAGAGACTGCGTAGAGGACGGGCGTGTGATGCCCGTCGTCAGATAAGGTCCTACGCCTTCTTGGTCACCTTCCTCAACGTCCGTGGGATACCCGGGCATCGACCAGGCAGACTCATCTTCCACTTCAACTTCACCGGGCAATAGGATGGCGCGGTCGATCGCCACGGGCAGGCCTCTGTGTCGACCACGTAGCATGACGGCGATGACGATCAACTTGCCCAGTGTGTTGAAACGGCCCGAGAGAGAAAAGGCATCGGAAGGCGTACCCGTGCTGAGACCGACCGTACCCTGCAATGAACATAGACCCATGTCAGCACAGCATAGCGCCAAAGGGAGAACGATACAACACTCACGTATGCAGAAGTCAACTCGAAAAGGCATGAAAATACTGCAAAGGCAAACGAATAACCACGTGAGTAAGCGGCGGGCTGCAGTTCGTCTTTGCACTCCTCACCTGTAAACCACCCGTTTGAAGCTGGATCTGTAATCTCATCCCTTTGCACAATACAGAGCAGCCACAATGCGAGGCCGAGCCACCACATATCTGCGATGTGGGTCATGAAAACATGAAGATCAATGAGACGTGAATCCAGCGGCCAAGCTCCAGGACCTATATTCACCGAATGCTAATTGGCGCCTGGCATGGCTCGCAAGGTACCTGCTCCAAACTCTGGCATTAAGCTCATTCGGCTCTTCTTCCTTCTCAGAAACATCCTCAAAGATGCCGAGTGACTTCTCCTCGTACACATTAGTCGACCGGACTGACATGGCACTGCAAGAGATCTGAAGGTCAGCTTTCCCTTTGGGGTCTCAGCAGGCATTTTGGCTTACATAGGGAAAGCGGACAAGTACATCATGATGACAAAAAGCGTCCTAAAGGAGCGAAAACTAAAGTCAACGATGGGGGACACAGGCATTTCAGAAGTATGCCTGACACTTACTGAACAGCTGGGGCCAACGTCAAGATACTAACGACCTGCCATCCAGCAGCACGTACAGCAACACCCTGCACAAGACCGTCGAAGATTCGTTGCCCTACGGGAATTGCCTCGATGATGGGGTTGCCAATGTCGAGGAGAAGGAACATGACCCAATCGGTCACGTTGAGCATGCAGAGAATAAACAGCAGAAACCACGTCTGGCTAGATGGGAATAGGTAGACGAAGCAACGCCGCGGGTGGTCGAGGAGGAAGCGCAGGCTCTCGTGCGTGCGCGAGGACGATGGCGTGAGCTTGGAGAAGACCCATATGAACAGACGCAAGGCGATCGGGAAAGCCGTATTGCCGAGTAGGATGAGCATCGCGATCGAAGTGAGAGGGAGGTATGCGTCCTGCTGTTGAGTCATACTCGTATCGATCAATGACATGCCCGTGTTGGTGTACCTGGCGGCGAGGAAAGAGACAGATGAATACGAAGATGCCATGTTTGGCACAATGTGGTTCCAAAGCAAAGCCAACTCAGAGTCACGACCGCTGTACTCACGCAGAAATGTTGGCAAAGAACCAGTACCACGTCCAATTCGGCGCATGGGTCCCTTGCACTTCGAATACCGAGCCGTACTTGTCCTGGAAGGCCTTGCTGTTGGCATATGGCACATTCAGAATGATGAAGAAAAAGTTGACAAAGAGGATGTAGGCGGGGATGATCTTGGAAAGCAGGTCGATCGCCTGATACTCGACGCCGCCGAGCTCGTCGCGCTGCTCCTCGGTCAACTGGTGAAACTGCGAATTGCGCGAGACGAGCACGTCGAAAGAGAAGTAAGGTGCAGTGCGCACGCCCTCCGTCATGCTGTCGCTGAGCCCCCGGCCGCCGAGCGAGTGCGTCGAGGCGAGGGTGGACGTGCGTGGCATCACCTGGCTGCGGTGGAAGATCGTGTTGAGGATGTAGCGCCCGAAGTCGACCGGTGTGGGCCAGCCGCCAAAACCGGTGTTCTTTGTCATGGACATAGTCCTGTGGATTTGCAAACCGCTCATGCTCGTCCGCGTCCGCCGCAGATCGCGGTAGGAACCCTGCGTCATCATCGACCTGCGCGTCGCAGTTCGCTCGAACTCGAGGCCAGTCGGTCGGTGGCGCAGTCCGCCTGGCCCGCCCACGCTGAACCCTGCGCCTGCACCTGCGCTACCTGCCCAAGCGCCACCGCCGGCGCCAGGCCCGAAGGTAGCATTCGTTGCTGTCACCGCAAAGTTCGGGAGGCCGCCTTGCTCGCCATGGCTGTGCCTGTGCGTCGCGCCGACCGGCTCGGCGAAGCCGATTGTCTGCGCGCGCGGCATCGGGTCAAACGTGGCAAGCGGTGGAGCATGGCGCGGTAGCGTGCCAGTGTTAAAGTTATACGCACCCTCGGAACCTCGACGCGCGCGCCTTCGCAGCGGGTCGTACTGCTGCTGGGGGTGGAGTTGGGGTGCGTGCTGAGGCGCGTGCGTGACGCCAGGTCGATTCTGGGTCATGGAAGCGGTCGACCGACTAGCACGAAGATAATGCGGCGCGGACACGCCTTCCGACGAGTCCGCTGCAGCCTCGACATCAGGCATACCATGGCCGTCGGCAGAATGCGTGCGCACGTGCTGCGCGGAAGCCTGCTCGTTGCGCCGCAGCTGTTCGGCACGCAGCGCTCTCGCACGCTCGGCACGCTCGGCGCTGCGCTGAAATGCGCGCATGTAGCTCATCTCTTCTGCTGAGTCATCCTCAGCGCCGCTCCCGCGATCTGACTTGAGGTCATCGTGCTCCTCTGCATCCTCCTCGTATCCAAGCCTTTTCTCCTTCTCCAGCGTCTTTGACCCAGCATTCGCGTCGCATGCTTGACTGCTAGCGCTGTGCGGCAGTGCGATGCGAACGCTGGGAACGTTGGTACCCGAACCTGTGCCGGCGCCGGCGCCTGCTGACTCGGCAGTCGGTGACGTGCCCGTGGGCAGATCGATCTCCTCTGGCTCTTGCGTCAAGCGATTAGACAGGATCCCGCTTCCGCTAGGCGCATTGCCAAGGCCGCCTATGCTTGCGGAAGCCGGGAGGCCTCCCGCGCCTGTGGACGCGGAGGCACGCCGGTCTCGCATCAGGTGCGGCGAGTCGGGGATGATGCTGGGGTTCATCAGCACGGCGGGCTGGTCCGCTCGTCTGATCATCGCTGCAGTCAGCGGGCCCTTGCGCTTCTTGTTCCTATCCTTACCCCTTTCCTTTTTGGACTGCTGCTGCTGTGGTTGTTGTGGAGTGTGCTCAGGCACATCAGAAGAGCTGACACTGCCTAAGGACGCTGCTTTGCCTGCATTGCCAACCTGATGCCGCTCACGATAGTGCTCGACGGGGAGGCCTTTCTCGTGAGCATATTCCGCGGCACGTGCTGCTGCTGTTTTCTCTTCTTCTCCATTGGAGCCTTTGCGCTTGCTGCTGCTGCCGTTGGGGAGGCGGCCGGAAAGGAGTTGCTGGACCTTTCGGATGCCCATCTGACGCTCGGCCCAGATGCGCCTCTGCGCCTCGCGCGCCCTGCGTCGCAGCTTTGGGTCGGTGCGGATCTGCTGGTCAAACTTTCTACGGAAAAAGTAGCGGCGCACCCAAACCATTGTGAGGGAGACGGTGGTCAGGTTGCCGAGGACCATGGCGAGGAAGAGGATCGCCTGCTGGAAGGCAGTGCAATTGGAGATGTTGACTGTCGCAAGGCCCGTGACGGTTATGGCACTGACGACGCAGAAGAGGCAGTCGATGTATTTGATGTGCACAGCCCCATTGGCGGCGTAAAAGATACCGGAGAGGATGAGCGGCGTGAAGACAAAGAATAGGACATGGACGCGCTGTAGCAACGAGGAACAGGCAGGGGTGAGCATGCGAACACAAATTGCATCGCACAGCGGCGTGCCGCCATCTGCTGAGAGAAGAGCTATTGCCACCGCGAAATATGATACAGACGCACATAAAAATTGAGATGCTCTCCGGCCAGCTCGCGTATGCTGTGAGCAAGACGGCGACCAGCGCCCTGTTCCCGCCTCTGCAGGAAGCTGGGAGCTCGCAGCGAAGACATGTTGTGTACCGACTTCTCCCTCTTTTCGGCCAGCCTTTTGCTGCTAGCAGTAACCCCCTATTCCCACCAGGCCGGAGGCCTGCCCGCCGTCCTTGTGGCCTGGTCTCGGTTTCGACAATGCGTGCGGAGTGTTATGTCAGATCGCCCCTCCGCTGCATGTCTGGTACTGATCTGATGATGGTTGCTCGCTCCCTCGGCCTCTCGAGTGCGGGGATCAGCACGCGGCCTGCTTTTTGCCGCTAGTTGAATCCAGCTAGACTCGCTTGTCTGGCTGCCTAGACCTTACCTGCCACATAAAGGATGAGGATAAGGGAAGGCCTGAGACCGCCAGCACTGGTTATTGGTCATTGACTATGTATGAGGTGTGTGAGTACACCCCACCCACCTGAAGTCTGGGGCGCAGGGGGGATAGGCATCGCCAAAAGCGCTCCAGCGGAATACGGAACAGCGCACACAAAAATAAGCAGCGAGTTCGCTGCAATCGTGCTAGGTATAGAGCGAGGTAGGTTGGCTGGTTAGGACGCAGGATCGCTAGCAATGGCCGATTGCGTCGAGCTGTCACGTAACGCAGAATGAAGTAGAATGTTATTTAAAGGCGCGCATAATATGGTCAGTTGGATCTTTGCCCAAGAAACATGCGCACATTGGACATCCGTTCAGATAAGATAAATGCACTTTTCCCGTGAGAAGGGACTCGTCTTTGAAGCAAATGAAGACCATTCACACGCAAGCCAATCGCTTCTGCGTTGCTCAAGGTTTTGTCGGAATATGAATTCAACCGCACGCCTTTTAAAACGGCGCCATGTGCCCTTCTACTACTGGAACGCGCCGGTATCCTTGGTCAGTAGGATGAATCAGAAGCCTGAGGCCATCGGCGATGCAGGACTTCAACAAAAAGAGGTCCTCATTTCATCAGCGCAAGGTGGGGTGCAAGGGACGGATTTGGATGTGCTCCCATTCACGTAAGTCTTCCTTCGTCGCCAACTTCATCGTTGGTCCGCTGCGCCCTGGCGGCCATAGCGCCCCTTCTTCATCCGTCAGCTCCTCGTATAAGTCTTGAAAGATCAACGATTCCCGTGACTGGCGCAAGCGAGGCCCTGCAACCTGATTCGGAATCCGGACTCTGCTGGCACACCCTGTACTTCTGAGTTCTGATAAGAAATCTTTTTTTTGGTTTGTTTTAAGAACTAGGGTTATGCCCGACTGTCGCACAGACATCTTCTTTCATTGCCTATTTTCTGACGGTCGACCATGTGACTCAATGGAATTATATAGGTGTACATTGCATGCACGACCCCGGGGGGACTCATGTATATTGCATTGCAGTAAACAGCTGCAGCTGGCGTTGCTTGTGCCGTAGGAGAGTCGAAACCCTGCCGCTGTTCGGCTGAACCAGAACCGCCGGCCTAGTGGACTGCGTCTCGAGGTAGTGTGACTCTCCCACGTGGATCCCCAGTGCGTGGAGAAGAACGAAAGTGGACTACGAGTTCGCGACGCTCGTTCGCGCTCAAGCATGAAAAGGAGAGACGTACGCAAGTGGATCTTATCACGTGCACCCGTCGGACTCTCATCCTCTAATCAAGACCAAGACCAAACCCAAAACCAAGCAGAAGCATCTTCAACTATGACTTCTTCGAAAGCAGCCAGCGCGTCAGCAGCAGACCAGGCTGAAGCGCCAGCCGGTGTGCTGTTTCCTGCCTCGCATAGCTCCAACTGGGAGGCCGAGCTGGAGGCGATCGCTGCACTGCTCCGAAGCAGCAGCTTGATCAGTCGCAAGGTTGCTCTGCAGCAGCATATACCCGCCCTCTGCAGGCTGGGGGGCGATGGTGTCGCCGACCGTAGTCACGGGTCAGAAGGTGTGCAACGTTTCCCTTTCTTTCACTGCGATCGCTGCAGTTCTCTTTGCATCCTTGGCTGACTTTAGATGGACCCCTCTCCCTCCCCATCCATTCCCAGCAGTTTTAGACGTGAAGCAAGTCACACAGCTCCTGCACGTCATCCTGCACTCCACTCTGCTCCGCTACATCGACAGCGACTCGCAGCGGTATGTACGCATCGCGGCCGCGCCGCTGATTGTCCGTCTGCGCACCCTCACTAGCGACCCAACGCACGGTCGCATCGCCACAGCAGGACTTGCATCCGTCATCAAGCTCCTTTCCGAGCAGACCGCAGCAATATGCGGCGGCGGCGCGGCACCAACATCTTTCTCGGCGACGGCCACGAGACCAGCCAGTGCGCCGACAAGCCGCGCCGCCGTGTGCGAATGGCTCTCCATGCTGCTTCACGTCCTCCTCGTCGGTCGTGCTCCCGCTGGGCCCGGGACAGGGCCGCCGAGCGGTGCGGGCGGCGCTAAGGGCAAGAAGCGCACAGTTCGCAAGGTCAATGCTGCTGACGCTTCCGCACATCATGATGCTGCTGGAAAAGACTCGAAGGAGGAGCAGGTAGCGCTTGCGGTGGTAGCGACGCCACTCGATCAAGTGCAACAGGATGCAGCCAAGGAGGTGCTCTGGCTCCTTGCTCGCGCTTTCGACTCGGTCGTTGGCGATGAAAAAGGGAGGGAGACTATTAGGAAGGGTGTCCTTGTCGACTTGAGACGATGCATGCGTGCTGTGAGTACGCTTCGTCTTGGCTCGATGAAGGTGCTAAAAATTCCTGGCTAATATATATTGTCTTTTGTTGAATGCGCATACAGTGCCATACCCACATCCCTTTCCTACTTGACCTTCTCATGGCCCCGACTGCGTCTTCTGGCGTCTCTGCGACGGCATCAGCGCAGCTCGCGCTGCCGCTCATCGGCCTGATCCTCGACGTATGCCTGCGCCTGCGCGTCGGGTCCGAGCAGGCGAAAGGTGCGCCAGACGGCGTTGGCCGCTCGTACGTCCGCGCGTGCAAGCCACGCGTGCTGCAGTGCTACATTGCCCACGTCGTCGCGTCTAAGGCTGCTGTGCCGCGCCATGTCGCCGAGCATGCGCTGCATGATTTTTTCCGTGTCGTCATCTCCCCCGCTGAGCTCGCGGGCGACGGCAGTGTGCGCGCCACGCTCGATAAGATGCTTCTCCGCTCACCGGAGATCTCGCTACCGGTCGCTTCCGCCGTCTTTGGCGCTGTGAAGGTGCGCGACGCGGAAGCAGACGCAGAAGCGGATCGCAAGGCATTCGGCGGGCACCTCACCAGCATGACCTCCGGTCTCTCTTCGGCGCTGCGCTCGACGAATGCTGCGACGCGTGACAAGGCCGTCGCGCTGCTCGACGTCCTGCTGCCCAAAGTGGACGTGCAGACCGCGCTGCCACTCTTTGTCAAGGAACTCACCGCCGCACTCAAGAGCGGCAAAGTCGCCAGCTCAGATGCGCGCGGCGCCGTCTTTGACGTCCTGGCGCGCGTGCCCGCTTCGTCCTCGTCCCCTTCCACCTCGGCGCTCATCATCGACGGTGTAGGCGCTTCGCTTGACAAGGAGCAGCAGGAGACCGCTTTCAAGAGTGGCGTCGTCGCGCTTTGCACGCACACCGCCGCGGCCTTCCTCGATGCCGACCAGTTTGACCCGGTCAAGCACGTCCCCGCCCTACTCGCCAAGATGCTGGCGCACGCCAAAGCGCCGTTGCGCAATGCTGCGTACGATGCGTTCGGCTCTTTGGTCCTCCGCACGCGCGCAGCACCGAGCGGCGCGTGGAAGGCATTCGTTGAGGCGCTTCTGCCGACATTTGACGGCAGCCTCAAGAATGCTTATCAAGGCGCCAAGGCGCCCGCTGGGCCATTGGAGGGCTACGTCGTCATTGCCATGCTCAAGGGCAAGGCGCGCATGTGGGATAGCGCAGCGGTTGACACTTTCGTGCAAAAGAATGAGACGCTCGCGCATCTTATCACCACCGATATCGTCTCCACCAACTCCGCGGCCGCCGGGAAGGCCTCCTTCCTGCTCAATGATAAGGTTGTGCGCAAGGTCGTCTCGGAGGCGGAGCTCTTTTGGCTCTTACATGCGTTGGGCTCGCTTTTCGCTTCCGAGGCGGACCTGCAGGCCATCAACAAGAGCGAGGATATAAAGAAAGCCATCGCTCGTGTGCTCTTGCACTGTGCAATGAGCAAACACGTAGTGATCAAGCGCTTCCTGCCAGACTGGGTACGTGAGCTCTGCGCCCATACTGACTCGTTCCAGCTCGGCGCCAGCATCCTACATGCAGCCGGCGTCGAGTCGCTTCGGCTCGACCAGCAAGCCTCCCAAACTGCTGCATCGGTCCACAGCGGTGGTGCAGCTGCGTCTGCAGATGGGGGTGAAGATCCGGCGGAAAGTTGCAAGAAGCCGGCGCTGGCCTCGGTGTCTGCACGCATTAAGCCTCTTCTCAAAACGCTTTGTGAGCTTCCAGATGTGCGGAAGATACCCGCCGACGCCCGCGCGGAGGCACTCGTCAAGTTGTTCGTCCTCACGCACCACCCCAGGCTCGGCTCACGTGCCGACTTGCAGTCCATGGCATCTCGTCTCCAGTTGAATCTGACGGAACTCATCGAAAAGCACTTTGTGCGTCTTTTCACCGACGTCCACGCTGCCATGCAGACCGATCTGCTCACTAATGCAGCCTATGCGACTATCTCCACGCTTGTGGCTCTTGCCCCAGAAGTCGCTTTGGCTGAGATCGTCAGCGACCTCGAACGGCAGTTGGACGTCACACAATTCGCCTGCATTTCGGCGCAGGACCTGCACATCTGGCGCACGCCTCCCGGCGAGCTCTTTGTTGATGTATTGGCGCAGAAAAATCATGCCAACGGCGGTGCTGGTGCTGCCGGCACGGGCAGCGGTGCCAACAGCCGCGACAGCAAGGTGGACAAGTGGGAGGCCGAGCTGCGTCAATCCTTGGAGCAGAAGAAGAAAGCGGCGAAGAGGTTCTCAAAAGAGGAACAAGCGCTCATAGACACGCAATTGACCAAGGAGAGCGAGACGCGCAACAAGGTAGAAAACGTGCGTTCTATCTTGCTTCGTAGCCTGCACACGTTGCAGGCTCTCATGGACGGTAGGACAGAAGAGACCGAGTCCTACATTCTCGGACTCGTCAAACAAAGCATCGCTTTGGCTCGTCTACCGCAAGTGCATCAGCTCGCCCCGCTGCTGCCTTTCGAGATGCTCAGCGCAATCAACACTGTCGTCTCCACACGGTTAGGGCCCATTGCGAGCGTGTTGCCCGCAGCGCTGTTGCGCTCGGTCGACGAAAACATCGTCCCGGAGTCATTCCGAATCGAAGCATACAGCGACGTCATCCTTCGCATTCTCTACCGCCTTCGCTTCGTTAGCGAGCAAGCAGCTCTTGGTCTTGGCACCGTGTCCGTCCTGGCGCCTCTCATCACCAACATCATCCATGCGGGTGGTCTCGGTGTTGACACAGACGACTGCGATGCGGTCATGGAGCAGGTCCAACTTTCGCTCGATTTCATTGTGTTCCATACTGAACCTTGCGAGGATGCTCGCTACCCACGTTCCGACTTTGTCGACGCGTTGCTGCATATTGTTGCCAAGCATACCCAGCTGGCGCAGGATGCCGTTTCGGCATTGCGCTCTATGGGTGAAGCGATGCGGATGTCCGCTCTACCATTCGAGATCGAGAAGCTGCTGCACCACTGTCTTGCTGATGAGGTGTACGTCCGCACGGGATGTTTGCAGGCTCTGCAATCACTTGACCTACTCGATCTTGGCTTCCCGCGCGAGTTGTGGGTTGCGTGTCATGACTCGGACGAGGAGAATCGTCGCCTGGCCCTTCGAGCTTGGAGCGAAAACGAGCTTGAGCTCCCCGAGCACTATCACATGCATCTCATCACACTCCTCGAGCACTTCAATGACTTTCCCCGGATCGCCACGCCCAGCGCCATTGCTGGAGCCGCCGACATCCACCCTGAGTCCGTCTCGGCGCTCATCACCAGTCTCATGGCGCTATACGAAGAGCGCAACAAATTGCTGCTTCCGGAGTACGACCAATTTGGTATGGTCGTTGAGGGAACTCAGAACAGAGAGGACCCGTGGAAAATCAGGGTGGCTATTGCAGCGACCTTTGTCGAGCTAGCACAATATTTTTCTTCGGCCGACATTCTTCCCTTCTTCCAATTTCTGATCGAGAAAGAGGCTCTGGGCGATCGTAGTGAGCCGGCGCGATTGCGCATTCTAGACGCCGCCACCGCTGTCATTGATGATCACGGCAAGGACCAACTTGATGTCCTCATCAAGACGCTTGAAAATTTCTTCGAGAAGAACAGCAGGAGCAGCGATGGCGTGACTGAAGCAGTTGTTATCCTCTTAGGCAGGCTGGCCCGTCATTTGGCGCCTGAGGATCCACGATTGGCTATCGCCATTAAGCGCTTGCTTGAAGCTCTGCACACCCCGTCGGAACTCGTGCAATCAGCCGTCTCGGACTGTCTGCCGCCACTCATTCGGGCGATACCCGAGAGTACTCCTCAGCTTGTGGATCGCTTGATGGACGACCTTGTGGCAGGTAGCAAATACGCCCACCGCCGTGGTGCCGCATATGGTCTGGCGGGCGCAATCAAGGGCAGAGGCATCGCAAGTATCTCCGAGTTCAAGATCATGGAGAGGCTGGAGGACGCTGCGCGAGACAAGGACCAGGTGACCGCTCGCCAGGGTGCCATGTTCGCTTACGAGACATTGACCGCATCGCTCAAAATCTTATTCGAGCCGTACATCTTGAGCATTTTGCCTCATCTCTTGGTCTGCTTTGGCGATCCAAAAGAAGACGTTCGAGAGGCCACTCAAGATGCAGCTAGAGTGATCATGCAAAGCATTTCGGGCCATTGTGTTAAGCTGATTCTCCCGACGCTTCTCGCTGGGCTCGACGACAAGCAATGGCGTTCGAAGAAGGGTGCAATTGAGTTGCTGGGTGCCATGGCGTACTGTGCCCCACGCCAGCTATCCGTGTCCCTGCCGACAGTTATCCCTCCTCTGAGCGGTGTCTTGTCGGACTCGCATAACCAAGTCAAGACTGCTGCAAACAAGAGCTTGAAACAATTCGGAGAGGTCATCGACAACCCGGAAATCAAGAAACTCACTCCGAAGCTGCTGCAAGCACTCATCAACCCCAACGACAACATCCCGAAGGCTCTCAATGCGCTTCTGAACACAAGCTTCGTACACTACATCGACTCCGCCTCGTTGGCCCTAGTCATGCCTATCATCGAGAGGGGCCTGAAGGAACGAGGCGCCTCGCTGCAGCGGGATGCCGCTAGAATCGTCGGCAACCTAGCAGGTCTCACAGATTCTCGTGACTTCACCCCTTACCTGCGCTCATTGGTGCCTTTGGTGCGGGTTGTTTTGGTTTCACCTGTTCCAGACGCCCGAGCAGTGGCTGCAAAAGCCCTTGGAACCCTGGTCGAGCGGCTAGGAGAGGTGCACTTTGTCGATCTGATCCCTTCACTTCTGCAAGTGCTTCGATCAGATGCGACTGGTGTCGACCGTCAAGGCTCGGCACAAGGCCTTGCCGAGATCCTTGCCGGACTCGGCACGGAACGGATGGAGGGCCTCCTTCCTGAAATTATCAACAGTGCCACAAACGCCAAAGCCTACGTAAGGGCCGGTTATATCTCGCTGCTCATCTATCTGCCTGCGACATTTGGACATCGATTTGCTCCACATCTAGGGCGTATCATTCCTCCTATCTTGGGAGGCATCGCTGATCAAACGGAAAGCGTTCGAGATGCATCCATGCGTGCTGGCCGAATGATCATTGCCAACTACTCCACGAAGGCCGTCGACTTGCTCTTGCCAGAGCTAGAGCGGGGTCTCTTCGACGAGGCGTGGCGCATCCGCATGTCATCCATTCAGCTCGTTGCCGATCTTCTTTTCCGAATTTCTGGCATCTCAGGCAAGAATGAAATGGCAGAAGAGGAAGGCGACGAGGGCGAAAATGAAGACGAGGATGCGCCTCTTCCTACTAGCTCTGTGCAAAAGGCGCTCGGCGAAGCTCTGGGCGACGAAAGGAGAGACCGAGTGCTTTCGGCGATCTACATCATCCGCCAAGATCCTAACATCCCTGTCCGACAAGCTGCCATCCACACATGGAAAGCTCTCGTCCTCAATACTCCGCGTACCGCCAGAGAGGTCCTGCCCACGATGCTGGACATTCTCATTCACCTTCTCTCGGCTCCAGGCGCAGAGCAACGTGAGCTAGCTGGCCGAACACTTGGCGAACTTGTTCGTAAGCTAGGAGAAAGGATTCTGCGCGACACGATGCCGATTCTACGCAACCGTGGGGTCACGGGCGAAGATGCACGCACGCGATCAGGCGTCTGCTTGGCTGTTACTGAGATTCTTCAAAGCGCTACGAAAGGTGAGTTGCTCTGGCTGCCGTCGAAATATCACTGTGGCTGACAAACCTGTCTTGGATATATCCGTAGCCCAATTGGAGGATCACGAAGACTCGATCATCGCTCTCATCCGACACGCACTTGTGGACGAGTCAGCCGTGGTGCGGCGCGCAGCCGCGCAAGCATTCGATGCGTCGCAGGAATACATTGGGACGAAAGCAATTGATGATACGATCCCAACTTTGCTCGAGGCAATGTCGGATCCCGACAACCCAGGATCAGAGACGGCGTTGGCGGCCTTGCGCGAAGTTATGAGAGCACGTGCCGATGTCGTTTTCCCCGTCCTCGTGCCGACACTCACTGTGCAACCAATCAGCGCATTCAATGCTCGTGCTTTGGCAGGACTTGTGGCCGTCGCAGGCCGTGCATTGAACCAGGTGCTCCAGACCATCTTGACTTCTTTGGCGATCGCTCTTGAACAGAGGCCGGACGATGAAACCCGTCAAGAGTTGGAGCAAGCCGTCAGTGCGAATCTCACTTCGGTTACTGATCCGGAAGGTCTCCACCTCTTGATGATGCTGTTGCTCGGCTGGGCCGGAAACAACACGTCAGCACAGCGAAGAGCATTGGGTTGCCGATTCTTCGAAATCTTCACCAACGTCAAGAAGTCCAGCATTGAACTTTCGGACTATCTTGTCGATTGGATACGGCGGCTGGTCGCTCTCATGGAAGACCCTGTGGACGAGGTCATCGATGCAGCACGTGCTGCTGTGGAAGCACTCTTCAAATCGATTTCTAAGGAAGATCTCGAGAGCTACGTCACCCCCCTACGCCATGCAGTGGAGGGAGTTGGGGCTCTGGGACAGGAGATCGCTGGCTTCTGTCGACCAAAAGGCATCGGAGCTTTCGTCCCCGTCTTCCTAGCCGGGCTATTGAATGGTACTGCCGAGCAGCGCGAGCAGGGCGCCTATGGCCTGGCAGACCTTGTGGATCGCACCTCGGCTGAAGCGGTAAAGCCTTTCGTCGTTCAAATGGTCGGCCCTCTCATCCGTGCCTGCGGTGACAGGCATGCACCAGCCATCAAGATTGCGATTTTCACCGCCCTAAACACGATGCTCCAGAGGGTTCCTCAACATTGCCGCCCATTCTATCCGCAATTGCAGCGCAGCTTCCAAAAGGGCGTTGTCGATCCGATCAGCAGTAACGTCCGTCTCCATGCCGGAAATGGCCTCGGAACATTGATGGAGCATCAGCCCAGAGTCGAGCCGGTCATTGTCGAACTGCTTCAAAACATCAACGCTGGTATCAACCCCGGAGGAGCTGCTGTCAGACCAGATGCTTCTGCCAGTACATCTGCCAATGTGGAGTCAAACGCAATTGCCGAGTCTGCGGCACTTGCCCTCGTGAAAGTCTTTGATCAGGCTCCTGGCAAGAATGTCACTACCAAGAGCCTAGAGCAGGCATTAGAGGTGGTGCAAGAAGCATTCGGCCACGCGAAGGACTCTTTGAAGCCGACGGTGGCAGATGTCTTTGCCGCTGTTTGCGTGCGCGACTCTGCCCTTGTGAAGCCGATCTTAGAAACGCAGGTACTGGCTCCAAATCCTGTCGATCCTCAGCTCGCTAGCCACTGCGTAAGGGCCCTGTTGGAGCGCGCTCCGGCAGAATTCCACGCAATGGAGATGCACAGAGCAGTGCTCAAGGCCGTGTTGACATGGATCGGCGAGGCTCCCGCAGTCGCACGACCGGCGCGAGAGAGCAGGGATATGATGCGACAAAAGGAACCGTGGCGAAGTGATTCATTTGTGCAAGAGCATTTGTAAACCTGGTGTATGAATTGCAATGCGACCAAGCGACGAAATACAACAATGATGCTCATAAAACTTGGAAATAAGCAAAGACGAGCATGCGCAAAGGGCGCTTTGATCAGAAGAGTAGCGTCGTGCACATCAGATGAGAAGAAGGGACGCTCGGCCGGCGTGACGAACGACTAAGATGCAGTCACAGGATCTGGACTTCCCAGGGCCGGGGCCTAGAGGGCTCGGAAAAAAGGATGGTGAGAGGTGAGAGCTGGTTAAAGGGAAACCTCGCCGCCCAAGGTCGATGTCGCTGCAAAAAGCTTCGTCAGATTCGCTACTATTGCTCATGATGGGCGAATGAGATTGAAAGAAGCCGCCGTTGTCTGGCGGAGCGGGGGACGTAGTAAGAAATGTTGGGCTGGAGGTGTCGAGGGCAAGTCCTGTCTGCGACAAGGACATCATCCTAGAAGACCAGGGTAGCACGACCGAGGAAAGGCTGGAGGTCATGATTAATGAAGCGCTGAACATTTGAAGGCGAGTTGCACAATCCGAAGGGCATTACCAGGTACTTTGACGATCTATGCTTGCATCGGAACGTAGGTAGCCATTCACCTCCAACTGCCTTGCGCAGTGATTCTTGTTCTTTTCCAACACTTGAGCGCTAAGGACATCATGATGCTATTGCTTCCTTCACTATATTCCTCCACTTTCTCTGAACCACTATGGCTTCCCGGAAGATCTGCAGGGGCGTAAGGAAAGTATGGCGTGGCCGGCATTTTGAGCACTCTGATGGACTCGCGTTGTGATCGAACAGGACGCCGACTCACCTTGTACTTTGCATCGAGTAGCGCTTTCATTCGCTTGTCCTCTGTGGGGAACACAAACTTACCTGGCTTGCTCATGCGGATCTGTGGGGACAGTAAGAAAATAGTCAGAGGATAAGCCCCAAACGCTCCCTCCTATTCGGAGCATATGCTTCTCGACGCACCATTAATTCCCACAGATGGTCCTTGTACTCGTAAGAATACTTCTCCGCCTCATCCTGCGTGGTGATCTTGACGCCCTGCTTTGGGGCGTGTTTGCCATACGCGCCGCTGTCATACGGGCGTGCTACGTCCGCTGCGAACTTGCCCAGGATGGCGCTGCCAGCCACGACGGAAGCGCTGGAGCTGAAAGGAAGCTGCACGGGTACGCCACATGCGTCCGAGATGAGCTGCATGAACGTCGGGTTCTTGACCTGCCCTCCAGACATGTAGATTGAGTTGATCTCGTGGCCTTTCGCATTCATTTCGTCCATGATGTGCCGCGTCTGCAGCGCGATCGCCTCGAGCGTCGCGAAGTACCGCAGCGCCAAGTCGGAAACACCACGATCGAGACGTTGCCCGGTGATCATGCCGCACATGGAGCTGTCTGCAAGCGGCGAGCGGTTGCCATGGAAGTCGGGATAGATGTAGAAGTCCTTGGTAAGGTGGGCGAGAGAGGGCAAATTTTGCTCTTTTTGCATATTGCGCAGGATGTCTTCAAGCAGGACAAACAGGTTCTTCTTCTCATCGTGCGCCATCTGCTTGGCACGCTCGACGGCGGGATGCGTGTCGATTATAAAGTCGATCAGCTGACCTGTTGAGCTTTGTCCGCCTTCGTTCATCCACATCCCAGGGAAGACGGCGTGCTTGTACGGGCCCCAAACGCCATCCACAAGGATGCCTTCGGGCGACTGCACGCAGTGGCAGGTGCTCGTGCCTGCGATGGCTGCCAGGCGATGCCGACTGCTGATCAAGTCGGTCTTGGTATTGGTATTGGTCTCCTCTGGCGCATTGGTGGCAGGGGCAGCAACGGTACCGACCCAGCCTGCATACGCATCAATGAGAGCGCTTCCGACGGGTGTACCAGGGAGCAAGCCCATCTCCTTGGCGGCCACCTCTGACAGGCCGTCGCCGACGGGTTGCCCCGCAGTCAGCACCATTCCATTGCGACCTGGGATGCCGCCGAGCTGCTTGAAGTCGTTCTGCACCATCTCGATCAGGCCGATCTTTTCAAAAAACTCTGGCTGCCAGCCGAGCTGCGAGCCGTCGACGCCCGGTGGAACGTACGAGCATTTGCATACGAGAGAGCAGTTGGACCGGGCAAGCGAGCCTGTTGCACGGTACGTCAGGTAATCGGGTAGGTCAAAGAACATGCAGCGCGGAAATTGATCTTCGGGCATGTGGCGCTTGAGCCAGAGCACCTTAGGAATCTCCATTTCAAGCTGTGGATCAAAAAGTCTGACGTGTCAGCAATGAGGGCTTTATATGCAGCGAAACTAGGAAGTACGCGCAACGCACCGACATGGTCTTGCCGACATAATTGAGAACCATGCTTCCGGTAGCATTGATCTCCTCCGCCTCCTTCTCGGCCCTGTGGTCGGCCCAGAGGATGATGTTCCGCTCCGCTTGTCCCCACTTGCCCTCTGGCTCGGGTGTGACGCTCATCGGGTTGCCATCAAAGTCGGTTACGGCGAGTGAGCAAGTAGCATCAAACCCGAGCCCCTTGATATTCTCTGGCTTGAGACCGGCCTGCTTGACCACATCTTTGACCGCAGAGGTGATTGACTTCCAGATCTCCGTGGTGGACTGCTCGAAGATCCGGGCGTCCTTGTCGGATCGGAAGGTGGTGGTTGCATAAGTAGACTCTCCGAGGATGTTTCCATCCTCGTCGAGCAGGGCTGCTCGTGCAGAGCCTGTGCCTCTGCGGTCAAATACAAATGAGAAAGTCAGAGCGCTGAACTTTTAGCAGCAAGCGATCTTTGGGACCAATCATCGTCTCACACGTCGACCCCAATGTAGTATCCTTGACTCATGATGAAGCTCTAGAGGCGGTTCGGGAGATTTCAGTCCAGTGTTAATGCTGAGCCGACGACGTCGAGCTAGCAATGCTGTTGTGCTACGAATGGATGAGCAGGTTTCCCCCTGAGCATGGTGGAATAGGAATTGTATCCACCACCGCCATGCGATGCGATCAACGAACCGAGAACAAGGTGAGGACAGCAACGTCATCTCTCATCGCCATCCGTGCCAAGTGTGTGCTTCGTCAGTCGTGTACTCGAGGCATGGCCCGTGCGCAGCTAAATACCAAGAACCCTATTTTCTTTTATTTACGAAAGCAAGTCACGTAAGGCACCAGTCACATCATTCACATGATGGCTGCTGCGTGGTGTCTTATGGATCGAAACATTAGGAGAAAGGATGCGCTACAGGGCGCAGACTGCCATACCTTCTCGTCTACGGATGAGCGGCTCTTCTGTGTTCTGACGGCATTCATGAAGTGCTCAGAGATGCCTGCTGTCGGGACGAGATTGGGACAGACTATCTGCAGCAGTAAAACGACATCCGAACAAGGTTGTGGTCTGCGCTGATGGTGTTGCAGTTCGTGTTCGCCTCACCCTCAGTCAGAATGGAAGCTTCGTAACAGCATGCATGTGTGCCGGTGTCAATCCATATGATAAAAGGACATCCGCAAGTGCACGCGGCTACACCTCGTTTCATTGCTTCCCGCATTACTTGAGATATCGGTACAAAAACTTTTTGTGGAATTCGGTTCCTTGAGCGACGAATTTGGAGGAGGGAACAGCGTCAGTGATGGTGCTCTACCGGTTCCAGAGGCACAAGCTGCAAAGGCAGACATAGATGAAACTCACGGATCATGTCATTTACGAAGCTCGATCTGTCCTTCTTGTCCACGCCTGCGGCCTGGTTTTTGAAGATGACATCTGCAGCAAACGATGAATGAGGCGAGTCAATGATGGGCCCGCTGAAGGCGCAACGAAGTGGTCTGGGATCCTTTCTCCCACTCACCATCATCCCATCGCCTCTTGACGCCAAAGCTGGGTGTGACACCCGCGGCAGCAGCGGCCGCGTTCTGGTTCTTGATGGTATTTTCGAGATTGAGCAGCGGATTCCCCAAGGCGATCTCGTCTTCGCGTTCACTCTGCGCTAAAGCCGCCGCTTCGCGCTCCTGTCGCTCTTTCTCCTCTGCCCGTTCGCGTTTTATCTTTTCTAGCTCGCGCAGCAGTGCCGCGGTGTCATCCTCCTCGTCATCCGTATCACTGTCGTCGTCACTGTCTGAATCCGAGTTCGAGTCTGACTTTGATCGGGCATCAGAAGCGGGCGCTTGATTTGTTTCATCACTGTAAATGCCCAATGATATGAGGTCGTCGTACCAGACAAACGGAAGATATTCTGAGCGAGAGACGTACCGAGCTTTCCCTTTGCCTTTGTCCACCTCGCGACGAGATCCTATATTCACCTCGGACACTTCGTCCTCCTCACTGTCGTCGTCCGCGTCGAGCTTGATCGCTTCCTCGATCAACTTCCGCCGTTTTGACGCATGCTCATCATCTGCATCCATGCCTGTACCATCACCCCGTGGCTCTGCCTCTGGTGGCAAACCTTGCGCAATGCGCTTTTGGTTCCTCGCCTCCCACTCAGCGCGCTCCAGCTCGGCTTTGAGATCTTTCCGTGCCCGCGTCGCAGCATTGCGGTCGATAATACCGCCTTGCGCTTCTTGCCGGACCTTGAGCGTTGTGTGCGCTGGCAGTTGCGAAGCATGCGCGACGCGGGACAGGTGCGCCGCATTGTTCTGCCCACGGGCTGGGTCCCAGGTGGGGCGATGGGCGGAGGACATAGTGGTTTAATGTTCAATGAAACTGCGCAAGCCGTCGAATTGGAGCAAGAGTGAGGCGTGAAGAAAGTCGAGCCTTCGGTCGCAATTTCGGTACTTTGGGAGATTCCAAAGTCGAGCCTTTTTGGAGATTAAGTCGAGGCGCTGGCAAAGCAAACACGATCGAATTCGATGTTGTACGCAGCACGCTGGAAATGCCGGGGCTCGATGGGCGAATGTGTGCGCTTGGCAAGCTTTCGGAGATCGAGAGGCCTGAGTTACTGGGTTTCAAGCTCAGGTGAACATGTGCCCTGCCGCGTATGCATGCATAGATGTCCGTGGATCCAGCGCCGAAATCTCGGTCGAGCCTCTGCTAGCTCGGCGCAGGGAGGTGAACAAGAGTCACTCGAGCGTAGCAAGGGCTGGACGCACGGGGGGACTGGGCGATCGATGTATGTACACAGGTGATAGGCCCCAGACTGGCTTCGAGTGACTGTCTATACTGCTTGAGAGGCACTTTTTGCCTTGTGCTTCCTTTGCAACTGCCAAGCTCGAGAGTCGAGGGCTGGCTGGGACAGGTTGAATAAGTGTTGGAACAGGCGTGACTGACGGCTGTTTACTTTTTCTTCAGGTCGAAACCGGATGCAGGGTACGTAAGCGCCCAGGAAGGATTTTACGCCGAGGGGTACAAGCAGGCGACCATGCACTGCCAGTGACGACACAAAAGGTAGACGAATGACTGAATCAGCCGAAGTCATGGTCATGACCAAACGTTTGAAACCTGGCGAGTGCTGACTATGATCTGGAAGACAACAAAGGTTCCTCGTGGATGGCGCTGGTATTGAGAGACTCAGCGCGCACATGGATGATGTGCTGTTGTGCCTGACTGCGAGTGAGGAGACCCAGGCACCTCGGCAGTTGTTGGAAAAAAGTGCGCAGTCGGTCTCCGGTTGACAAACAACAGCATCAACATTCCAACAACTCCGATCGCTCCGGCGGTTGCTAGACGAGCAAGACCCATGCCTCGTCCCCGACCGTTGGGCATCTCACAGATGCTTCCTTCGAGTCTTCTACGCAGCCAAACATCTCGGACCGGCTCGGTAGTGACCACAGCGAGGCACAATCCAGGTCTGCTCACCTTGGCGGTTACGTTGGCGAGGGGCGATGTCACCGTGCAGTTGCATCTGTTCAATGTCGACTGTGTTGCGACCCACGTTCGTCGTCAAATGTCGTGGAGGCGTGGACACTGAACAGTCTCATGATGCATGTTGGCTCATGGCTCTTCGCTTATTGTCAGCCAGTGCATTTACATAGAGGCTTCGACTCTCTGGCCTGGAGCGCTCCACGACATCAGGCATGCAGCTTAGCCGTACGACGACGTGCAGCAGCATGAGGCTGATCAGATGCCTCCTTTCATCGCCAGTTGAATGCCATGGACAGCTTGTCAATGCCAGATCCCTCAGGCCGTGGGTCTGCGTGCTACAGATGGCATGATCAAGGGTAGCTGCGCTCGCTTCAGCCTGTTGGACGTCGGTCATTGTTGGGTGGTACGTATCGATTTGCCTTCGCTGTAGCGGCGTAGCCTCAAGTCTGTATCCCTGCAGTCGCGCTCAGCATGGGTGCTGATAGATGCTGGTCGCTGGTGCGTCAGCACGCGAAAGAACATCCTTGGCCCGTTCTCTTGACTGCTTGACTGGGAACTGCACAAGTGATGGAATCCGTAGCAGTAGCAGTAGCTCAACTGCTCTACTCTCTTATTCAAATCCATTTCATACGATACCCCACGATCCCTCGGACTACTTGACCTCTGCCCCTCACAGCTCCTATTCCACCAGAGTGAATCCACGAGCAAAATAATCAATTACCTTCATCATGAGATGAAAGGCGGTACCAATCATCTCAACTTACAGTAAAGGACGTCGAGGAGAACATCGTCTGCTCACAACCTGCTTCAGACCGACCGCAGGACGGACGGCGCTCAAGTGAATATGGCGTTGCTGTCGCGGCTGCATGGATCCGTATTCAGGGCGGTTCAGAGGCTCCTCATCCTCTGCGCTATCCTCATCTTTGTCGCCTGTCCAGATGTCATTTCCGCAAAAGGTGCCTCCGCCGGCTCGTCCTCGCACTCTTCAGGAGGTCGTCGTGCGAATTCAAACGGAGGCCAGCGCCCTTCAGGGCAAAATGTGCTTGAGATCGCATCACCAGGTAGCGCAGCTGGTACCCCCCGATTGAGAGCCGAGGAATCTCCCGTACTGATGGCTGGAGAGTGGAATCGCCCGGTCGTGTCTAGAAGCTCTCACCACTCACACTCGAGGCAGCGCATTGTGGGCCTCGGACTCGAGATTCCTGCCGACGCCCCCCACCAGGCACCAACGGCAAGTCACTTCCGCAAGGGCAAGGGCATGCCGCGGCACTCGCGTCAACAGCCGCTGATGCAGCATGCTAAGAGACAAGCCGCAACAGCCCAAGACGAGGATGCTAACAACCCAGAAGAAGACGGTGCCACGGATCCATCGGGGGCCGGTGCAGCTACCAGCAGCACAGGGCCATCCGATTCTGAGGCTTCAAGCTCAAGCAACCAGACAACGGCCACATCAGAGACGTCCAGTCAACCCTCCACATCCCTCTCGCCAAGCACTGCAGCCCATCGCCAAAAAGAACCTCCGTCAGCTGCAATACCCCAGCACCCGCCGAATGGTGAGACTCCAGTGCCCGAGCCGCAACGTGGCAGCACATTCAACAAAGCTGCCTCCTATGGAGGTGCGGCAGATGAGGGCCAATCGGATCCACAGTATGTTCAGCCCTCTTCATCGTCATCATCCTTTGCATCAACCCCTCAAGATGCTTCACAAACAGACCACCCAGCTGCTCCGCAGCCGGCTGTACCCCATAGAAAGGCGCATCCGGCGCCCGAGCAGCACGGTTCGCATCGCCATTCACAATCCCATGCACTGCAGCACAAGAGCCACCATGATGCTGATCCTGCCTACCAGCACAAGCAAAAGCAGAATCGCCATCATGAGCATCATCACAAGTCGATAGCACAAGCGCGCAAGAGGCTGATGAAGCGCTATCACGGCGAGGGCACGTACTACAATGCAGGCATCTCGGAAGGCGCCTGCGGCGGCTGGCACAAGTCCAGCGAGCTTGTAGCAGCTGTCTCGCGTCAACAATGGCACGGTGGCGAATTCTGCAATCAGATGCTGCACGTCTGCCACCACGGCAAGTGCACGGACGTCCAAGTCGTCGACGAATGCCCGTCGTGCGATTACGGTAGCCTTGATCTGTCACCCACCGCTTTTAAGCAATTGGCGCCGATGAGCGAAGGCGTCATCGATATCAACTGGACTTTTGCTTGATGCGCCACATCTGGTGCGTTCTCCAACGACGCGCAACTTTGGTAAGGGACGCCCGGTGGTGCGGCCCCATCGGCATTGCAATTCTTCAAACTCTTCAAGATTCGTTGTCGACATTTGCTTCGCTTCACTCTGAGGCAGCACAGTCGTGCGCCGTTACCCTCTTTCATACAGTCACCATTCGATTATACTCATTTGATGGTGTAGAATATCATTCATGTACACGCAGACAACCTGCTGTGTAGAGCACGTACACGTCGAACCGTCGCAGAAGGCTTATCATTACTGGTTTCTGCTTGTTGCCTGATCGAATGACTGAATCATAGACGTCAAATCGAACTCTGCCGCCGTTGCGCTCGGCGGACCACCAAGATTCGAAAAGTCCAGTGAGCTCAAATCGCCCAGACTGCCTGGGCGCCCATTGACACCGCCCGAACCATCGTCGACGCTGCTGCCAAAGTCCATGCCGTCAAAATTGAAGTTCTGCATATCAAGAGCACCAGGATCAAAGCTGGAGGAGGATCCGAGGCCAAAGTCGCCAAAACCAAAAGCTGTGAGGTCAGGTAGGTTCGAGGACGGCGCGCTGGTGGCATCGGTCGAGGAGGGCATGTTGTTGATGATCTGCTGGATAATCGCGGTCGCATCTACAGATGGGGTCGAAGTAGGCAGGTTGGACGCTATTACCGCTGTAGCAGCAGGCGCATCCAAGGCCACTGGCTCCTGATTCGCTCGAGCATCGCTCGTCAGAGTAGCCGTATCGGCCGATGAAGTCATGGCGGCGATTGCTGAAGCCTCAGGGCTACATTCCATGGTCAGACCGATCATGCCTGTGTCGCCCTTTCCGGAGGTCGAAATTCCTTCTGGCTGTTTTCCAGTGCTCTTAGGGACCGCTGACTGTGCGCTAGTCTCGTCGATGGATGCTTCGTCCTTCGCCTGAGCCTTGGACGTTTTAGCTGCTTCTTCAGCTGCCTTCTCTTGAGCTTTGCGTGTGTCTCTGGCTTCTCGCTCTGTCGCGGTCTGGAGCTCATCGAGCAGCGCGGCTTGAGCGTGCATCTACCGAGGGGAAGATTCATAATCAATCGCTGAGAAATGATGCTGCGGCAGGGTGAGTTGTCTCACCAGCCATGTTCGCAGCGCTCCGACCGATTGGACATACTGCAAGCAAGCTTGCTGTACCTTGTGCAGCTCACCAGGCTCCTTCACGATATCAAATCCAATGGCATTCGCTTGCTGCCGTCGCTTGATGGTCCACGCAGTCTCTTGCACTACTCGCTTGAGGCTCTTTTGCACCTCGCCAGCGAGAACCGATGGCGAGTTTGCAAGGTCCCGTTCGTACGGATCCACGTCCTCGCCGGTATCGATGGAGGTATGTGCCATTCCGTCTCAGGCGAGCATGGTTAACGTGCAGCAGCACGCTCAACGCCTCCAGGGCAATGGCACGTCCGGACCTCGCCCTATTCCAATTCGCGTGTATTCAACCCGCGACTTGATTGAAGGCCATACACAAGTCTTTTGACTTGATGCTGTATAAATGCAGCACAAGTCACTACCCCCACGCGAGCATCTGAAAATGTTGCACCACGACGTCCCATAATGGCTGTTCCTTGTTCCGCCGCCATTGTAGCATCACCTTCGTAATGGTCATCAAAGTCATGCCAGACGAAGCTATACAGCCTTCACCATATGCATCATAAGACATTGTAATGCAGGTGCCATATGCTAAATGCTCTACTTTCCGGCGCTCGGGATGCAGCAAGTCGTACGAATACAGACGCTCGCAAGTGATTCGCTCTACTCATGATCATCAATTTGCTAACCGTACCACCGAGCCCACGAAACACGTCATGGCAAAGACGGCCAGTGAGGCTCCCCATAGAGGCCGCACTCTTGGAGTGGCACGCGAAAATGTGCCAAGACGGTGTGCTTCGAGCATCGAATAGCCTCCGAGGCCAGCCATCGTGGCAGCGCCAGTGAGGCGGCACGCCAGGCAGTCACCGGGCTTCTCGGTCTCTTCGTGTACCGATCGCACAGACGGCATCTGATGGAAAGGTGGATCGGGGGTCGTTGATGAATTATCGTCTCTTCCTGCATATATTTCTGCAGGTTCTGTACAAGGCTCTACACTTGGCGCACCTTATCTTCGAGCTTATTCGCTCCGCTCTTTGCGCGCGACAGCAAGTCATTTGCGGAATCCTTAGCTAGCTCCTTTCCCCTTTGTAGCTCGCTGGACGCCTTTTCGGTCGCCTGCTCCAGCTGATCACCAGCTTTCACCTTGGCCGCGCCGAAGGCCTCTCCCGCTTTCTGCTGTAAGAGCTCAAAAGTGCCTGGCGATGATGAGGCGGCTCCCTCCACTGACTTGGCAGGGACGATACGCACGCCCGGTACAGCGACTGGGTTGAACATGCGCTCGCAGTCGGTATAGCCTGAGCCCATCCCGAAGCCAGTGCCCAACCATACAGGCCATGCTCGTCCTGTATAGAAAGCAAGGGAGGAAGGGCAAAAGAAGCATGTCAGCTGTTGCACAATTTCGCCCGAGTTAGTTGGCCATACACACGCTTGAAGAGAAGAACCGACAATACCACACCAGCAGAGAAGCCAATTCCGGTCTTGACAATGGTATTGCTGATGCAAAGATCGGTCTGTGTGCCCAGTGAAGGTTAACGAGGATCAGCATACGAAGCCTACGCGGCCCTCGCGGCTCAAAGCACAGCCGAACTGGTCCCATCGTACCTTTTGACCGATCACATCCTCGCTGGATACTTTACGCGGCGCGTTTGTGCTTGACATAGTGGCGCTCGGCTTTAGCCTGCGGTAATCGCACACCTGGCCTTGATGTAGTCTGCAGCTGCCCTTGACTACAGGATCTAATCGCAACGTGGTACCTTGTATGCCCAGAAGTTTGTGATCCAAGCTCGGTGCCAGCCGGGTGCTCTCTCCACCTTCCGAGATCGACACTTTTCAGGCAACACGCCTAAAGGCTGTAAGAGGCGTTCCGCCAGGTTCCGCCCGCCTTTGCTTCGCGTTCAAGGGCAGGGTGATGAGCGTTTCGATCTCAACATGGTTCTGTTCCATACAGGGCTGTACCAAAGCCTGACTTCACCCCGCACCGTTCATCCCGTTCATCTGCCAGAGCCCAGCAGCCATGACTCAGCTGCTCCGTCACGACGAACTGTGCGTGAATGCATGGGCGCTATGAATCACTGAGAACGAAACTTCAAAGTAGCGCAGGCGCCGAGAGCGGGCGATAACGTCGGCTTCTTGGCCAACCGTTCGACTCCCTACGAGGGAGCGGAGAGGGCGGCAAATATGTGGGAATACGCTAATCCAGAAGCAGGCTTGTGTTTGTGACAATGTGATTGTAATTTGCTGCAATACAGGCTAGTTACAAGATAAATTGATAAGGGCAATGGTGCTAAGATGATGCATAACAGGTCCCACGGATGCCCGTGGCCGATTCTATGTTTCCGCTATGTTTCTGGTTCTGCGGTACGTGTCCCTTTTGCGATGAGCAATCCAGTGATCTATGTAATGACAGAACAAGAACCCCTGCGATGCCGCGAAAAGAGGGAAAGAAGGAAAAAGAAGAGTGTTGAAGGGCGAGCAAGTTGCGTTCCAGAGCGGCTGGCCCCACGATGCTCGTGCAAGCTTTCTGGGTGACCCTGTTGGTAAGAGGTACTTGAATCTGCAGTGGATAAAGGGACGCGATTAGCCAGATGATTTGGTGATGGATGTTTCTTTTTTAAAGAATGAAGCGACCGTAACCGAGCTCCGCAAAGTAGATGAGCTTGTGCAAGAAGGGGAAGGCATTTTGTCTCTGCCAGATTATGTTCCAGAGAGCGAAGAGCCAGTGCCTTGCTCAGAATAGACCACCGTTGAGACACGGTCACAATGATGACTCACGAGACGATTGCCGGTAATGGGCGCAACCGAAACGACCTGCGCGGCCGGTGAGAAGGACGCGGGCGAGACCGCGGCAAGCCTGAAGCGCACAGCACCTTCAACGGTGCTGTTGGTGGTATTGGTGCTGGTGCTGACGACAATGGACGATGTTGTGCTATCCCTGCTGGAGGTCTCAGATGTGATGGCCGTGGAAGAGTTGGTGCTGTTGGAAGAGACGGATGCCGCCGTAGCGCCAGTGCTGCTGCCACGCGACGACGGATAGGTCGTGGTGGCAAAGGTGAGGGGGTAGTTGGGCTGAGAACTGACGCATGAGCTCGATCCCGATGGGGGAACAAACGCTTTCTGTGTCGGGTTCGACGGGATCGATCCCTGCTGAGCGGCATCCTTGTATGACCAGTCGCGCCTGCTGAACGTCTTCCAGCTCCAGAAGATCCAGCCATTGTTGGTGCCCGACTCGTACGCATTGACCTGTGCCTCGAAAAATTGGCGCACGAAGATATTCCACGTGGGGCTGTTGAGCGAGTTGATGTTGTCAGCCATAGTGGCGTATGAGCAATTGGTGCAGTTCGTCGCCAGACTCCACTCGCCGACAATGACGGGGCGGCTACTCGACGTGGAGCCGATCGTGCTGGCGAGGTCACAGGCCTTGCTGATGTGGCCGGAGGGCGTGAGGTTGTTCAGTGGCACCCAGGCCTGGTACTGGTGCGTATCCTGCATGCACGTGCCGCTCGGGTAGGTGCTCGTCTCCGAGTAGTACTGATCCCAGCTAGAGAGCGACTGGAAGCCGTAGTGCATGACAATCGTGGGCACGTATGATGCGGAGCCCGTGACAGCTCCGCGAACGGCGAGATGGGCTTGCTTGTAGAAGTTGGCAATGTACGACTGCGACAGGGCCGACGTGTACGTGATCGGCTCATTGATCAGCTCGATCGCCTTTACGATGCCGCCGTACTGCGGGTCATTAACGTCGAGCTGTGTCATGGTAATGAGCGCGGAGATGGTGCGTGTCATGTTCTGCGTGGCGTTCAGCGCAGCGGCATAGCCGATAGCGCCCTGTCGACCGCCATTATCGAATCCATTGACGGACCCGGGGGCAGTGTGCAAGTCGAGCAGAACGTCCAGACCGTGATTTTTAGCGGACAGGATGGCCTGGCTGAGGTACCCGAGCGGGATCGAAGTCGGGATAGCGCCGTAGCCGAGGTACGGCTCGGCGGTGCTGACGTTGAAGAACCAGTGCGACACGGGGATGCGGACCGTGTTGAGGCCCAACGCTGCGATCTGCGCAAGGTCATCGTCGGTCATCCACGTGGACCAGTGGTCGATGAGCAGAGATTGCAGCGTAGATGTGCCCCCCAAGTCGGCACTGGTGTTGTAGTAAGCAGCGGTGAGCGTTCACTCGTCGTTGGCGCCAGCAGCTTGTAGCGCCGGGTGAACATGCCCGGGTTCATCCATGCCTCAATGACGAACCAGTTACCGAGGTTGACCCCGCGCACCTTCGTCCTCACGCCAAACTTGGCTGGCGGAGGTAATTTCTCGATGACCTTGAAGCTGTAGACTTGCAGACGGTTACCAGCTCCACATTATTCGGAACTGTTGGAGCTGCATCGCATGTTGCAATCTGCGCCTGTTGCGAGGGTCGCGGTTTATGCGACGCTGTTTCCGCAGTTTGGAGGTCACGGAAGCCAACGAAGAGTGGATCAAATCGACGGTCTTTGCGAAGGTAGAAGGGAAGGCAGTGGAGTCCACTCACAGCACTCGTTGCCATTTTCGGCACCAGCAATAGAGTATCCCTTCTGCTGGCAGCTCGAGAGGCACTTCTCAATGGTGTTGCTGGAAAGTGGGTTGGTAAAGGAGACAGAACGTGCGGATATAGGGTCGGTCCAGCAGCCGGCGTACTTGAAGCTACCACGAGCCTTGGCCGTGTTGTTGCTCATCGATGGGGCGATTGTGCTATAGAGACTGTGGGATGGAACGAGTGAAGGGTCGGTGCGAGTGTGATCAGTCGTTGTGGCAACGGTCAAGGCAACGAAGATAAGAAGAAATTGTTCACTTTATGCGGTTACCGCTGCCGCACTGCTGACTTGCATTCCCTGCGCAGCTGGTCGTGCAACCACTTGAGGCGGGTGCACCCATCGAGGCAATCTTATTGCCGCACCAGCACACCTTTCCGTATCTGAGGTGAAATAGAAGACATGCCGCCGAGTTAATACAGATACTGGCGTAGCTTCTCGCTCCGTTCCTTCACAACCTATCGAGGGTACTCACTCTAGGCCAGCATAGGTGTACCCTGCGTTTGAGCACTTGGTCTGACATGACCCGACCGTGGTGGAACTACTGCTGTGGATTTTCTTGCTGAGGGTCCTGGTACTAGTGCTGTCCGTGTAGCATCCGAGGTTGTACCAAGTCGCTGCGCGAGACTCGGGCTGCTGCGCTTGTTGAAGCGCTATGGCTGCAGCCGGTGCAGCGCATGCCGAGCTACCGCTGAGGGCAAGGACAGCGATGAGGCTCGCCAGCATGCTGACGGCGATCCTGGAATAACACCAAACCGTTTACCGTTAGGGAGAATGTCAGGACGGAATCTGTCAGGTCGCCGAGCAGTGCAGATAAGTGGCGATGGTAACCCGCGCACCTGGGCAAGAAATGGGCAGAATCAGGCGGGGCTTCGGGCAGCAGCTGGGGGAAGTCAGCCATGGAGCTCATCTCGTGCAACGGGTTATGTACACCATCGATGCTCGATGCTTGGCCAGTACCGCTTTCATAATCAGCAGTGGGGACTTTGGAACCACGACATGGTTTCCACTTTTCCAGGTAGACAAGAGTCGGGCCGGGAAGCTGGGGCTGCACTGGCACTTTCACTGCTGCGGGCGTTCGTCGGGGCAATCGCGTGACAGGTGTGATGGGACCGGATTGAGATTCCATGGGACGACACGGCAAAGACTATGCATGGGCAGACATCAAGGACTGCGTCCTGATTTGCCCTGGTGAGGGTCCTCAAGTGCGTCAGGAAAACCCCGCAAGATGTGTCGTTGGGGCGACCTGCTGGTGAGAGACTGGAGGGAGACAAGCACAAGTCCTGTGTGGTGGCTGATGGCTGATGCAACGGCACCTGGGGGAGTCGGCACTGATATGGTGGATGGATCTCGAAATAAATAGAGAAGAGGGGTTTAAGACTCAACGCCGACGACGATCTCCTGCAAGCGAACAGCCAACGGGGCTAAAGCCACTGTGCGTTTCATGGACACTTTCGTAGGCGAGGGATTTGACTGTTGCCAAGAAATTTCAAGAGCTGGGAGTCTGGGAAGCATCAACAACGCGGTGGCTTCCAAGTTGGAGAGGCTTTCCTTTTCAAAACCCGCGCTCACCTGGCTCTCCTTCATAATACTGTCCAGACCGTCGAGACGCTCGTGAGCCCAAACGTCGAGTCAAGAACTGGAGGCGTGAGCGAAGCGGGACAGCCGTCCAACATTCAAAGCGGCCGGGACAAGCTCTGTGGAAGAACGACGAGCTGCGTATTACGTGAGACTGATACTGTTGCTGAAACACTGAAGATGCGGGTGCAACGAGGTCTCAAGCATTTCACGAACTTGGCGGAGGTGGCCTTGTTCACTTCTTGCCCCCGCATCAGTTGTTTTGGCACGTGGAGAATGAAGATGTTCCAGTCACTTTGCCCAGTTCCAGTCCGATCAACCGTAAGCGGAGTAGAGCAGAGAGCCAACCGAACATTTGAAGACCTTGGCACTTGTCATCTGATCTCTGACACTCACCTGTCTATTGACTGTGCAGTTTATTGTATCTCCATGTTCGTAAGTTGAGGTGTTGAGGAAGGGTGAGGATACATTGCCCGGAGAGAATGCCTGACGCCTAACACCCAATAAGGATTTCTGGACTGCTGATCTGGTGAGCACTGGCGAGTACCGAAGATGCTGAGATCTCTAGAGTCTCGCTGAGGCGCTAAACAGGAGAGGTTCGCAGAATCCCTCGATGTGGTGAGTTTGCCACATACTGACATCATCATCGCGCGTAAGAATCTTTCGTAACAATGTCCTAAACTCGTAACATGTCCCTTCCTTGAATATATCCGTTCCTCCTCGGGGGTAGCGCAGTGACAGGCTTCGGATCTGGCTTGGCCCGTTGCTCTACATGCGATTTTTCGTGGGGCAGGAAGGGTAGGCGTAGTCTGACGTGCTCACATGAACCTAGAACCAGTGACCGGTGGGCAGGCCCCGAGATAGAACCTTTAGTTTTTCGAGCCCAGCTCGTCGCTCCCGTGCTCATTCGTGCTGCTGCTCACCCGAAACAAGGTCGATCCGTTCACATGAGGGGTTGCAACCAATCAGGTTATCATACACACGTACGTATATCTGCTCTTCGGTACAAATATGCATTTTGCATACACAAAGGAGGCCCTCATAGCCTCAAACCACACCAAAGCCCCGGAATGGCCACTTGCACTCGGCATTTGAAGAGGACAAGGCGCATCGGCGAGAGCTATCATACAGACGAGTGCCCGGTAGAATCATCCTGTGGCCGCATCGCCCATCCCTCGTGTTCATTCATATGACCTCATCCTGCATCTCGAGACGTGATCCGCAGTTCGCAAAGTCATCACTTGTCTTTTGTATGGTGGCCCAGTGCAACAGCGGGAACGCTGGCACCTCAGTACACAAGGTGCAGTGCCGTTTGCCAGCTGTAACTGCCTCCTTGGATGTGGGCGGGCGTCCCGCCTCACGCGTATGGAGCACATGCACTGCCGTTCCATCATTTGAAAAGGTGGGTGTGTGAAACCGGGTAGCTTGCAATCTTATGCGCCAGGGGGGTAGAGTTACATATAGCGGGCACCGTAGAGCTTGAGATGCTCTCTGCAGTCTGCTGCAGCTCTAACCCTACTTATCGAGTATCACAGACCCGCGCTGCGCACGGGCCACGTACAGTCTCGTACATCGAGCCGACAACATCCAGATCGCCCCAGCGGCCAGCGCCCCGCGGGGGAGAGAGGAAAAGATATCAAGCAATCGGGTAATCCGCATACTATAGCATCGGACACAGATGCAATCCATATTCCATCCACTTCATCGGATACATGTCGTAGACATCTGCCGCCTTCCAACGACACTGTGCGGGCGACCCATAGCAACCTGCGAGATACCACCACGTAGGTCACTGCTGGCTGACGCACCGCAAAACGGTGAACGCGACAAGACATCAACCCCGAGCAGCCCCGTCACAGCGCTGATACATCATGTCAGCTGCTTCGGTGCAGTCGCCGATGATGTGGTAAGTCTCGCTGGTAGTGGACCCCTACTGAATCGATCAAAAACCTAATGTGACTCCGATCCAGGTTCCCCCCTAAGGCGACGGAAGGGGTTGACTTGGCGACGCCGGTCAAATCACTCATCCAGAATAGCTATGGGGAGCAGCCGAGCAACTTCGCAGATCAGCTGTCTACGCTCAACCGCACTCGACAAGATGCCTTACAAGGCGCTGGAAGCGACGCTACGGGTGAGCCCGAACTATGATATGATTCCCGTCTGCGAGCCAGGGAGCTGATGGCTTTGACCGGTCCCCGACATTGCGCTCGGACACAGTGCGAGATTTGCTCTTTAAATGGTTTCACATGCTCGAGATGCTTGAGCTTCGTTTCTCAGAGCTGCGCGTGCAGTTCCCATGGAAAGACGCCTTCACGTCCAAGTCTATATCTCAGTATAGCTTAGCGTACGAAAAGGCATGCGTCATCTTCAACATCGCTGCCACACTCTCTTCCTTCGCCTCGAGTCAGGTGCGACTGGCGGGCAATCCAGACGGCATCAAACGCAGCTACACGTCCTATCGACAAGCAGCGGGTATGCTGTCCCACATCAATGATAACTTCCTCCACGCTCCCTCGACCGACATGAGCAAGGAAGTCATCAAGTGCCTGACCACAATCATGCTCGCGCAGGCCTCAGAAGTTTTTTGGGAGAAGACGGTCGAAGAGAAAAAGGGATGCAGTCTGATTGCAAAGATTGCGAGCCACGTGGCGACCACCTATCACCAATCAATTGAGGACATGAAGGCATGGGTTAACCGAGGGGTATTTGATCGACAGTGGCTCTCTATGATTTCGGTGCGCAGCCTCCCATTCGATTTGCGTCCGCGGAGAGTGCTGACCAGATTTTGTCTCTCGCCCGGACACAGACAAAGGAGAGGTATTTCTCTTCTGTGACGCAATACTACCGGGCACTTGCGGACGAGTCTTCTAGTCAGCTAGGGGCGTGCATTGTACGCCTGACGATCGCCGAGCGAGAGGCAAAGGAGGCTGTTGCCCTTGCTTCTGCTTTTCACTCCTCAGCGTCCGGATACCTTGCATCCAAGCACCTCCCCGCGGACGCGACCACTTCCTTGACCACCATCGTCAAGACCCACCTGGCCGTCTGCACAGAGCGCAAAGCACTAGCAGTCAAGGACAACGATCTGATCTACCACGACATCCTCCCCTCCGAGAGCGCACTACCTCCGGTCGATAAGCTCGTCGCTGCGACGCCCATGACCATCCAAGAGGTGTTCGCGACGCCTGAAGTGGAGAAGGTCGTGTCGCCAGACCTCTTTCAGCGTCTTGTCCCGTTGCAGGTGCACGAGAGCGCCAGTATGTACTCGGAGGAGAAGGCGAAACTCGCGCGTGCCGAGAGCGAGCGACACGACTTGGCCAATGGCGAGCTGGAGGCCGCGCTCGAGTACATGGGCTTGCCGGCTTCCCTGCAGATTTTCAAGAATGTTGGGACCGCCGGAGCTAGTGGGCTAGACAGCCTGGCAGATCCGCCAGCTGAGGTCGTGCATTGGTCGGAAGAACTGGCCCGCGGTGCTTCTGCAAGCTTAGGGCAAACTGCTGCGGAGGATTCGATCGGTAATGGCGATTCAGAGGGTGTCGATTCCGCATTCGGACGGCTCGAGCAGATGAGAGCGAAAGCTGCACACGAGATCGCCAGCGTCTTTGCGCTGCTGGACGACGAGAACCGCGAATGCGAAAAGGCGCGAGTGCGATGGGGTCACGAATGGACGCAGGAGCCCTCCGGCCTGCAGACCAGAGCTGTGAGGGCAGATCTAAAGGGAAATCGCGATGCGCTGGCCGCGGCCTGTGCAAACGACGAGCGGATCCGAGATCTGTGGAACAACACCAAAGGCGATGTGCAGCTGCTGGCGCGTGGACGACCCGCGCTAGAGCAAGCTTTCGCAGAGGCTGTATCGAGCTCAGCTGCAGGTTGCGTCAAATCTGGAGGCGCCTCCTTGCTGGACTTGAACGAGGAGGAAGACAGCCTGGACGACCGCCAAGCGAATGCGATGAAGACGCTTGTGACAGACATTGACGCGCTGGTCCTTAAGCTGAACAAGATCAAGCGCGAGCGCGCATCCACGCTGCACGACATGAAGGAGAAGATCCAGGAGGATGACATCTCGCAGATTCTCGTGCTCAACCGTCGCAACGCGAATATCGCGCCGACTATCTTTGCGCAGGAGCTGGAAAAGTTCAAGGCGTATCAGAGCCGCATTGCGCTATGCAACGATCAGCAGCAGCAGGTGATTGTCGAGGTTACGCAGAAGTGGAAGCAGCTGACGGAGGGAAAGGAGGCGAAAGAGATGCAAAAGCGCTACGCGCAAGCGGAAGCTGCTCGGCGGCGGCTCGTCGAGCGGCTGCGGCAGTCGCGTGATTCGAGTGTAGAGGTCCGAGGCGCCGTCTTAAAAGGCTTGGCGTTCTACAGCGATCTTCTCGACATTGTCGGCGCGCTTCGCCACAATGCCGAGATCTTTGTCGCAGAGCGCAAAAGCGAGCGCGAGCGTCTCGTCTCCGAGCGCGAATGGGACGACAAGCTCAAGCCAGGAGGCGACGATGGACAAGCACTTTCTGCTTTCGGTAATCGTTCCCCGTCGTCGCCTGCTTCGCCAAGCTCGCCATACGAGGCACCTAGCTCACTGAGCAGCGCCATGGCGTCGCTATCGATGGGCAATGGGTCAAGCAGAACCAACGGGCCGCCGCCTCCACCTTTGCCGGGTCAGCGGCGCGAACAGCTGAGCAGCCCGCCACCTCCACAGTCGTATGCGGCGCCACAACCGCTCCCGCAGACTGGCTCAAATTTGATGTCGCAGCAATTTGCGCCGCCAAGCAACTCATTGCACTATCCACCGCCACCGCTTTCAACCCAAACGCCATTACATCAGCCGTATCAGTCGCAGACGCCATACAGCGTTCAACAACCGCTAGTCGCATATGGCGCGTCAGGAGCAGGTGCAGGGTTGCCGCCCCCGCCTGCGCACTTCCACAGCAGCTTCCAAGGCGGCGCATCTCCTCCCACTTCGGCTCCTCGAGGCTCGTCCCAGTACGAGTGGCAAACCCACGAGTCGCAACCAGCCCAACAAGGATCTGCCACTTATCCATACGCAGGGCCGCCGCCGCCTTCGCAAGGCTATTCTCACCAATCGCAGCATCAGCAGGATGCATTTGGAGGGCTGCCACCGCCTCCAATTCCACAACTGCAGCACCAGGGTCTGTACAACATGCTACCACCACCACCACCACCACCAGCGCCAGGGCAAGGCCAACGCCAATACCAGACATGGCAGGGTCCAGCCTTTTGAAAAGTACACCTGTCGGGGGGATGTAATGTACAATATAAATGGTGATGATTGATGCGGAACCATGCGCGCAGTTGCGTTGTGCTAATTCAAGTATATGCGGTCAAGCGTCCCTAAAGTAGGAAGTCCTTGCCTTGGGCATCACCACGCTACTTCGATCATGTCCCCGTCTTCAATCTCGGCCTCTTCGACAGACTTATTCAGGTTCAGATTCTGAGATGCGAGAAGAGATGCAGACGATGTGTCAGCATATAGTCGCAAGATGCCAGCGCACAGCGCGAACCACATTCTGCGCGCGACTAACCTCTCCATCGAAGCGGAGCTTGATGACTTGGAGCTTGTCAGCAGGAATCTCACTCTTCTTGGTGTTGACGAAATGGTCGCGAACTTTGAGCAGCAAAGTCGTCGGCTTGACTTTCGCATTCATCTCTACGCCTTTCGGACCTTTTAGCGATAGCTCGAGCCGGTCCTCATCGTCCGCATCATCTTCAGCTGCTGCTGCGTCTGCCCTTGCGCTTGCGTCGTCACCCTCACTGTCGTCGTCGTCGTCGTCGATCTCGATCGCATTGGCGGCATCGGCTTTTCCGGGTGTGCGCATTGAAGCTCTGGGCGGCTTGGATGGGGATTTGGCAAGGAGATCTGGCTGCCATGTGACGCTATCGTTGTCAGAGGCTTCGTTCACGTCGATGACCTGGAGCAAAAGGTGTGGCGTAGCATTTCGCGTCAGGGGGGCCCTTATTGAGAGCTTATAGCGCTTCCGTAACTCACTTCGGTGTCGTCATTTGCATACTCCTCACCATCATTACTTCCCTTTTTGGAAGGGGGTGCTTTGGCCTTACGGACCGCATTCTCCTGATCCGCTTCCATCTGATTGAGTTTGGCCTGAGCATTCTGACGCGCCGCTTCCGCTGCCAAGGCTCTGGCGCGCACCTCTTTGGCGTCGGCTCCGCGGTAGAGCTTTGCCAGGTCCGGATCGAGAGTCAAGAGGTCATCCCGGCGCGGCAGGGCTGTAGAGGGTAGTGGCGCGGGAGAGTCACCGTCTGGCTTTGCACGTGAGGTGAGATTTTTGAACTGCGCTTGGACAATGGACCGGGTCTTGTTTCGCGCTGTTGCATGGGGTGGAATCCCACAACATTTTGAACAAAACATGCTCCATGCGTAGCGAAAGAGCTCAATACACTCACTGATCTCGGATATCTCCGGTGGAGGTGTGAGCTCTGGGCTGCGCTCTAGCCTCTTGCGACGATTGGCTTCGGTCGTCTCATATTCCTCATCGCTGTCGATAACTTGGATGACTCCATCGAGGTCGCTGTCGTCTTTGCCAACGTCCTCATCACTTTCCACAGGATTGAACATCCAGTTGGGCATTCCATTGATGCGCCGGTCCTGTATACCATTTTTCCGCTTGCGCTTCCTCCGCCTGCGCTCGTTGCCGTCCGAATCGTACGAAATGGATGATGCTATGCTCTCTGCATCGCTTTCAATGTGTGCTTCTTCAATCCGGGAAGCCTTCTGGATGTCATCTTCGTCGATGATAAGTGGTCCGGGCTGACTCTTTTTGCGTCTTCGGTCGAAAAAGTCAGTTTCGTCATCGTCGTCATCGTTATCGTTATCGAGGCTCTTGGCCTTTAGCTTCTCCGCTTTTGTTATTCGCGCGGACGACGAGGATGCATGAGACGGGTTGTGTCCGTTGCTGGTGCCACTATTCATATGGACGCTGTGGCCCTTGGATCGCATGTCGACGACAGGGCCGCTACTGCTTGTGGCGTACCATGGACTCATGCTTGTCGAGTCGTTCGGACGCGTTGAGGAGCGCGTGTCGCCCATCTGGGGCCAAGACTTGCGCGCTGCTGGCCAGCGAATGTATGCGCTCGATGAGGTTTCCCGGACGTTCAAAATGATCGGCACTGACAATAACCCGTGATCAGATGCCTCCAGGAGAGTGGGAATTCCTCAGGGTACGCAAAGGGCAGGGGGAGCTCCAACAACGCGCAGTCGAAAAGATGTGTTGGCGAGGACGTGGTTCATTTCGCGACGCGGGTGTCTCTTGTGCCGGCGATGAGAGAGGGAAGAGACTGCCATAGTGCCTATAATAGCGGATGTAGCCCCCCTCCATCTCCAAAGACTCCACCGCGGCGCTCTCGGACGTTTCTTCGCAATCAAGTCAAGATTCAAGTACAAGTCAGCCTTTTGGCCATGGTCGAGATAATGGCAAGCAGTAGCGTCTGTGCCTCTTGCTGAAGAACATACTGTGAGCTGGAAAGCAGCCAATCACAGTTCAGAGCCCCAGAGGCGAGCGCCATCATTGTCGTCATCGCCAGTATGTTTTCCTCCGAGCTGGCCTCCATCCGCCGGATGGGCATCCGCGCCTTTCTGATCCAGACGCTCAACTTCATCACCGTCATCTCGTCCGCCTTGGCGATGTGGAAAGGGCTCTCGGTCTTGACGGATACCGAGTCGCCCGTCGTCGTCGTCCTCAGCGGGAGCATGGAGCCGGCTTTCTACAGGGGAGATCTGCTCTTCCTTAGCAAGCCCACGCAGCCTTTCAGAGTGGGTGACATCACAGTGTACAAGATCCCGGGCGGAGATATCCCCATCGTGCATCGAGTGTTGGAAGTGCACGACTTGTGAGTCAGAGCACGGGGTACCGGTTCCGTTTCTGCGAGGCAAGGAACGCTGACGTCGCATCTATCCCGTATACAGGCCACACTCTGATGAACAACTTTTGTTAACGAAAGGCGACAACAACGACCAAGACGACTTGGCCCTTTACAATGGGCCACGATGGATGCAGCGCAAAAACATCGTTGGCAAAGTCAGAGGGTGTGTCTTCTTCCCGTATATCGATTGCTCTGGTTTCCTATTCCCTTTCCCATCCCCTCGACTGTTTGCCGGACGAAAGCAGCGCTGACATGTCCTTTCGTGGCTTCCTGCTGTCTTCTCTCCCTCTCAAAACCTATTCCAGGTACATACCATACGCAGGCTACGTCACAATCATGCTAAACGACTTTCCAAAGCTCAAATACGCGCTACTCGGTTTACTCGGCTTGTCTCTTCTATTCCAAAAGGAGTGAATTTGCATGTTCAAAGGAGGAACACGGGTTCGGTTGGCGTACATGCGGAGGATTGCGGTGAACTACGTCTGGGTGCTGCAGTTACGATATGCCACAGAGCAGCACGGGACTCGCACGGGCGCCTCTGGGTCTCTCATGATATATTGTGAATGAAGATACATGGGCATTCGCTTCTGTGTGGCCTGCAGCGGTGTGTGACGAGCGCGCTCCTGTTTCGATTGTTGCTGAGCGTGCCCGAAACTTTGCCCGGTCCGACCAGGAAGCTGCTGCGCGCTCAGCTTCCCCATCGTCCACTCCCGCGCCGGCGTCGTGTTTGACTGGCGAGAGGATGTCGAGACCGCCGCAGCTGAGCCGGCATGAAACGAAAGCCGCCGCACTATGCACGCGCGTCGACACGAGCTTGCGGGCAACGTCTCGCTCCATGTGCGGGGTGGCCGACGTTCCATCCTTGCGTAGTGGTGTTGCGTCTCCGCTGCTGCCATCGTTGCGTGTGTCACAAGTGAAAGTTTGCAGGCGATGAGTCGCGACGATGGCGATTCTAGGCCGGCAAGCGCAGGAGCAAGCACGCCTGCCCTGAGAGCCCGCAGCATGTAGCGCGCCGCTATCGAGTCGTTTGGCTGGTCTTGCCAGCATACGCCTCTCGCTGCCCCTCACATACCCGCGACATCGTTTTCTCTACGTCAGGCACGCTTTGACAAGAAAGATGTATATTGTTCAGTTTGTCGAAACGCTTATCGCCTCTAGTACGGCGCACCGTAACCTCCGCGGACAGTGTCTGCATCACCATCGTCTTGTTCGTTTCCAAAGCCTCCGTGTTCGGCAGCAGCGGCACGCGCCGCTTCCGTCTCCTCGAGATGCTGCTGATGCGTCATGACGACCGACCAGACGGAGGCCTTGAACAGGGTCAGGACGAGGCCCATCTTACGCTCGAGCACGCGAAGCTGCGTGAGGAGAGCATGGTGCGTCGAGGAGGAGGAGAGCGTGGTGGAGAGGCTCGCGATCTGGTGATATCACGCATGTCCGTACGTAAGGAAGAGTGAGAATGATGGGTATCAGCATCGATCAAAGGCGAGGAAAGCGACGCCGCGATGCGACGCGTCGTTGGTGACACTGCGACGAGCGCGTCTGCGGGGAGGCAAGCAAGGGCAAACGCGGCAACTCACGCGTGCTATGGTCGCAGCCAGCCTTGCATACTCGCCCAGGACCTGCTGCTCTGTCTCGGACAGGTTTCGATGGCCGAGATAAGGGTTGACAAACGCTGCGGCGGCTGGAAGGTGTTCCTTTTTTGCGTTGGCGTTGGCCGGAAGTGCAGGTGCTGCCACGGCGGCTGGCCGGGCGCTGGCGCGAGTTGAGGCCATCGTTGGGAGCGTACAGAAGCGAGACAGCTTTTAGCGAGGGAACGGGGCTGCCGGATTTGGGAGGAACAGTGTTGCCTCAGCGCATCCACCCAGCCATTGAGGATCAAACTAGAAGGCTGTTCCTTGGTTGTTAGCCCCATCTTTTTGACGAACAGACGCGGTCATCACGGGCGCGCCTGGTTCGCTCTCGGGAGAGACTCTCATCATCAGTCGCCCGCGAGGAGACGCGCACAGTAACCCTAACCACCTCGCCAGCCATGGGGTTTGCACGTGATCTCATATCTATGTTCTTCGTGGGCTCATACTTCCTAGGAGATGCGGGGGATCTCCCCGGATTCTCATCGGGGTCGGAACGGAGATCTATGTGATCCACCAGCTGTAGCGGTTGAGTAGTATATTAAACCGTTCACGCCAGCTGTCCTCAGGCATCGATTGATCCCCGCCGCGCGAACTGCGCACTCTCTCGAAGCGACGAGACAGTCCGTCACTGGTCCACTGTCACCCGAGAAGTTTTCGCTGGAGCATCGGAGCAGGGTGCAGTTGACTTGCTGTATTCGCACTCGCAGTCAGACCTTTTTTGCAACACGCACAAGGCCACATGCTCTTGCCGGGGTGCTTACAATTTGGAATGTATGATCCTGTCAACTGTGCATGTAATATATCTGCATTTATGCATGGAACCTCGGCCCAACGGCCGCGACACGCCCAAAGGTTGACTGACTGAGAGATCATTTGATTGAGTAATTGAGAAGGTTTTTTTCCGGTTGAATGGCGGGCCAAAAATGCGCTGATTTTGGCACTGGGGACTGAATCTCTCGATGGGCCGACACAGGCGTCGTTATTGCGTAGCTTTCCTTTCCCTCTCTTCGGCGACTTCTGGCCGGGCCGACCGACCGTTGTCACACAGCAGAGCTACACCAAGCACCTACCCACCCACCTACCGACTCAGGGACCGAGTGAGCCGCGAGGGAGCTGCGAGCACGCCCTTAACAACGATCTTCGCAGCTTCATTGTTTCGCTAGTGCCAACCTATCCCGCGGCTCATACGCTGGCTTCATCCACCACCATCCAACACACAGTGCTGCCGTCGGGCCGTGTGCTGTAGTGTGTGGCTTCACATTGAGGCGTCAGGATCAACCAACAGGGACGCCAGACTTGCTCACTTGCCTGTCCGCCTGCCTGCATACCTTTGGTTAGCGCAGCTCTCAGACTTAGTAAGCAAAGCTGAGGTCAGCCTCGCTGAAACTCAGCGTTGGGAGCTCCAAGGGGCACCGTCGGGCACGCATCGCTGCAACCTTGCCTGCTGCAATCCCCGCACGCTGAGCTTTGAAGCGGCCGCGACGTGGACCTCAACCTTTTAACTACACGCGCGTGCTTTCTCTTCCATCTGCATCTTTGCGCTCCGCCATCGACTATTCGAGCAACTTTCCGCCAAACGAGAGTCTACCAAACTACCCTGCAGGCAGCCCACCACACAGAAGGCGTCACAGACACATCAAACGCTCCGGCCAAAGTTCCTGCCTGCAGTTCCACACGCAATAAGTGCCTACTCACCGTTCGCAGCTAGCAAGCAGTCATACTCTGCCATGCCGCGTCTCCTCGTCAAGGTCGGGCCCGACAGGGAGCACATGGAGGTCTGTCGCTTGAACGACATGTACCGGCCACACGAGATCAACTCGGAGCACTTCGTCGGTCGGGTCCTCGTGCGCATCATCAACGCGCCCGGTGCAAATGAGGGGGAAGAAGGCAGAGAGTACTTCCAGGATCGTAGCCGCAAATTCAGCATTCAAATCGAAGGCAGGTTTAAGAAGCCGTGGAAGGGTAGCGAGGTTTTGTTTGGCAGCGATTTTGACAAGTGAGTACAATGCTGGGGCGGTGCCTAGCGTGTGTGTTATGCAGCCAAAGCAGCGACTCAACGTATTGCACCTCCTTACCCAAGATGGATTGCATTTCCTCGCGCGCCGTTTACAGCCGTAAGTTTTGTGAAACACGGCATCTGTACTGATCTTTTGCGCCGTAACAGCACCACTGACTGCCCCGACTTTCTCAGGGCATGCGAGTCGCGCAGATGATTGACCCTTGCACATTCTGTGAGTGACCCGTCCCCTTCCCTTTACATCTTTCGAGACTGAAAACGGGACAGCCAGCTGACGTTATCCATATTGCTACATGCAGACGACGAGCACCCGCCGTCGGGCCGGCCATACATTATGTCCCCGTACTGCGCATGTATGAACACGCTCTGCGCATGGCCTGCTCCTTCGCGAGCGCACGACGCCGTCGTCGTCCTGCGGCACGCTCCCGGTCCACATACGCATGTGACCGGCTCGCTGGCCACGCAAGGAGGCGGTGGTGGCAGCGCCTTGCCGCACCACGCCATTTCTCCCAACAGCGGTGCGCAGGGCAACGGCTCACCGATGATGGATCTCAACGACCAGGAAAAGAAGCCGGACGGGCAAGCGTCGCTTGTCGCATCACCGCCAGGCTCAGATAACGAGGGCGATGGCGAGGATGATGGGGATGTCGTTCCTGTCGAGAGCTTGGAGCGCAAGAAGAAGGGGGCCGAAGCAAATGGCGAAGAAGTGCCGGCTGCTGTTGAGAAGCCCAAGCGCAGGAGTTGGTTTGGCGGCTTTGGCGGTGGGCCTCCCAAGGAGGAACGGAAACTCAAGAAGTATTGGAGATTCGTTGGCTTTAAGGTCAGTATTACCGTTCGGGTAACGTGCGTTTGCACCTCGTGCGAGTCCTTCGATCGACCGTGCTGATGCCCGGAATACACTGTACTTGATACTCTCGCGTGTACCAGCAAGATCCGCGTGTCAGAGCATTCCTCGAAGCGCACCATGCCAGCCTTGACAAGCTTGATCGCCAGCCGAGCCGCAGCGGGCGCGGGACGCCGCGTCCCGCCTCGTCGGCCCACACTACCGGTGCGCCATCGACGACGGCCAGCGCCAATGTCAGTGCACCCGGGAGCACGCGCATGTCGCCCGCTACATCCATGCAAGGTTCTGCGCCAGGGCACGTTGGTGGTGCTGGCAGCGCCAGCGCCGATGGCAGCATCACTGCGAGCCCTGTCATTCCCAGCGGTTACGTCCTCTCCAATCAGGGCGGCGTCATCCTTCCCCCCGAGCGCCCCTTTTCGCCAGGCAGTGCCAGTGGGCAGAACAAGGCTGCCGGCACGATCGCGACGGGCGCCATCAATATGCCCTTGCTGCACCGCCTGGGCACCGGGCTGCGCGACCAGGGCGGAAAGACACCCGAACCGCCCTCGATCATCAGCCCCAGCCTCATGGCGCAGGTCGAGACGGTCATCCTGCGCGAACCGAGCCCACTGAGGCAGGAACAGCGCCCAAACAGCATCGTCAACACGACGACGCAGATCAGCGCCACTCCTGCACTGATGCAGGCAGCGGCGGTGCTGCCGCCCAGGAGGGGCACAAGCAGCACGGACGGCGTCGAGAGGGTCTCGACAACCACGAACACGAAAGATAATGCCAAGGAGGAAAAGCATCACGCCAACAGCAAGCCGACGCGCAAGATCAGCTTGCATAATCCACTCAAGGTGCTGAAGCCGAAGGCGGCGCTGCATGCCCTCAATTTCGGCAAGAAGGATGACAGCGACGACGAAGAGGAGATGAGCGCACCACCTGGGAAAAAGAGTCACAGTCGTTCGTCGAGCATCACCTCTGTGGTCATTCAGACGCCAGCACCCGCTCCCGCACAAGCACAAGCACAAACACAAGCACAAACACAAGCACCAGTGGCGCAAGAAACCACGCTTGTTGCGGAACCAGCCGCGCCTCTTGTGAATGCGGCTTACATGCAACACCAAGAAGCCGAGCCTGCGCTTCAGGAGTTTGTTCACGCAGCGGCTCCCCAGCAGCCACAGCCGCAGCCGGTGGCTGAGCACGAGCCTCAATGCGATGTGCCTCTGGGGCCACCTCTACAGCGCATCACGACATCCGTACGTCAGGAGATGGAGAAATTCGCCCAGGGCGACGGATTGACGGAGGGAGACTTCAGGCTCGCCGACCGCTTGCGTCAGACCCACTTGACTTCCCCGCCCCCGCCACCTTCCTTCTCTCGCAGTGGCCATGGTAGAGCTGCGAACATCAGCAGTGGCAGTGATCATGCAGCAGGAATTGGCGCGAGTGTTGGTGTAGGGGCGACTGCACCCCAGGGCGGCGAGAGCGATGCTGAATGGCATAGCACGCTTGATGAGGAGCTCGGGCCGTGGCGCTTCAGTGATCCGGGCACCGACATGATCGAGGACAACGCTTTCATCTTTACGCATGAGAGCGTCAGCGTACCCAGGCGGCGGAAATACTTTGCAGACGCCAAGCACCGCGAGGACTTTGTGTACGATCCAGGTTAGTTCAGACAGGCTGCGCGAGCCTTTTCTCGTTTGTACTTGCGGCTGACCTGGTCCATTTTCTTTTCATGTCCCTCTCGATTGTAGACGTTGTCTACGGATCTGCCTTCTTTTCGGACATGATGGACTTCAACACATTTGATCTGCACATCGGCCCGGTGCGCATCAACGTTCATCGTTTTTTCAAGGTGTGTGGCTACACCTGTTCGAACCACTATGCCATGTGACAACCCTCTTTTCTGCGGCCGCTGACGAGTATTTACCGCGCCATCGTTCGCAGGACATGCCCGTACGATACACCCTCCGTGCCGCAAACGACGAAAGCATCACCTTCTGCACGATTTCTTTCGAACTCGTCTGATTCAATCTGGACGATCGAGCAACCATTTGAACACACACACTGCACATATAGAGTCAAGCAGCTCACATAATGCCTAGCATGAGCTCTGCCGCCCTTCATCTTTTAGTCTCATCGAAGCGGCCGAATAAATGCAATGAAGCAACCTCCTTTTCGAAGAAGCGGATCGCTACCGAACAATTGAGATGAAGTCTTGCAACACAAAATACAATTGACATGTGGCTCATCTTGAATGTTGAGAGCAGGTGCATGTATGATATAGAGTCCCTTCAAAAGATGCTCACGAACAGGGGCCGGCGATATTGGGGTGTACCGGTCCCAGCTCGGCCACTCGCCCACCTAGCATGTAACGATCTTGCCGTTGTCGTTGAATTAGAACATAGGGAGATAGAAGCCCCTCCCCCCGTCTTGGGCCTTGCTTTCCTGTTATTTTAGCTGCGGGTGCGGCTGATGAGCCAAAGTCCGCGTGCTCTCGGGTACCTGTCTAGCAGGTGAGTGCGTGCCGGTGCCCTCAGCCCGCAGTTATCACACCAAGCTGATCCTGATGAGGCTGCTTCTCTGCGTCCGCGAGTGTTCAGTCATGTCGTGGTCCTGCGACAGACGATCTGCGGGGAGCGCTCAAAGCGCTGAATCTGCCTTCTTGCAGCATGCACCGCCTGTGCTGGCGCTGCAATGGATGGGAGGAAGATCGCAGCTCCGGCCACCGTCGACGTCACCCTCGCTGCCTGCGCGGGAGTCCATGGCGCCCTCGCCCTCGCTGTCGACCGCGTCGCCCAGACTGCTCAGCAACGGAGGGCTCTGTTCGCGCTTTGCTCGCCGCTCATCCGCGGCAGGCCCTTGCATTTCTGCATGATCCAGACGAGGCAACTGCTGCGAGGTGACTGTTGGTGCGCTACCGATATCTCGATGGAGCAGCTGCGGGGCTGAGCGTTGCTTTATATCCTGCTGCTCTGGGCTCGGCTGAATAGAACCGCCGGAGCTGGAGCTCGTGTGCGCGACATTCTGACCCGAATGCCTTGTGTGAGGCTGTGCACGCAAAAGATAGCTTGCGTACTGATCATCTGCGGGCGTACGCAAGTACTGAAGACCTTGTTGCTGCTGTGACGGCGGCGGGGGCTGTAGCAGGTTCTGAGGTTGATGCTGCCGATCTTGATTCGGATACTGATGTGGGTGCGGTGTCTGGTGTATCCATGTCGCCACCGGCGGTGACATCATCTCGGTGTGTGCTGCCTGTTGGTAGATCGACGAGAGGTAATGCCCTTGTACGTCGTCGGCCTGCGAAGGAGGATGCGGGTGATGCGCATACAAGCCAGCTTGGCGGCAAGGTAGGAAGCCATTGACTGCATCTATGGCAGGTGCATACCCCATATGCAAAGACTGCGATCGACCAGTCGGACCGCGTCCTGGGAACGCCGAGAGTGCAACTGAGTCTGGCAAAAGGTGTGCGGTGGTCGGATGCTGCAACACATGGTGCTGTCGATGTTGTTGAATATCGAGTGTATGCCTCCTGCTCGCAGCACTCGACGATGACAAGATTGGCGAGACTGAGGACGCACCTGCTGCAGCGGTTGGGCCGATGGCAGGGACTCCTCTGGCACCACTGAGGTACGGCATGGCGGGCGAGTGGTACAGGGATGGGGAGGGGCCGTCGGCAATCATTGCGGGCGAGTCATTAAGCAAGCTGCCATTCATCGGTGAATTTGTCGTGCTTGGCAAGACTCCATATCGCGATGCAGCATCGGAAACTTGGGGAGTTAATGGCGCTCGCATGTGCGTGTGGGAGGATGGTGTGCGCCTGCAGCCTTCGAAGCCCATGGCCGCTGCGACGGCCACGTTGTTCACACGGTTGTGCCCGTGTGCTATTGCAGTCCTTAGACCTGCTAAGTGTTGCTGAAGAAGCGTGATTTTTCCTTGCAATTGCCTGGCGATATTCTCGAGCTGCTGTCGATCTTGCGTCGACATGTTGGAAAGCAAGGCGGGCACATCGATGTCGGCCAAGGCTGCGAGTGCAGCGTTGCTCATGACAGTCGCCACTGTTGCCGGTGGCGAGGGCTCTGAGGTCGGTACATTTGATGCAGTGGCGTTCGAAGCAGTGGATGATAGACGTTTCCGTTTCGAGGAGCATTCGTCTGTGACGTTTGAGCTTGAGCTCGATGCGGTTTGCTGTGACTCTGATGGAATGCCAGCATCTTCGCAAGGTATCCCCAGTGCTTGCCTGAATGATGTGTTCTCCTCCTTGAGATTTGCATACGCCGCTATGATCACAAGGGAATATTCATTTTGGCTGGCAACATACTTTCCTGAGCATTTCATGGAGAAAATCTCTCCGTCTCACCTTCCAGGTCGGCCAAGTGCTTTCGCTTGCGTTCTCTGAAAGCACGCTGTGTCTGCAATGAGCGTGTCGGCTCGAGCTCGAGATTGGGCCTCCTTCCTCTTGTCATCCTGACGTTGTCTCTGGAGAAGCTAGAGGCGCAATGGCCATGCTATGGTGATCACTGGAAGCTCTATCCGCCACAGTACTGTGAGTGGCGAACAGAGCATCTTAAAGATACGATTTCATGATGTTTGCTTTTGCTTATTTGCATTTGGAACCTGAAGACCCCCAAGAGCTGTCCCGATTACGGAGCCTTTTCAATTCGAGTGTATGGAGCAGTCGCAAGTCCGGGCAAACAACAGAAGTGTCGTAACAGACATGATTGGCAGCCAGGCGTCAAATTGCTTCACAAGCGCGCTGCGCTCGATCGCCCGTGGAGAGTGCGAGTGTGGGAATTCAGTTTTCTCGCGGCCCTGGATTGCCTCATCGCCCGACACCTCGTACGGCTCTACACCTATCCCTACGGTGACCACAAATCGCATTCCAGGCGCCCAGTCGCTCATCAGAGGCTCCTTGAAGTCATCGAGGGCTGCGTGAGTTGTGCACAGAGCGAGACAAGAAGGATGGAGCTCCAGGCCACCTACGCCAAGTGGAGTGCATCGTTCGACCTACCCGTAACCTCGGTGGTCAGCGAGGGTTGGCGCCGACAGAGTCACAAACTGCATGTGAAAGGCAGCAGGCACCAGTATATATACCAGGATGTATTCCCAAGACTGAGAGAGTGGCGACAGTGCTACTACCTGCTATTGAAAGGGTGAGTTGAGAAGTACATGGTGAGAGCAACTTGCTGGTGCCTGAGTCAGAAAGTCAAGGAAAGTGGTGGGAATCCAGGTGATGGCCGACTAGGTGGTGGTGGCCCATGTGAAGCGCGCCATTTTCGGCACCCCAGGGCCCAGCGACACAGCCCACAGGCCGCAACAGACCAACGCCTGTCTATATCCCACGTGTATCCCCCAAAAGGCCCAGGAGCGCAGGGCCACAGGCACCAGGCACTCCACAGGTGGTCGGCCAGGATGCAGGTCTCCATTGCGGGCCTCGCTTCTAGTACTGCCTATGTGCACGCAATAACCCAACAGCCTACAACGTATGCACATACATGGATGCGGCGGCGGGAAGAGGACATCGGACGCGCGCAGACGCAATAAAAGCTGTCCGGAAGACTGTGTGAAAGAGCACAGACCTTCCCGCAGATCTGTGCAAATCTCCGGAGTGGAGAAAATGCAAGTTGGGCCCTGTTACAGCAGCATCATTTCAGAAAGGCCCATTAGCGTCACGGATCGCAAAAAAGTGCACAACTATCTAACGATAGTGATAGATGTAAAGACTGACAGGTCTCACGTGGGCTTGTGGCCAGAAGTACACGCTATGTAGTACAAGCAGAAACCCCTTTTCGAAGCGTTTTTTCCCCAGAAGGAATCCCGAAACGCTAGGTTCGCAAGCGGGCGAAGAAGTCTCCCGTGTGAGATGTCAAAGTGAGGATGTTCGAAAAGAAAATGAAAAAAATCGTGCCTCGACTCAAATACTGATGTTCACTGCTTTCGTCGTGATAGGTCGGCCTGCGCCCTGCGGGTGCGGTGCGCTGAGTTGTGATGACGCGGGCGGACGTCGCAGCTGTCCCATCGATGTCGGGGGACCAGGAGAAAGCAGCACAGAACATCCCCCGTAATAGCATGTAAGTGGTAGAGCCTGTACACCTAAGGACGGTCAACTTCGAAAACACCGTTCGATGTGAAACGAGCCGAGTTGAGAGTTCTTCCTTTGCTGTTGAGAGTTGATTTGATTACGTACGTAGATTACAGCTGCGCCAGAGGTTTGTTTATTTTTGATGATGGCACACGTATTCTCCTGCAGTTTCAACTCGATTGAGCATCGCGATGACGGCAAGATTCAACGGCGATGCTGCCTTAACGCTTTGCACGGTTGCATGATAAGAAGCGTGTGGAGATCAAATCAGGTTCACGCATCACGCAGCTCGACGGCCCACTCAGCATCCATGCTTAGTGCGCCCGTCAGGTAGCAAGAAGCGGGATCTGTTCGAGTCTTGAATGAACGCGGACGGCAAACCAGTCGCACCAGGAAGGTGAGCGCTCCCTCGCCAAAGTTGGAGCAGCTACTGCCGTGTGTAGGATTCCGGAAGCGTATCATAGAGGTCATTTTCCTTACAGATCTTTGCATGGATTCGCTCGGACTTCAAGTTTTTTTTCAACTGAGACGGTTGAATATGCGATCTGCTTGCGAAGCGCTTTGCATCTTGAATGAAATTCCTCACATATGCCCTAAGTAGTGGCTGCGTCCAATAGAACAAGTGCTCAGCTTGGGATGTGTCGCAGGCGGCATGAAAGTTGTACGCGTGCACCCGCCTGGGATGTCACAATGACTCGCCCAGCGCCACATTATTCATCTTACCGTGAAATAATTCGGACGCTGCTCCCCATTGGTGCAGCTGTTCCCATTAACAGCGGTGGTCCATTGCGAACTAGTATGAATAGAGATATGTGCGCATCTGCAGATGTAATAGCAGCGGCGAGTTGCGAGCTTTGAGCAGAGACATGGTGCCGCGCGATGGTATCTCATCGGCGCCCGACATGAATACCAGCGACCCTGACGGAATCTGTAGAGAAGACCTGTGTTCAGAAAAGAGAGGCTTTGTCTGTCTCTCGTTGTGCCCAAGAACGAGACCTTCTCACTCATAGTAGCTGCTTTACGGCCTGCCGCATCTCTATTACCAGCGTGAAGGAACCATCCTGAGGGGTCATCTCCCGACCGTGGTGCACCGAGGGTGAGATCTCGCTTTCGAATGCCTCGAACAAATGGAAACTCTCTTGGAAGCTCAGATTCTATGCGGAAATGAGCGCAGTCGGTAACGGTAAATGCTCTAAGAAGGCAACACGCATACCTTTGGTTGGCCCATGAACGAATGTGTGGTCTCGCCGACGGTAAATCGATCCACAACATTCTAGGGCTCGCGCCTTTAAACCTCGAAGAGATCCAGGTCAGGCGAAAACAAAAAGGTGCCCACCAGATGGGGCATGCGGTCCTCAGAGTCCAACCATGCCTTGCGCCTGCTGCTGCATGGTCATCCGACACTCATCTGCCTGATAGTGCGGCAAGACTAACATTTGGCCGTCCGGCTTGTCCCAAAGCAGTCGTGTACCATGAGCGCGACAAGTAACAGGATAACAGGGCTTACAATTGTGGAACAGGAGCATTATCACTTCGAATTTCGCTTTTGTTGATCGTTCGCGTAGGTTGGGACGCGAGCGTACATTGGTAGCGCCATTCCCAAATCGCAGTGGGTTGTCTTGTTAAACACAACAATGACCGCTCTGAGATGGTCTCAGCCCAGTTGCAGACCTCTAGCAATAGCCCGTGCTGATTCACAACCTCCTGAAATCATCGCCATGATCTTGCCCGCTGAACAAGGACTCTGCGTATTTGGCGGCAGCAAGTGTGGTTGTGTGGTGAACAGTCAGGAAGCTGTACAAGCGATGTGCGTCGAGAGAGCTGCGGACTTTCGGCATATCGGCACGAGTCGCCAGGCACTGTCACCATATTTCTGGTGCCTCGACACGTAGAATGTGCCTAACAATCCTCGGTCCTTATTTGGCCGGCGGCAAGTGCCAGTAAATAGTCTTGACACAGGTACTAAACTGGGAACCCTTGTGTTTGCATTGATCTAGTACATGGAATGTGAATACAATTCCCGGGAAATTCCTTTCCGCGGCTTCATCCCGTGTTTCCACTCTCAGCATTGTGGCCTGGGGCCTGCCTAATCACTACACACTGTGGTACCTGGGGGGGGGGCACCTACCAGCTGGGCTGAGGCGGGGGGTTGCGTAGCGCCGCGGCTCCGACCGCGTCACGCTTGTCAGGGAAAACTCTGTTAGACTCTTCCCCCCTTCCGGTTTCCATGTGGTATGGTTTGCACTTTGCAAAGCTGAAAGCTGCTCGAAATGCATGGAGCCGCCGGCCAATTCAATGCGCAGCAGCTAACTGTGCTGGCTACTTGCCCAGCAGCTCCATAGAGGTCTAACTCTGTCGTTGTGGGCACGCAAGCTTAGTTGCTTTTGTAGGGAAGCTGGCAGCATCGGATCCCTCCTGCCTGCTTGTTGTCATTGCTATCATACCTATCAATCACGCTATGCCGGACGAACACTTGATCATTGTAGACTGATCGAGGCCAGTTAAAAAGAGCTTGAGAAGGTTTCGACCTAACTCCCCGCCAAGGTCTTGATCCACTTCGCCTGCCGTCAGAGTATAACGCAGCATTCCCGCCACTCAGACACCCCAGTATCCATCATGAGCCTGAACGCCCTTGGTATCGCCTCCGTCGTCTTCCTCGTCCTCTATGCGCTGTGCTTCTTTGCGCTGTGCTTCGGCTTCGCATCACGCCAGCTCAAGTTCAAGTCCCGATGGTCCTTTGTGCTCTTCCATGTTACCCTCCGCCTTGCGGCGCAGAGCGTCGGTATCGCCTTCTCCCTGAAAGGGTTCAGCGATATTGGTCTTTTGATCGCGTACCTCGTGCTTGGCGCCGAAGGCTACTTTTCCCTTGTGCTGTGCACCGCCCGCTTCCTCATCAGCTTCCACAACCACATCTTTGGCGACTCGTGGCTTGAACCAAAAGAGTTTAAGAATAGCAATGTCATGAACCAGTTGCCTCTTGTACGGCTCGGACGACGCATCCTGCGAAACTTCCAGATCCGGGTTGGCGAAAACCATATCGCACAAGAAACCGACGCCGACCGCCAGACCACTGCCAACCCTCGTCGTAAGCGGGTCAACTTCAGTGGTTACGTCCATTATCTTCTTATCGTCGCAAACGCAATAATCATCTCAGGCACCAGCCAGGCGGCCGGTACAATTGGAGAGGATCCTGAGGAGATCCAATCAACACTGCAAAGGTCCAGGGCAATGCGTGCAGCAGGACAATCCATCTTCCTCGCCATCAACATTGGGCTCATAATCTGTGTTGCAATCACTATTTCTCAATATAGGCGTCTCGCAGCCCAGCAGAACAAGCCTCAAGTTAAGAGCACATGGTATGGCCATTCTTGCTTGTGCGCCTTACTCCTCACATCACCTTTTCTTATCACAAGAGGTGTGTTTGGCATATGCCAATCCTTGCTCACTTCCCTCAGCGTGAGTCTCTTAATCGATTCTGCCCTCAGTGATCACCCCTTAACATTATTCTTTTCATCTGGCAGTTTTTCAGCGCATCAACATACACCGCGGACGGCTTTGCCGATGAATTTGTGATCAAAGAGACGGTGCTCGCCATCGCCATGGAATGGAGCACATGTGTGTTGCTCATTTCGACGTGGCCACTTCAACGTGCTTACGGCTTGAATCGGGTTTCCTCCGCCTCCCACGGTCGAGCCTCTGCAGACGCCACCGAAGGGGATGCCCAGGCTTGACAGAGGCATTCTGCAGCCGCGCACCCAGAGCCTGTTTTACAAGCGTATCTAAAAATCGTGCCTTCTATTAAGCATCACTTGAAGATGATACCTTGTCGTTCACTGTTCGTCGTGCTAGCACTGCCACCCAGAATGCGCACCATTAAAACGTATTGCCACTGGGTCACATGGTCGCACCATCCCCGCAAGCTCTGAACCAATTTGTGCGAATTTGATGCTTCGTACTTGTAATAATGGAGGGGGACGGGCTCGAAACCCCTGTCAATGTATCGAGCAATAATTGCGTAAGGTACCAACTCGACAAACCGGTTCTCGACCGACATGCAGTACCTCACTGACTACGGGGTACTGGGTGCTGACCTCGGGTATTATCAGATCTGACCATTGACCTACTGAGTAAGGCGAGCCCTCTTTCGGTACTGAGTGCTGAGCCACTGGCATATTGACGGCTGCTCGCTGTGCCTATCAGCAGCTGGTCCCGGCGGCGGGCAGGCCCAGCCGACGGTCTGCAACGGGGGGCGTAGCGACACATGTCCCCAAAGGAAGGGCATGCCTTTTGCCCCGTGCTTGTGACCATGAAAAGGTACCCGGAAACAGCACTCAGATAGCGGACCGAGACCCGAGACCCGGCAGTGTGAACAGGTGTGAGCCCGTCCGTCGGGGAGGAGTGCATTTATGTAATTAATGTGAGATTCATATGGAGCATGGCCTGCTCATCATCTGTCCGCAGGCCCAGCTGCATGCGTCCACACACGCCAATCTGCATGTGGAAAGAATGAAAGAGAGAGAATTTAAAAAAATACACAGCCGTACTTTGGGATTAGAATCAACCAAGTTCTACACTAACCGGTTCTAAACGGTACACACTTGGGTCTTGGAGGATGGAGTGCTACTGCTGCAGCGAAATTGTATATACGTACATAAAACATACAACCGTTGTTGATTTAAAATGAAATACGCCACGAAGGGCATCTGAACCAATGAGGAAAGAGCGCTTGTCTTAAGAGTTTGAGAATGATGAGGTCTCGCTGTCCACGAATTCGCGTCACCAGCAACGCCTCCTGCTTCTTTCTCAAGGTCAACTTCCATCTCGCTTCTTTGCCATCTGCTTCAATCCTCCACCGTTCGAAGGTCAATATCCGCGAAGGATACCGCACAGAGTTAACCCCCTGCAGCCTCTCGCGGGTTGTCGCGTGGGCAGCGCTCTGCGTCCATGCAGAACTTGGGATTCGACCTGTCGACTCGCGTTTCACATGGGGCTGGGTTGCTGTTCGGAAGCGATCGATTTGGCGGCTTTCTGAAACGGACTTTTTGGACATCCCTTCAACGATTGCACGCCTCCTAAGAGAGGTGACGTATAGTCCTTTCCTCGGGCCACACAAATCCTTCAAACGCGATGGGTCTGTACAGCACGTTTGACCTGCAACCGCCACCACCACCAACCGCATTCTCTCGTTTAAACAGCCCGTCGCGGGCCACGATCCCCGATTTCCTCGCGCTCTATCCCAATGACCCAGCACAGCAAGCGATCGCTTTTCGAGCATGGGTCCGCCGAGTGTTCTTCTGGGAGTTCACCCAAATCCATGGCTTCTTCCCGCAATTAAAAGCTTGCGGCGGCCTCATCGCCGGCCTGGTTGTTTTTGTGCTCTTCATCATTGGCAAGCGCCTGCACGAGAAGAGTTTCTGGATGGTCCGCTTTGCGCAAAAGCGTGAGGGTGTCATCATCATCCCGAATGCCGTCAGCTGCTTCACGGTGATGGAGGGGATTTACTGCATTCTTGCCATTGCTTTGTGAGCCGCTGGTGATGAATGCACGTCATTTCACTATGGTATATAGTGCTAAACTTGTTTTCTTACCCATTGCTTCTAGGTGCTTCATGTTTGACGAATTTTATGAGCATGGTCAAACTCCGAAATGCATCATGCTGTGGATCACCACGCCCTGGATCAGTCTCCTTTGGGGAGCTGCCTACTCGGGTTGGGGTGCGCTACTTGCCGCACCAGAAGGCGATACCTATGGATCCGGCCCATGGTCGCTAAGATCGATCGCCAAACGTCCCCTTCTGGCCAATGTGATCTGCCTGGCGCTGCCTCTCCTTCAAAGCATTTCTATTCTTGTCCCTGCGATCATTGCTCACGTCAAGCAGGAAGCGGCGCTGTCTTCGTATCTTGACTGGGAACAGCGCTACGCGGAAGTAACCGAGCTCAGCAGAGAGTTCGTCCTCGAAGGGCAAACGATTTTCCACGACTCAATCGAAGCAACCTATTATGCCGACGTCACCTTCACTCTCTGGACCTGCTGGGCTGGTTTGTTTTTTGTCGTCTTCACCAGGATCGTCTACTGTCTCTTCCTCGATATCTTGCGGCACGCCAAGCTGCTCAATTCAAACTATGTCCGCCACGAGCCATCCAGCTGGAAGACATGCATGAACCGCACTTCGCAGGCTGTGAAGCCACAAAGCCTGCTCTTGCGAATGGCAGGGGAAGAGAAGGCGGCACAAAAGTGCATGGAAAGCATGCCTCCCATCAACGAGGACACAGATGGCGATGTCTTTCACCCCAAAGGCTACGCCGAAGAGGGTATCTCATTAAATCATATACGTTCTCCGGACGAAGTGTCTGGGTCCGGCACGAGAGCCGCCTCGCCGCGGTCTTGTCAGCCTGTGAACCCGGCAATCGAGCAGTTTGTGGATGAGCTGCACGTTGGGCAAGAGACTTGGCACATCTTTTCGACACGGGAAGTGGCGGAGGACTTGCCCCATGCAAGCTTTTTCCCACCCGTGAAGCCGTCCAGGGTGCTTCCATTCGCTCGTCCGCTCACAGAATCTTGCAGTCGCTCGCAGCATGCGCGCCTGTTCCGTCGCCTGGTCCTCTCGTTCGGGTTACAATTCGGCGGCATCTGCTTGGCCACCCTCACATACATGGGCACCGCGCTGTACCTCGCTATCGAGCTCTACGCGTCCGCAGAAGCCAACGACATTGGAAACACATACGGAGGCGCTCTCATCGCCGCCATGTGGGCTGCCGTTTTTTTTGGCTCCATCACGCTCTTTGCCATCGCATTCCGTAGCCTCGAGTGCGCCGTTCTTGTCACTGGCATGAGCGTGGCCACGAGCGAACAGCTGCATGACCCTCTGAGTGAAGTCACAAAAGGGCCAACACGGACAAACTCGGCTAACTACAAGAGTGGCCAGTCTGGTGGAAAGAGCGGTAGCAAACGATTCACGCGGGCGACACAGAAGGCAACGGAGCTTGCCGTTGATCGAACGTTCACCGGCAATGAGATATAGATGCAGAACGAACACTTGCATTTCCATTAACCCAATTCCCCTTACCGCAAGTAGGCAAGCAGCATCGCCGCTCGATCGCCATGCGCGCACCGAGCGGCAAAGGAGGCGGTCAAAAATTCTCCGACGCGACCACATATGTCTCAACGGGAGATGACGACGAGCCGAACTTCGAACGCACTCTCTGTGACCGTTTAGTCCAGAACCAAGATCACAGTGTCGCGATCCACTGGCCATCAAAGGTGGGAGGTTAAAAGCTGCTCACGCCAGAGGACTTCCAGATGCGCCGGGATCGGTCACACTTTGGTGCAAGCAGCTCGCCAGGCCACTTTAGCGCGCTCCCATTGACAGCTATCGCCTATGGCCCGTTGTCACATTCGACGCGACGACACGCGCGCCAGAACAGCATCAAAATCGCCAGACCTACGGTCCATCCACGGTTCCTGCCTGAGAATGAAAAGGGCCAGCGCGCAGAGATGACGCCGCCCATCAGAGATTCACGGAGTGGAGTCTTTCGGCCATCCAGAGCAGACACCACCATCGATCGGACTGAGGCCGCGCAAGGCGATTCCGACTTAGAGTAAACGCCGGCATTGCCCTTTCCACACGGTTCTTCTTTCGCAACCTATCTTTATGCATACCCCTTCTTCTTCATTCTTGCGCAAAGGGCAAGTCATGCATGCAAGCGATTCCCGACCCGATGTCGCACAGTCTACTTTCTAACTCCATCTATCAATTAAAACCTATCCTTTCTTGGCACGCTCACATATATCACTAGTGTAGTTTAGACATGAAAGTCGAATCATACCTCGAAGGCATCTCTTGCGGAGCTGCTGGTCGAATCCTTGCTGTGCACGATTGAATTACCCCTCTGAATGTTCATGCTCGTGAAATGGCCACGGAAAAGCTCGCGGAAGAAGCGGACCACTCCGGACTCGACATCGTCCAACAGGTAATTACCATTGCAAGTGCGGAAAGTTGAGCTGATATTGTTACAATGAGATGCTTGGGGCCTTGGTTGTATGGGTCAAACGAGGCGTATTGCTGCAAGCGGCCCGTGTTGAGCTGAATCTAGCAGTATGTCGGCCGGGTGGCACGATGATAATCGAGTAGTTGGTCGGGACTGGAATAGACAATGTGCAACTTGACTGCAAGTTCTGGAAGACTGGTGACTTGCTCTTCGTAATCATCTGTCTCCGCTGCCGAAGGATTGACCATGATCTGTTCTGTATCGGCCGCCGACTGATCCTGCAGTGATATTCCCACCTGGCCACCGGCAAGCAGGTGCTCGAGGAACCGACGGATGCGAGTCGACATGGAGTCGATTCTTGCTCGAAGACCACCATAACGGAGCTCAACGATTTCCCATCCGAAGGGCTGGTAATTACAGCCAGTGGGGCAAACTCAGCACGCGCACGCGAGGCGTGATGACTAAAAAAACCGACTGACCTTGTACATGCTCATCCACAGTTGACGATGGTACTTCCACAGTTTCTCGATGGTCTCCTTGAGCTGGCTCAATTGCGACGTTTCAGCCGGCCCAGCCAATCTGTTTAGTTCCGACCAGTTTTGCGAGGTGTACGCCTCATGCAGCTTCGCCCTTAAGCCGGCTTTGAGAGCAAGTGCCTTGGCAAGCAGGTAAGGGAATCGTAGACGGGAGTTAAAAGGATAGTCAACAATGGATGTAGGTAGAAGGGGCTGTGCGCTAGGTATGGCGAGTACAGTGGGAATGGTCGATAAGCGCGCAAAGAGGTATGATGAGAGCTCCTGGTAGTTAAGCGCCAGATCAGAGCCGCTGAGCGCCAAGCTAGGGCTGATAAAGCCGAAGAAAGGCTCCTCCCAGAGCAGCCACTTCGATGTGTTCGGAGCGCTACAAGCGTGGGCAAATATATCCACCATTTCAGCATCAGACCTGCAGCTCGAAGAAGCACGATGCGACCAGACTCACAAGTGAATGCGATCGTCGATGCTCTGCTTCTCAGGGTGCGTGTCGTCGAGCCTGGACGCAACAACAAAATCATCAAAACTGCCACCGACGATTCCGTCGAACTTTGCGCGAAGAAGCGGGACGTCGACCTCCTGCTTTGCGGTGTACGCATGATCGGCGTAGTACAACCACGCCGGCAAACTCGAATACAGGTCGACCTCATTTCCTTCGTCTCCCCAAATGGTAAGGAAGACATGCTTGACGCCGCTGCTGGGATGCTTGATGGCGTTCTGCGATGCTCGGCACGTTGCAAAGGTGAAAGGCAAGGCAGTCCAAAACCGCGACCAGGTCCATGATCCTGCGGCCATCCAGGGCGACTGGTTCGGTCTCAGGTCACGATGCGACTTGATGCGGCTGCTATATGAATCGACACTGGTGTGATAGTAGTCCCAGTAGACCAGCTCGATCTCTTCTGGGATACCCTGCACGTCAGGCGTGGTGTTCGCGTCGTAGTAGCCGAGCAGAGAGTTATTGCGGGCTTGCAAGCAGAATAACATGTCGCTCCAGATCATTGGCTTGAGGCCCATCCTTTTACAGATGGCGTTGACGCGCTGAAGGTGCTCGACAAATATGCGCGTCGGATCCTTGTAGTTACGTTGTCCAAATATGCTGTGGTATCGGCCACGTCCCAGCCCATGCGTCTCATCCATACCCAGATGGACCTTCTTCGTTCGGAAGGGCGACGTGGCCGCCGCGATCATTTTCTCGAGCATAACGTACGTCTCGGGCCATTCGGCAAGCAGTACTTCGGTTGTGTCGCGCAAATTGACGAAACGTGGCCATTGCAGCATCTGTCCCAAGTGCCCTAGTGTTTGAACTGGAGGCGTGCCCATATGAAGTTCGTGGTCAACCATGTTCGTAGTCTAGCTCACCCAACTCGTGTTCACTCACTGCAAGGTATCGCCTCTATACCCAGGGCAAATGTGTAATCGTCGATCTCTCTAAGCTCCGCATCTGTGTATCCTCCCCGCAGGTATCCGAAGAAAGGCTCGTCCGGAATCTCGTAAGTGTCTTCCGTGTACAGCTGACTATACGGGTAGGCGCAGAATGAATTGGAAAGTCAATGCCAGGCGCGTAGAGGAGAATGATTGAATACTCACAGCATGTTGTATCCCATGAGTGCCAGTTTTCGAACAAGGAACTTAACGCTGTCCACGGTGAGCACCCCGTTTCTGCTGCAATCAATCATCGTGCCGAGTGTCTCGACGTTGCACGTCGCCTCGAAACCATGCAAACGCTCGGAAACGAGCGATGTGGCACGGATGTACCATCTCTGCTGCTGATCTTGGTGCTGAGCCGAAGGAGATGAGGGAGAAGCTGAAAGTGATACAGAAATAAGGCCCTCGTAGCAGTCTGCAGCGCCAGCGCCTTCCGAAGAGTAGGGAGCCAAGCAATCTCGCGCGACGCCGAGAAGGTGTCCTAACGCGCGAAAAGCATCGCATTGTCGGGTGTAGCGGACCGTGATAATGAATGGTCTTCCGTCAATTTCATCTCCTTCCCCGAAATTGGCTTCAGCAGTCGTCGCCGACGTGGGAGATGGAGCAAAACTTGGAGCTGAACAGGTGAGGCGGAAGCCCAATGCTGCTCTGCGGTGTACGTTGTTGCTCGGCTGATCAGTGAGCTCATTGTGGCTGGAGATGTCGTCGACTTTCTCGAAACTAGTCAAGCATGAATGGGAAATCCGTGCGTACAATGTCAGTATAGGCCGCAGAACAAGAAAGTATAGTGGAAAAGCCCGGACGTACATCACATTCCAGTACCATCGAGCGCCAACGCCCTGTGCCAATATTCTCCCACCTGGTGCAACACAGCCTGCTGGGATTTGTGCTTCCTCTTCCGTCGCCATTGTACCCCTCACTCTCCTAACATTACCGCTGCCGTTACCTTTCGATCCGAGAGCGAAGCTGTCTGGAAAAAGCTCGTCCTGTGCAAAGGTTACATTTCGCCTGACAGCGAATTTGGCCAGCGTAGCGAGGCCGTCTTGTAGATCTTCCGGTACACAGACAGCCCCGGCTTGTCGCCGCACTGACGCTGGTAGTACGGATTCAGAGGAAAAGGGTGGATTCCATCGGACGGGTATGTGCAACGCGATGCTAGGCAAAGACTGATCGCTGTTGTGACTGTTTCCAGCGCCGTAATATGCATCTAAAGGATGCACCGGCCTGCTGTCAATGGTGTCGATCGTCGAAGCAGAGGAAAGCAACGGATTAAGTCCAAAGAGACGACCGTTCGCCATGCTCATGCCCTCTGCTAGGCCATTGAACATGCCAGCTTTGCCACCTACTGTCCTAGCGCTGCTCGAAGCGCATCGTCCACCAAATTGAGGATCTTGCGCCGCGGAGTCCGGACTGGTGGCATCATTGAGCATCCCCGGGCTGCCACTACCCCGGGCACCAAGCGTGACACCAGATGCTTCGTACAGCGAGAGCCGGGGTACATTTGTGAGGACTTCGACAGGCGAAGGATCGTCCGGAGCGGTCGGTGCCGCCATCCTTTTCCTGCGTGTAGGTCCGCAAGGCTCAATTGCGCGGGTTGTACCTCGGTGTCAGCAACCGAGTTCGCTCAGCAATCTAGTGATGGTGCAATGCCGGGGAGCTTCGGGCGCGCGTCCAACCTTCAGAGATTCCGGGGCAACAATACAGTCCGTCGTCAATCGTGGTCCATCCCGGATCCATGTCTCCTGCGGAGACGCGAGAGGAGCATCTGGAGTTATAGCAGTGATGAGCGCACAATACATCTCACCGCGCGTGGTATGTCTGGATGTAACGTTGTTGATCTGTGCGCAGGAGTGCGCTAATATGCCCAGGCACCTTATGTAATTATCATTGCATCATCATTCACCTCCCAACTATGCGCGTGTCTGTTGGCGGCTACGTACAACGCAAAATGTGTCTAACAAAGTCTAAAGACCAAACGAGCTCTTTTTGGTCCGAGGCATGCCTTGTAGTGTCTGTTTTCAGGAACATCGTGGCCGACAAATCACAAGCGATCCTAGCAGCGAGGGAGGTCTTGCGCTACCATCAAATCGGGAGCAAGCCTGTCAGCCAAGAAGACATAATGTCCCTCCGTTCCAGCGCGCCTGCCGAGTGCGCCCGGTCCACATCACCGCTTCCCTTGCCTCTCAACGAGGTAGGGCTGGCTAGCAAGAATGCGCAGCTGCGCGGGACCGGACTCGGCGTCGGGACCGGCTTTCTGTCCGCGTTGGTCGCGCACAAGTCGCTCCGTCTTTCGCCTAAAGCATCATTACTATCAGGCTTGAGTGTGTATTCAGGCAAGCAGAGGATGTGTTTGTCTCCACGTGCACTCACGCTGAAAATCTCGCTCTCTTTCTCCTTGGTGCAACATTTACATGCGTCAACAGTTAGTGGCTCTTTCGTTGCTTGGTACGGCTCGCGGCAATTCATGGTGAAGAACCTGCGAACCCTCGAGGACCAACTAAGCGACTTGCAAGGATCGTCCAGCAAGTACGCTCTGTCAACGCCATCGCCAGCTGCCCTTGCAAGAGAAGGAGAAGCCATTGGCTTTGATCTTCGGTCGGGTGCTGAGACGCGCTTCGAGGCCGGCACAGGTGGGATGCATGAGTTCACCGACCGTGGGGCGAGCACGCGCGGGGACCATTGAGCATCAGAGCTCGCTTCCCGCATTGGACAGAAAGGATGAACTGCGCCAAGACTTGGTGAGCAGTCAGAACTGCTTTCCAGATCACATTGCCGCTCTTTTCAATCCTTGGGGGCTGGTTTGTGCAGATCTGTGAACGATATTGAGCCTCCCAGCACCTCCGGAGAGCCTCCGCGTCAAGTCAGTCAGGAGCCAGCTGCCACCAAGCTGGCGAGCCAGCGATCAATCTTCTGGGAATATGCAACCCCCAGCCAAATATTTAACAATTACTGTGGAGCTGTGCGACGTCTTATGCAAACGTCACCAGGCGCGTCACGAAGTCTACCGCGCTATTTTCCAAAGCAAACGGAGGACGACAGGCTATAGCTGCTGTGTTAGTCGAAAGCGGTGGCATCTATAAAGCTAGCTGTGGCGTCCCTGACAGGACAGATCATCTCTTCCAGTGCATTCGGTGGTGTAAAAGGCTCGAGCAGCATTGTGGGAGCTACAATCGGTCTGATCGGCTTCGCACGAGTTCACCGCACTTCATACAACAGCAGAGTCACATACGTTCATGGACATGACCTTGTCGTGTGTACATGTCAACAGACAGAGGAAGTGTGAACATTGATTGCAACACGTATCCAATTCGGCATTTCCAATGCAAATCGATTATATGGAATGTCAGCGAAACGCGTCGTCAACCTCACTCAGACATGAGCAAAAAGCAATTGTGAGATTGGGTTCTGCAGATGAATATGCGTGCTGTGGTACAGTAAAAGGATATGCGAATATTACAAGTGCAAAGGTTAAATCGCGGTTGAACATGCTGGCTGTGATGTAGCGCCAATGGGGACCAGCATGGTAAGGTCTCAAGGAGGTCGATGTACTACTCGAGCTCTGCTGGCTCGGCCATCTTGATCGCTTCGATGACTGGCAGAGTAACGACGCATAGCATTAGTACTCTTAATGCTTGTAAGTCTGACATCTATAGCGCCGAAATGGTAGGACTCACAGGCCTTGTAGTCAAAGCGTTTCCCTCCTCGATCCATAAAGGGTCCAGAAAGCAGCCGATCGATCTCGCTGTCTGTCATCCTATCGCCAACCTCCTTAAGCCAGTACCGCAGCTCCGCAGCATCGAGGACGCCATCATCCTTTTCGTCGAAACACGCGAATGCTTCGGAGAGCTCGTGCGCTTCATCCAGCTCGGAAAGATGCGTGCCGAACATGGTCAGGAACTGAGTGAAATTCACACCTGCTGAGGACATTGCTGATGCTTCGGATGTATATGAATCTGCAAATGCGCTGGACATGTACGCGTCCAGTGTTGCTGGCTTTGCATTGATGCCTGCAAAGAGGAGCAACCAAATTTCAGCAGTTGATCGGCCTACACCCCTCGCCCCCCTCCTCCCCCAGAGATGCGATGCTCGCTATCGATGTGACATCACGCGAAAGTACCACGCACCCAGGTTTGTCAGCATCGTCTTTAGGTCCTCTCGCGATATTAACCCGTCGCGATCCTGGTCGACCATGGTGAAAGCTTCCTTGAATCCCTGAATCTGCTTGTGGCTGAACGTGTTGTACACACCCGATGACTGCCGCGGATGGTTGGTCTGCCGGTTGCGTAGACGCGCTGCCGCTGTGCCTGATGCTTGTGCGCTAGGGGAGAGAAAGGAGCCTGGCGCCGCTTTGGCGCTGCTGGGTTGGGACATTTTCGTGTAATGTACGTGTCAATTAATCTCCCGCAGGACTCGATGCTGGCCTCGTGTCTCTTGAGCGTGAAATGCGAGGCTGCCCGAGAGAACCATGTCAAGAAGATCCACAGGAGCAATATGGTACAATCAATAGGAGCTTTCCCTGGTGCACGAGGTGCCGTGTGCGTGTGTATCGCCAGACGGAGCCAGATCACGGATGCTCCGGATCTCCAACAGTCTGGGCACTGCACCACTCACCAGTCACGGCAATACAGTCAAAGCTCTCTATCCGTTCCGCCTTTCAATCAGGCTGCTGGGAAACAGATTTTTGTGTCTCTTATGGTTGGCAATCGACTTCCAAAAGCTCAGCTTGGAGGTAAATCGCACGACACTTGGTGTTCGGTCGACCTACCTGCGGTGTCTGCTTCAAAGGGCGCAGATTGGCAAGACCTTCTACACTGCGAAGCAGCACAAACGCCTGCACGAGAAAAAGCGAGGCCGGCGTGAGCACCCTCAGAAACCGCTTGCCACCATGTCTTTTCTTCCGCTCGAATTGGACGTCAAGGCGGCAACGACGGCAACCTTGCAAGCATCCGTTCAAGCCAAACTCGGGAAGCTCGGGTACGCCTCGGCAGATGATGCGGTGATGGCGGAGTACATCGTCGTCATGTTGGCCAATCGCAAAGGCCCCGAGCAGGTGTCGGACGAGATGAAAGACCTCATCGGCGAGGACTACGACCCGGTTTTCGTCAACTGGCTTTGGGATGAAGCACATCACGTTCTGGGCGGAGGAGAGCCGCAGAATATTCGTAGCGAGCCATCATGTGGTAAGAATTTTTTCCCCTTTGCGTGACCGTCTTCATGAAAGGAAGCTGATGCTGCTTCGCTGTGATTCTCGCAGGGCGCCGACGCTCAAGAACGAGGTCGCCCGTGCCGCAGCGAGAAACCTACTGTCGAGTCGATCGTGGCTACGAAGGAAGAAGTGGGCAGCCTGAAGAGGACATAGAAATACCAAGAAGAAGTTTGTCGCCCGCGAATCCCTCGCGAAGATACGACATGCGATCGGATGGGTGAGTTTCATTTCGGTTTAAGAAGCTTCAACTATTAATGCTCATGCCTGCCTCCCCCTAGACGGACCGCACCACCTCCCCAACGCGAGCTCTTCTCAGCAGCCATGTCGCAAGTTTCTCGGCAGTTGGAGGATCCTCGATTTGGCAGAGGCTCTGGACGCCAGCCTCGAGAGGGTGGCTCAGATTTGCTGCTCCGCGGCGTATCAACTCGGCAAGGGCTTGCGATGGATGATCCAGCTTTCTCATCAGTGTCTCTTGCTCGTTCAGACTTCAGTCATGTCCAGCACACCGAGCCATTCCAACCGCATTCTGATCAGCACAGATGGGGAGCTGGTGAAGGGAGAGTACAGCGATCGCCACCAAGAGAGCTGTTTGGCGGGCCAAGCGGACGCGAGCCTCCGCTTGGGCCAAAGTCAATGCGGCTCGGTGAAGCTGGGCCAAGTCTAGCGAATCAACATCTTCGACAGGCGGCGAAAGAGTCCATCTTCTCCCGTCTACGCGTACCAGACCCGCGCGCTGCCGAATTTGTTCCCAGCAGCAATGGGCATGCAGGCGACAGCCGACCGGCTCCGGCACAACCATCTCTTTTGTTTCGTCTGGATCCACGCGTACCGGACAATGCTCAACTACCCCCAGTAGTGGCGATACCTTCGAGCATGGCTCACAACCTCGATCCTTCTCGGTTCCCTCGCCAACCTTCCGACAAGGGAGCTTGCCGCTATCTGCTTAAATGCACGAATCCGATGTGTCAATACTCTCACCCTACACCATGCCTTGCCAACACGCCACACGAGGAGGAGGCGTTAATGCTCAGTGAGCAGCCGTGTCGGTATGGATCCAGCTGCTCGAACAAAGAGTGCACTCGCAGCCACGTCAGCCCAGCCGTTTCCGTCATATCGACCAAGATCATAACGCAGCCACACTTGCAGGAACAGCAACAGCAAATGATGATGATGATGCTGTGGCAACAGGCACAGCATCAACAACAAGAACAACATGCGCAGCAGCAGCCGCCCTTCGGCGATGATAATGCGGGCAGGCCTCCTCGCTGCAAATATCAGCAGGAATGCACCAATCCGCAATGCGCCTATTCACACTACGACGCGGAAGGCAAAATCGCGCCGAGTCCTGCGCTCTTGCGTCTCTCGCAGGGTGGAAGTAAACCCGGAGGAGCTACAGTGCAAGCGCATGGAAACGAAAACATCGACGCCTCGTCGCGTTCAAAAACGGAGATGATGGACGTCACACTCGACGGCAAACCTTCTGCTCTCGACCGACCACTCGGGGATAAAACTGGCGGCAGGGACGGTGGTGCGCGCCCATGCAAATTTGGCTACTCATGCACGCGCCCGGACTGCATGTTCCTCCATCCGACCGGGCGACGCATCGATGCCACGTCGGCTGTTGCTGAGCCAGGCAAGCCTCCGTGCAGATTCGGTGCGGCGTGTTTCCGAGCCGACTGCCACTTCTCGCACCCGCCCGGCCGAATGGTGCAGGGGCAGGCCTCGCAGACGGTCCACGTCAGCGATCGCCTTGCGAAATTCAACACTCAGGCGACCGTGGGGGAGGTGGAGCGGATCATCCCTGCGACGTCGTGAGGTTCGCTTTGGTATTTCAGTTAGCCGCCCTTCAAAACGACGCGCACGAATTGGCTCGATTGTACCTTTATTTTGCGTCGTCACAAACCATGTGTCACGCAACTTCAGCCGACTGCCAGCCACTGGCCATGAGGATGCATGCAGTGCTATCAAAAAGTCCCTCATCGTCCCGTTGACAGTTTGAAATTTGATACCTGACACAAACATGCTCATCATCATGACTCACGCTCGCCTATGCGAAGCGTATATGGATGCGACTCGCGAGTGATGTGACCCAAGCGTCTGGAGTGGACATTTATATTGCAAGTTGCGATGTGCCCCGACCCCCAATTCCGCGAGACTCAGTATGGCGTACTTTTCTAGTCCTGTCGCCTTGCTGACTATCTGGCTTGCTCCGGTCAACGGGTTTCCATCACATCCGTCCTCTGCTTCTCAGTGTCCGGTACGCTGCTATGTATGCTAGCTAATCCTTGCGCGTCGTGTTCACGAAGCGAAGAGATGCTCGGACTGCAGAAGACCATCCCGGTAATGAAAGTCACGTGTGCTATGTTGAAGCACTGGGAAGACGCGACGCGTGCCGCGCGTCCAGTGTCCACAACTGTGCACACATATACACACCGCTCCGTACTTTTCCCTCCAGCGATTCCCGTCTTCCACTGTCGAGTGGCGATTATTATTAATAGATCGTACAATGGTGTACATATCGTACTCAATGTCCACGTTAGCAAGAGTGTGATGTGTCATGATTATACTCTGACACTGTACGTTCGTACACCATATCTGTACTAGCAGGGCATGAACTGTCTCGGGCTTCACGTTCTATACTGATCGTGGAATCGGTCAGCTCAATCTCCCAAGGTCGGGTATGACTGTCGTCAGGCCCTTCATCGCCTGTTGATTGAGACCAAGCAAGGGTCCTGCCCCCGAGCAGCGCGTGCGAGCCTGTCTTTCACCGACACAATGGCCTTCTTCGGAGGTGATGACCCAGAGGTCGCCAAGCTGAAGAAATTGATCGGGCAGAAAGGTGAGCAGCACAAGGCAGCTTCAGGGTATCTGTTGCAAGGCTGCTGACATTTTCACCCTCATGTCCAAGACTTGACACTGTCAAACGTCGAGTCTGAAAGGAATAGCCTTGTGGCACAGCTTGCCGAAGCCAAAAGCAGGGCACACGAGGCTTTGGCCAAATTGGCGCATGAAGAAGAACGGTCTTTGAATCTCGATCGTGCTCTGGCCAAGACGAAAAGCGACCTGGAAGCCTCGCTGCTCAAAAGCACCAACCTTGCCTCCGTCCTTGAGGCAGCAAAAGCAAGAGAGGCCGAAGCACTGAAACGCGACAAACTCAGCGAACGAGAAAAGGAGCGCTTCGACTATGGGCGCAATTTGGAAGTGGAACAAGAGCGCAAAGTGCTGGAAGACAGGGTCAAGAGCTTAGAACGGCAAGTGCAAGAGAAAGATGAGGAGTTACGGAATAGCCAATATTGGCCCGTGCAAGGTTCAAGAGCTCGTAGCGGTACAAGAGGCGTTGATCCAGCGGCCAAGTTGCTTGCATTGGAGAATCAGCTTCTCACACTCGAGTTCGAGAACGAAAAGCTACGCAAAGCCACATCCGAATTACCAGTTCTGCCGCCAGCTCGTGCGCCTATGGCATCGCCTGCAGGGAAGCTCCCACGCGGGCGACGACCACGCTCTTCCTCCGTTACTGGCGCCTCATCTCTCGGCGTCGGCTCATCCTCGGATCTACATTCTATTCGCGTGGCCGGCGAGCTCGAGAGCCTGCGTACTACGCTTGCGGAAGTGCAGTCCGAGCTGGAAGTCGCAACTGGTAAATGGCAGAAGGCTGAGAAGGACAAGATGAAGGCCGAGAATGAAGCGATTGCCGCGGAGCGCACGGGCAAGAAGCGGGTAGACGAGGTCAAAGAGGAGCTTGTAGAGTGCAAGATGGAGCTCAAGTGGCGAATTGAAGAGCTTCAGGATCTGCACAAGGAAAAAGACCTCTTGAAGGAAGAGTTTGAGACGGTACAAATGCTGCACACACGGCAGAACAGCTCGCACAGCGCAGGGGCAGCAGAAATGAAAGACTTGCTGTCCAAGGTTGCGGCTCTGGAACAGCAACTTGACGACAAGGAAAAACAGCTCGAGCGCGCTTCAGCCTATCTCCTCACTGCGCAAGACCGCAACTCTGACCTTCAAGCCCAGGTTGCTCGTTCGGAGCCTCAACCGGCCGAGTCAGCAGCCGAATCAGCAATGACTCTTAATACTCAGCCACCTTCTCTTTTCACATCCTCATCTAGCTCCAGTCTCAATACGTTTGCTGGCGCCAGCAACGATCGGGCAATTCGGGACCTCAAGCGTCAGCTTGCATCACGAGAGCGCGAGCTCGAGGCACTGCAGGAATCCCTGAAAGAGTCAGAGGACGCCCTTGAGAAGGCACAGGCCCAGCTGGAAGCGAGGGTGAACAGCGATGTCGATGCAGAGGGCGTTCAGGGCCTCGTGAGCTCGAATGAACTCGACGGCCTCCGCGAACAGGTTGCGCGGATGCAGGCCGAATCGCAACACCTGCAGCATATGCTTGACACAGCCGAACGCGAGCGGGACGCTGCGAGGACCGAGTTAGTCCAACTTCGCTCCGCGAGCGAGAATACAAGTGTAAACAAGGATGAGCTCGAACAGCTCGAGTCCCAGGTGCAGGAGCTGATGACCGAGCGAGAGCAGGTCCGTTCTCAGCTCCGCGAGGCGAATCGTGAGTCAAATGCGAGGGTCTATACTAGCCGTGGTATCGTGTTTCTTACCAGAACACTGCTTCCTCTTCCTCGCGCAGGTGAAATCGCGATGCTTAAAGACGAGTTCGGGGTGGAGGTAGGCGACAACGGGACCGTTGCGAATGCAGTCGCATCCGAAGAGGACGCAGAGGGGACCGATACTTTGAAGGCGCAGCTTGCAACCCTCAGCGAGCACATCAGCGCCGCCGTGGAAGAGCGAGATGCGGCGATCATCGCTAAAGGTGCTTTGGAGGCCGAGCTCACCGCCATCAAGTCAACGTGCGAGTCACATGTGTCAGAGCTGCAGACTCTCACGAACTCCATCGCCTCTCTGCAGGAGGATCTGCAACATCAAAAGGCAGAAGCTTCAGAGGCGATGACTATGGCGAATGAGAAGCTAGAACAACAACATATTTTGCTCAAGGCTGTCAACGAGGAAAAGGATCGGCTCCTTGACGCTATCGATCACTACGAATCCGTCGTGCGAGCGAAAGACGACGAAGTCGACCGGCTTGGGCAAGCTCTCAAGGTCTACGATGCCGAAGCTGCAGCTCGTGGCAGCGACGATGCAGTGACGCGAGAAAAATTGCATGAAGAGATCGAGAGGCGCGATAACCAGATTGCAGACCTGTTGCAGACTCTGTGGAAGCGCGAGGACATGATGAAAGTGAGCAAGCGCAAGCTTCACACGCTCGCTGATGCTCTTTCGACTACCATGGTGTTCGGCACGGACAGCGACTGGTCGATATACATGGGTGGTCAGTCGGTGGTAGACATCTCTGTCAGCGACACGCTGCGCCCTGATGATAGCGTCGAACGCGAGTTTGAGGAGAATCTCCTGGACGAGATTGATAACATTCGGAACACCTTCGACCATCTCGAGCGTATGGTAGAGCTTCAGCGTGCGGAGATGGAACTGAAAATCAAGTCGCTCGACGCGGAGCTTCAGGAGCAGAAAGAGGTCGCAACGCGACTTCGACAGGATGTAGCAAACGTCATCGCAACGAATGAGTCCGCACAGGCACAAGCTCTCGACGCGCAGAACACGTCCGATCTGAATCGGAGAGCTTCGAAAGCACTGCACCTCTTCCGAGATTTGCAGGCCAAGCAAGCTCAACTGGTGGACGTAGAAAGCAAACAGCGAGCTGTCGCAGAGGTCAAGAGCGAAATGCACAAGACAAAGCAATTGCAGAATGCAGTCCATCGTCATGCAACCCAGCAATCCGACACGCACACCGCTTGGAAGCAACTTCTCAGCGACGTACCTTGTCTATCGGACCACATCGACTCCTTGTTAGTCCCCACTGGGGCAGGTGCCGAAGAGAAGCATTTCCTGACTCGCATTCGAGAGCTGGAGGCCAAGCTTCTCCGTCGCGTGGAGCAGATCGGCCTTGAGCAGTTTAAGCTGCGTCAGGTAGAGGCTGAGCTGCATCGGGTCAAGACCCAACTTGAGCTATCACAGAACGATGCGCAAGAGAACGACGAGGACCTAAAAGCTGCTCAATCTGATATTGTAGATCTTCAACAACGCCTGGCTAGCTCGGGCCACGATGCACAAGAGCAGATCGAATCACTCAACGTACAATTGGAAGAACGGGAGAAAGCCGTTGCCGCCATAAGGCTGCAGTATGAGCAAACTTTGACAAACGTATCGCAGCTCACAGAAACATTGGAGTCTGCGCAGGCGTGCATTCAAGATCTACAGGCGGGTAAGGAAGCTGCCGAAGGAGAGCTTCAACACCGCGTCGGCGCACATGTGGAGATTGAAGCCAAGCTCACCTCCCTTCGGGAAAAAGAGCAGCAACTTCAATTCAGCTTGACACGTTCTGAAGAATCTATCACGGCGCTGCAGAGTCAATTGGACGCATTGTCTCAATCCAAAGAGCAACTTCTAGCCGAGAACGGCTCATTGCAAATGGCAAAGGAGGCGGCTGAGGCCGATGCCAAAGTTGCGTTAGAGTCCCTCGTCCTGGCTCAGCAAGATGCCACCGCCGCTCAGCGTGCCCTGGAAGAAGTCAAGGCAAGCAGCGAAGCCGTCCGTCAGCACCACGCAGAGGCTTCCTCAACTCAGGAAGAGCTTAAGACCCAGCTTGACAGCATGCGTGCATCTCAGATGGCCGCAGAGGCCGCGAGGGAGGCGGCAGAGACTGCGCAGCAGGTTGCACAGTTGCAGCTTTCTGATGCCGAGGCGCGCCTTCTCCACCTGGAACAAGCCCATTCTGAAGAGAAGCTGAAGCTCTCTAAATCGATTGAAAGGCTGGAAGCGGAGGTGCGCGCCCTGGGTGAGCTGCAGGACAAGATCGCAAGCTTACAAGCCGAGCAAGAATCAGCGCCGCAAAGGATAAACGATATCGTGGGCCAGGCTGTCGCTGAAGCAATTTCAGCCGAGGCAGAGAAGAGAAAAGAAGCTGCCGCTGAGCTTTCCTCTGTCCAAGCGGCACTAGTCACGGCGCAGGCTGAACACTTACAACTGCGCTCCTTTGTCACAACACGGGAGAATGAATTGGCGGACCTCAAGTTCCGCTTGCAAGAGTCAGACGAGAAGTACTGGAACACCAAAGAGGAGCTCGCCACGCTGCAGGAGAGGGAAGAGCAGCTCCAAGAGGGGCAGCAAGACCTCGAGCGTCTCCGGAAGGAGCTTGGTGGCCACGAGCGACTCATCACTGATCAACTAATTATGCGTGAAGTTCTCGAGAAAGAGTTAGGACAAGCGGAAGCAGACCTTTTGAGCGCCAAGGAGGCGCTTGAGGGAGCAGGTACTGAGAGGGCGAAGCTGTGAGTTTGATTCAAATGGCAATGTCGATTGCAGGCCCTGACACCGGTCCTTCGCATTTGTAGAGCTTCTGAGCGCGACGAGCTTGCCTCGCACTTGAAGGAAGAGCAGGCTCAGAAAGCCGACATCCTGGAGCGTATCAGCATCTTGGAGGCCGAGCTTGAAGAGAAGGCCAACGAGATCGAGGAAAACGACACTCAGGTGAGCCCCCTCTCCACTGATATACTTGATAGGCTATTGTTCACGTATACATCTTCCTTCAGGTCTTCGAGCTCAAGAGGGATAACAAAAAGCTTATGAGCAAGGTGCGCCTGCAGGACGAGCGCATTAGACAGCTCATTGCGAGTAGCACCAGCGCCAGTGGTAGTCATGCTGGTGGATCAACGAGTATTGCAAGTGCAAAAATCCGCAGCGGTGAGGTCACGTCAAGCGTGGCCCCCGTGACAGGACGCAAGCGCAGCAATCCGGACGAAGCGCAAAATTCACACCAAGCGGAAACGAATGGCGAGCCAACCGTTCGTGCTGTCTACATGCCGAAGAGCCCTTCCAAAAATACCGCTACTCATCGGAAGCAGGGAAGCAGCAGCGGCAGCAGTAGCGCCGCCCGAGTCGAGCGTAAGCACAGACCAATGGAAACTTCGCAGCCGGCGACACTTGGCCGCACAGCCTCAGCTGGCGTCGAAGTACAAGTGAGCTGTGCGAGTTCGCCGGTCAAAGGGAACAAAGACCCCTTCACGGCGCCTGCACCAACGACCATCAATACTGCAGCGGCACTGAGCGCCAAGAACCCAAATGCTACTACCATCAGCGCCACAAACAGTCTGGTCGCTTGCGAAAAGCAAGATGCCGTGACGATGAGAACGCCAGAGATGGATCGGAGCTTACGAAGTGGTGCCCAATCAGCAATAGCAGCAAGCGGCAAGAGCCCTTATGAAGTGCAGACTACGCTTTCCTTGGCAGCTTCAGCTGGCACGCATGCACTGCGCGCAAGACTAGCCATGGCTCGAGGCACCGGAAGGGGATGAGAGCGACGGACGCTATGTCTCGGGGACCCAATTCTCCACACCGACATCATGACCTCTCTTCGTCCGGGCCACGGCAAAGCGTCGCACGGGCATGTATCATACCATATCCAGAATTTCCTACATCCCTTTGAAATTCTTCCTGAAACTTCTCACGGCCTTTTATCTTGTCTAGAATGCCAAGATCAACCCTTGAGGAACTTGGCGTGCCAGTGCACGTGCTCAGCGGCAAAGGTGGCGATGAAGTAGTCTGACGGGGAGCATAAAGTACGTGAGCAAACCAGAGTGTCAGCCATTCACTGCAGGTATATCTTCGAAGGAGTGGATCAGGAAGAGTATGGACGCACAGCTGTGATCGTACCCATCCTGCAGTCGGATCGAAATGCGATCCGCATCAAAGCCATTGCTCATCGCGACCTTGGCAAACTCCTCCACGCGCAGCTGCCCCTCCTTGGCAAAGTTGTCAGCCAGACCGGAGTCAATGAGGATGTTGACATCCTTCCTTTTGTCTATGGGTACTTGGGCCAGCAGCAGCATCGAGTCGTACGCCTCGCCTTCCTTTACACCCCCCTGGAGGTAGCCCTCGAACGCCTTCTTGCCCCAGTTACACTGCGTCGGGTTGCAGATGGGTGAGAAGGCACTGCTTGAGCGGAAAACTCCTGGATTCCGCAGGTAGAGAGATAGAGCGCCGTGACCCCCCATCGAGTGGCCAGTGATCGACCGTCGGGAGACATCCTGCAGAGCAAATGAATATTAGCCAGGAATTTGTGCAAGCACCGGATGCTTTACACGGCCACTACACACAAGCGGCAAGCCTGCGACTTTGAGTGCCTGTGGCAGCTCTTTCAGCACATATTCCTCCATATTGTAATGTTTGCTCCACGGCTCCTTTGTGGCCTTGAGGTAGAATCCAGCGCCGGATCCAAAGTCGTAACTCTCATCCTCTCCCTCGATCTTTGCGCCTCGCGGCGATGTATCCGGCAATACGATCGCGATACCCTCTTTGGATGCAGCTTCGAACAGTGTTGGGGCTTTTTGGGTTGCGTTGTCCTCGGTGCACGTTAGGCCGGACAGGTAGATCAGTACGGGAGCCGGTTTGGAGGTCGAGGCGGTGATGGGTACGAAGACGTTGAAACTTGCCGGTAGCCCTCCGAGCGCCGAAGAAGATTTGATGGTATACTTATACAAAATACCGTCGAATCTGCAGAAAGTGAAGGGAGACGAATAAAAGGCACGTCGTTCAATTTCCCATCCGCACGGACAAGAGGGTATCGCATCAAGCGATAGAGCCCTCTCGTGTGGACCACCCACACCTTGTTTGAGTTTTTCCTTTCGAGTCCGGACATTTTGACGGAGAGTGGATATCTTTCTCTCTGTTTCTGAAGAGTGCCGACTTCCTTGGCAGTGTTTGATTGAGAAGGAGTGCGAGATGTGGTGCGTAGACACTATGTAGTGTTCAGGACGTTGTAGAAGACGAGGTGGTCATCTCGCAATTTTGATATGTCGGTCGGTCGGAAAGCGCGGCGTCTAGGGCGGAACTGGAGCGATTTCGCGGGAGGCCCGTGCGCATAACATCCTCTCGAGCAAATGCTGGTCACGTGCTGTTCCTTGTGCGACGGGACGCGTTCATAGTAGATCGACGCGTCAACAACCGCCAATCGACCGAGCGAGCGATTCTAATGAGTAACGAGCATGATCACAAGCACTTCAACGTCATCCATAACCTTTGGTTGTACCTCCATTCTCCAATGCAAGGCTCTTCTTCCATTAATTCCCTCACAAAGAGAGGTCGCCTAGAACCTGGCCCTCGCCTTTATTGCTCTGGTCAGGATACGGGGCGACAGCACTATCTAGCGCTGGAAGATTCAGCCTACCAGTCACTGTGAGAAAATAGAAGACATTCAGGATGTCGGCGAAGCAGGACGAGAAGATCAAGGTGAGCCATTAAGCGTCCAATCCATCGGTATCACTGCTTGTGCTGATCCAGTCGCCTCTCATATGCCATCCAGATCACGAGCTCGGCCGAGCTGCACTCGCGCTTTGACAGTCTGCGCCTGGTTCTCGCCGAGCCAGAGACAGAAGACACATGGGCTCGCCTAGACAAGGCGCTCTCGCAGCTCGAGCTTGTCACCAAGGGAGGAGGGTACAAATTTGAGGACTATGTGGCGCTGATGAAGGACAAAGAAATCAGTCGACCCATTAACAATTCAGTACGTCTGTGCCGAGAGCCAGAGCAAGTGTCAAGTGCAAGGGGATTGACGGCTTTTGCTTGCAGCTTTTATCGGAACGGACGCGCATCTCGGGGACAGCAGCTGATCTGCTCAACAGTGTAGCGCCTCGGCTAGCCGATCGCTTCGACCCCCTGATTCCCGTCTTCCTGCCAGCCTTGCTTCAACTCTGCGCGCGGACGAACAAGGTAGCGCTCAAGCGAGCTCAAAAGACGCTCCTGCTCATCTGCGCATACTGCCGTCTGCCTTCCTCCTTGCTGCCCTTCTTCCGCGAGGCGGCAAAAGACAAGGTACCCAGCTTGCGTGCAGTTGCGGTCGAGTGCACGCTCGCCTTGGTGAATGGCATGGGCGTCAACGGCAGCGAAAAGGATCAGGAGAGGCTTGGCAGGAGGGGGGTCCCTGACGCTGTCGAGGCGATCCTCCGGTCTGGAGCGACGGATGCGAGCGTAGAAGTGAGGAGCCTTAGTAAAAAGCTTTTCGGAGCATATATGGCGAGCATGCCCGAGCGAGTGGAAGCGTGAGTGCAGCCGCGCTTCCGTCCACGCATTCTATACCCAGCTGACATATGTCCGTTTTTATCAGCTTCACCGCTCCTCTCACACCAACTATCAGGCGCTATTTGGCTCTCCCAAAGACGGGTGCACTCAAGCCAGCGATCCTCCAGCAGTCAAGCCACTCCAGCGCATCCACATCATCAGGTAGCAGCAGCGATCACGACCACTCCCAGCCGTTCCCAATGGCCGTGCCGCCTTTGAAGATCCTGAAGCGCTCTGCTTCGGCACAACAGTTTCCTCAACAGAGTTCTCAGCGCCATGCAGATGGGTTTACAGTCGAGCCGGATCCCTTCAGCTCCGCTGTCCATTACACTGGTGTCTCGGGATCTAGTAGTGACCCCTTCCACAATGTACAGCAGGCGACGACTGCGCCGTCTTCTGCTGAGGGCATTTCGGCATCGCGATCGATGAGCGATGGCTTGTCGCGGTCCAACTCTCTACACACCAGCACGGCCAGTAGTAGTAGCAGTCGCTCCAATCCGTTTACTGCTTCCATCGCTGCGTCCTCGTCGTCGAGGAAGGTATCTTCGGGCGCAGCAGCGGCGTATCAGAGGAATGCAGCGATGCTCGCGTATGCGAAAGCGTGGGGCAGCATGTTCCCCCTCGCTACTTCCTCGTCGTCGGCTTCGGCTGCGCCGGCAGAGAGCCACAAGCGCGAGAGGACCACTTCTGCCACGTCCTTAAACAGACACGAGCATTTGCCTCAGCAGCAACACCTCCATCACTCTCACCACCGGCATCGTGATCAACACCTCTCACACCTTGAAAGCGAAGACCGGTCGGTTCCGATGTCCAAGAGCTTAGGCCAGCTTCATCGAGAGATCGATGAGCACGCTGCAACCCTGGAAGTTCGCTCGACCGAGTCGCTTTCAGCTTCCATAGGCCCTGGCCCGGTGATCTCGGATAGCCCTTTTGCGCCATCCGAAAATCCTACACAAGCGAACGTGACGGTGCCCATCACACCTGCCAATCCAGAATCGTCTGCACCCGTGCCCGCCACACCACGCTCGGCGCCTAGCGCTGGCGTGGCAGAGCGTCTCGCGCAGAAGCAGGAGGAGTTCCTCCGTCAGAAGCAGGAGCGCGCTCGCGAGGCGGAGGAAGTAGAGAAGATGCGCCTGGAGACACAAGCGACTGCTGGCGCAGCTGCGGCTGTTGCTGCTGCCATCGCAAAAGCGCTTGCTACGGCGCCGCCGGCTACGCCTGGGTTCGCGGGGAAGGGAGGCGCGAAGCGCAGGCAAGCGCCGCCGATGGCGGTCGAAAAGCCACAAGGAACGGCCAAGAAAGCTTCCAGAGTGCTCGTTGCTGCGCCGACACCTGCTAACCTAAGCGCTGCGGTGGCGCCGCCGGCGGCTCCTCGCAATGCCAACGATCTACTGCGCTCTGCGATCAGCAGGGAGGTGAAGACTGAACCCAAGCCTGCTGCTCCGAGTAGTGCTACCACATCCAAAGAGAGTGGGGATGGTGATGGCGCAGCCAAGGCAGCAAGCAAAGGCACTACGAAGTCCTCTGCTACTTCTGCTACTGCAACCCACGCATTCAAGGCAGGCCCCGCCTCTATGCCGCCCGCCAAAATATTCAAGCCGAACACATCCAACATTGTGCACGCGAAGAAGATGGCAGCAGCCGCGGCCATCGTCCCAAAACCTCGCGTAGGCACCAAGTCTTCCGACGCTTCAAAGTCTCCAAGATCTCGAAAGACCGCCAGCTCAACCACCATGAAGACGAAAGCGCCGTTGCCGGGCGTTGGCAAGGCTTCCACGAGCAAGCTTGCTCGTCCACCACTTTTGACGCAGAAGAAGATCGCTTCTCAGCAGTCATCAGTGACGAAGACGACGGGGGTGACGACGCAAGCGAAAGCGAAGGTCCCCGTTTCTGCCGGCGCAAAGCTGACTGAGAAAGCGGCAACCACTGCTGCTGCTCCAGCCAGACGACCACTGACGGCACCGACGAAGGCAAGCCTTGCGAGGCAAGCTGCGCCAGTCGGAGCAGCGAAAGCACCAGCACGGCGCGCTGCAGCGCCGAGATCGACTGTAGGTGCAAAGGCTACCAGATCCGTTGGCAGCAAGTCCATCGCGAGCCAGCCTCCGTCGCACAAAGCCCCACCGCAGCCAGCCTCGCACGCTCAGAGTAGCTCGCAGGCGGAGCGGAAATCGTCAGTACCGCAGGCAGCGCAAGAGCCTACACAGAACACCTTCGATTCTGACCGTCTAAATGCCACTGCGGAAGAGCAGTCAGCTCAGCCCATGTCCGGCACGGAGTCCACGCCTGGCGTATCGACCAGTTCTGGCCCTGACGAAGTGTTGCCGGTACAAGAAGTCATCTGCGACGAAGGCGCGGCTTCGCAACCAGTACAGCCAGACTGTGGCCAAACAGACGAATGCGTTTGCGATGATGCGGTGAATTTCGAGCTTGATGAAGCGCGGCAAGACGTCCGGACTCAAAATGAGGCATGTGTCAGGGTTGTCGACAAAGAATTGTCAGTCGGCCTTGCGGACGAGACGGAGCAAGTTGGGCAGGAGGAAGCCGAATCAACCTCCGTTGACTTCGAGCTCGGCGAGGAAAGTGTTCCCGCTGTTGAAGGAGGATTCGCACCTACGATGAAGGCAGAAGCGATTGCTGCACTGGATGAAGGACACCAGCCAGCAGCTGCGAAATATGTCCAAGAGCAGAGTGATGAAGAAGTATCGGCGGCGGACGGCTCGGTTATTATGCTAGGTGCAGAGGAGGAAGGAGAGTCTCCGGAGCTACCGACACCAGGATCAGACGAGGCACTGATCTCTGACGTAGCAGAGGACGTTGGCCGGGAGACATCAGGAGAGCACCTTCAAGGGGAAGCGGTGCTGTCGGGTGAGCACATCGAGGTGGAAGTGGAGTCATTGCCGGCGCCAACCACGATGGGGGACGCCTCTGCATCGCCCATTCGTAAGATCCTCACTCGATCAGCGGCGAACAGCCCAGCGCTCACTCCTTCTCGTGCATTGGGGTCGATTAATCTGAACACGCGCGTTTTGTCTCCGCAAGACAACAGCAGGGAAACTTCGCCCAGTAAAATCTGCTTGTCTGCGCGAAAGTCCTTGCGCAACAGCGCCAAGAAATTCGCGTCGCCACGACGAGTCCTCAGGCGCAGTGAGGCTCCTGATCTGGCCAGCTCTGACGGCCACATGCTACTTGAGCATGAGGAGGGAGCAAAGCAGCTCGTTTTCGGCGCTTCCGATTTCGATGACCTCGACGAGGACACGTGCGCTGAGGACGATACGATCATTCTTCAACCCGGGTTGCGTGTGCACTAGACGCTCTCACTTCTTCCCATACTATAGAGATTTTTCAGCATTGGTCGCAAATTCCATATTCATTGTCTTCCCTGAATGAATGCTGTGCGATTAGAAGATGCGCCTGACATATGCTTTGGAAGTGTGACAAGTCTATTCATGCAACGTGAACCAGGCGTCTCTCGCTTCCACGGCTTCGAGCCTGACCTTGCGGCGGGGGTCATCCACGCCCGTTCCGGTCCGAGCGAGAGCCCGTTGGACACTAATTCGATGCGGATGCAAAGCGAGATAAGGCAGACCTCGCGCCAAGGCGGCCAAGCATCGAAGAGCTGCCACGCGACTTGCCTACCGCAAAGTAAGAAAAGAAGTTAGTCAGTTTGACGGCAAGGAAGAACGTAATTTGCGCTGCTCACCTCTAGTGGAGTCTGCTGGGGATCAATGACAGCCAGCAGACGCGAGATCAGACTGCCGATATGATCTTCCGCAAGCGTAAGCGCAAGGAAAGTGTTGCTGGCTTTGGCGTTGAGATTTGCGTGTGCTCCCGCTGCGACCCTCCTGGTCATACTTTGGACCTCTTCCTCTTCTACCCGCCTTTTCTGGATGTGTGCTGCGATGATGGCGACGGCGATCGTATTGGCTGCATTTCCGCGAGTCTGGGCGTCTGGCAGGTTGAGCGCCTGGATGAGAAGCGGGAATAGTTCGCGAAGCCGTTCTTGTGTGGTCGCTTTGGGCATATGCGGTAACAATGCAGTGAGGGCGATGAGGTAGACGGACTGCTTCGACGCTCTTGTGCTTGGATCTGACAAGCTCATGTTTGTGCGGTAGCCGTCGATGACTTTGGGAAGCAACACAGAGAACAGGCGCTGCCTGTACAGCAACCGGACGGTGTGCCCATTGGCCTTGGTCAGAATGTCAGAGTCCTCCTTTGCCAATATATCGAACGACCGAGCAAGCTGAGGACCGATAGAATCATCTTCGCACAGTGCGATGAGGTCCATGAGCTTCTTGTCGAAGTCCTTGCTATTGCGAATAGAAAGCCCCTTGAGGATGTATAGCCAGCATCGAAGGGACTGTGCTCTGCGAGGTGCTCCTGCAGCTCTGACTTGCCTGTCAAAGAAGCTCTGCAGAGCCTGGGATAGGACTTGGGGCAGTGGATCCGCGGCGTGCTTGTTGATGGCGCTAGCGAGCGACAATGCGCATACGTCGAAATGCAGAAGAGAGCGCGCGCCATGTAGTTGATCCAGCTGGCGTTCGACCCATGGCAGAAGTTCGCCTCCAAATGGAAGAGGAACATCCTGTCTAAAGGGGATGATGATTGATGCAATCAAATACCACATATCGCGTTGCGCATCGTCTCTGGAAAGCGGAGCAAAATCAGTTTTGGGTACGGAACCATCCTTCTTTGTCCGAAAACGTGGTTGCTCCAGCAGCTGCTCGAATTCCCCTTGTTCGATCGCCAGATAGACTTTCCTCGCCAGCTCAATCTGCTTTTCAAGACTGAGACTGCGTGAAAACAGCATGAGCAACGCTCCGACGTCACGATTGAGTGATGCATCGGCGGCAACAGCCGCTATCGCTGTATTGGCCGAGGGTTCGAGAATGTGCGACAACATCGGCATTAGCAGTCTTGGGATGCTTGCTGCAGCGTATTTGCCCAAGTCGCGGTCTCCGCGTCTTTCTTTCTCTCTTGTGATGGTGTACAATGCGCTGAGGAGTCCACGGGCATAGCCGACGTTGGCAGTGCGGTGTTGCTCCGTGTTGCATGGACGCATGACGGCGAGATCAAACTTGGTCAAAAGCTTGACGATGAGAATGTCGAAGAGGCTTGACTGCGTGCCGAGACGCGCTAGCGCACCTAGCGAGTGGCGGATAGCGGTACGCTGTCTGATTTCTGCTGGCGAGAGCGCGTGCAACCGCGGCTGGGTAGCCAGGGTAGGAACAGCGTGGTCCATCTGCGTATCTCCGCTTCCATCCGAGTCGAATGCGCTCAGCTGGTCCGGCAATTTGCCGAACAGAAGTGGAAGAGTCGTTGTCTCCAGCACCTTCGCATTGATTTTCGCGACATCCATGAGTGCATCCATTGCTAACCTGCGAACCTCGTCTAATCCTGCGCCAACGATCCCGCCTTCTTCTCCCTCTTGCCATGCGTCTGTGACAAGGAGCTCGTTAATAGCTTCCGAAAGATACCCAATCTCTTGCAAAGTGAGAAAATCATCGATGTGACAAACCTGAACGAACGCAGCGAGCGCATTGGCGCGGTAAGAGGCCGAGCGGATACCGTTGTGCAGTGCAGCGAGGATAGCGTTCCGAAAGCTGTCAAGCGGCTTTCGATCCGTCTCGTAACTTCGCTGTGGAAGTGACGTGGCGGCAGACCAAAAGTATCGCAGCGCATTTGTTGATGATGCAGCTGAGACGGCGAACGCTAATTTCAGCTTCGAGCTATCGTCTTTGTGGGTGGCATCTTTGGTTTGCCTCGCAGTTTCTTGTCGGCCAACACCATCACCACCTCCATTCCCTGCATAGCTGACGCGCACGGATCGGAGCAAAGTGGCAATGTGACCAAGAATCGGCGCACGAAGCGAGATCTCGTCCGGGTCTTTAAACATTTCCAGCAGTCTCTCGAAAGCGCCATAAAGCCCAAAATAAGATGTGCTCGCGCCTGCGCGGATGAGACACGCAACGATACTTGCGGCCGGCGCGGCGAGCACCTTTTCGGGGCTTTCAAGCTCCACCAGCATCTCCGCCATGATCTTTGGCGCGAGTCCAGTGGGCGGGTCGACTGGGTCCGGGATGGTGTACAGGCATGCGAGCATACTGACAAGCGTCTCTTGTGCTGCCAAGCCTGTCTCCTTGTCTGTCGCGTGCAAAATCTCGATCTTGAGATTCTCCCACAGCGCCTTTTCATGTGCTTGCACAGCCGCTCGCCCGTAGATGGGGAACGCCTCGCGTAATGTATCGAGCGTGTCGAGCTTCGCAGCTCCGCCCGTTGCTGATAGCTTCTCAAGCAGCAGAGGCATGGCGTGCGGCGCGAGACGAGCATTCGCGGTCATGCATCCGCGGAGTGCAGCTTTGAGGTCTGCGCTCGTGATGCCGTACGGATCGTCGGGTGGTGGGCGGAATGTGATGGGAAAGTAGCAGAACGTGATGTCAAAAAAGGCCTCGACAATGTCTCTGTTTTCCTCCCTTTCCAATAAGTCTGCAAAGTCGATGAGCAGCACACGGTCGGTTGCGAAGAGGAGCATCAAGTTTCGCGGATCTTTCTCGCCTTTAGCAAGAGAAATGTACCCGCGAAGGAATTTTGCGCCCAGCGAGCGAAGTGCATGAGCGCGGTGCCGTGCGACGAGTAAATCAAGAAGCTTGAAAATGAGGAAACGCAGAGCTTGCGGGTGGTCTGTCGGCTTCACATGTTCGATCAATCTGTACCGTCAGAAGAGACTTGGAAGTGAGCCAAGCACTTTTGATGTGCGAAATTATGCCGATCGTGAACTTACGCTTCTGCGACCGTCCTGGCAGCCTCTGATCCGCAAGAGTCCAGGCAGATTAGGCGCTGCAACGCCACCAGTCCAGCAGCAAGCATCTCGCTTCCTCGGGGTACTAGCCCTCCTAGCCACCGCTTGTCTCCCTCGCGAGCACCACCTTCGGCCGCCTGTCGGGACCATCCAGCACTGGCCGGCGTTGTGCTCGTAGACGCATTGAGTTTGCGCGCAATCTCTGCAGCCACGATCTCCCCATCCTCGAGCTTAGAGGAGAAGAACGTGACCAAGGTCAAAATAGCTTGCTTATCAAAGAGCGGCTTTCCGTTGACAATTTCCCCGGCCTCTGTACTTGACGCCTCCGACGTGGGCAGCAGGTCTTTGACGGGAGCAAATGTCGTCACGACGAGGCTGAGGAGCTGTACGGCCAAAGAGCGAATCTCCGGGTTGTCACTAGTGAGACTGTCCCGCATATGCTTAATGAGGTCGAGCAGTGAGATGATGCGGCGTTCGACCGCCGTCACAACTGGGCTCGGGAGTTCATCTGGCGGAAGGACCGAGCCGGCTGAGGAACCCTGGGTCGATGGAGGGATCAGATAGGTGGATATTGACTGGTAGGCTTCTTGCCGTATTGAAGTCGCATCTATGGGAGAGGCTGAAAGAGAGTCGCTCGTGGACATGGTGACATCTCTAGTCAAAGTGCTGGTGCCGCCTTGCAGATGGCCAGAACTGGCATCATGTGCGTCAGCTGCCGGCGGTATCGCGGATGCTGGTGTTGCCTGCCACAGCGGCATGGCGGTTGGTTTCACACTGATCCTTACGCTTGACAGGGTGCGCTTGTCAAGCAGTGCGGTAGTTACCGAGCTTCTTCGAGTACGTTGCTCAGGATACGCTGTTGACTGGCTTGTATCTGCCACGCTGTAGCGGATTCTTCGCCAGCCGATCATAGGATGTCGCCTGCCCCAGAGTGTTAGAAGCTGCAATAATGCTCCAGCGCTGAGGCCGAGAGAGCATACATGTTGGAGTGTGACCTGTGACATTCTTTTCCGCTGGTGAACAGCCTTTCGGCCGAGAGAAATTTTGAGCTGATTGTGGTCGGCTCTCCGCTGCGTCTCGATCACATTCCGTCATGGCGGACTCCACAAAGCGTTTGATCTTGCATCAAATGGACGGCACACTATTGAGAAGCGTCTTCGCTGCCCTTCACCATCTCGACCACACCCGCGATGTGTGCAAAATGGCATTCTAGCCCCCTGATACGACGCCACCTGCATTTGTTGATAACGGAAAATGCAATTGCAGGCTACGTGGTGGACTGCCGCAAGTAGGCAGATAACCGCACGCGAGTCTGCTGCGCACTTCACCCGAGGTCTCTCCAACTCCCGACCAGCATGTAGCTCTTGGCCCTCGGACGCCAAGGGTGCTGATGAGGACGAGCATGAACAACCGCAACAAGCCCCACGGAGGTCATCCTACTCCCAAGCTGACCCCGATGATCCACAAGTTCCGTCGAGCGGGGGCCATGCCTACGCGCCTACAATGAAAGGCATGTCGATCAAGAAATCTCTCACCGCCAGCTCGGCGTTTAGCAGCGTGCAGAACCTGATGGACAATGCGAAGATCCTACTTCTAAAGCAAAATGCTGCACGTGAAGAGGCTAACGCCAAGGGCACCAGCCGATCACGAGCTGGACCAAGCATGCAAACGGAGCCACCGCCCATTAGTCCGACAACGGATGCATCCCCATCCGCGCTTGACGCCGCTACATCAGGCCCATGCATGCCGCACATGTCCAATTCACGGCCGACCGCCCTGCCGAACATTGGATCATCCACGGCGTCTACCCGCTCTGCTGCTATCGTCCAGGCGGGGCGTGTTGTCAGCGCCATCTCTCGCTCACAGCATATGCCCGACGCAACGAATGCGGGTGCCCAGGCCGCACTGGAACGGATGGAAGGCGTGCACAAGCAGGACACTCGGGTGAGAAATGTTGCGCAAAGGGCAGCAGAACAGGGCGCCAAAGGCGTGGGGAACGAGCACTTCGGCTGTGGTATGCATCCACTGCCGCCGCCGCCGCCGCGACAGAAGACCCTGTTCTACCTTGAAAGCCTGAAAAAACAAAACACTCCAATGTAAGTTGCCACGTCTATTTTCGTCGGGACTTCTGACATGAAGGCTGAAACTCGATTGTTGCACGATGCAACAGCGTCGCACTCACTGCGTTCGACTACCCATCATCGCTTGCGGTGCGTTCAGCGGACGTTGACCTGTGCCTAGTCGGCGACTCTTTGGCGAACGTCGCTCTTGGATACCCAACGACGCGGCATGTGTCTCTGCAAGAGATGATTTTCGCATGTCAAGCAGTCCAGCGCGGCCTCGGTTCACCCATCCTGGCCGCCTCGGCACGCTTCGCCAGTCCCCTTGTGGTGTGTGACCTTCCATTTGGGACGTTTGAGGTCTCTGTCGAGGAAGGCACGCGCGCTGCTTTGCGCATCATTCAAGAAGGCAAAGTGGACGCGATCAAGATTGAAGGCGGCGAAGAGATCTACCCATTAGTGCGCACCCTGACCAAGTTCGGCATACCTGTCATGGGACACGTTGGTCTGCAGCCGCAGAAGGTCTCTTCTACGTCTGGTTATCGCGTCCAGGGTCGTTTAGCGCGTGATGCATTTACGATCTACAAGCAGGCGTTGGAGCTGCAGGCGGCAGGAGTTTTCAGCCTGGTTCTGGAGTGTGTGCCGAGCAAGTTGGCCCGGTACATCACAGAGAATTTAGACATCCCGACGATCGGGATCGGAGCTGGGAGCGGCACGGATGGACAGGTGCTCGTGCAAAGTGACATGGTCGGCGAACTTACGTCGCCTGCGCATGTCTTGGCTGGCCTCGCCGAGGCTGGCAGCAGTGAAAGCAAACAGGACCCGCCGCTAGCATCAAACGGCAAGCAAGTACCCGTCCCACACCCCAATGCACCGCGTCCACCCAAATTCGTCCGCACATTTACACCGGGCAACTCGACAATCGGTGCACTGCGGCAAGCAGCCGTTCAAGCTTACACGGAAGCGGTCAGGAGGCGCGACTTTCCTTCGGAAGGTGCCGCCTCAAATGACCAGGCAGCTGCGGCGGCAAGGGCGGAGGAGGGCCCCGCGCCGACGGGTGAGAGCTACAGGATGAAGAAAGAAGAGTGGGCGGGATTCTTAGAGTTGGTTGCGAAAGACCGATGAGGGCAATTCCAAAATGTATCATATTCGCTTTCGTGTTCTCTTGTGCCTCAATCTGTCAGAAAGGTTCGCTACCAGGTTGGGCGGACGTTCCCTCGCACGGCCACCCACCTACCCATTCGGCGGGAAAGCGTAGAGCTGACAGCGTGCACGGTTTATAGAGCAGTGTCAGCGTACGGGCTCAATCTCCTCTGACTAATTTTGCATAGTATATATGTGCATTGGAGGGAGCGATTGTTTGGGGGGGGTTAGCTGATTCCTATCCGAAGGTGACAAGGAGCCAGCTGCCAAAGACTGGAGTAACAGTAAGCAGAACGATAAGAGGTTCGCCTGTACTGTCCTCAATCGCTGTCCACCGATGGCCGCGCATTGGATGACTAAGCATCGCGCCGCGTGGCTGACACAAAACTTCCCCCGCGGGAGACCGACTGGCGCGCCCAACGACAACTTCGGTCCTTAAACAGTCCAACGCGAACCTCGCGGGATGGCCGCCGTTTCCAATGTCACGCTCCCTCTGTGACGTCTCTCCTTCGCGCTCCCCCGTCTCCTTCCTTACTACCTCATACTGGTAGGGATCTGTCTGTGTTGCACAGCAGCGATCGGCATCCTTGCCTGGACTGGCAAGTAGCTCCTACTGCAGCGTAACCATGCCGTTGACCAAAGTGGGCATCCTCGATGAGCACGGCCCGGTGCTGGTCCTGCCCTCGTACTCGCAAGAATGCGTCGCCGACTGGATCTCATCTGATGCCGATCTTCTGCGCAACGCGCTCTCCTTTGTGCGCTCCGGTGCGGCGGCGACGCAACTAGGACTTGCGGGGCGCCTCGATGGGACGTACTTCTTGCCGGTCTCGCACGGTGGCAAGGATATGAGCTACAGCTTCAACTTCTGGCTGCCACCGCCATACCGCGTCATCATGCTCATCTCTCTCGGTCTGCTGTGCTACGCGAACAATCTACACACCCTGGGGGGCCTCGCGCTTGACCCAGCACGACTTCCTAATTTTAGCCACGAATCCGCCAGCAAGACAGGGTCAGGACATGGACATTTGCCGCAGCATCGGCCACTGACTAGCGCGTCGCCGGGCAATCCCTCAGGGTCCGGGTCAGAAAGCTCGGCATCTTTATCGCAATTGCAAGTCTCTACGAGCAGCCTTCTACGATATAGAGCTGCATACGTGCTTGCTCTTGTGTACGCTGTACTCAGTACTTTTGGATGGCTCAGCTTTCGATATTGGGTAGATGGTGCACCATCCGGCGATCCATTCGGGAATCATGCTCAATTCTACCAAGGAGTCATCTTCTTCGGGGCCATTTCGCTGTCCCTCTGGCCAGGACGCTTGCTGTTCAAATCCGTCCGCTTCACCTTTCTGCGCTCGCTCCTGCGCATTTCGAAACCCAGCTTCGCACAACGCATCAGCTTCGGAGAGGTGCTGCTCGCAGATAGCCTGACCAGCTTCGCCAAGGTATTTGGCGATGTGTGGCTATCGCTGTGCTTTCTCTGGCCGCGCCAGGAGCACCACACGTGGTGGAATGGCAAAGGCAGCCTGGCCGTGCCGTTCATGGTCTCCTTACCGTACCTCATCCGATTACGGCAATGCTTGTCGGAGTATGCTACGTCTGCACCGACTGTCTCACTTCAGTCTGGGAAGGGAAGGCGTTCGAGAAAGCCATTAGCAAATGCGCTCAAGTACGCTACCGTACTGCCGGTCATCTGGCTGAGCGCGTTGCACGAGATGGCAAGAGATGCGGTCCTGCTTGAACTCGACGCGCGGGTCATCCCCATAGAGGAGTTGGATTCGGGGCTGAGGCGTTATGGGGATCTCATCTTTCAGCTCTGGTGAGTGCGCTGTTGCGATCACCACCCTTACCTTGCTTGGTCGCTGAGCGAGTCGCCCTCACATAAAGGCTCTTCGCTGTCTTCGTCAACACTATTTTCTCGTTCTGGTGGGACGTGACGAATGACTGGGGCCTGGACTTGCTGCGATTCAGCACATGGTCTTCTGCCGCCCCAGGCCTTGCAAAAGGCGTGCGCCAGAGTCTTCACAAGCGGGGGATCAGCGGCGTGTCGAGCGTTCGAGCAGCGTACGGACGCAGATTGTCATGGCGGCCGCCGAGTCTTCTAGGTAGGGCCGATACGGTTATCAGTGAGGAGAGAGATGAAGAAGAGTCTGGTGATGGCAGGAGTAAGGCCAGTGACCGGAAGCATTTCAGTGAATTGCGAAGGGGCCAGATCGCTCCAGGAGACGCACAGGATGTGCGAACCTCTCCGGCAATGGCGATAGAGGAAAGTGGAGAGGTACGAGGGATACATCAGCGAGCGAACGAAGACATGACGCCATCGGCGTCTGGATTCAGCCCTGATGCTAGGAGCTTGTCATCCTCCTCATCACCATTTGGGCCAGCCTCGCCATCAGACGCTTTCTCGTCTTCCTCATTGCTACAGCCGCCTTCGCTGGCCACACAGCACCACCACCATCATGATCAACACCGGCGGAAGAGTTCGGTCGCGCTGCTGCGCTCGCCAGCGAAGGGTCACAGCATGCTTTTCCACCCGCTTGCGTACCAGATCATCGTGGTGCTCAATCTGATTCTGCGATTCCTCTGGTCGCTCAAGCTCTCATCGCGCCTGCACCACATCGCTGAGCTCGAAGCGGGCGTCTTTACGCTCGAAGCGCTGGAGATCGTCAGGCGGTGGGCGTGGGTCTTCCTGCGCGTCGAGTGGGAGTTTGTCAAGCAACGACGCCTCACGGCCTCCATCAGCGAGGGCGGTGCGGCGGCAAGTGCAGAAACAGCAGCAACACCCTCTTCCACTTCTTCGTCTGCTTCGTCTTGTGCTTCGTCGTTTTCTTCTTCAGCAGCAGCGGCAAGGGCGACAGACACGGCGAATGGGGATACAGCTCCGCCTACCGGTAAAGTTAGGGCGTACGAAGGAGAGGGGCGATGAGGAACATTCTGATCCATTGACGGCAGAAGTGCTCGCATCGCTTCGTGATGGTGAGAGTGTTTATACTTGATTCACTATACTATATCTTGCATGCATACCGGCTAACATCCCTTCACGGATCAGATAAGCTGTCGGATATAACCCTATGCAGCAGTCCTACACTCATTATATACACCCTCGGCTGGTTCCCTAATTTATCGGTCGCGCCGCGTCCCACCACACCACTCCACGCCACGGCATGCCGCGTGAATTGTAGTCCATGCAATGTGTACAATGTACACAATACACATGCTCATGGATGTGTGCCTGGGATGCAGCAGTCAAGGCACACTGTGAATACATGCGCTGAATTGAAGGTTGGGATTCGAATCTTAAAAAGGACGTTGCCGACTCCGCGGTAAGAGCTGCAACGGTGCGACATCGACGCCGACCGGCGACGATCAGCTCTCTGGAGAAGGTGCCAAGTGGAACCACCGCTCAGCTAAAGAGACCAGTCTAGCACAGCGGGTGGAGGCGCAGAGAGGTGAACATCATGAAGCGTATTCGAAAATCAAAAGTATCTGTCTTTGCAGGTTGCACACTTTCAACTTTTGAATTCGTTAGAAACCTCGTGAGAAATATTTCCTGCGCTGCGCACCGCCACTGCCTCGGTATCTGTCTTCTGCACGCTACCTATGAGAGAGATGATGGTGAGTGAGGTGCGAAAGAGAGACGCCCACGTAGAATCCACTCCAACACAAAACAGCTTGTGCTGCAGCAACATCAACTCAATCCATTCGGTGCCATGTACTTACTGTTCTCCCCGAACGTGCCCCCCGCTTTCCCCCACATACTCATATATACCTGTGTCTAGCTGACTAGCTGGATTGTTTGCGCAGGTCCTCCTAGCCATCATTATCACCCTGTCCTGTATCCTATAAGAGTCCGTCGCCGTCTTACATATCATATTCGCCCTTCCGCTCCCCTGCCCTCACCCAGCCTCTTCATCCCCTGTCCGCGGCCCCCCTTTCTGCGCACGCCAGACAAAGAAGCCCTCATTGCCTTCTGTAGCATCGACCAGGTCCAAATCCATCGACACGGCATGGCCATTGATACCCCTTGCATGGAAAGAAAGGAAGCATGGTCACGTCTACCATCGCCCTTCTTGCTATCGGCGCCGGCGTCGCAGCAGCCGCAGCAAGGCGGGCGGGTACAGGCATCATGCCCAGTGCTGACTTGAGCAAGCGTGACATCAAAGCAGCTCCCAGGGATGGACCGGGCTACATAATCCCTAACGACAATGGCGGCTCATGCATTGGCCTCTGTGAGTAGCCGTGCGGTGTACATCGCTTTGGTCGCTAACTGCCAAGATGAGACACAGCGGAAACTAAGCCGAGTCTCCTACGCCGCACCCCCGCAACAGTCCCGAACAACACCAATGGCGAGCCCCTAAACCTGATTATCAGCGGCAACTCGGATGCTTACATTCGCTCTCTCGAAGGCTTCACTGCCTGGAGCAACGCCATTGGCTTCGGCAAAGAGGTAAGCATGATCGACCTCATCTTTCGCTTTAGACCCAATCCATCCGAGCGTCTGGCACAAGCACAAGACTGACGCATGTTCTTTCTGCCTCCTGATTGATAGTGCTTCGGCTTGCACTCTGGCGCGGCCATGCAGGCCAACCTCGGCGACGGGAAAGGCTGGCGTAGCCAGCAAGCAGAGTTCCGCTTCCTGTACGAACTCCCTCCTCAGGTTGGAGCGTGCAGCGAGTCGGTCATCGGCGGCAACCAGTAGGTCGATGCCGTTGCACACGGCGCGATCCTGAGTGCACGCAAGCGCGCGTTCGCTGACTCGTTTCTCCCCGTCCACTCCCTTGTCACCCCCCCCTTCCCCCTGGGGGACACAGCTACCGCTTTTGGCAGCAGTCGACGACTAGCGCGTGGTTCCTGGCGTGCAGCGAGGAGGAGGACGTGTTCGAGTCGCACACCATCGTCCCGGACGGCTATGATAAGGGCCGCGACGACATTGTCTCACGCGCCCTGAAGAACCCGACGTACCGGAACAAGACGTACATGACCACCGTCAACTATATCACCGGCCTGTTGCCCGTCGGCGACAACGGTATCAACCACGGCATCAGTGAGTACGGCGTGCTCTGTCCTCTCCTTGGCTCACCCACCCCTGCTTCTCGCGAGGTCATGTCCTGACGCAGCCCTCGCCCCCGCAGCAATTGACGGCCGCACCGCCGTCTTGACCATCGCCGTAACAAGCAAATAAACGCATAGTAAGCTTCTCCATGACGAAGCGACGGGGACAAACACAACCGCAAGAACTCAAAATACTAGCCGTTCAGACACATATATTATCATCAAGCATATAGCACTGCTTTTCCTTCCCTACACCGCGCGCACACACCTTGTCCAGTCAGGATCAGTGATTTTGTTTCCTTCACATATCTGTAACGTTTTCTAGTCACGACACCAAAATGACTCTCACTGCGGCGCTTGTATTTATCTCTCCTTCACATCTTAAATAGCCATATATGCGATCTGCGGACCCAAGTGGCGGGACCCGTGTCCTTGCTGCTGTCTGCTATCCGCAGAAAATGGCGATTTCACAAATCAAACCGAGATGAATGACAGGTTTACTGATCAAAAATGGATTCAATGACGTGGCAGGGCATCAGAATGCGCAAGGCAACCGAGTTGGGAGCCTTGTGCCCGCAGGAGAGTACACTACATCTTGGCTGTTGCATTTAAGGGCTGCGCCATTTTGGCCGGCAAAGCCCACGGACCCTTCAACTTGCGACCGTTCAGCTTGGTCACCTCCTGCATCTCCTCTTTGCGTCCGAGCAGCTCGCGGCCGGCCGGCCCACACTCTTCGACCCGGAAGCCAATCACCGCGCGGCCTATCGAGCCTTTTTCATTCGCAAGCCCTTGGCTCTGCCACCGCGCCGCACCAGTCCTGTGCCTTGACGGAGAGCCGCTCCCAGACTGACTTCGGCGAGCCAGACATGGCGGGTAGCGTGCACCACGAAGTGTTCTTCACCTAGCCGAGCTGCATGCGAGGGAGTGTCCGGATGTTTCTGCGCCAACTGCTGCCCCAGTGCACCGCTGCTTTTCGCTGCTGTGCTGCCCCATGGGGCACATCTCGCCTGTGCGCGCGGCCTTATGCGCACTGATGCCCGTCGTGGGACAGACCATCCCGGCCTCAACGGCTCTGATGATCTTGTCCTGCGCGTCCGCAGGACAGTAAGAGCTTGGTTCGCACTTTAGCGGCAGAGCGTATGGACTCGGCTTAGGCTATGTGCTCGGCCTTGTACGACTCGGCCCACTCCTTGATGCCCTGTCGTGTGTTGGGGAGGTCGGTGATGCCCGTGCAGCCTCCAATGTGGCAGAGCGCGGTGAAAGTTGCCTCCTCCTAGAATTCACTCAGGGTGCGCCATTCGTACTTTCCGATGAGCTCGGTCGACTCGAGCACGGAGAGCAACAGGGGTGTACAGCAGGTCCTCGTTGCTGACTTTGTCCTTCCAACGATGGTGGAGGAAGTGGGTGCGTGCAAACGCGATCGCACTGAGCAGGTCGCTCCAGTCTGCGGTGATCAGCTCGATTCCGGGCCCCTGCACGTCTTCACCCTGCAGATCGTGCCGGGACACGGGAAGAGGCTGAATCCGGCGATGAGCATGCCCATGTTGACGAATCGCCGGTCCGCATTCTCCGCCAAGTTAAGCTGGCCTGTCTTGGCGAGCAGCTAGCTGATGGTAGAGTTGTCTTACGTCTTGAACAGCGCAAACTCGAGTGCGGTGAAGGCGATGTGTGGCGTGTCATACGCATGATGCGCTTTGCATTGCGCACGCCTTTGAGCTGGGGTATGGATCATGCGTGGCTTGGACGGCAACTCTTCGTTCGGGTGCGCGGCGTGGCGTGTGCCATAGGAAGCCTCGTTGACGTAGTGCCCATGAACTACACCGTCAAGTGGGAGGCGGTCCACAGGGGGAAGAGCGCGAGCACGATGCTGCCCGCGACGAGCGAGTGGTCCGTCATGGCGGTGGCCATGGCGATGACGATAGGCGGATTGTGACGAATGCGATTGCACAACCTGCTGATCCCGCATTGTTGTTGCAGCTCGGGATTGTCGTCTATAGGAGCCTCGGACTACGCATTGGATACGATCAGACATCTGCCGTGCCAGGGCCAAGATAGAATGCGTAGGCAGAGCGAATTGTCGACACTTGGCCCGCCCAACTTGTGCAGTGGACTTGATAAGGGAATATAGTATGTACATGAAAGGCGCCCGATACCGGCCACTCCTCATCGAATCTTCAGCCGGACAGCCGGAGGCCGCGGATTATTTGAACCTCGCTTGCAGAAAGACGCCAACTCATTCCGGACGCGGCGGCTGTCTCGTAGGCACTCTCGTCCTCTTCCGACTGTCGAATGCCGAGGGCCAATGGCTCATCAGCTCACCTCGTCCCTACCCGTTCTTCTGCATTCACGCCGTGTTGTACAACTCACCGGGTCGAGCTGGAGGATAAAGCTCATCTGCTGCAGCCGGAGGAACTTTTCCCGGACGCCGAGGCTCGTCTGTCCGGCTATATGCGCCGTGATCGAGCGCAGATCCTTGTCGAAGCGCAGCGCGCCGAGTTCCGTGAAGCGCATACCTATGATCAGCTTCTCCCAAGGTCGCACAATCGCATCGATCGCCAAGCTATGATAGAGGTCGTAATTGCTGTCTTCGAACAGGTCCTGCTCACGCCATGCGCGGCACTGTATCAGTCTACCGTGAATGGGGAGCCAAGAGTGGACAACGACGGGTCGCTCTTCGCAAAACCTCACCTTGTATATCGCAAGCACCTGATCCCAGCCCTGGATGAAGCGTCGCCGAACTTGATCGCTAGCTTCTGCCTCCGCATAACTGTCGTCTTGCAGAACGTAGCTCATATCTCCATACGCTTCCGTCAAGACCAGTCGCAAGCGCGGTCTTGTAAGCTGAGCGAACAACTGATCAAGCTGCGTCTGCAGGCATGGGCGCACAGGTATAGCAGCGCATGGTATGGCGTGGGCGTGGGCATAGCGTTGTGAATGCCAAGAACACTTCGTAAAGGGGTGAAAGACTCACCCGAAGCGCGGTTCTCAAGCGAGCGCTCACACCACCGAACGTCCTCAGGATAAGAGATACGTCAGGCAGCTCACCCTCATCATACAATTGTAAAAGACTGCCTTCAGAACCGAGATCTCGCACGATGCGCTCTGCATAGGAGGCGGATGTGCTCAAAACGTTGAGGTAGGTCTGCGAGTTGAAGGAGCACAGCATGGAGCTTCTCTTGTCAGCTCCTGAACACTGAGACTTGAAATCAGCGCAAATCGGACTCACAACAAAACTCGTACGCATCTCCCTCGTCGCCGTCTCCTTGCGCGGGCCATCAACAGCCATATTGATGCTTGCAGAGCGGTAAGAATTCTCCAGCCGTCGATGAATGACCTGCAGAAAATCATCCTCGATTGCCTTCTTAATATGCGTGACCATCGCGTCCGCCGTGTCCACATCGGAGGTGGAGAGCGTTCGTGCGAGCACGGCGCGAATAACGAAAAAGGCATCGTCCAGGATGGAAGACGTGAGCGGCCGCGCAGAAGGGTCCGAAGTATCGATCCTGTGCGCCTGAGTGCGGGTGTCACAGTCGAACGTAGCATCATCAGTCTCGTTTCATTTCCAGGCCCACAACAGTGTCTCCAGCTCCGGCGAGACTTACCCGTTCTAAGCTGCTACGAAGATGCCAAGTCTCAAGCAGAACGTATTCTTCATGAAGCATATCTTTCACCTCCTTGCCAAGAGTGGACATATCCGCAATTGGAGGCACGGCCAGGGTTGCAGCTGTGACATCAGTTGCTTGCTCTCCGGCATCTGCCCCATTCGTTTTCTGAAAATTCGCTGTGCGAGGTGTAGCAACCGGCTTGCGGAAATCTTTCACGCCCGTGCCATCTTCATCATCACTCGCTTGATCATGTGCTGGAGGTGATTTTGTTTCTCCCTTTTGGAATGTTCGAAAACGCTCCCATCAGGACGGTCGCCAACGACATATGACACAACAGCACTCACTCGTAATCGTCCATTGAGAAAGCGCTTGTAGGTGGCCCATGTGGCTCCGATGGCCGCGGCCTCGGAAAGCGTTTGATCTACCTCCCTTCGATCTGAGCCATCCTCTTCCAGCCCGAGGGCGGCTGTCCCAGCCTTGGCGGCTGAAGCTCCGCCTGCCGGCGTCCCAGTTCTGCCAGGAATGGCAACCCCTGACCGCAGGTTGACCGAAGAACCCAACGATTCGAGAAATGTGGAGCGGTAGACTCGACTGCTATCCATCCTACGTCGCAGCTTCCTCTCCTCCTTCCAAGTTCTTAGCACCTTGCAGCCGAGACGATCGCATTCGTTCTGCAGGCCCCCCATGACGCCTGCAGCAAAGCTACCCGCTCCGTAGTGCTTGTCCACGAGTGGCTGATGCCGGTCCACGAGCAAAGCCATGTGCTCGAACAGCCGTGTGAGTAGTATCGAGTAAAAGAAAGGAGCTGAACTACCAGCACCTTGACCAGTTGCGAGACTGTCGGTAAGACCTCTGCCAAAATCCTGGACGAGCTCGTTGGCAAAGTCGCTGTATACCCTTAGGCCTTCCTCGTGCCAGCCAACTTGCGGGAATAGCTTGAAGAAGCGAGTCGCATCTGCTTGTTGCTTGTCGGCAGTTGCACGACGGAATGCGCGAACGAATATATGAAGAAGACGCGTCCGTAATTTCAAGAGGGTTGTTGCGGGATCATCCGGTAGCTCCGTCGTCGGCTGCGAACGGCGAACAGACATATTCAACGCACCATTCTGCAGCAAGCGTACTAGAACTCTTGGGGCTTACCACAACAGAGGCGGCAAAGCGGGAGTTGACCACTTCGTCCGGTATTGAAAGAGCCTTCGAGCAATGCCTCATCGCCGAGTCCCAATCGGCATCATCGATTGCCGCAGAAAGATCAATAAGTGCCCGCTTTGAGCGCGCCGAGAAACGTGTCAGTTGACGTTCGGCTTGTAGTTTAATGAACGACGTACCTTGAGCTCTGAAGTGTTCAATGCCCATTGCGTAGCAATCTTTAGTCTCCGCTTTTCTTCATCTAAGCTTCGAATCCTGCGGCTGACTTTTCTAGCCGTTTCTGCAGTAGCCTCAAGTCTAGTGTTGAGGATGCTAGCCTCGTCGTGAATCAGGTCAAGCTGGGGTGCTAGAGCCCTGATGCCTTCCTGGGCTTCGTCGATAGTTTCCGCGGACCGTTCGATGTTCGACTTGATTGCTTTGTTCAAAGCTGACGATCGGATAGAAAGCTGCGTCAAGGCGGTTCTGACATCAGATACCGTAATTAGCTGCGCAAGATCCGGCAATGGAGGAATGTCGGCGCTCGCGCGCGATGATCGTGCATGAGAAGTAGTATGCCCATTGGGCACTGGGTGCTCTGAGACCCCATTTGCGACGGCCTGGACCGTCATGGCCAAAGGTACAGCGCTTTTCGCTGCTTTGGGTCGCGACCCAATTGGACCAGTCTCGCTCCAGCTCTTCGCACAATGGTACCTTCGGTCAGGAGACACACAAGGCAGACTGGGTCCTCCGATACATGGAAAATCGTTGTTGGCATCAGTCGGTGATATATTACCAGTGCGCACGGACGACGCAGACCCTTTTTGCATACTTGCGACGCCTCCGCGCGGTTCCCATCGTGTACACCTCCCGCGACGGCCTCGCAACGCATTGTCAACATTTATGACTATTCCAGGAATAAATAACAATAATTATCCAGTGGGAAGCCAGAATATAGAACGAATAAAAAATAACGGCCCCGAAGTTGCCATTCAAAAATTGTTGGGGAATACAATATTTTAATTAATATGCCAATCCTTAAATTCACAGCCGCGCAGTGCCCCACCCGCGACAGGTCGTGCGGAGTACCTAATATATCACAGTCTTATCTATTTGAGGAGGGGATATGTAATAGAGAGAGCTTATTAGAAAGTCGCTGAACACAATTTTGGCATCTTCGTTTCACTGCATGTGTAGGCTGGATCAGTTGTTGCTTCCCGATGTCATACATACGTATGTATGCATCCGAGGTCTGACAGGCGGAGGATCTGGATTCTGGATGTCGGCTTGGCTTACGAGAGGCGAATGTCCACAAAGCACCTCACACCGCAAGCCTCATACCTGACATGCGAAGTCCGGGCGCATCAATGTTGATTGCACGAGGGATCTGCGCGGCAGGCTTAGGCTCATGCTCGCCCCTTTCGCACGACCGTACTAACACGACTAGAGCGGTCGCATATGGACGTCAAAATGGCACGACGGTATGAGGAACCTCCCGTGGCGCGCTCTTCTCTCCGTGGCCTCAAACCAGTAATTTTGTCAAAGCTCGAACAGGGTCAGGAGCTTGGTCACAAGGCAAAGTTTGTCGAATCCGAAGATGGCAGCTTCGCGAGCTTTCTGGAGGCAGCGGCCAAGGAATACCGCCTCAAGAACCAAGCCTTTGCGAAGAAGCGCAAAGAGGAAGAGCTTATCGAGAAAACAAATGAGGCAGCTGGAGTTGTCACCAAGCTGAAGAAAAGGCCGGAACGAAGACAAAGGTCTGCAAAGAGGAACAGAGGCGACGGGATCGAAGCGCGCGAAAAAGAGTTGATGAAGTTGCTAGGCTTTGGTAGCACATTCGATGCTCTCATCGACGGGTTTCATGAAGTAGATGCTAACAGTAGAATCGAACCCGGAAGCACTGACAGTGAGACGGAGCCGGAAACGATTTCAGCATCTCCACAGGAAAGCTCGACCAAAAGTGAACATGACAGTGTAGCGATGTTCCGTGTGCACGATCATTGACTTTGGACTTGCCTTTAGCACCCCAAAGTACCCAAATAGCCCCTGATTCTGGCTCAGAAGACGAGCTACAAATGCTGAAAAACAACGCCGCTTTCACAAAGACCCAGGCTTCCTCTGCAAGAGCAGCCCCAATGTCACAAGGCAAGCGGCCTGCGACAAATTCCACTAAAATCCGGCTCGAATATAGTGAAACCGAAAGCGAGAACGAAGCAGAAATTCTTGGGACCCTCCAGGAAAAATCTGGTCTGAAATGCACGCAACACAGACCTTCCACGAAGGGCGCGAAGCGAGGCGTGTTTGACACCTCTTCTAGCTCCGAATGCAAAAGGACGAGGCAGAAGTTCTGAAAGCTCATCAGGTTAAGCTGTGAAGGCAAGAGATCAACCGGCAGGGAGCCGCGCTTGCTGCTGCACATTCGCACTCGCAGAGCCAGATATCCTCACTCTCGGGATCGCTTTTGGACCTTTCCAACATCTCAAGAAGCAGTTGGCCGACGCCCCGACTTTCCCACCACAACCGAACAGCTGGCGGTGAAGCCTTTTATGCTTGACAGCTCGACACGTCTGCGCGTTCCACAGCCGATGAACTACTTTCTACGTGACTACCAGCGCGAAGACGTCTCCTTCTTGTACCGGTGCTACCGCGAAAAACGTGGCGGAGACCTGTTTGACGATATGGGGCTTGGGAAGATTATCCAGGTCATCGCGTTTTTGTCAGCAATCATAAACAAGACTGGCTATGAGACCGCAGACCATCAATGTCGGCTCAATAAACTCAGAGAGACTACATTGGGGGCGTTCCAAGCGGCTGTCAAAGACTGGCCCACCGCGCTGATCATGTGCCCCGCCGGATTGCGTGACAACTGGCACCGTGAACTACTAAAGTGGAGCTATCTGGAAACAGGCGTCTGCAGGAGCAAACAAGTGTCAAAGGAAGTTCTCAAGGATTTCCGCAGAAGACGCTTGGATGTGGTCATCGCTGGCCTCGAGCACGTGCGCGAAAACATCGAAGAATTTACCTCACTCCAATTTAGCGTCATCATCATTGCTGAAGCACATCGGATCAGAAACAGCGCAACAAATCTGCACCACAAGCTCAGTAGACTACAGTGTCCTGTACGACTTGGATTGACGGGCACGCCATTCATGAGCGGCTATTAGGAGCTTTGGGAACTTCTGCATTGGACGAATCCTGACGCTCTTACCAAGAGCAAAGCATGGAACGCGATGATCGCCACGCCAATAGAAGAAGGACAGGCGGTTAATGCATCTGAGCTGCAGCGCGATGCGGCTCGCATTATTGCTCAACGGCTGGTCGCCAACCTTCTTCTTCGCTTCCTCCTGCGTCGTACAAAGGAGCTGCTGAAAAACATTTTGTCACCAACAGCAGACCACGTTGTTGTGTGTGCTATGAGCCCGGAGCAGCACAGGGTCAACAGGAGAATATGGGCGGAGCCAGAAGTGCAAGCCATCATCCACGCTGACGATGTCTGCTGCGGCAAAATGAATGAACTTGGACAACAGTTACTCCGAAAAGAGTGTTGTCACAAACGGTTCTTCACGCGATTGGTCGCGAAAAAGCACGCGCTGCCGACCGAAAACGAGGACTATCTCGATGATATAGGCGAAGATTCAGCGGACTGCCCAGCGATGGCTATGCGCCGCAAGCTGCAAGAAAGCGAAGGCATGACTGCACTGCAAAATGTCGCCTTGGTGCATGACCCACTGAGATTCCAGCACATCATGCTTGACGTAGCCAATCCTCTTGCCCTTGTTTTTCGGGATAAGAAAGACGCCAAGAGCAAGAACAAAATGGATCGCGAGCGCTATTGGTGTCAGCTGAGCTACATCAAGCAGCTGTATCTGAATGACTGGGGCAAACGCATTGCCCAGCGTGATCTGGGGACGAAGACCGAGTATTGCGGCAAGTGGCGCGTAATGAAGGAGCTTCTGAAAACCTAGAAAGGCCAAGGAGCTAAAGTGCTCATCTTCTCGAGGAGAGTTAGGCTGTTGGACTACATCGAGTCTTTCGTACAAATGGAGGCTTACGAGCACCGTCGGCTCGACGGCTCCACGCTGCACCCAAAGCGCCAGGCGATCGTCGATGAGTTCAACGCGAATGCCAACATTTACATAATGCTGATCTCGACAGTGGCAGGGGGCATAGGCTTGAATCTCACGGCTGCCAACAAGGATCATAATTGGCCCCAGCTGGATACCCGCTCTGAACATGCAAGCGATGGATCGAGCGCATCGTACGGGCCAAAAACGGGCCGTTGACGTCTACCGGTTGCTGGGTCAAGGAACGATAGAAGAGCGCATCTATGAGCGACAACTATACAAGATGGCGCATGCGAACATCGCCCTTGAAGGGCAAAGCCGAGGCAAGGCTTTTCGCGGCGCATCAGGGAGAGAACCCGGAAAAGGGTGAGCTTTTCGGTTGGTCAAATCTATTCGACTACCAGCCAGATGTGCGTATCAGCACGCTCATCCAAGAGGGCAAGGACATACCTGGTGTCGAAGGTGGCAAGATCCTGGAGGACATGCTGAACAATGAGAGCATACCGCATAGCATGGGAAACACAGTTGAAAAGGCATGGATGCACGATTTGCAGCAGAGGACGGATGATGCGTAAAGCGCGAGAGCGACCTCCAGCAGGAAGGCACATGTTGCCGAGGCCGACCTGGAGGCAAAGCCAGAGATCGACTGCATCCTTTCCAGGTCAGATATTGGCTTTGTACACAGATCCGATCAGGTGATCGGCGGCAAGAAGATCGGGGCGAATTTATCAGCAGATGACGCACTCATCCTCAAAGAGTACTTTACATGCGGCAAGACGGACTCAACATCCCGAGGCGCGCTACCTATCAAGAGAGAGAGCGTACCGAGAGAGGTCATGGCGCCGCGATCGCCAGGAGGATCGGAGGAGAATGTATCCGGAAGTCTCTCTGAAGAACTGCCTCTAAAGAGGAGTGCGATTTCATCCGCGGGCAAGGTCAAGGGCAGAGCAGAGCACAGCGCATCATCGACAAATGTGGCAGCTTCAGCTGCGTGGCCTCCCATGCGAACTCGCAGTTAGCCAGATGTCGTAAAATAAATAATTACTTCCTTTGCAATGTGTTTCCATTCGCGCATTTGAGTTTCCACACTTACTACCTTGACTGACAAGTGCCATTGCTGTTGTGTCCCCAGGGACGCTTTCACAGCTTCCACGCAAGCGCCGAGCATAAACGCTGAATCGAATCTCGCAAGCGAGCTTGGGGCTCACATTCATGACTTGTAGGCCACCATACCGTCCATCGCTTCTAATGCAATGATGCTGGCCGGCGGCTTTTTCCCATATTCGGGGATTTTTGCACCATCTGGAATCCTCGTACTTCGCTGCTCGCAGTCCGAAAAGGCCTAATGAAGCGTTTGAATGAGCGGAAAGCGAATCAGAAGCGGTGGCACCTCTTCCGTGTATGAGGAGCATGAATCCGGTATGAGAGGCGAGAGGGGAAAGGTAGAGCATGCATCGTAATGGAGAGTGAGAGAGCGGGGTATCCCAGTTGGCATCGTAGGTGGCGTTGGCCGACATGGCGGCTTAAAGCCTCGGAATTAAACTGCTACTCGATTCGACGGTACTCCCACGGGTAACAACTTGTGCAAGCGGAAGCGAGTTGCAGCTATGGGGAATGGAAAAGCAGCACGCCCAGCAAGAGATGTAGAAGCAAGAGGGCATGTAGATAGAAAATGGTGAAGAGACGAGGTGATGGGGTCGGGGGTTAGGAAAGCATGACATTTACCCTACCCACCCATGTCCCAATACACCAGTCCCACACTTCTATGGATGGCATTGTTGGCTTCCAGAAACCTGTCCTCAGTGATACCAACAAACTACCCTGCCAATTGTATGCTTTGATCTACCAGGCTCATACCGAGCTGAAACATGGTAGGAGCACATTACTGGAAACGATGCAGAATGGTCTATGCAGATTTGCAGGAGCACGGTGGTGGCGGCGCATCGTACGCGGCAACCGTGTTCGCCGTATACAACGGTTTGCGAATCACCGTTTGTCGCCTGAACGAGCGAAGGCTTTGATGACAGCGCTTCTCAAGGCCATGCTGTGCAAAGATGACCTTAAACGGACATGATGAAGGGGGCGCGACGTGTAAGAATTGATCACCGAGCCTGACTGCCAATAAAAGCCTGAGGTTTTGACGGGTTCTCAGCTCGCTTTGCATGCACCGCCACAAGCTGTGCACCACAGTGAAAGCATGTCGATTCAGGTCACGCCGATCGCTATGATAGAAACGGAGAGAAAAGAAAAGACTCACATGATAAACAACGATCAGAATCATGCCTAATGAACCGAGGTAGTTGGCTATTGCCGATAGCGTTACGTCGTTCATTCTGAATTGAATGCTTTGTCTGAAAATCGTTGGCCGAAAAGGCGCGGGATCTATCAGCAATGCTACGTTGGCGGTTGATCGTCTCGTTGGCGGTTGATCGTCTCGTTGGCGGTTGATCGTCTCGTTGGCGGTTGATCGTCTCGTTGGCGGTCCGCACTCGCTTGAGGTCCCAGGCCAGCAGGCGTCAGGGTAGGAAGACCAGGTCGAAGGCACCTGGGTGAGCGAGAAGATAGCCCAAGCTGGACCGCGGCCTACAAAGCCTTGCTTCTGGCTCCACGGGGCCCTTTAGCGAGCGTTTTGCTCAAGATCTTTTGTTGCTCTGCTGGGGTCTGGTGCTGAACGCTCAACACACGGCGGCTGCTCGAAGTACGCAGCTCAAGCTGAGTGG